TTATCAAATAAGTAAATTTAATTAAAATTGTTTAATTATTTTAATAATTTAATATTTACTTTTACAAATACCTCACAAAGACCTTTTATTTTTTCAATTTCTTTTCTTTTTTTTAACATATTCTTGATAAAAATATTCAAGATTAATATGTATAATAACATAATTATGCAATTGTCCAGTTTTAAAATAATTAAAACATTTGATTAAATCAATAATGCATGCATATTGACAATATTAAAATATTATGTACAAAATTAACAATTATTAAAACATATTTCAAATAAAACAATCACATGATTGAAATAACATTCATTTAAATTTCTGTCAAACAAATTCAAATTTATTTATTTTAAAAAATTTTTGCGCTGTAATTCAACAATAAAATGAAACATTTCGTACAAATATATAAAATTGTAAAAAAAGAAAATCTAATAAATATTAATTAAAAAAATGTTTAAAAATTGTAAACGAAATTTTCAAAACACAATTAATTGTTAATAAAAAATTAAACAATCAATCATATTATTCGATCAATAAAATACATAAAATATTTTGAAATTTAATTAAACAGGATTTTGTTTTTTATCATTTATTGCATAAAAACAATGATAAAAACAAATGACAATTTAAAGATTTTATAAAACATTATAATACTTATATAAAAAATCTCATTATTAAATATACAAATTATATATTTAACTGTGATTGTTTCTTGAATATTTTATAAAATTTTTGTTTGATATAGTCCTATCGAAAAACAAATTAAATATACAAAACAATAAAAAATTATCAATGATTTTAAACGAATCTAAACACATACGATGATTTTAATTAATAAAACATTTAAAAACCTTATTTTTATTATTTTGAAAACAAAATTATATTTATCTTCAATCTGTTTGCAAATACAATAAATTATCAAAAAAACAACAATTTAAATATAAATTGAATCATTCACAATATATTTCCGGAATCTCATTAAACAAAAAAACACAAAAAAATGAAACGATTTAAATGATTTTTTATGGAAACATTGAAATAAAAAAAAATTTAAATTGAAAATTATATCTCAATCACATAACAATCCTAAAAAACACATGTGTTAATTTCTTAAAAATCTCTTTTCAAATATATAATTGACAATACAAATACCACGATTCAAAAACATAAAAAAATATGTCGCAAAAATTAACATATCTAATATTTCAATGATAACGACTATCAAAATTATATAAAAAATACAATTATTTTTATATAAATGAACAAAATTTGTAAAAAATATTTAAAAATTGAAGACTTCATGATATATGTAAAAAAATTAATGAAAATTAAAATAATTTTTAAAAAAAATAAATATTGTTTCTATCATTATCTTTATAAACAATTAAATAATTATTCAAATTATATAAAATTCTGATCATTTGTTAAAATAATATGTGTTACAAATTATATATGAAAAAATTAAAATTTATACAAACAAAGATTACACAATATAGAATTATGTTGGATCTTTGTGCACATTAAAATAAAAAAAATAAATGTATTAATAAAACAACAAAAAGAATTACAACAATTAAAATTAAATTAAATTTAACGAAATCACAAAAAAATGGATTTTATTCCATTATTCGATTCGCAATAATAATTAATACAGATATTTGTCGAAAGATTTAAAAATAATGAACAAAATAATAAAGATAATAACAAATTAACAAATTCATTAAACAATTAATTTCAATGTTAATTAAAAAAATTTTGCGAATCTTTGAAGATTTAAATAAATTTTAAACGTTTATAATTATTCAAATGTGCATAATGAAAATAAAATTAAAATATTTTTTTTTTAAAATAAAATAAATTGATTTCAATCGCTGCAAATGTGAACAAAAATTTTAAATTTTTAAACACATTTTTATAAAATATTCGCTGCATTTTGTCAGTCGAAAAATAATAATGAATAATCTCAATTAAATTAAAAAATTATGCGAACGTTTACAAAATTACAATATAATTATAAATTATTCGCAGACAATACATTATATTGTTATTTTTATGCAACAAATAGATTTTTTATAGCAATTTTGTTTTGTTATATTTAATAATGAAAAAAAAAACTCAAAATCTAACTTTTTTTTGAAAGAACTTGAATTAAACAAAAAAAAAACGATAATTAAAAAAAAACAATTAAAAATCAATTTGTTTCAATTGGCAGCCGTGCAGCATGCAGAAAATTAAGAATATATATATTTAATTGCAAACGTGTAAATAAAACGAAACAAAAAAGGAGACAGTGTTTGGAAACGTAATAGATTGCAATAAATATGTGACAGCTGATTTAGTTGTGATGTTTTTTGATGTTTTTATCATATTTGTGAATTTATAAATTTATACAGCATATAGATTCGAGATTCTATTTTATTCAACAAAGCACCTGCATAGCCTATTGTTTCAATAGATAGACTACATCAGATTAATAGAATTTTGATTGATTGATTGATTGATTGACTCTTATCATATCCTACGCGGGCCCAAAGTGTGGCAGGATTCTACAAGGACACTATGTTGGGCATTCAACAAATACAAATCTGGCTACAAGAAGGTCGATTGATCGAAAGTCTTTCCCAGGAGGTAGCAAATATAGTTCTCGTCGTACTTGGCGACAACAAGGTGGATATCATGTCTGTCCTGCGCTATGAGCAGCCGTGTGTGACGTTCAGGTTCTATTGATGGCATTTTCACGGATTGCGGTATCTTATCGTCGGTCACGATCTGCGCGATGATTTCGCCTGTTTCTTGGAAGGGAGTAGAGCGACCCTGCTTGGTGTTGGTGTTTCGAAAATGAGCTTTGGTCAGGATGGCGAAGGCCTCCTGCAGTGGCTCTCCCCTTTAACCCCAAAACCGTCTGTTCTAGCCTCCATTCTCGCTTTGCGGAAATTTGTTGTGAAGCTCAGTCGTCTTGCACACCACGGAGCCTTTAAGCGGGACACACCTAAGGTGACCGCGTTGAGGAACTCTAGGACAGCACTGTTGGCTATCTGCAGCCGCTGTGTTATCAGGACCCTTAGAATCGCTGCTTATATGGCGCATTGTGAACCTACTACCGTGAGGCCGAAACGGGTACCGCGGGATCATTTGTAGGTTCTGGCTGTCTTTTGTCGGCATAATCATGGGCAATATGTTTTGCAACTGCTGCTGGCTATCTCTGTCAAGTTGAAAAGCATCCAATTCGCTTCCGGATAATGTTTTGACATTCTTATTTACGTGACCAAGGTAGTGTTGGAACCCATTTACGCCTTTGGCCTTTTTTTCTGCCTCCTATTTCATGAGCACCTCGGGCCACGATCGCTTTTCGAGCTCTGGCCATATAGTTCTGAAGGCCAGGAACTAGGGCCCGGTGACGCCGGTCCTGGAGCCTAGGACGCCCATGTCGTTGATGGACGTATGTTCGAGGTTAAACTTCCTGGCTTCTGCTTTCCATGCATACTTGGTTTCTGCTAGGCATGAAAGGGTTGGGGATCGCTATTTTGGTGACGGGCTCATTTGGCTCGGACTCTTCTGACCAATTGTGCTGCTCTGGCTCCTTGCGCCCTTCGGGCTTCCGTGCCTTATAAGGGAACTTCGGCTTGGTTCCCATTCCATAAAAGTCTTCGCAGAAAGTTACACCTGGGGAGTGTGAAGTGGATAGTAGAAACGTATAAGACCGAACTTTCGAGGTTGTATTGGAAGCTGTGAGTTCGAATTGTTTTGTTCCAGCGCGGTTTCTATTCCTAAAAGGTCCTACGATAGAAGGCTACGGCTATGATGATGCTGCTCGAGTCTGCTCTTTCCTCGTTCGACATACACCTGAGAAAGGACCACGAGGTACCCATTAAGAACAGTACACGTGAAAGGATTGCGCAGTCAAGCGGAGAATGGATCACATGTAATCTCGAAATCAATTAGAGATGCAGGTTGTAAAGTAGGCTAGGATAGTTGGCATACATCGCTTATAGCATAGTGCAGAAGGATGAGTCTAGCAGATACATCCTTCTAGTTCGGATTGTAGTATGAACGACAATACCACCATTAAAAACAAACAAAAGCATTGAAGTGATAACGTGAAACTCCACGCCCAATCATCCCGGAATCAAACAGGTGTTGAACTGCTGGGATCTGACCGGAATTTGTCAACCTAGCAGCTGATATGTATAGCAAGCAGGTGCAGATCAAGAGTACAGCGATCAGACGCGAAGCCGAAGATTTGAAGTCTAGGGTCAAGAGCAAGAAGGATTAACTGGCTGACACCATCCTTCTTTAGATCGCACTAACCAAACGGCCACTCTGTCTCAAATTTCAGCAAAGCTCCGACGCACGCTCGTTCTTCCACAACCTGTCATCATCTTCGAACCTTTACTGTTACCCTAGCTGAGTGAGAAAGAATGCCAAAAAGTTAGACAAAGGGAGTAAGGCTTAGACATATATCACAAATGACTTCTTACTCTGTCAGTGCGAATCTACGGCCGCGTCACACTTTGTGTGAAGGTCTGCAAGGAAAATTGACAGCTTTCCTACAGTACTTTAGCCACCCGTTTAATGAAGGATATGGGAACGCTCTATTTGTTCATCATGAACTTGCTTGACTATTTCATATCGGAAGCGAGTTGGGGGTGGTGGATCAAAATTTCTGCCTCAAGCTTCCGCACAGTTATGCCGATACTAGCTAAATGTATGCATTTATTTTCAATTATTCAATGGCCAAAATATCAGGTTGTCCCAGGGGAATTCTTCCCTCGTGTTTTGTCACAGATAATATTGCCTATTAAACTTTTTTAGGTATCCCATCCTAAAGACATAATAGACATAAACCATTTCTGGGGCGATAATGAGCTCGCTGATTCATCACAACGTCGCTAATGAAGAATGAACCTGGAGGAAAAGTATTGTTATGATACAAAATTACTGATAATATTCTATCTCAAAGAAAAGAAAACAACAAACACGAACACCAATCAAAAGCAGCATCATAGCGTGCCGGCGATCAAGCTCCCCACAACCATCATGATCAGACCCCAGCCGGGTTTGGACAACGAGATGGCAGCGCTCTTCCCGCCATTGTCATTGTGATAGCTCGTTGCTTTGGTAAGCCCAGCATTTTGTAGACAGTCGACGACATCTGTTGTGTTTCCGCTGGTGTTGCAGAACCGTGCACAGCGCTTGTTGTAGAGTGTGATTTTGGCAGTTTCGCCGCAGCATTCGGACATGCTGCTGAGATATGTGTGGTCATTGGGGAAAGCGGCGACATCTGTCGTCGTCCATAGGTTGACGGGAGGAACGCGGACTGTGGCGGGACATTTGTCCAGGTGGCTTTGGTGACGAGGAGACATATCCTTTCGGATGTTTCGAATACGAGGGCGTTTGTTCGAGGCAGGAGAATTGGATGATGACAGTACTTTGCCGTAGACTTGGATCCGCTGTACGAGAGTTTGGATTAACAGTTCTGAGACTGGGAGGAGATGATGTTGGGAAAAAGAAGAACCACCCAACCTACGAGGGTTGCTCAAAATTTAAGCTATATTGCATACTCGGTACATGCCATCTGCATCAGGGGCAATTACAAATAAGGCTACCTGAGGCTCAAATTTGGCCCCCAAAGACCATCCACAAACAGTGATTGATTGGCGGGAGGCAGAGCCCTTCTCGATCCTGCGGTGGGGGTTGAAGGGAGTAGCGTACCACTATTCCCGTCTCGTAGGCTTGGGTCTGCCCACTCAGCCTCAAGGCCTGACTGCTGCTGGAAATTTGTTTAATCTATCCTGCCCTTAGGACCTACGTGAAACGTCCTTGTTTCACGAAGATTGTGAGTTTCTACTTTTTACGGAGAGCAGAGCACGGAGTAGCTCGGGCAATGAAGGCGATGCTGCGTAGTATATATTCCCTAGTGAACCCAGGTTGGTTAAAATCCGCTAAAAAGGCCGAGTTACTACTGCACAGCTAGCATGCGACTTATCTGGGCGTTGTTTTCTTCCTAGGCGACCTATGTCAAGAAACTGTAGTACGTACAATTCAAAATACAGACAGGAAAGAGGGGGGTCAGTCGATCAGTCGACTCTATAAGGAGTTAAGGACAAAGTTCTTCGCACACCCCTACAACGTCGGTTGAGGTCAAGCAAGTTTTCATTCTGGGCCAAAAGGATCAATGCGAAAACGAGCGGTGGGTCGAGGTTGACTAAATGGTATTAGCTAACTCTGTGTTGTTTATTCCGCAGTATCGCAAAGAGCCGCTATAAAAGGGCCCAATTCTGAGTGACTAATGAATGTTCATTCGGTGGAGGCCGGAGACTTCGGATAAAGTGGTAGCATTGGAGGTCAATTGTCGGTGTAAGTGAATGAGCTAACTATGATGGGGCACCTCTTCGGGGCCATGTTGATCCCGAATCACATGTCATGGTCTTTGTAGTAACTACGGAAGATTAAAAGACTAGACAGTGCAGCCTACTTACCTTCTCACTTCATAACTCGTTGTAGAGGCCGTAGCTTGCAGAAGGCGAAAGCGTAGAGGGGATAATAGGTTCCTACTACAGGCGGTTTCCCCTGACAAGACATATGTCAAAACGACAGTTGGAATAGCATTCTTAGAATTCAAAGCTGATTGGCGCAAATTGCCCAATGTGCTTCTGCAACAGGTTGCGGGCTTTAATAGCCTGTGCCTATTGTGTTTAAAAAATGGCTCGAATTTTGGAAATAACTCTAGGTTCACCTAACCATTTTCACTGATTGAGTGTATTCTCCGTTAGAAGCGTCACAGATCTTCGAATCACCAAGTCGCCGCAGTGGATAATTTATCGTAGAAAAAGATATTTCGACTGGTCGTAACTCCTGCCTGAGATGTTTTCTTGTGACAAGATTGCCTCTACCCGAAAGTCAACGAGCCACTGCCCAATTTTTCAATTACATGCCGTTTTGGCCAGATACAAAATTGAATGAACCGGGGGGTAACCTTAGCCTATTCCTGGCAGACACTAAAAGCACTAAATGCAGTTCCAAGACCCTGGATGCTTTTGGTTAGATTCTCTGATCGCAATTGCTATTGTGGGTTGACATGCTCTTCTTTTCCTGCTTCATCTTCCTCCATCCTCTGGATCATCTGCTTCAACGAGTGCATGCATGGCTAGTGAATGAAAGTCAACCTCATTGTTTTCCCAATCCAAGATTCGTGATTGTGCAGTGGATGTAGCACTCAAGGCATGCGGACGTTTATCATCTGGATCACCTTTTATCTTGGCTCATTCCAGGGCGCGCCTGTAGCACGTTTTCTGGCATGTGTTGAATAGGAAATTGATGAGAAAAGCTTGAATAGGTCAAGATTCCCTGTTGACCTCGCTCAGAGGATCCCACTAACGCGTTCTGGTTCGAGTGACAGGCTGGAACTTACGATTCTGTTAGGATTATGGTTGTTGGGAAGGCTAGCCTCTCGGGACTGTGGAGATGACAACTGGCCGATCTGATGTCAGTCAGGCTAGTATTTCTGCAGCAATTAAGCAGGTCTAGAACGATGAACCTAAACCTCGTCAATATTTTCCAGATTAATAACAGGTGAAATTAGGCCTGGTAGGGTCGGAAGCAGGGAGCGTGAAACGGAAAAAGTCGTATTATACATTTATCGTCGATGACGGAACACGTCTAACTCTATATAATGGGTAGCGTGAGAAAGCAGCCAAAGTTGCTAGCCCCGTCGAGGGGACAAAATACTTCAATAACTAAGCCAGACCAACAAAAGCAACTAGCAGCGCGCTCAAAGCAAGGATGCCTCCAGTTGAAGGGAGAATGTTTGCTGCTCCACTAGTCCGCGAGGGAGTCGAAAAAGGTGCCGAACTACTGTGACCACTAGGGGAGGATCCCGTAATTGTAGCATTGCTCGTTGACAGGATTGAGTTAACCTTCGTCCAGAGCTCACAGCCCTTGAAATCAATAGTGCCAGGCACGGAAGTCTTATCGATGATCACGCCAGGAGTGACGGAAAGATTCTTCGAAGGCTTGAACTTCGGCCAAGAGATTTCCTTAGTCGATGGATCGGCATTCTCGGCCATAGCAGTCCATGCATCCATCATCTGCTCGCTGGGAGCGTACTCAGCGGACGTGGGGTTGCAATCCCCGCCAGCCAGGTAACTGTTGTCCAGATTTCCAAAGACATAGGCAATCTCAGAAGTGTGACTGCCGCCAAACACGGAAATCAATTTCTGGCTGATGGTGGGTAGCCAAGTGCAACTAGGGGAGTGTTTGAACTCGTATGTCCATGAGGAGATGTCCTTACGTGCTGCTTGCATCGCGCCGTACCATGCCGGACACTTGTACGTGGAGTCGGTTACAACCTTTGACATCGCAAAGAGAATCGCAAGGGAAGTCGTGTTGTATCCAGGGAGCTCGCCGCTCGCAGCGATAGGTTTGGCGAATGCTTCAAAATCCGACGGTCGGTAGTACTTCTCGACAAGCCAGGCGGCCGGACCAAAGTCTCGACGGAGGAAGTCCTTGTACAATGATGGCGTGGGGACGATCTTCTTCTGAAGATTCGTGGCAGCCCACGAAGCAGCATACACGGTAGCTTCGTTTTCGTCTGCAGATAATTATTGGTTAGCCATGTTATCATGAAACCATATCAAGAGTGTTGCTGGGCTTACTGAATCCGAACACGGTCGGGACATTGACACCGGTGTCGCGGGGGTCCTTTGTGATAAAATTGCCATCCACATAGGGATAGAAAGTATGGGTGTTTGGACCAGTTACCCCCAGAGCGTCGTAATTTCCTACTCCTCGGCCGAGGAAATCATCATGAGTGTATGCACTTCTCAAGTCGGAAATAGAGCGACACTGCAGGCAGGATTTCTTTACACAAGATTAGCATTGGCCTCCGCTCAAAGGGCTATAAGCATGTCGACATACATCGCTCGAGTCACACTTTAGTGCTTGGGCATATGACGCCCCAACACTCTGCTGGGTCGCATTTAAGACCAAACTTCGACCACCGCCTGATTCCGAGATGATACTGTTGACCAGCGATGATGCTTGCGGAAGGGACCCGACTATGTACGCGTTCTCAGCACCGGCTGATTGTCCGAAAAGAAGCACCTTTTTCTGCAATGACGACTCTTGTTAGGTCTTCCATCCTATGTCTTGTACAGCACATAGAGTGGAGCGAATGTTTCACATACCGGGTCGCCGCCAAAGGCTTCAATATTATCCTAAACCCACTCCAGCCCAAGAACAATATCTTGGATTCCCTGGTTACCATAGATCCCAGCTCTTTCTAAGGCCATGAACCCAAGTGGTCCCAGTCGATAGTTGACTGTCACTAGTATCGAGTCGGAACTCGCTGTGTTGCAACCATCGTAGAGAGGGTCCGAAATGGAACCTTCCGTTTCGGAACCACCGTAGATCCACACTTTCACTGGAAGCTTCGAGTCTTCCTTTGCGTTCGATGGAGCCCAAACATCCAAGTAAAGTCTTCAAGAGTGAAATTAGGCAAAAGTCCAAATTTAAATCTGATGTCCTCACATACCAGTCTTCTGATGAGAGCTTGGAGGAGTTCAACTTGGTCGGAGTGAATTCATCCGAGAACTGAATACAGGTTGGAGCAGAGGTCGTGGCATCGAGCTTGCCCTGTGGAAACATTTTCTTGTAGGCCTTCGGGGCCTCGAATCGAAGTTCTCCAATCGGGGGTTCGGCAAATGGAATTGCCTTATAGTAAACTGCACCTTGGTTTCCTTGGCATTTTCCACCATGCAGTGTGCCAGCATCGATCGTAACCGAAGAAGAAAGTGCTACGGCAGCGAATGCCGGGAGAAGAGCTGTCGAATGCAGCTTCATGGTGATTAGGATAAAGGTTGAGGAAGAGACTGGCTGGTTACTAAAAGGATCGCCGGTGCGAAGGCCCTGATTTTATATCATTTGTAGATCATATTAAACAATGCCTGGCTCAGACCTAGTCTTGCCCATTTAGGCATATGCAAGATAGCGTTCGGAGCCACGCAAACTTCACCCGAACGCCCTCACAAGCTCACAGCCTTGCCGGATAGATGGTGGATCTGTACTAAACCTTTTCAAGCGTATAATGCGAGGGCCAATAAGATTCGAGCTTCCGGTGAATTCTGGAGATTTGTCGTCTGGGGCGCAGGGGTGGGGGCCACGGAATGGAGAATAAAATTATACACCCTATGTTATTGACGCCATTTCAGCCTTCCAGAAGGCCTTTTTGACGATTTTATTTGATTATTTCTTATTGCCCAAATTCTCTCCTTTGAAAAAATTATAAAAGAAGGACGAGGCTGAATTGCTGCGTCATCGCCTAATATTCATCATTAGCGAGAGATAATCGAACTTGAGTAGAAGTGGGTGATTGATATATCTGGAGCCCTATGAAACTCTGGTTGGAATGTGGTGTTCTTTGAAGCTTTTCTCACAGATAAAATTCGATATAAGAAGGTTTCAGGTACATACTGTCTGTACCGGTTGTGGGCTTTGAGATGTAGATTGGATCCGTATTTAATATCCCGGAAAAGGAATACACTACTTTAAGAGTAAACAGTGTGACGGTGTGAACAGCATCCTCTTTGCAACAAGAAGGCCTAATTGAGTGACTAGCACTAACCAATTACCTGCAAACATAAAGGCGGAGTCCAGCAGATATACGTTCCAGATAGCGTTTTGGAAGAATATATCACCAAATCATCAAACTACATGGCTTTTTGTCCTATTTCCAACCATATTAGCCACTGCTCGAGTAGAGTTATCTACTTGTCTATCTTCATAGTGAGACAAAGCCGACTACGAAGTTGTGTCATACATATATCGTGTCGGGGATCCACGTATACATTGGCTTTACGAAAGGTCTATGATAATGCCATAGCCGTAATCCCAGGCTTCAATGTAATCCTTGAAGCACAATCTCTCACCATGTGCTGTAGACGAACCAAGAGCCAGGTGTAGAGCTTATAAATGAAGAAATTAATCGGATTGATAATTATATTGATGAGCAAGCTGATCAGCTAACCAGCGTTGAAGAAGGTCTTTGTATTTTCCATTCCACGTTATCCTAATGGCAAATTTCGTGCAGTATTTCGCTTTTGTCATGAAGTATTCAACTTGTACGGAGACCTCTGCGAGATTTGCCTTTAGTAAAAGTTTCGCGGATTGCCTAAGCCGTTCGGGTCATCCACATATATTACTCATGCTCCTGATCGGTGGAATGGACACCAATGATTTACTAGGTCAAAAAATCTCAAACCAGAGATAACTCACACTGGTGATCTTTTTATCTGGGATCCATCTCAACATGGCACTCAGTAACCAAACTGTCATTGTCTGAGTGTATTGAGCGTATACAAGATCCAATGTATTTTCAACCGTGCTTCTTTGTTTAGCTTTGACAGTTCAGCTATCATCTAGAAGAAGCAATCAAAGACACTCAAAACATCAGCTGCGTAGGCCTGCCGCAAAATGGAGCGCTAGAATGTGCTGAGCGGCCAAGAAGTCCAACTAATAGACAATATTGTACACAAGATTGACCCGATCTGGGAAATAAAACTTCAGCACTACTCAGATATACCCAAATGGAGAGTTTAGAAAATTCCACAACATCTGCGCCAACTCTCCTAATGAGTGGGATGAATCAGTATGCGTGGGAAGGTGTATCTGCCGGTGGACAGCGATTGGTCTGGCTCAGAAGTGCCCTTCCGAATTACTCCTTCCCCTAAATATGTATGTGTTCCAGCTCCATCCCTTTGATAAGATTGGTGTAGATATGGGCTCTGGCTTCACCTCCGTTCATTTTAATTGTGCAATGACAGCCATCAGAAAACGTCCATTTTGTTCGAGAGTCTGTAGTAGTTTCATGCATCGAGGCCCCAAGAAACTGTTAGAATACTAGACCTATAACTTATGGTAAAACGAAGATATTTTAGCAAAGTACATACATGATACGAACTCTGGTTTTCCCAAGTCGTCCAGCACACGCGTGTGCCATATGCTCGGTGACACCTTTCAGGGCAGTCTCGTCCACTTCGTAATAATTCGCGTCGTCAGGAAGCCTACTTAGTGCTTTGGGTGACCAAGTTACGTCAATTTCTCCAATAAATCCTCTCTGAGAGCGGCAAGGCAGGTGATTGGGAAAGGACATGGTTAAGGTTGTATAGGTGACTAGCACTACCAGGCGGTTTCGAAAGAAGGACTTCTGGTGAGGCACAAGTGCAAAGTTATCAAAAAGAAAAGCCTGGTTGTAACTACAAGGAGACAAGGTGTCGGCTGAATAGGAAGAAAAGGCATGTCCAAATAGGGAGCAACTCTGGTGCCAGAGGTGTTTAGATCGCAGGCCATACATTGAATAACCGGAAAGCCCCATGAATAGGACACTGGGTCAAAACATAGTGGAATCTGCCATATACCAAACAACCGGAAGGTTCCATTGATAGGCCACCGGATCAAGGAAGATAAGGAGCCTTCCGGGTATTCAAATCTACAAAATATCAGGTCTAAGATTTGCAGAAGAAACCCTCTGCCGGTATACATACCCCTCTGGCTACCAGCACATCCCATGTGACCATTTGGCTTAGTCAACCGCCCGTCCTGGCAGTTCAGCGTAGGGATGCTCGTTTCTAGGCAGGACCTTACCACAGTAGCCCTACGATGTGCAGTATTTACTCTATAGACAGACCTCATTCTTAACTGCGTGGCGTTCGTAGTCCGTGGTCTGTAATCTAGGGCTGAAGGTGCGAGATCCCCTACATGTAGTATATAGTCCTATATGGGTGTACTGTCCCAGATGATAGATACCATATAACTGTATTTGAATGCTAAAAACTTTACGTTCTGAAATTTTGAGATCGCCATCTATCTCCTCGATAATCATTAGGATTGTGAAGCAGGCTGACCGTAGGAATGGGAGGTGCAGACACCCCCCCTCCGCTCCTGACCTCCACGTGACCAGATTGCTTATTCAGCTACCGGTGCCGGCGCTGCGCAATGAGAGCTTACCATCTATATTTCTACGTTGCGTTATATTTACATTTCAAGATAAGATAGGATTATAATAATTGTCACTATAAAGGCAGAGAACGTATTTTATCGATTAATATACGCGTATACGGAAACGTGAAAGGTCCGAGTACGTTTCCGGCTTAGTCTACGCTTTTTCCGCTGATTCGCTGGTCCCCGCGAGTCCATATAGATTTAAAAGAACAATACTTATAGTTATACTGTATCGATTTTCGGCACATAAATATAGTTATATGTTATTAGGTAGCGTATTTATATATGTTAGTATAATCTCGTCTCGCGCGTAATATCACCTGAGACGCTGTTGGATTCGCAGCGGGTGAGCTCGCCCCTAATTTGTATGGCACTATATAATATATGTGTGACGACTGACGAAGGTACTATACAGAGCGATGCGCAGTCAAGTCTGGGGACTTGGTATTCTAGTCTTTTAAAAGCGAGAAGCGCACCTGCCACCGACCGTGACAATATGGCGGGTTGGATAATGGAATCCCTACGGGATTCCATATTAGATGTTTTGTCTCATGGGAGAGTAGACTATCTATTACTTTCTTAAAATTAATAACTATATGAATGTAGACCCAAAGGTCTAACTACTAAACTCTAGATCACGGACTCTGCGAGGTTGAAAACGAGGTCCCATCACGTGGGGTGTGTCAGGAGCGGAGGGGGTTGTCTGTAGCAGCTCCCCGTAGTAATGGGGTAATGGTGGTGATTACTGCAGGGCAGCGGAGTGGCTTACCTGGACAATACATCTCCGGTCTATTCGCACAACAATTAGCAACAAAGAAGGCGGTCTACTTTACTAATACAACATCATATACCACAGCTTTCTTGGAGATTCGGGATTATGCTGGGTTCTCTAGGGATTGCTAGGATCATTACCTATTAGATTGGGGTCTATCTCTTTGATTACTTTTCTATCGAGGTGATTAGAGTTAACAGTATATATATAAGTATATAAAAGAAGTATTTATATTAAAGAGTAATAAGTCGGCCGGTATAGGGTTTCTTGCATAATCAAAGAAAACTGCAGAGTCAGGGATTTTGTAGGAAGCACGACCGCATACATAATAGTGAAAACGAAGTACAGACAATGAACCGAAAACAATATGGAATGGGTGGGGCCTCATTCGTGAATTCACGGGCAATCCCGACTAAACCATGATAACTTCAGCACATGAAAGCGGGCTTTTCCTGTGGTTCCCGGTACATTGCTCATTATATCTGTGCTGATTAAGCACACGGACTGGGCATATATTAACCTACGAGCAACCCACCCTGTAGAAGTCTTCATGTGCAACATCCTTTGTTGTCTTTGCACTCGGACGCACAATATACTGCTCAGACAATCTCATAGGTTTCATCTGACATACTCAAACAATCTTGAAACACGCCTAGCCTCGAAGCAGCAGGGTGGCGTGTCGATATGGTCGAATATACAGGAGTACCTCAGTGCTCCAGCCAAGATGGCACAGAGGGCTTCGACGATTCTGTGGGTAACGAAGACAATCAAGATGACTTGGAAGAGAGTGCTCTGGACGAAATGACGGGGGTACCGGTATACACCAACCAAGATGGCACGGAAGACTTCGGCGATTTTGTGAGTAACGACGATGAGGAAATGGATCTGGAATGGATTGCCGAGCCTTGGGACCAGTACGATAAAAAACGCACCCCACATGTCTTTTACCCCGTCCGCCTTGGAGACCTGATTAACGAGAGATACTTGGTAGAGCATAAACTTGGGCATGGCGGCTTCTCAACTGTGTGGATGGCCCATGACCTACGAGATAACAGGGATGTTGCCCTCAAGATTATGCTTGCGGGGGACTCAGGAGACGATGAAATTCGCATACAGGACGAAATTGTTCACAATGTGCGGGATGTCTCGCATTTGATCACGTATTTGGATACCTTTCTACTGCCAGGAGACGGGTGTCAACATAGGGCTCAAGTTTTTCCCTTGGTGGGTCCATATATTTGTTACACAACTGTGATAGAGCTCTCTATGGCCAGTCGCATGTCCGCTGCTCGGCAATTGCTAGAGGCATTGGAAAACTTGCATGAAGCAGGAATAGTCCACCGAGGTAAGTAAGACCCCACTCCCACTAACTTTTGTATTCATTTACTAATCTTTATTTTATAGATCTCAATGAGAGAAACTGTATGTGGGGTATGACTCCTCTTCACACCCTCAGCAGGACTGCAAAGTACGAGGTACTTGGTCGACCTTTGAAGGAATCTATACCATTTGTCAATCTCTGGAAACAAGGCGAGCTTGTTATGCCCGTCGAAATTTCTGAGAAATTGCGCACAGAGGAGTTCTATCTCGGTGACTTTGGTCTAGCAAAAAGAGTTAACGACCTGGCGACTCCACGCGGCTTTCCACCAATGCAGTTTTGCTCCCCTGATCGCCTGCATGGGAAAGTCCCAACTTTTGCCTGCGACATGTGGAGTTACATGGTTCTCTTTTCACGGCTTTACTGTGGCCATGTGCCGTTTTCTCCTGCTTTCAAAAGTGGATTAATCGGTGATTTTGTGAATTCCCTGGGTCCACTTCCCGAGGAGTGGAAGGGTCTTTACACTCAACCCGGAAGCCAAGATTCCTGGTATGACCAGAACCAAACACCCGATCCAAAATGGAGCCTTGAATCGAATATTGCAGGTCTTTGTCCTGACGCTGATCCTATTGAGCTAAGTCATGTGAATTCCATTATGTCTCGTGTATTTACTTATGACCCGGAGAAGCGTCTAACCGCAACTCAGCTTTTGCGAGACCCTTCATTCAGAGCTATCATGGAAAACTACGGTTGTTAATACCAAGTTATTTGTGGTGTCATTCCCTCCTTTTTTAGTTCGATGATTATGTGGCGTGGTCTCGTTTCCCGTTTTGTTTATCCCAAAATTGGAAGCCTAACCTTTTGTCTTTTTTGAATGTGAATCAACGCGATATTTCCTTGTTTAAGAAAGCTATTCCAAGTCTCCGATATATCCATGGCCAAGGCCAAGCGTATCCCATAAACTAGTAGAACTAAATTTGCCCCCGGCAGAAATCACCGCTCCTTCATTGACTATTTTATCGCCGACTGAATGATGTAATGATTGTGACGATTAGACATCGAATAGGTAGGCAGTCTAAAGGTTCTGAACTCTTCCACAAAACAAATAAAACAGGAATTTCTCAAAGGTGGACTGTTCTCAATTTGAAGACTAGACTGCAGAGTTCCTGCTGGCCACCAATGTACATTTTAAGAGGCAATTATTGTTGCCGTTTGGATGCCTGAGGCAAGTTGCCAAGCATTTCGACGTTTCCCTTCCCCTTCAAGTCACATCTTAGAATTGCAACCACCATCGATGATTAATATTATTTACTAGTAAGAGCTCTCCTCAATAAATGTAAATCGCTAAAACGCTAGAAACTTTCGGCCAGGTAGCCGAGCCACAGCTCGACATCTTTTACACTGTAGCCCATGTATCCACACCGTCCCAAACATTCCGATCAAGCCTCACTAACTCTATACTAAATTAATCATGATATAGATGACTAGGCTGGAATCTGTTCACCGTGTCTTATTCTGCACCCATTGGTACTCAAAAATCATACTTTTGATCGCTTCCATTTCTATCAATGTGGTGGGTGGCATTAGATCCGTGCGTTATGACCGCACCCGCACTGTGGAATGACCAGCGGGCGAGGGGTTCCTCGAAAGTCACCAACTCGATGTAGTGTTGGAGCCAGTGGAGCACGGTTCATACTCGGTCGCTGGTAATCTGCAGCCCCCTCGGCCCCCGAAACGGCAATCGGACACCATTCCGACTCTTCATATGTCGGTAACCTCTCGTGGTATATCTCGCTTGATTCGGGATACCCGTGCGAAGCACTTGACTCAATGGTTATATGGTTCGCTTTCTCATCGACGGGGTATGGCGGCCCGAGGTAACGGCTTTGCTGTGGGTGGTATTCATTGGATATAGACGGTAACTCGGCATAGTCTCTGTGCAGGGATGTTTCGTTTGCTGCCGGGAGCTCTGCGCAAGGTTGATGTATCGACAGTTCATTTGACGCTGGGAGCTCTGCGTGCCCTTCTTGAATAAGGCCTCTGGCAGTTTCCTCGTCCGCGAGAGCATAGTCATTGGTGTAGTGTGCAGGGATATCAGGTGTGGATGAACGAGAAGTATAGGTTGAGCTCTTACTTTGAGCGCGGTGGTCCCGGGCGGCTTGGATAGCGTCAGAAACCAGGCGCCCGCCTGAGCGAATGAGTTTGACGACGAGTTTTCCCATGTTTGTGAGGTAAGTTTGATGGGTGGATGAGTTGTTGAGAGAGTTCTGGGAGTTGACAGGTCTTATAATCTGGACGTATTCTAAGAATAACTGCCTCCTTTAGTCCTTCAGGCTTCAAGGCACACTCCTCTCAGGGATCTGCCTGATGGACCAATCGCAACTCCGACTTAATCGGGTTTAGCGTGGACAGGCTAAGCTCTGGACCCACCCGGGCGGGCTGGAGTTTCCGCAGGGATGGGGCGGTTGTCGCATATCCATTTACGGAGTATGGAGTAATGGCTCACAAGGAACTGCCATATATAAATTATCAACGTAGTCTAAGTATAGCCTATTCAATATATATGAACTACTTACCAGTAACCATATTATAATAGATAAAATAGTAGACTCAACAATAGATTCAACAATATACTCCAACGGTGCCTATCGGCGGCGTGTTGGTCAAGATCCGGAATGGAAAAACAGAAACCGGGAGATAGAATAATACCTACACCGGAGTACACCGGAGTAGTTGAATGAGGGGCAGAAAGTGGAGCGTCTCTCGAGGTCGGTGGAGCTAGTTAACCAATTAAAATTACTACAATGGCTTAATCTTTGCGAGACCTGATTGTCAAATTATATACCTAGGGATTCGTTATGAGGCAGAGTCCATGAGGACATCGTTCAATGCAAATATCCGGATATTGTAATACTCCAAGTTTCATAATACAGCGCAACCATAGAGAACACGAGTAAACCAACCCATCCCTCCATGGCCCAGGAATTTGAAAAACGAAAACAAAAACAAAAACAAAGTGAAGAAAACAGAACAAAGAACGCCATGAAGATTATCAAGCAATATCATTGGGAGGGACCGATTTCCATTCCTCCTTTCCCTCTCTCCGGACCTTCAACGTAAACCCGATGGCCAAGCAAACAATGACAACGCCGATCTCCTCCAGCACGGACATGAGTAGAGATGCGGTATTGTTCCCATCCAGAGCATTAAAGGTGGAGTTGGCGAGGAAGAAAATCAGCATGGCGTAAATGATGCGCACAAGCAGAAGAGGGGCCGAGATCGCTACGGCCAAAAGAGCACGGTCTTCGCCTTTGCCAATGGAGGACCGGCGCAAGTAAAGAATGGCTAGAAGCACACACAGACCAACCCAGCAGACGACGTACAAGATCATGCCGACCTTGACTCTCGCGTTCGGGTGCTCCATGCCTTCCACGCTCATGTCCGATGTAAGACCCGCGATTGTGAGGGCCAAGGCGACAATTGTGACGATCCGATACAATCCAAAGCCCCGTGGGTGAATTGCCGGAGAGGACATTGAGAGATTACTGATAGCCGTTAGAAATTATTATGTGAGTTTAAGAAGAAAAAGCTTACACTCTCGATAGTAGACCCGAGCATGTCATTAGGAGTGGAGACAGTCCGATGGAGCTGCAGATTGCAGCAGCAGTATAGATACCTGTGGAAGGGTTGTTGATGGTTGCCAACTCGCAGGCTGCGCCAACGACACGCACAATGGTGAAGATAACGAGGAAAATAAAACCACTGCTGGTGCGTATTCCATGACGAAAGACAAGAAAAGCTGCCACGAAGAAAGATGGCAGATAGGCAATCAATTGGAGGATAGCGAGGCCGTCGCGGTATGTAACAGAACCCATGATGGACGATGTCTTCGGTTGTTGTGTGTTGAGAAAAGGTTTTCACTGTAGTGGCTTCTTTGCGCTTACTTATACTTTTGCACCTTGAGATGTCAATCGATAGACCCCAAAGAGATTTGTTGTTGATGCTTGTATACTTCGACAAAGGCCAGCTCTGATTGGCCTTCGCAATCTCGACCGCATTAGGTTTAGTCCAGGAAATCTTAAGCCAGCCGCAGATTATCCCCCGTTGTCCGCACACCGGCAGTCCGCCACAGCCTCGTCTCAGCAGATCGGCAGTCTTTGCAACCTAGCTTAAACTCCAGGTCCACTCAGGCATCTTTTCATGACCCGTCCCAGAATCCCAGTGGCCCGCTTTGACCTTTCGGGCCACAAGGCTGTGAGATTTCGGCTGCTAGCCAGCTAATTGGCCCAGTGCGACAGCAGCACCGTCTGGTACTGGTCTGCTGGGGGCCTGTCGGCCTTGGCTACTAGCTAGTCGCTATGGGGCACAATGCCCATTCTATTAATCTAAGTAACTGATTGTCGTTAGGGTCGCAAACTTTCCCACGCGGCTAAATTCTCCAGTCCACCAAGCTTTCGAAAAATTCGCTCTTGGGGGCTGTTTGAGCCTTGCAATCACTGCAAGAGATTTGATACGTTCACTCCATGGGGCGCTTTCTCCTTTTGCGGGTACTTTTTACTTTGAATGATCGAAGAGGCTTGCTGAATCTACTGTAGGGAGCTGGACACGAGAGCGAAGATGGACCAATTCCTAAACTACAGACTATGGCCCCCAAACTGACCCACTCTGCGTGTGCCGCTGCGTCCAGCTCCGAAGATACACGTGTTTGTGCAACCGACCACACGGCTGACTTGGATTCAGGTTCAAGCTTCGAGGTCCAAAGTCTGGAAAAATCCTAATGAGCATGCCATGGGCTTGTCTGACCTTGGCGCGTTTCTTGTCTAAAAGGCCTTGGCTCCCTAGTCAATCGAAGACCGTGGGGCTAGTGTTGGCCTGTGAGCCCCAGAGTGACCGACTCCCTTCTTCAAAACTATTATTGACGACTCCACAACTTCGTGCTTCGACCTTGTTCAACGATGGTTTACGATGGCAGGCCGAGCAAGGGCTGTGGTAATTGCCGCTCGCGCAAGGTCCGATGCGACCAGACCCGGCCGACTTGTCGAGAATGTGCTCGACTCAATCTAGATTGCGTTGGATACCGCGATGAGCTGACGCTGATGTTCCGAGACGAAAGCGAGTCGGTTAAACGTAAATCGCGTTCTTCTAAGTCTTCTTCCTCAGCCTCCATGACAAGCTCTTCAAAACGTCAGGAGCGGCTACGACCAGGCCGTACTGTTTTATATCACAGGAATGCGGCATCATCATCGACCGGCGAATCATCTGCCTCGTTCGATGAAACAGTGCTCGACTTTGGGTCCGATCCTGATCCTCAATTTCTGACGCGCCAGCTTAGGCGGAGCCCTCTCGGAACACATCCCAATTCGGGAATGTCGAAGCAGGAGGCTATCTGCTTTTTTCTCCAGTCGCATGCCATCCCCGGTAGTTCTCTCATGACGGAATCTTTGACCACTTTCCTCATGCAGTCGGGCGGATCCTTGGGCCAGCAGGCTGTACAATCCAGTATTATAGCTGTTGCTAGTGCTATGCTTGCGCGCATCCGGAACGTCGGATCATTGAAACAGTTGGCGCGTCAGGAATATGGATCCGCGCTCAAACTGGTCAATCAGGCCCTTGCCAATGCTGACGAGGCCAAGACGAACCAGACGCTTGGCGCAGTAGTCTTTCTATCTTTATACGAAGTAAGCTTCTCCGCTCAATTATACTCAAAATCTATGATGCCAACAGTGATAGATTGTCGTATCAAGAGCCCCACAGAGTATCGAGGGGTGGACTAATCATATCGGCGGTGCTGCAGCTCTGCTAGAATACAGAGGGTTTGGCCAGCTTCGTAGCGAAGCCGGCATTCGGCTTTTTTTACATTTGAGATATCAGATTGTGCGTATCATTCTGCCCTCTGTATCACGGAAGCACGGTTAACCCGGTGACAGATCATCAGCTGTCTGCAGCGTGACGTTCGGGTACCCGGTACTCTACTGGAAACCACGAAGCTCGATCTCTTCCCACAACTGAAGGAAATCCTTGGCAATAAACTAATTCTAATTATCGGGAAATTGTCAAATCTCCGCGCGGACATTCACACAAGAGCAATCGACAACCCCCAGAAAATTCTCGCCGCCGCCTGTGCCATTGAAGCAGATCTTATCGCCTGGCTGGTTGCTTTGCCAGCGGACTTTACGTACAGCACACATACATTAATGCCCCTGGACCGCTCGTTCGAACGCCGATGTCACGGCCTGCGGCCCCTAAACAACGAGTATCATCTCTATCCCGACATTTGGGCGCCCAGTTGCTGGAACCACTACCGCTGCGCACGTATTATGGTCAGCGAGATCATACTATCACACACGCACCAGCTGTCTAGCAACCCTGCTGCCTATCTCTCCGAAGACTTCCGTCTACACTGCAAGACTCTGCGTTCGACCATCCGCCGCTTGGGCGTCGACATCTGTCGCAGTGTCCCTTTCCACCTTGGAGTCTTTAACGCAGAGGCCCTACCAGACACCCCTATCCTTCCTCGCGAGAGCTACATCGGTGGCCTCATGTTGCTCTGGCCACTGTTCATTGCCGGCATGGTCGAGGGCCCGACTCATCCTCAACGTCAGTGGGCAATACAGTGTCTTGATGTAATAGGACACTCATGGGGATTGGACCAGGCGCTGGCTATCATGGACCTTCTCAAAGTGGACCCGGGGATGTTTTGCTCGGCGGAGATATATGGTGAGGCGGCTGATCTGCCGGTTCAGTCGCCAGATGTGCTTCCTTTTTCGATCTTTCATATCCCGTATTATAAGCTCTCTGCTAAGAGGGAGTATCAATTGGTCCGTGCGTCCTCGACATGAGGATATTGGCTATATCTGGCTGGCGAAGTTCTATCAGTCTCTTGGCCTTCAGGTACTACTTTTATTTTAGTATGTCCAATATCAGAGCTGGACTACTGCCTTTAAGGCGACGAATTTATTTTCCAAATACCTTGTCTCGTAATAAACTGATATTCGTCAATGCCCTCGACACAACCACTGTCTCAAGCATGAATGGACAGAAATTCCCGGGGTTCATTTTGGCTTCGACGGTAATTTTCTAGGGACATTCTGGAAAACCTCGAGAGCGCTGCTTTCAATAAAGCCCTCTGCGACAAGCTTCTCAATATAATCGCGCCTCCTGGTTTGACAATTCAGGGCTTAGTTAATCTTAGCTAGGTTCTGTCGCACATGAAAATATTAAACATCACGTACCGATGGGTCAAATGCATTGGGGCTGTGATCTGGAGGCTGCACTGTAGTAGCGACTGACTCCAACCGATCTCGGGCAATGGTATCGGTCATTAGTTCGGGATCAGGAGTATCTTTTATAAATTGGCCGTTCACTTGCGCGAGAGGAATGACTTGGAATTTGCGGAGTTCCTCCTTGAAATTGTAGTTGCGTTCAAACTCGAGCCAGAATCCCTCGGCTACATTTCCAGTTACATGAATAACTTTCCCATGCTGTCCTTTGCCGCTCTCCGGAATGTAAACAGCATAATGGGCAGGCGATAGGCCGTTGGAGAAAACGGTGAGGTAGATGGTGCGAGACCTTGGGGTGTGGAGAATGAAGCGAGGAAGTGATCGTCGATCTATAAACTATGCAGGTACACGGGTATGAAGGTCTTCGGCTGAGTTCGATGATGGGAATGAGGACAGGAAGATTGCAATATAACCCGTCTTGCTGGCCTTGTCCTTTCGTGGCTGTCAAAGCCGCAACGTTGTAAGCGCCCAGTAGCGGCATGTGAGGCTGAGCATGTTAAGGCTGAGGACGATGATAGGTGTGCATTGTGATAGGTGGAATTCTGGGACCCGAGGTGTCCCTTGAAAAAGGACAATGTACAACGATGATTCGAGGCATAAGCGCCCAGATTGATTCTTCCTTTTTGGAGAATTGAAGTGGGACGATAGACTATTGGACATGTTGGAACTGGGTCTGAACGCTAGGAAGGTCTGGTCAGTACTTGACCTTATTCCCGTCACTGTGCCTTCGCGTACATCGCATCAGCCACGGCTTTCGATGCCTAGAGATCATGATCAAGACAGGATCTTGTTATGTAGTCTATAACTAGTTGAAAGCATGTACATAGAACCACGGAGTGTGGAGAACAGGGCATGCCGTCCGCTCAGTAGTTGGTTGGGTGGCCATCCTTCACCCTGTTCTACTGGATGTAGCTCATCACAGAAGATCCCTCCGCATGAAGATGGTCTTCGTATCCCACCTCTTTCCGTTCTTATCCTTGCCATCGTAATAGTTCTGTACAATCTTCAGAGATCTATAACCCCGCCTACTGTACCAATCCTGATTAGGTAGCTGCATATTTGTTAGTTTAAGCCAATGTTAAGCCAGCTGCGAATGATTAAGCCTACCTTCGGAACGCCTCCATAGGTAGCCAGAGCAAAGTCCTCTCTCACCTGATATCCTCTTTCGACGGTATCCAGCATTAAAGTCTTAGCGCATAGAGGCTCTTGGGCAGCGATCCTCTCAATCTCATCCATGGCTGCTCGCCCAATTCCTTTTCCCTGGAGGCTAGGTGGAATAAAGAGGGATTTAATCCAGAAGACATTCTCGGGCGGAATTTCGAGGTCCAGTTTCTCGGCCTTCTCGTTTTTCGAGTCTAAGGAGACATGTCCCACTGGGATGAACTCTGCTTTTGTTAGTTGGCGTGCTACTGCATTAATGGATACGGCCGTGTCCATCAACTGTTCGCACTCCTTGGCCACAGAGTCATTGGCAGCGAGGGCCTGTAATTTCCTGTTAAATCTTCTCTAGCTTCACACGCTAATGGAACATCAAATGCTAGGGTGTCTGTGTAAGTTGAACTCACAATCCAATAGATACACCTATCGCCTCGAATCTGTTCATCTCTCCATACCTCATGGACCATCTCCATGTCCCAAGAGCATTCCACGCGCTGTTTGAAGAGCAGTGTTTTATGAGGCTCGGAAAGCGGATCCCAAGGGATCAATTTCACTTCTGACTTGGAGCTCATTGTCGAGAATCAAACCTGTTGCGGAGGTAAAGAGTGAAACAATTGGCAGAAGGATTTAAAGTGACGGTGAGTTTAGAGGGTTTAGAATATAGGACAATGGTCGAGGAGAAGGGAAAGGGATTATATATTGCGACAGGTACGAAGATCGTGTGTCTGATAAGGTAGTTTCGTGTAAGAATGCATTTGTAATGGCCTTAATCACATGACTATTGTAAGATATGTGGACTAGGTGTTTACAGAAATTAATCTAAGGTAGCTTTAGACTGGTTAATAAAATTAGAAGACAGTCCAATCAAAACTAGCATACGCGGTATTTATTTTTGGGATGCGCTACAGACGCAGCCCCCTGGCTCCTGAACCCCGACCGTCACCGCGGGAGTATGCACTAAGAATAGGCCTTCACTACAGGGGTTGACCAGTAAAAATCAACAGTTAGGGGCCCGGTTTCCACCTGAAGATCTCCAGAGCGCCCGTCTACGGTGTAGGCCCACTGGCCCAGTAGGTCAAAAGCCATACTGAAGTGCTTGGAAATGGCTAACAGAGGATCTGTAGACTATTGAAATAAGGCGATTCGCGATAAGAGTACATCGTACAGATACAGCGTGTTACGAGTCTTTGTACCATGAGGGAGTGTGTTGCCGCGGGAATATGACCCGAGGATAATGTATCTCTTCACTAGACGGACATCTCAATGGGCGGGTGGAAATGCACAATTGCGGATCGAAGGAAAATGTCTGGAAGCAGGGTTTCATACCGTATTATCCGCCCGTGTTATGGATTCTTATGTTCTATCCCCGATTCATGGATCGCACAGCATTACTCCGTAGCATTGCTGAAGCCGAGCCCCACAATCGCAAGTGCGTGATTATTGTGTCAAGTTAAAGTGTCGTACCCACAACCCATAGCCTAGACGAACTGTATCGCCAGATGTTATCGGTTCCCGGACCGACGAGTCGTACCTCGCGAGTCGTAACATGCTTTGCCGCCTTTCTTGCCACTAATTGGTCTGAAATTTTACTGATGAGTTGTAGACAACGATTCGTATCACTAGTTGCTGAACTCATTTTCCATAATACTTCCAGTTAAAGCACCAATTTGAAGATCCACTGGAAACAACATCATAGAGATCAACCAAATTACTAACCACCTTCATATTGACCGGGTTGAATAAGCTTTTTGATTCAATAGACTCTGAAATCTGGATCCATGAACGAGAGTTGAACACTCCTTTCTAATTCGTTGCCACGGCGCGGACGATGGTGTGTAGGTACTGGCCACACTATTATTACTTGTCATTGTGGGTTGCTACTTCGATTACTTGTCAATTATCTCATATTAATGGATCATCGGAAACTGGAAAACGTTCGCTCAGGCCTTGGACATTTGCCAAAGAATCACGCTACATTATCCACCTCGCCATACCGATGGCTTGGTTGAAATGTAGGTAAATATGCTCGAAGCAGGAACATTCTACTACATCAGATTTCATTCCCATGTCATGGAGAACGTATATTTCTGCAATACGTCAAGTGTATGGGCAGCTACTCTGGGTAGTATTGGTCAGAGTGGTTCGATGGAATTCCCCAGGAATGGCTCGCCCGAGATCACCATCTTGTTTCAGAAGCACCGAAAGGCTCAAGCCACTGGACCTCATAACAGAAGGCCAGATAACTCCCGGCTATGATAAGGATGTCCTTCTGGGTCTGCAAAAGTACACCAAGGTTTCGCTCTGAAGTTTGATCGAGGGCACCTTCTTACATCTACCTTCTGAGTCCTCGTACGTTTTGTTTTACATTCTCTGCTTGGTGAGCATCCGTCACCTATGCTCACCACTCTCACTTAAAACTAGTCAATACTGTAAGTTGGTACAGTTTATCCTAGGTACGGGGTATTCTGCGAGCGCCACAGATCCCTATTCATCTGATCTCTATACCGGGAACCGTGATACTTACGAACTCGATTGAACAAGGATAGAATAGAAAATTCTGGTGTATCATATAGATCAATTGATACTAATCGTCTTACCCTGATTGTGCGATCGTTAAACGGCGATCAACTGGCCCTTCACTAGGATAAGAGTCAATAAACTGTCTAAATATCCTCCCCAATGCTAATGTCACATTATCCACGATCTAATTTCGTTCGATCTCCTTAGTTGCAAACACCTGGTTAACAATCAAGACATATTCTATAGACAACAGAATATAAGAATTATTAGACACATACACTAGAACTTAGAGCTAGCAGGGTCTGGCCGACGCCGGGTACTATTTCCGTTACTGTGCCTTAGCGCACACCTCAACAGGCACGTATATCGAACTAGTCCCTGTTCCGCTCCCGCTCTTGGAACAAAAAGCTTCTATCTTAAATATCCCAGAAACATGCGTAAAATGCCTCGCCGCTGAGTGATGATACTTGTATCATCCAGTGACCAAGTCTAGCATAATCACCGCGATTCGTCGGTCAAAGAAAAAGGAATGCAAATGAAAATGAAGGAATATCGTAGGAAACCGCCACTAGTTTAACAACCCAGAGCTGATGCATAGTATTCCCATGGGTCCGCCGTGCTCTCGTATTGATCTAGAATCATTGGTAAATATTTCTCTGACCACTCTTGACTATCAACGGTGTACTGTGCTTTGCGGGCCTCCCAGTAGTCAGGCAGCCAGCCAGACTGTTCCCAGTCAACGATGGCAACGACATGATATGGCTGAGAAGGTGATATAATAACGTTGCTGCGATGTAGATCGCCGTGGGTGAACTTGATAGAGCTATTGTCAGATAGCTCATGACGGAATGGTTCAATTGGAACAGAGTAAGGATCGAGCATTGGTCGACGGGCGAGGAACGTGAACCACTCATGAAACTCATGCACAGAAGCGAAAGGTCCGGCCTCCGGTTGAAAATTAGCTGGAAATATTCTGTCGTAAAAAGATGACCGCGTAATGTTCCCTGGGCAGGACTTAGCTACACGATGAAAACTCCTTAGAAACACGAGGAGAGAGGTATCAGTGGGGTACAAACCTATGAACATGTCTAAAGGGTCTTATTCAAGTTGCCGGATATTGTCGAATGTTGTCCGGAGCTGATGGCAGACTGACTCGCGTTCGATGTGTTCCAGTGAGTCCCAGGCTTTCTCTAGGTTTTGCCCCCGCACATATTGCATGTAAATGAATTTCTCGTCCCCGTCTGTGCGCCATCCGTACACTTCAGGAACTGGTACGCGACCTTTTAGGGAACGGTGAACAGCATAGGCAGACTGGGCCTCTGGCAGTCCCACCTCAACTCCCCATTTGACAACCAGGCCCATATTCTCAAACAACGCGGGTGGTGGTCTCATATGGCGCCCGCCGTATAAGAGGGACTTGCGCTTGCCCAGACTGGCCCCTGAAGCCCACTGTCTTTTCGCCAGTCCCCGAACTTCGCTAGGCGAAGGTAGCTCGCTCCAGTTGTTGAAGAATGAGGAGTCCTTGGCGTCAAAGTTGGACACATCAGGGATCATCGATGGTGTCAGCCGGACTGGCCGATCAACTCGGTTCTTGGGCCGACCAGCAGGTTGTGGATGAAATCCGTCCATGATATCGTGTAACGAAAGAACACCACTGCAACGAATCTCAGCAACAAGTAATTGAGCAAAACAATCAAATAGTTTCGAGAAAGCTACGCGTCGGGGTTGTCCTGGTGCCTAGAAGTCATGTGACGCTGGCTCTGGATCATATGACCAAGCATCAACTCGAAGCCCGGCTGACAGCAACAGTCTTCAAGATATAGATTTGGGGCTGATAATCAATGGAGTGGAGATATCGACATTAAATGTGTTTGATTATTGAGTATCTCCTCGAGAGCAGCCAAGTTTGAGATATCTCGATATCATAAATATCAGCCTCGACCACAATGTTTCCATACCTGTAGTAATTACTCAATGCATAAATTTATAAGACAGTATGGTCGGTCCCCTTTTCGGCTTGGAAAGGTGACCCATTAAAACCAATAAGGTAGGTAAACTACGTATACTAGTGGGCGATTACATTGCGCACTTCTCGACTGAACTTGGCAAGGTGCGAGGTAAAGGTTGACATTCGATATCTAGGACTACCTTAGATATCATCTTTCCACCTGTACGCCGTAGAGCAGGAGGAATATTTAGCAGCCATATCATATATATAAAAAAGATAAAAAAAAGAAAAACATACAACAGCCGGGATTCGCTGGTGGTCACCCACCCAACTACTAACCGGCCGGCGTGTGGCTTAAGTATGGCTGAGCGGACGGGAAGCCCTGTTCTCCACACCCTGTGGTCGTATGTGCTTATTACCATTTAGGTTTGGTATATATTGGGATTTGGATATAGAGGTTGAATTTGAAACTTTTGATTGACTAGTTCAGTTAGCCAGGACATCTAGTTGTGTATAACTCAGAAGAAGAAGTAAACGCTTAGGAAAATCTGAGAGACAACTCGTGCACTTGACTGCAAATACAGTTATCCAGGGGATAGCATGTTGATATCAGCCTACATGCCTGGGGCAATACGCCAAGCATTCGTGTCTGTTCAACCTTGGAGCTATTCGTTTTCGAAAACTATGATCAGCGTTCTTTGAGTCAGCTAAAGATTTTTACATTCCATGATATCTCCGTACAGATATTCACAAGGTGTATTAAATGACTTTTACCCACAGATAAGCTTTACCGAGCCCGGATACAACCTGAGAAAACAATCAAATATATATCATGGGCTTCCGCACTCTTAAAAACAAGTCGGTGTTGGTCCCGAGGAGTAGGATTGACCATAGAATAATCAGTAGACGCCCAAAAGACTGAAACATCATTGAATGATTTCTTTGATTTTTCTCTGTAGAAACGAAAGATGTTTTTCATGGCATTCCCTCTATAAAAGGGCCATGTAAAGGGTCGGCGGCGGCGAAAGGCTTGGCAGCTGGCACCTCAGACACCAAGAATGCCAACACCATCGACTGCTCCGTGAAATAGTAGATGATATATCAGGTGAGTATTGAGATCCTGCTGCACCCAAAGAAAAGCTAAACTCCGGAGAGCCTGGTGACCATCTCATTTAGCCGAGAACCCTTGAAATACCAGTTTTACCACCAATCGGCTTGTATAGCGTCATGCTTTTCTCCGACCCAACACGCTAACAATGTGCGGGGGTGAGTGTCCCTTGCGAATAACCTCCGTTGAAAAGGCGAAGAATCCAATGAGCGGCTAAAACGGTCCGGAAGCCGGTGTAATTGCATGATGTGAGTATTATGGCCTGTTTTTACGGACTTCATAAAGTGGCCAGGTCGCCCCAAATACATCACGCTTGAATGACATACTATTTCTCGTCATGAAAGACTTGCTACAACGGCTGACGGTGGCCGTGTATGCTACCACCGGTGCTGTCGCAGCGACTGCAAAGCATGCGTATCAATTCAATTCGGTGGCAATCACAGGAGGAGGATATATCACGGGTATCGTGGGACATCCCACGGAGAAGAACCTCCTCTATGCGCGGACAGATATCGGTAGCACTTATCGCTGGTCTCAAGAGGCGAACAAATGGATTCCGTTGACCGATTTTCTTGGTCCAGAGGACGAGAACCTCATGGGCACGGAGAGCGTTGCCATGGACCCCATGAATCCTGATCGCCTTTATCTGGCACAAGGCCGATATTTGAACTCCAACCAAACGGCGATTTTTGTGTCGGATGATCGGGGCGCGAGTTTTACACGGCATGAGGCGCCATTCGCAATGGGCGCGAACGAGCTGGGTCGGAATAACGGCGAGCGGTTGGCTGTGAATCCGTTCAAGACGAATGAGCTCTGGATGGGAACCCGCAATGCGGGATTGATGAAGAGTGTCGATCGAGCGAGGACATGGACAAATGTTACCAGTTTTCCGGACACGGCTACCAACGGCATTGGAGTTACTTTTGTGATATTTGATCCGGAAAACGAAGGGACTATTTACGCCGGGGCGTGTGTTCCCAGTGGGTTGTATGTCACCACGGACTCGGGAAAGACCTGGAACGCCTTGCCTGGACAGCCGAAAGCATGGGACAAGTCGCTACTCAATTATCCCAACGAGACACAGCCGCAGAGCACTGCACCGCAGCCGATGAAAGCAGTGCTCGCGTCGAACGGCGCCCTCTACGTGACTTATGCGGATGCTCCTGGTCCATGGGGAGTTGCATACGGAGCCGTGCACGTCTATAACACCACGTCCTCGAAATGGACTGACATCACCCCGTCCGCAAAGAATACTTCACCTGCGCCTTATACGCCCCAAGCCTTCCCTGCGGGTGGATATTGCGGCCTTAGCGTCGCTGTAGATGATCCCGACACCGTTGTCGTGGTCTCCCTTGATCGAGACCCCGGTCCGGCGCTTGATAGCATGTATCTCTCGCGTGACGGTGGTCGCACATGGAAGGACGTCTCCCAGCTGTCCACTCCATCCGGTAGCGGTGGGTATTGGGGACATCCGATTGAGGAGGCAGCTCTGGCAAACGGCACCACAGTCGAATGGCTGAGCTTCAACTGGGGCCCTCAATGGGGAGGTTACGGGGCTCCATCGCCTGTTAAAGGTCTGACCAAGTTCGGATGGTGGATGACGGCTGTGCTCATTGATCCCAGTGACTCGGGTCATGTCATGTACGCGACAGGCGCGACAATCTGGTCTACCGATAACATCTCACAGGCGGACAAAGACTCAGCGCCAGGATGGTACATTCAGGCACAAGGTATCGAAGAGACCGTGGCACTCGCTTTGATTAGTCCCCCGGCTGGCCCGGCAAATCTAATCAGTGGAGTGGGCGATATCAATGGATTTCGTCACGACAACCTCGACACTCCTCAGCCAATGATAGGACTGCCTGCCTTCTCAAACCTCAATACGCTCGACTGGGCTGGGAAGAAGCCCGAAATAATAGTTCGCGGTGGACCATCTGGTCACGAATATGAAGATGGCTGTGGACAAGCAGCATATTCCACAGATGGAGCTGACAGCTGGGTGAAGTTCGCAACTTGCATTCCGGGAGTGAACACCAGCAGCACAAACCCAGGTGTGATGGCCCTCGACGCTTCTGGAAAATTCGTGGTCTGGACCTCGGCCATGGCGGTTGTCTCCCCTACCCTGCAGAGTCCTAACGTCCCAGCCACCGACTCGGGGCCGTACTTGTCGCACGACTGGGGAAAAACCTGGAAATCGCCTCATGGACTATCAGTTCAGACGCCATACCTCAGCGCGGACCGTGTTAAGCCAAAGACCTTCTACGTGTTCACCGACAGTGTGTGGTATCTTAGTACTGACGGCGGGGTGTCATACAAGGCCTCGAAAGCGAAGGACGTTGGTCTCCCCAAACATGATGGCGCCGTTCCAGTGGTGAACCTGAACCGAGCCGGAGAGGTCTGGCTCGCTCTAGGAGACCAGGGAGTGTACCATACAAGCAACTTCGGACGTCGCTGGAAGCGCGTCACAGATCGAGGAACAGTGGCCGAGCTTATCACAGTTGGCGCGGGGGTGAAGAAGAACCAGCTTTCTTTGTTCATTCGCGGCCGTCCATCTCGCACTCCCAAGTCAGCGCACGGAATCTACCGCTCAGATGATGGAGGTGCGTCATGGGATCGCGTTGATGATGATACTCATCGGTATGGCGGGTTCAATCTCATCCAGGGCGACCCTAGAGTCTACGGACGGGTTTACTTGGGCACCGGTGGACGTGGTATTTTGTACGCGGATATTGCGCGTGGACGTTCTGACAAGGAAGGGAACGTGCCCGGAACAGGAGGAATCTAGAATATGAGTGCCATGATCCCTGGCCGGGCCTTGCTTGATTAAAGTTGAATTCTATCAACCATTGCCAAATGTACTGTTTGCATTTCATTTCCGTTTTCATAACTAGTGCAATGAGCTGGAAACTATTCAATGATGGCGTCATCGCCATATCGCTCTGCATACATCGATAGAGCCCGTATCGGGAAAGAATAGATGTAGTTGTGATACAGAAGCTCACTGCGATTCAGGTCAGTACTCTGCACACAAGCCGCGCATGGGAATAGCTGAACGAATAGGCGAACCTATACATACCATGTAACTATGCCGCTTCCTACTGCATTCTCCTGCTTCCACTCGCCATTTGCATTCTGGCGACTCATGATAAGCCGTATCCCTCTCCGGATAGGCTCTGGGTCTGGATAGCGAACATGCATTAGGGCCAGACAGATCCACGCAGTTTGTACAGTGTGCGACTGTGCTGCCTGCACGTAGGATTTGGTCATAATAGACTAGGTAGTCCAGCATTAGTCTTGCAGAATCGAATAGACAAGAGGTAGTATGGTCAAACTCACGTCGATCTTCTCCCCCCAGCCCCCGTCGGCCTGCTGCTTACCCAGTAGGAAGTTGCAACCTCGCTTGACGGAGTCATTATTTTCATACGTCAAACCAACGCAAGCTAGCGCTTCCATAGCAAAGAAAGCCCCGTATGTGTATGCAATACCCCAGGATGAAAGCCAGCTGCCGTCCAGACCCTGACGGCTTAGGATGTACCGAATCCCCTTGTTGATTGTGCGAGCAACATCCCGAGCGCGATAGGCAGGATTGTGAGCTCGGTATAATGCAAGTGCAGTGATACATGATGATGTGCACTCGACGTAGTCAAATTCAACCATGACATTTTGGAACAGCTCCGTGCCGTTCATGCACTCGAGAAGCTCGCTCCCGCGGATAGGCTCAAAGCTGCTGTACCCACCACTCGGGTTCTGGATCATGATCAGGTTGTCTACAGCAAGTTGCAGATTGCGCTCGTCTGTAAGTTTTGGGATATCCGTGTTCCTCTCAATCAGCAGGATCGCTTTGAGCGCTTCCCCAGTACAATCTGAGCACGAAAACCCATGGTATTGACTCGAGAATGGCCAGCCGCCCAGCCGGCTAAAGCAATCGCAAGACGAAGCCTCGTCCCAGTCGTCCAAATATTGCTGGTCCACCAGGAATTTATACGCTCGCTGGGCAGCTGGTCGGATGTCAGGAGTATTGGCAAGTCCTGACTCGGCGTAGGCCTGAAGTGCGAAACCTGTCTCCCATGTGTGCCCAGCGTGAATGCTCATCACTTGCATCCCGCTGGGGCCCATCCAGAGATATTCGAAACTGGCGTTCTGAGTTCTAGCCAGAGCCTTCGAGTCTGGCCCTTCTTTGCAATAGAATGCGATCATATTCAGGAATGCATCCACGCTTACGATCCCGACAGAGTTGTTGATCTGTTCTAGCTCCTCGATAATTCTCCATACCTTTTCCTCGCCCATCTCGGCCAAGCCGCGAGGACGAAACCATGGAATCCAAACGTTGTCGATAAACCAGTTCAGTGCGTTGAGTACCCAGCTCTTGCGCACCTCGCGAGAGCGTTGAAAGGTCACACCGCGGAACGCAACGAAGTCAATGGACTCATATGGTTGGACGAAGATCTCAGTCCGCAGTTGCTCCAGGAGAGGATTCGTCGGCATGGTGAACCGCTTCGCTGAGAGATAGCTCATAACCAGATACACATGTCGAGGAATAATGTACCATTTCCAGGGACTGATCGGTAGCCATTCCGGAAGAAGCCTGAAAATGTTAAACGTCAGAGATTATCATTGAACCAAAGGGTTTACTCACCACATTTCAACAGGATACGGGTCTGTGCCTTCCCATTTGTATAGGCCTAGGAGAGCAAGCCAAAACTTGGCCCAACCTGGCAGATAGACAGCACCGCCCATGTCTAACAGACATCTTCTCGCTTCGACTAGACGCTCATGATCTGCAGAAAGACCCATCAGGCGCAGCGCCACATATATTAGAACGGTCCCCATCAGTGTCGTGCCCTGGCCTCCATAGGTGGCCCATCCGCCGTCCGGGTTCTGGGCTCGAAGAATGAAGTTGACAAGCTCGATAGCATGTGCCTCATCGATCGTGACTTGTGTAATGTACCAGGAAATAATAAGCATCGGAGTTACAAAGAAAATGCAGCTCAAGTCAGCAGCCCAGCAGCCCAGGTCTTTCACCTGAAGTTGACTGTGGAACAACGCTCCATTCCTGGCTGCCTCCGATGGCTTCCAAGCGGGCTTGCGGTTGGAAGATTCGGTCTACTGATGTTAGTGGTCTGGTTTTAGAATAGAAGATATAGCACGGAAAGACATACAAAAGGGATGTCAAGGAAAAATTTCGACGTCTTATCTTGTGGTTGTGCTTCACGCTCTGCATCCGTTGTCAAGTATTTCCACTTCAATCGTCCGAGCCCGTCCTCCGCAGTCAGTCTCCATCCATCGAGGCTCGTGGCGCGTGAAGTGAAAGGGTACTCTGGATTGTTTTCGAACTTCAGCTGAGGCTGAGGATCTAATTCTTTCGTAGTTCTAAGGGCGTAGTCGCTGAACATTTTCTGCGATACGATGACGAGCACGGTTGGTGTCAAGGCTCTGAAAGAAGGGCAGCTGAGAGGTTAAGTATCCAGAGAGACATGAATTACCAATTCGGCCATGAGTCTGAGCCAATTACCCGGTGCACTTTCTTCTTTGAACGTGGAGGGGGGAAGGTGCGTAATCTATCACATTGCCACGGATTTTGTTTTTAAAACTGGGCCAAGGGTTCATGTAGTGGGAACCCAAATCTGGACTAAATAGCTAGTGGAGCTGAACCCCAAGGAATAGGATCAAATAAGTATCGTGCTACTCATATTTACATTGTACATATCACCCATGGCCCGACGATACATGTCAGGCATGAGCCTGGTTCTAGGGAGTAATGCGCCTGGCACTCTAGTTTCACAGATGACGTGTCGGATGAAACCTACCAATAAGCCCACTAAGACCTTGTTACGGAGTCCACAGTTTAGCAATGTAAAGCCTGTTCAATCAAGCCTCGATAGCCTATACGAGCAGTTAGGACCAATCATGGATTTTCCCCGGTACCGAAGACACGTCGATCACTCGGCCCTGCACGACTGATCATTCGATAGTCCGAGGAGATGCATGTTCAGCTAGGAATGAGGCGGCCTTGGCAGAGTTTCCCTTTTTTTTTTTTTTTTTTTTTTTTTTTTTTTTTTTTTTTCCCTCTTTCAATTGCTAAAAGTGAGCTACATAAGTAAGACAGGGTTTGATCGGACAGTATTTCACTACGATGTCGGGAAGACGATCATTACTGCTAGTGCTTGTTGGGCCGTGCAGCTTCAGTGAATCTAGCTCGAATGCCAATTCGCTAGTACTTGCTTGCGTGATGCGATAGCAGGCTGACGCAGATCATTGACGTGCCGCCGAGATTGACCGACCTTCGACTTGGAGCAGCATGACCCACTGTCACGGCCGGTTTCATGGTTAGAGAATACCCGATCATTGCTCTTGACTCGGTGCCTGAGACAGCACCCAATATTACCTTGAGCTGAAAACCACTGACCGCGATTCCATGCAAGCTCCCTGTCATAAAAATTCCATCTAGCAACACTGCATCGTAAGCTTGAGCGTGCGGAGCAAACTTCTCGAGGCTGATTGTTAGTTGAACTGGGATAAGGGTTGTTCGAGGTTTCTCGTATCCTTGCACAATTCCCAATATTCGCCCATTCTTGGTTACCTACCACACACTTCTCATTAAGAACAATTACAAGCTCGTGTCTTTTCAGCCGGCATCCACCGGGCAGTGGTGTTCGGTCTCCACAGCAAGACACCATCGGCCTAGGCCAGAGGATCTAATCTAAACACAGTAGCCGAGTGGGACGATCAGCGACACCATACGGAGTAGATCGATTGACATCGGTAAAACACTGAAATTCCCTGTCAACCAAATCTAGGATAAGAGGAGATTTCGCTATTTCTGCACGGGTCCATTGAGTCCCGCACCCCTCTGCACATCTGTCAGATCAGACAAGTGAACTTCCTCCCAATAGGGTGGTCGTCTTCTGCCTTAGCATGTCGACAGTTCAAGGTCTCATTCGGACAGTACAACTGCGTCTGGATGACGAGTTTACCATCCAGCTACGTTCCATCAGCGTGGTTCTCGCAGTTGTACTCTTTCTCTATTTCATTTTAAAAGAGGACACCGGCATCCCTTTGGTTCGTGACACGGGCAAAAAGCGGTTTTCACTATCGACATTCATCGCATATTTCTTCAACGCCAACGAGGTGTTGCGAGAGGCTTATGACACGGTTAGTCACCCTTACCAGTTTAATTCGAATATAACATTATAACTCCTGATGTGCTGCAGCACCTTAAACTTGGCCGAACATGCCGGATACCGGACAAGAGCTTCGGGACGATGGTCATTCTGCCGAACTGTTTTATGCGATGGATGCTATCCCAGCCGCAAAATGTCCTCGGCTCACGCGAGGCAATTGTAGAGACAGTTCAGGCTCGATGGACCGTCGGTCACTCCAGGTACTTTACCGAAGAGTGGCACCCGGCATTTCTTAAGCGGTCTATACGTGCCTTGATGGATACTGAGATCCCTCGGTTTCAGGAGGAACTTGAACGAAGCATGACCAGTATCTTTGGCCGTGATGACAAGAACTGGAAAGAGGTCAACCTTGCCACTTCGATCAAGCATATCCTCGTTCGGTCTACCTCCCGATATATTGTGGGATCTCCGCTCTGTACGCTTTGCATGTTGCTGTTGCTTGTGGAACATATCGCGCTAACGCGAGAATAGGCTCTGATCCAGGATTTGTCCGATGGACTCTGGTGTTTATGGAGGTTATTACTCCCATCAGCGAAGTCCTGCGACCCATCCCTCAGATCTTTCATCAAATCATCGGTCGGATCCTCTCAGTTCCGCGGGTTATTGTACTCCTAAAGCTGAAGAACCTACTGCGTCAGACGTACGAGGAGCGCCTTAAAGGGCTCCGAAATGGAGAAAGATCAGAAGAGGAACCCCAAGACTTTCTTCAGAAGATCATGCGACATCTGTACGAAAGCAACAGCCCCGATCTCAACCTTCATTTCGTCACGATCCACATCATGATCTTCATGCTGGCTGCCGCGGTACAGCCATATATGCTCACCCCGCACGTGGTTTTTGATATGCTGGACTCAGACGCGGAATTCGGAACGATATCCCAGATTCAGGAGGAACTGAACGACGTCTATGGCGATGCCAGCAAAGAAGAGCCTCGTTGGACAAGGAATGACGCATCCCGGCTGATCAAGCTAGACAGTGTCCTCCGAGAGTCACTGCGAATTAACACGCTAGTGAGCCACAGCATGCCACGAAAGGTGATGGTCGATGGGCTCAAAACGCCTGATGGCTACACCTTGCCTAAAGGCTCGACTGTGTCTCTCCTGGCCAGGACTGTCCAGACGGACCCCGATATCTACCCCGAGCCTGACAGGTTCGTGCCGTTCCGGTTTGCTGGGCCAGACGGGAAGAGGTTAGCAGTCACTTCGTCGGAGTTTCTGGCTTTCGGACACGCGAACTATGGATGTCCCGGTCGTTTTTTGGTAGCGGTGGAGCTGAAAATGCTAATTGCGTATCTCTTCAGACATTACGAGGTTGAGTTGCCGGTGGAATATGGCGGCAAGCGGCCGCCGGCTATATGGATCACTGATTTGAAAATTCCTCCTCAGAACGGGAGAATCCGACTCAAGAAGAAGGCGCTCTATTAATGGTATTGTTTTGTCCAACATCCAAGCAAGTGGTAGAGGGTATTGGCAGATGTTCTATAACATAATGGTTAAAGGTTTTACATACCTCATGAAGTTCAAAGTCAATCAATAACGTAACTCTGTTCCTCCTGGTGACTGCAACTTGCCCATATTCGAGAGGTTTTCAGGTTAAGAAAACTACTAGATAGGACTCTATTCTACACGCATGGTTCCGACAGAGGCAGAGTCAAAAGTCACTCCTAATAGCCCATGTTATGGGACTCAGATAGAAGCCTCTTACTGAAGGGGGTAACGCTGTCACTGGTAAACGCATTCAATGCATGCCCTAATAAAAGACCATTGCAGCTAATTCGAACCGCTGTAAACAATAACTTTTGCATACGTACAGATTCCTCAAATGGGAATCACCACTTCATTCTCAGCCCCGGTAACCACGTTTCTGCGGCACAGTGCTTCGGCCCGCCTTTGAGGGGTTCTTTTGGATCAAACTCAAAATAGATGGTGGGAGTTTCTTGGGAAACTTGAGGTTCTCGTGGTCGACAATAGAGTTGTAATTGTCACCCAAAATATTTTTCAGGGGTGTCTGCTGAGACAACCGGTCCAGTTGAGCTTGTCCAGCTTGTGCGCGCTTGATCCATCCGATGAAGTTGGAAACCTCTTTAGCTTTCGTCTTCTCCACTCGTAGTCTATGTGGCGAACCTGATTTGACAGTGCTCGTGAAAAAGTAGGACTTGTCGAGTTGTTGGTCCAGATGCTTTCTGCGTTTCTCTGCCATGGCGAAATCCTTGCTGGTGGCATTGACGTCATTGATGAACTGGCGCAGGGTACGACAGTCATCGCAGGAACAGTTAATAGAAGTGCGCTCCTTCCAGTCGGGTGGCGGAGGAGGCACAATTTTGATGTAATTAGTCACGTAAGCTTTGAGGAACTCTGTGAAGAAGGTCTGTTCACCGGGCGAAACGGCACGCTTTGTGGTAGCTATGTGTTCGGAAATTCCGCCGGCGATGGGTATAGGAAATCATGAAAGGCGCTTGTTATGTCACCCGGTTTGGCATTCGCCGCGTATTCGACAAGTGTATCCATTATTCCTGTGGTGTCAATATGCGTGGCATCCGCTAGCTTAACCAGCTTGACTACCCAGTCCGGGGAAACCCGGGAAGGCTTTGAACGGGATGGATAAGACCAACAGAGATACCTGTCTTGATAATCCAAAGGTAACGTGCTTTCCACTGTGAAATTCTTGATGGCCGTTGGGAACAGCCGATCTATCGCTTCACCCACCTCTCCCTTGTCTAGGTTTCCTGTTTCCGGGAAGTCATGAACCGAGACGATGAATGACAAGATCAACGGCTTCTGTGACATGTTTTTCTCCAGGAAGGTAACAGATCTATTGTGGTTAGCGTTCGATATAATTTGCCAGCGAGGGTAACATACTTTTGGAGAAATCCAGGTGCGGGGGATTCACTCAAAGATTCTGCCAGAAGGGGACCTTCTGATTCGAATCCCTTAAGTTTAGTGGAAAGAATTTTATCCAAAATGCTGTCGCACCGTTCTGTTACTTCCGCCGATGGCTTCCGGTCCTGTCTCTCACACAGCGATTGATATTCTGCGGCCAGTCGAGAGAGCGAGGTCAATTGTTCACTCAACAAAAGATTTTTATACTGAAATCCGGATTTTGCCGAGAAATAACTATCTAGTCTGGAAAGGGAGTTAGTGGATTCGAGAGGAGCACATTGTGTCAAACCATTGACTTACGCGGAGCGAATGACTTCCAGGCCATGCAGGAAAATGATGTTGGCAATCAGAGAGCTTTGAGGGGTCGAGAATCGAGTCCACAATTTGCCCATGCTCCGGCGAAAGAGTGGCAGGTCATCCAGTTCAAGGGCAATTTGCATAACTGAATCTGTCGCTAACTTTGACTCAAGCGCGACTCTGCAAACCCGCAATACTCTTTCTTTGGCCTTCGTATCATTGGGATATTCTTTCATGAGACGGTGGCTTTCCTCAAGGGCTCGTTCGACCCCATCATCACAACCCTTCAACTTTTGCAGCTGAAACAAGCAGTGAAATTCTTTTGGGAGTATCAAAACGCCCTAGTAATGTTAGTGGAAATCAGGGTTGTGTGCAGAGCAGTGAGATGGGAAAGGCTTGAGCTTCAGCATCGCAAAAACGTACAGTTTCTTTGTAAAAGTAGGTTGCCGTAGCACCCTCGTTGCCCGTGAACCCACTGAAGTCCTCATCATCTGGGTCGCGATTGAAAGCATCTGCTGAAACCAGCATGTTTTCAACAAAGGGCATATGTGTTCCAACTACTTGGCCGTCAGCGTTCACAACATGGCAAAGCTCAAGCTTGGATTCATCTATGTCTTGAAGGCTGTGAAACCCATCACTGTCGTAGCCTCCGCGGCCATAATAGCCACCGTAATCATCATCCATATCATCCCACACCTCACCAGTCTCGTTTTTCTCAATGTTAGCTAGAAAGATGAGAAAGTCTGCTTTTTGGCAAGCATTCTGCAGTTCTGCAAAGCGGGGTCGGTCAACTCCTTTGAGGCGGGTGAAACTAAGCTCTGCCTCAGTGTACTGATGCTCGAGAATATAGATTAGAGCTGGTGGACAGGCTTCACGGAAGTCAGACTCATCCCAGCCATCGAGGTATTGCCCGGGTCTTTTGGCGGCGAGAGCCCACGATTTAAGCAAATCGGTGAGATTTTCTGCTCTGTTGCTGCGGAACGGTAAGAGCGCAGCGGACGCACGATGGATCAAGTTGTAATTCAGAACAATCCTATATCCAGAGGTAACGGGCTTGACCTCATGTGAGACATCAGCATACCAAGCGGCCCATGTATACCCAAATTCCGAGTTTGGCGCCGTTGCAAATTCCAGCTTTTTGTCCCTGTGAGAAGCGATCACGTTCCCGCCCTCGTGCTTCGAGGGTAGAGATATGATAAGGGTGCCAAACATCCCATCTGCTTTTTCTGAATCCTGGTGCGGCAGGAAGAAAGCATCTTTCGCATATACAAGCAGTTTGTAAAATTCCGCCTTGACCTCCACAGATTTCGCCTCAAGACCGAGACCAGTGGCCGCCTTGTGAACGTAACGGTCGACCTGTGCGTTCCATTGTGGGTTCTAGAAAGAAATTTGATTTGCGTCAAGTTGCCAACTCTTTCGCACCGATTTGTTGACCAGGGTTTCAGTCCCCTTTCCGTAAGGGCTCAGTCGGCAGGACTTTATGATCGCTTTTGCTTCTTCGGCGAAAATGGGAAGCCGGATGCTGCCTACATTTGAAATGTGCAGACCAGGGTTGACAGCAGTTGCGTCGCTGCCATTTGTTATAAATGTTCCGGCCGCTTCAATGTCGTCAGGAGCGGCCTGTAGAGATTTTCTGATAGCAACTTGGTTGTTGGTCTCAAGATACTCTGCAAATGCCGAGTCGGTCAGATTTTGGCGCACTGTTTCTTGTCTGAAATCAGGACAATAATCGTTCCATTCCTTCACAATGTTCTCTAGGGAATTGGGGACCACTTGCGGGCCAAAATGTCGCTTCGCGTGAAAAGCACATTTCCTATCCCTGCCAGCGGTGCCATTACCCCCCATGAACCCGAAGAAACCCTCCAGAGTTTCCTTCCGCGCATTTATGCAGATCTCTCCCTTTGCTTCTTCTTCATAACCGTAGGGGTCATCTGGGGAGTCTTTGTTCACGCCACGCCATGTAAATGGCAAAAGCTGACCGTTGTCGGCGCAGTCTATTGGTTTCAGACCTGGATCAATCAAGAACAGTCCTCTACTACACCCGAAATCAAACATCCCCCAGATCCTATCATAGTCCCAGATTAGACGGATCCTGAGTTTGTATCCGACCTCCGGAAGGCTACCTAGCTGAACGACGTAGGTATTCTGAACTCTGCGCATAGCTTCCATTTCGCGCTCCGGAATGTGGAGACCATTGAGCCAAGCATTCTCATGTAGGCTTTTCATCGCCTGGTCGGCCAATTTCCTGAAATTATCGTCCATTGGGTTACTGTTGGAGTCAGTCTATCGTCTTTCGTTTCCCTTTTCGGAGACTTTGGTTTTCTGCGGACCTCATAGTTTTGATCCAAGCAACAACCTGGAGACTTCTTGATGATTTTTACGTTTTTGTCTGTAGATCCCGTTCGTTGCAGTTGTTTGAAGTGGCACTGACGAGCTGGACGTCGAGGCTCCAATTTATCATCGAAACCCGCGGAGGACTGTGTGATCAAGATGTGATACATCCACTGCGGCCAGAAAGACCAGTTTCGCCTCCTGCTCAGTGGGAAGGTCTCAGATGAAAATGATGAGAATTTGGGTGGTTGATCATTGAGAGAACCAAAGCAGGGGTAGTCAGGAACAAACATTGAAGGTCTCTAGGTATGCCCTGAAAAAGAACCACATCGCAAGGCGGTCTACTCGGTGAGTCGATCTGCCCCATCCCGTCATTCTCACCGCCTTCCGTCAAGGTTTATCTTATCTTTTTGGTGACGCGACGCGACGCAACGCAATCACGACAACAGACCAGAGGAACCTGAGCAATTCTTCCAGGAAAATGATGCTATGCAACTCGTTTGGTTTTCTTCCAGAAATATCTTCGGTCTGTTTCACACTGCATCTCGTAAGACCATATTACCCTGCAGTAGCGATATGCTTGGCATCCTTCTCCCAAACCTTATGTTTTCGATGCCTAGCAGCCTCAGGCAGCATATAGGCGCTCATAAGAAACACCCAGTAGTACTACACGCACTACAATCTTAAGCCTGCTGGCCCTTTGTTTAATGCTCATCGCGAAGTTCCAACTAAATTAAATTATTTCATATCCATGAGGGTACATTGCGATCAGCAAGCCTTTGGCCAACATTGGATGCACTTTGCGCGTAGAAATATATTATTCACCGAGTAACAACCAACGCCCGGCATAGAACATCAAAAGCCAGAACAAACAAAGTCGAATCCATGCTCATTCATCCCGAGCAAATAATGCCAAAATCTCATCCCGTTCCCAAGCATCAGCTACATCCAACGGCGTAGCTCCATCCTTATTCTCCGCCCCCGGATCCAACCCTAAATCTACCAGCAATTTGAAAATCATGACATCGTGGTCTTGAAGATCTTCCCAATCCTCCTCTCGACTCGCAACCGCATGAAGCAAGGTATCTCCAGCATTGTTTACAGCATGAATATCATGCGCTGTAAACATATCCCACATGTCATCAAGATCAGGCGCAATGCGACTCTCTATGTCGCTGTGATAGCATCGTATTCTCCGGACATACGCGAATATAGGAGTGTTGCCTTCGTTGTCGCGAGCTTCGCGGCTGCATCCTGCGTCGACGAAGGTCTGGTAGAGCGCTTTGTAATCGAGGAAAGAGACATCAGTCTCATTCTGCTTGCCGAGTGCCTTCCTTGCCGGCCGTTCTTCCTCGCTGTTTTGCATCAGTCCTGGGATTATGCAATGTAACGCTGTTCTGCCGTCCGGAAGGGGTTCAAGTGGATCCGCGCCCTTGGCAAGCAGCTGTCGAACCATCTGAGTAGAGGGTATGTGGTAGTCCTCCTCCGGAGGCTCCGACAGATTGGTTAGACCAGTCAGGGCAGAATGGAGAGGCGTCAGGTCATGGTTATTGCGTGCTGTTGAGGAAGCGCCGTGATTGAGAAGCTCACTGACAATTTTATCCAAACCGGAGCAGATAGCATAGTGAAGAGCTGTTGATCCTGAATCGTCGACGGCGTTGACGTTAGCACCAGCACGAATTAGCTCTATCGCAGAAGACTCTTCATTTCGCGGACTTCTGGCGAGACGGAAGTGGTATTCGCCAAAGATACAGGCTCGTAAAAGAGGTGTTCGGCCATTGTTGTCTCTAGTTTCAATATCATAGCCCGCTCTGGCAATGGGGGTTACCCGTGCATTCAAAGCGCAGATCTCATGCAAGACTGACGATGTCCCGTCGTAGAGTGGGTGATGCGGGTCTGCGCCGTTCGCAAGCAGAATCTCCATGAGTGCCTCATTCTTCCCAGCGGCGTGCTTGAGTGGGGTCTCGGGCTTGTTAGCTTGATAGAACTCTGTGGTTGTGTACATAACGTTAGGATCGGCGCCAGCTTTGAGCAGTACCTCTAACGCAGCAGTGTTCTGGCCGGTTATTGCGGATGCTACCACGGGCTTGCCCTTCACTGACGCACCGTGATCTAGAAGGCTTTTAACAATTGAGACGTCTCGTTTGCTCTCTAATGCGTCCTGAAGTGGTGACGATTCGCCCTGGGCTGAAGAAGCATTGACGTCTGCCCCAGAACCGAGTAAAATATCGAAAGCCTCATCACACCAGAGACAGATCTCATACGCATCTGGTCTTCCCGCTTGCAATGCAGTCTGTAGCGGGGTTTTTCCCTTATTTAGGAGCTCGGTGCTTGCTCCAGCCTCCAGTAATATGGCAAGCGCTCGAGGGTACCACCAATATTTACCTGTGGCGAGTCTATGCAGGGCACTGGAGCAGTAAAGCTTCTTGCAGCCCTCTTTAGAGTTGATACACGTTTCTCCACAGGGGATGCGCACAGCACTTTGTATCAGCAGCTTCACCATTTCAAGGTTGCACAGATGTCGCTGAGTAGCAGTCTCAAGGAGTAACGGCAGGATGCAGTGCAAATTCAAAATGTATGGCAACAAACATCTTGTCACTGATAAGAGACCCCATTGGACAGAAAAATGAAGAGCTGATGCTCTGTCGTCTTTAGTAAAGTTAATATCGGGTGAGCACAGTAACTCTTCTGTTAGCCTCAGATTTCCGGTGGAAATCACGCGCTTCAGGACAGCCTGTTCATCCGATGATTTTAGCATTGTGCCGAGAATCATAGACAAGCTTTCACGAGAAGAGGTGAATAAAGCTTCTCCTACGGGGTCTGAATCGATCAGTCCTGGATTATCATCAGTCAAAAGGATTGTCCGGGCCATTAATCCTGCTAACTCATCCACAACATCAAATGACCCGAGAAGTAATGCAGTCTCCGAAGCTGTGCGTTTATCGTTGTCTCGCTGGGCCGGGTCGGCTCCAGCTGCGAGGAGAACCTGTACAACCTCTCGAGCAGATGGAGAATCTTCTTCGCTGCTTATTGCAAGTCCGACACTTTCGAGCTTCTCGATCTTGTCGTCTGGGCGCTTTCCAGCATGCGTTTCCGTGGACTCATAGATCTTTCTCCTTTTGCGCGGAATTGAGAGTTGATCAAACTCAGCAGCAGCATGCAAAGGTGTTCTTCCATGTCTATCACGGATATTGACTCGCGAGCCCGCATCAAGTAGAAGTTTAACGGATTCATATCTCCCAGATTTGGCAGCTTCATGCAGCGCTGTTCGACCCTCCACGCTTATATCATCCACCGTTAAGGACTGGGCCACGTAAGCCTCGAGCAAGAGGCCTACAGAATTTGGATGCCCTGCTGCCGCGGCGTAGTGAAGAGCTGTTCGTCCCAGGATGGTCTTTGCTTGGATATCTGCGCCGTGGTCCATTAATTGCCGGGTATTGAAGTCGGATGTGGCAGCTGCAAGATGCAGAGGAGTAACACCTTGATGATCTCGCGCATTGACATCGAAAGCCAGCTCGGGATGCAGCAAAAACTCGAGCCATGTTACCGTCCCTCGTTTAGTGGTTTCCCTCTTTCCTGTGTCAGGATTCGCAGCAGCAAGATGTAGGGCAGTTCTCCCCTGATGATTGCGCAGATTGAGAGGTACATTTCTATCAATAAGAGCCTCTGTGTTATACCTTGCCCCCCGCCATGAACCGTATATGCTATCGTGGAAGACAGAATTACCGTCATGGTCAAGACTGTTGATGTCGGCTCCCGCATCGATAAGCATCTTCAGAATCGAAACTTGTTCGACGCTTCTTGCTGCGTAATGTAATGCTAGATTTGTCAGCTTTTAGCGCCAGCAGGAAAGTCGATACAGCATACCTGATTTTCCTTGAAAGTCTCTCGCCTTTACATCCGCGCCGAGCCGCAAGAGGTCGGGTATGTATTCTGCTTGACGCCTAGATAGGCTAGAGCTGGAGAGCAATGTGAGCAACACAGTGCGTCCACAATGATCCCTAGACTCTAAGTCTGCTCCATGCTTTAGGAAAAGGCTCAGGTCTTCATGATGACCTTGTGAGGAAATATGCGTCAGAAACTCGGAAAGCGCTGCGCGTCCGGCATGATTCTGGATGCTCAAGTCACTCAAAGAGACCCAAGCCTCCTCGGCTTTGTGTTTCCATAATCTGCACCAATTCTGACAGATATAGTGCAGAGGAGTGTTCCCTCGCAGGTCCTGCTTGTTGAAGTCGGCTTTGAGTCGGGAAAAGATCATCGAATCCACCACAGATCGCTCCTGGGCGGCTATATGAACCGGTGTCATCCCATCTGTCTTCCTTGTGACATTAATATCAGCTCCGGCCTGCACAAACAGCTTTAAGCATTCCTCCAGCTGGCGATTCCTTTCAATCTCATGAAGTGGGGTTCCTCCATCCAGATTCTCTAGGGAAGGGTCGGCGCCGTTTTCAAGAAGTGAAGAAATAAACGCAGCGGTCTTTTGGTTGATGTTGTCATTGTGGAAGTCTGCCCACGCAAAGATTGCCGACCGCCCTTTGTAGTCAGTAGCATTGACATCACAGCCTGCCTTGATAAGCAGTTCCAGCACCTCACGATTTCTTTCCCTACATTGAGTCCCTCTGACGTGATCGAGCCCCGAAAGTTGAGCCCAACCATGGACGGGTGTGAAACCCATTTTTTGTATGTTGATTTGCTGTGACACATCGGATCCATCGGTTTTTGTTGGCTTGTCTAGCGATCGGATGTTGAAGTCTGCGCCATTCTCCAAGAGCGTTTGAACTATTGCGGTACATTGATATTTAGCCGCAAGATATAAGGCTGTTTGTCCTGTGTCATTATAGTCATCAATGCCGCGGTGCACTTCTTCGTGCTCCAAAAGAAGGTCAACTATTTGGGCTTGGTTGTGTCGAGTTGCAAGATGAAGAAAGCCTTGGCGCAATGTTGATGGATCAATGTAGGGCTGCAGTTCCACAAAGGTCTGAACATGACCCAACCGGCATGCGTATGAGAGAGGTGTTTCTCCTTTGTCAAAGTTGCCATATCTTCCCCTGTAACCTCCTGGTTCCGTTGGTGTCTTGGCTTGTACAGCCACAGAAGGACTCGCCCCCACGGCCAATAAAACACGTACGACCTCTGCGTGGTTCAGCTTTGCCGCGTAATGGATGGGAGTCATCATATCATCGTCAACCAAGTCATAGCGAGCACTGTAGTTGAGGAGTGTCTGCGCAACTTCACTATATCCCTCCATAGCAGCATGGGTAAGAGGCGTTCGATTATAATCATCAAGAGCTTCCGTATCTGCACCGTTCGCAAGTAAATGCTCGACATAATCTTGCAGACCACTGTGTGCCGCAACATGCAAAGGAGTCGAGTCCGTAAGGTCAGGTAGTCGCACATAAAGGCACAGCCTTTTCCACGATGCGAAAGTGGCAGGTTCATTGAAGAATGCATCAAGAAAAGATAGAAAGTCTTCTGTTGCACTGAACATGGCAGTATGGTACAGCCAATTCTTTGCCGCATATTGAAGAAAAGGGTATCGCTGCCACAAGGCTCTGCTGTCAGGAAATGTTTTCGTGGTGAATTGATTCAATTCTCTGAGGCAGCAAAGAGTGACATATTTCACACAACCGCGCGCAATATTCTCATGGGCAATCTCCGGATCAAGGACAGCAAATTCTCTATCGATTGCTGCTTGCTGAATGTGGCTCACGTCGCGGTTGAGTAAAAACTCGGTCAGCGAGTGATGGATGATCTGGATTACTCCATCCTCACAGACTTCCAACAAGGGCCCACATGTGCTACGAATGGCAATTTTCGCAGGTTGGTCCGCGGAAAGGCCACCGCGATCGGGCAATGAGTCAATCATTGTTGAGAGTTCAAGCAGACGCAGCGGTCGCGCTGAGTATACAATGTATTCCAAAACCAATCGCTGGAATTCCGCTGTCGTTTGGGATCGAGCAGCATGATCACGCAGGATGTTTGTGTACATGCTTCCTAAGCCATCTGGTAGGTGGTTCAATTGAGAGATAATGGTCGTCGGGTGGAGAAGCAGCTGATCAGTGACAAGGCGCGCATACAGAAAAAGCCCCTTTCCTCGGTCGCATATTACCTTTTTGATTTCCCCTGCTTCCTCGTCAGTCAGGGTGACCTCGGATTCCAGCCTCTGAGTAATGTACATGGCAATATCTCTGTCCACATTCCGGCGATCCAGCCGGAGATCAAGAAGACAGGAGCCCCCAAGATGTTTTTCCAAATGTGGCAACTGACGGCTAGTCAGGATCAATTTGATTGATTTCGGTGATTCCCTCCCAAAATTGAGAAGATCCTGCAAAAATTGATCGTGGCCCGACTCCATTTCATCCAGTGCGTCCACGACGCAGTAGACTTTGGGCATTGCCACCAGAGCCGAGGAAAGGCATTTCCAGATCTCACTGAATGGAACCGCTTCTACGTCCCGATTTTTGCTTTTCAAGTTCTCTAACATCGATTGAAGAATGGGAGATTGATCCAACAGCCCGTGACAGAAATCCCGTGCCAGTGACTGTGGAGTTCGATTCGCCTCGATGATCTCTCGGAAGAAGAAGAACAAAACCGGCGCGTCTCCTCGTCGCTGCAGCCTTCTGACCATACTGGCCGCAACTACTGACTTGCCACTTCCTGGAATGCCCCTGATCCAGAGGTCGCCGATTTCGTCGGTCTCGCTCCACCGACGATATTGGTCGGTCTCCAGGATCCATTCTCCCGTGCCGGTCGCATGAGAGTTGAGATGCTTCCGATACTCGCTCGCTGGCGAAGTCGTATCGGTCGGAGATAGCCATGTTTTGATCTCCTGGACAACATGTGGCGGTTCGCCGTGGTTCTTGCCAGGGGCGCCTGTGGGCCTCCCTTTAGTAACGACGCCGAACGGGAATGTTGGGGAGATTGTTAAATGTCAACACAACTTACCAGGACGAGGTATCACGACATAATCATTCGCGTCATCGCTAGACCCATCGGACATGGTGAACGGTAACGAGGAAGTAGTTGATGAGGTAAAGGTGGCGGAAAGACCGTCATTATCAAAGAACATCTCTTGCATTAGTTAACTAGCATGGTCATCTGACTCATGCCAACACTATGCGTATTCTAGGTATGTGATTGGCCCAATCCGGCAGACTTCTAAGACATCCTAAAAAAATCGATCTCTCCACTATTCGCACGCACCGGATCCTTGTGTTTCTCCTATCTTCTTCTCTTTTTCATATTGATGTGATGGGAAAACAACGAAAGAAATTCGGTATGAATCATGACCACCGCACAGCCATGAATGTGTAGTATCTAAGTAAGAAGATGGCCGTCTGTAAACCCCTTAAAGGTGATATTAATACATCAACAAACTAAATTCGAGATAATTAACCGATCCGCAGTAGAATGCCAAGATGCTGGGCATGTGTTTTCTGTTTTTCTTCTTCCACCTTTTACTACTGTTATTTGCTGGCCAACCAAAACAGAGAATACAGACCTAGACAAACTCCGCCTCGAATGGGTTATTGGGAAACACCTTAATTTCTATGGAGCAATGAACGCAGAGAATTACAAATTTTTTATATCGAGAGGTTTAGGTAATCTAAACTCAGAGCATATGTAGAGAAACCACCTGAATACATTCAACGCTCATTAGGGAGGTCAAGAAAGAAAAGATTGCCGAATTTCAGAATCAACAAGGTGTTTCTATGAAACCTCTATAACACCAATCTTGTAAAATAAAGAACGCGACCAGATAATGCAGCCAACTATTGACAGTCCTTCATTGCATCTCCGTCCCTCCATGAGACACCAAATCCAGGTCGGACCGATCAAGCCTGGCGCTTCTCCTTACCGCACTTCTTCAAGCACTGCTCAACCTTGAGCGCCATATCAGTAGGAATGGCATCCCGAACCTTCTCGATATCCTCACCAGCAATACTCTGACCAAAGGTACGGGCAATAGCATCATTGCTGAAAAGGAACGTTTGCTTGGCCACCAGCCCCACGGCAAATTCTTCCGAGTTGAAGACAGCCGTGAAGTTGGCGGGCTCACAGTTGGGATTGATCTGCGTGTGAAATGAGCCGGCCGGGTAGACGGTTACCGTTCCTGGTTCAAGCTCCACGCGAATAGTTCGCTGTTTGCCTTCGGAGTCAACGGCGGCCACCTCGGGTACCATTTCCGACATGATGTGTCCCGAGGAGAGAGAGAAAACCTCAGTAGCCCTAGGGTGGAGGTGGACGAAGCTCATGCTGCATCCTGTTGAAATGGGTTAGTAGGGCGGACAAACTAGGGGATGAATGTCAACGTACCTGGCAAATCACCGATACTCAAAGAGACACCAGTGCCAGTCAAGACTGGGAAGTTCTCGTTGGTGGCAATCGGCAGCTCGTCGGAGCCGAACTTGAACAGAAAGTCCTCATTCTTTAGGAGCTTGTAACGCTCAGCGGAACTAGACAGTTTAATTAGAACGTTGTTTATTTTCTTGGGATTCGGTTAAGAAACTTACTTGTCCGCGAGTTTCAGTTGAGCGGTCTTGCTGAGCTCGACGGTTGAGCGCTTGGTGATTTGCTGAGGTGCTGCATTCGCAGGAAGGGCAAGGGCGGACATCAGCGCGATGACGGAGCACACAATGGTCTGGGAAAGCATGATGGCTGGATTTGTGAAGTGTTGATTTGGCTTTAGAAGTGGAGACTGGGATTCAATGTATTTCTGAGCTGGTGTCCTTGAGAAATGAAGGACCAAAAGACCAGCTCCTTGAGGCCCTTATATACCCATGAATCTGCTCGTTTCTGCACATCATTGTTGAAGTCATTGCGGCGCTGTATTCAAATTATTGCGATGCTTCAGCCTTGCTCCTAAGCTAACCAAGTATTTGGCATACGCACCGCTCAGCCTCAGCCTTGGCCTCGACTGGGCCCATCTTACACGACGGCCACGGCGGCCACGTTGAATGACTAGAGCCTCAACCCGCGGGGAGAGTAAACACAGTAAACAGCAAGGGGATGGAGATCGATGGAACTGCCTCGTATTGGGTGCCGAATTGCTGGGCGCTGCCGATTGAGCGTATTAGTCATACGACGCGGCAGTGGGACGAGACCCACTTTCGGCAGCGTATCTCCACAGTGGATCTCTGCGGCATCGCTTTGGAGGCTCACGCCGGCAGCCCAATTTCTTCTAGAGACCATGCGTATCGACAACCTGGTCATTCCTACCTCCAATCATGGCGGAATATGACGTGAGATACTTTATTCTCTCCGTATGCATCAAGCTATTTGTGACAGGCTCGAGTATAAAGCTATCAGCAATGATGGATGGATTCCGCTGTTTAATATCATTAAACATTTCTCAAGATCATCATCAAATTATTCAAACCAATTGACAGCAATCACCAATTTAAGAAATGGTGAGATACCTGCAGTACTTTATTTCACTGGTAGTTGTGATTAAGCTAGCCACGGGCCAGCTTATATCAGCTGCAGCAACACAATCGACTGGATGGAACTCTACATTCGAGCTCAGCCCCGAACAGACCAAACTAGCTAACCTTACCGGCGACATGGAAATTATCATCAATACCATCGTCCAGTTTGACCGGTCTCAGCTCGCAAACGGTGGTGCGCACGAGGATGACTTTTACAATATCCAGAACCTCCCCAAAGACGAATGGCCCACAGAGCCTGGGGAAGCAATCAAGGTTCAAAAGTTTACCGACCCGTCGCCATTCTCCATTCCCGCAAAAACAGCTATGTCACGCATTATCTACAGCACGACCGACATAAACGGTACTCTGGTTCCTGCTTCCGCCTACATCCTGTGGCCTTACCACGCTAGGGCCATTCGAGGGAGAAACAAAGCCTCTGGGTCATCTGCTCCTGTTGTCCTATGGACGCATGGTACCTCCGGCTGGTACGCCAATGGAGCTCCCTCCACGCATCGTGGACTGTTCTACGCAGAGATCGTGCCATTCGCGCTAGCCGAGGCCGGATATACGGTCATTGCTCCTGACTATGCCGGTCTTGGCGTGGACTCGTCTTGGGACGGAACTCACGTCCCACACCAGTATTTTGTTCGCGAGGCTGGTGCTCACGACGCATTGAACGCTTTGAGAGCAGCCCGCACGTCCTTTTCGAAGCGTCTCTCCACCGACTATGTCGTCATGGGCCACAGCCAGGGTGGCGCAGTTGCTTGGGGTCTTGCTGAAATTCTTGCTCGGAATGATACCAAGTTCGAGGACGTTGCGAAGGGCTACCTCGGTTCTGTGTTTGCTGCGCCACCGGCGGACGCATTGGGATCCGCGTTTTCGGGCTTCCTCGCCTGGATCGCCAAAGATCTGGACCAGATCTATCCCTCTTTCAACCTCAGCGACTGGTTCACTCCGTTGGGCATCAACAGGATCAAGCTCCTGAACCAGGTCGAAGGATCCCAGATGGTCACATTTGCCATGTTTGGCCCTGACGAGCTGCTCCTAAAGCCTGATTGGCATGAAACATCATATGCGAAAGACTTCGAAAAGCTAGCCAACCCTGGACACATGCCTTTTAAGGGTCCGGTTCTCCTGGTTCACGGAACAGGTGACACGACGGTGCCGTTCAATACGACCACGACTATCGCGAAACAGACTTGCAAGGAGTATCCAGGTGATCTAGAGATTTTGGTTGTCCCGGAAGGAAGTCATTTCTCTGCCATGAGCGCGGCGCAGCAAACCTGGTTGCGGTGGATCGAAGATCGATTTGAGCACCGGCCTGTGGCAAAGCATGGCTGTGTTTGAGTCTAAACTGAAGAGTCTCTTGCCGCTGGAGCATTACCAAGGACTTGGAAAATCATTCTTGCAGTGGGCTGGTGAGCCAAAGTGGTCTTATGAGCTGCCGACGGCCTTGTAATCTCGAATAGTAGCAGGAGAGTATGGAAGGAGGGAGGTGACTGGTTGTGGTGCGAGACCACTTCGCTTAGATTATTGATGTTGTTATTGTGGCTGATATGTTAATTCATAACTGTAGATTATTCTAATACGCGGTAGGTAGAGTATATGAAATTGTTTTGCACTCAATAGGGGATATTCTATTTTCTTCGAGATGCTGTTGTGTGGAAGAAGACGTTCAATCCATCGATGTAAACTGCATAGAACTAACGTTTGCGTATTCGATGCATTCCATAGCCAATGATACTAGTTATCCTTTATTCGAAAATAAAAAGCGCCACACCTGCCTTCCCATGTGATACCGTAAAAGAGAAATTATTATTAGCAGCGCAAACCTTCATCAATACCGACCATTAGGAGTAAGCTCCCGCTTAATCATGTACATAGTCTCAGGCCACCACGTTTCACCAGTATCAGCCGACTGGCCCAGCGGATTCTGAGCCTTCATCAATGACATGATCTGGCTTAGCTCCCACTGCCCAATGTCGCCAATCCACCACACTCCATCCAACAACATGACCAGAACCAACCAATGAGCAAAGATGTCCATGGCTAGTAAGTGCGTCGCACTGAGGGTCGGCACCTCGCTCCCTGGTGACTCCGAGTCTCGTGTCATCCAGCTGTCAGCTCTACCTTCGATGTAAGGCGAATCCAGGACCGACTGGACGAGATTGAGATACTCGGCCGCCACTTTATTCAGAAATGACATGATGATCCGTCGGAGTACCTGTGGCGACTCCATTGATGTAACGCTGATCATGTATTTTGCTACCCAGGGTGAGACCCGGGTGAGTTGGTCAATCGATAAGGGCTGGTTTGCGAGAATGTTTTCATCATTCTCTCTCGATGATAGGGCCGAATATGCACATTTTTCCAGTATAGTCATGGTTTCCAGGGATGCTTCGAGCTGTGAGTGAGAGCTAGGGTCCAGCTCTGATTCTTTCAATAGAGCCACGGTGGACTCGACCCTCTTGCGTAGCCCCTCAAGCGCCCGACTGTATGTAGATGCAACTAGGGGAAGGAACAAACGCTTTGTGTTCTCGGAAGGGCCGTCCTGCGGCGATAAGACATCTGAGCTACACAAGCCCGCTCTCGGTATCTCCGGTCCTGTATTCATAATCGGGTTGCTGCTTGTCTTCCATCTATTGTGCGCGGAATCGACAATGTCGTTTAGAACAGCACTAGACGCCATATGGGCTGCACGCGTGAACGATATCCATTGTGAGTTCTGAGGCAATATCTCGTGTGGTAGCCGTTGCCCACTCCGCTTTGCAGTGGTCGCGAGATGTACTCGGATGGAGTGACTTGCGGAAGCGTATAAGACCATCAATGCCGCGTTGGCGAGAATTTCATCGTAGGAGTCCGGGTTCTGCATGGTCGCTTGTATGTGCCGGAGGGAAGCCGTGTGATGGCGCTCTGAAAGCGCGAGTAGTTCCTGAATCTCCAGTATCTTTTGCGGGCTCAATGGAACCTGGGGGCTCTTGACGATGTCGTGCGACTTGCAAGCAGCAGCCAAGGCGACCAGGGACGACATAACGCATCTGCAGTTGAAAGCAAGATTTGGCACTCCGACCGACAGAGCATAGAGGTCAAGATCGTCGACAGGTATGATTTGGCTAGTGTGTGAAATATAGTGGCTCAATAGAGTTAGCTCCGTCGCGTCGAGAAAACCGACAGATGGCGGATTCGACGGGTGCTCTTGCTCATCTGTGCCAGAACTGGCAAAGGAAGCAGGTTGCCCAATGGATAAAGGGCTAGGGATCGAGAGGTGGTCACTTGGAAGTGCAAGCGGCGATCCGGAACCGGAAGCTATTATGCTGGGACTTGTGGGTGGGACGCGAAAATCAGGGATTGTGAGGCGGGTAGTCTCTTGGTCTTCCGACAAGTTGCCATCGTTTACAATAGTCTGATATTGGCATCTGTACGAAAACTTGCTACACCTGGAGCAGCTCGGTCTCGACTCGTCGCACTAGGTGATTTGATCAGAACATGTGTTTTTATGAACAGAAATCAATTCCCTACCTTCTTTCTCTGTTGCTTGCATCTGAGACAGCCATTCCTCGACTTCTCATGTCTTCTGCGGAGTCTGTATCCGCTCGCCTGGAGTTCTAAAAGCGTATCACTCGGCATGTTTCCGATAGAACCAGATCTCGCTCAAATCCTGTGCAAACAATTCTGTACTCGATCAATTCAGAGATCGCGGCGTATTAGGCAAAGTTCCACAAGCTTATATTTAGTTTCTGCAGCGATGACTCCATGCGTTCTAGAGCGTTCTTTTGAGGCTGATATTTCGTTGCCCAAATATGATCCCGACTCCCGAGCGGAATCAGCACTAACGGCGTGGCGGAGAGTCTTGGCGTTTGAGTATTTGTCATCTCGTGTCCCGTTTGGGGCTAGCCCGGGCTGACACTCGGCCATTGATCTATACGGAGTCAGCAACCATGAGATGGTTCAAGGAAACAAGGCCCGTTCTGGTTGTGGCTTTCCAGAATGACGTACTGCTTAAGTACACCCTTCGTGGAAATGTGCAGTCATATTTCGGTGTGCTTAAAATTCGGCTGCCGAGATATATTCTTGCGGCATGGATTTGGAATCTGCGGTCTGACAAAACGCCCTAACGGCCTGTTTCAAATAATCTTGGCTTTGCCAATGAATGTGCTACGATATCCCTGCAGTTTGCGCCCGGTAGTACGTCAGTTCGAACTGAGTTTCCATTTTCATTTGTTGTCCTTGGAATCGTTAACGTGATGGGCATCCGGTGCTGAAATAACCGGGCAAATATCCGACCGAAGGAGTCTAGACAGCGTATATTGTGAACTAATCGAGGTATTGCAGACCGCCACGGGGAACAGGCAGGATATAGTATAAGTGACATTGGGGTCAAGCAAACCGTGTCCTCTCCATCACATTCGCCAAGCCGGTCCCGGCACTCAAGAATCAGGAACCGGACACCAGTCGTAGTTCCCATCGACATTATTGCCCCACCACGAGGGGAATGGGTGTGACTTTCCGCCGGCCCCGAAAACAGCAAAGGATAAGATGAAGAGCACCGTGAGACTGGCCCCGTCAAAAGCACCCGTCACGAGGTATGAGTAGTCCTTGAATATCTTTGGATGATAGTTGCGCAGAAAGAACTGAATGAAGAAGCCGGAGAGAATCCAACTGAAGATGACACAGGTCTGGCTCTGGTTGTAGGGGATGTAACCGGCGTATTGGATGAACTGGGCCATGTTGATTTCTGCCACATCCACGGATCCGATGCGGGGAAGCAACTGTACAGAAGAATTTGTTGTTAGACACGGTGATGCTTTATGTATTGTCTTGGGGTCACGTACTTTGTAAAAGAAGCGGTGTACAATGACAACTCCTGCACCCACCGCGATACCAATCGGGACAAGAGAATATCGGCCACCAATCTTGTATAGATAAGGCGAGAGAGCCCAAGAGGTCGCATTACTGACATAGGCCTGGATCGTGGCTCCGCTCCAGGAGGAATTGCCGTTGCCATCTACCAACAGCTCGCGATTGGAAGTCACGATTGAGATCATGACGGCGTAGTTGATGAAGCCACCGAGGATAGTGCCATACATCTGGGTCAGAAACATGATGCGAGGAGGTATTTTCACTGATTTGGAAGGTGAGATTCAAGTTGCAATGTTCTGAAGGGGTAGGACCTCTTACGATATTCGCCCATTTTGAGGTCGTTGGATAGATTTACAGCGTTGGATATCACGTTGTGGGACCAGGCAGCAAAGTACATGTTGCCTACTGGCTTTCCGGGGATGATCAGACCAGCCAGCATCTTCGAAAGGTTGTTGGTGGCAATTCCGTTACCATAACGAGAGTAGAGAATGACACTCTAGAGTAACGCCTCAGCCACAGTTTCCTTATAGAGGATTGAATCGAGGGATACTCACGAAGGGCGCAATGATGATTCCAACAACCAGTGAGATCACATAAGCCCAAACAGGCAGTGTGATATTCTCTTTGATGACAACAACCAAACCAAGGATGAAGCTGCCGAGAAGCACAAAAGCATACCACCACCACGGTGTCTCTTTATAGTGTTTGGCCATGTGGTCATGATGCCGATCGTCGTATCGGCCTTCCCTTGCACTCTTATAGGCCCGTCGAATATCTTTGCCCCAAAAGAGAATGCAATGGACGATCAAAGCTCCAATCTGAGAGAGTTAGCGACAAAGCTCGTTGATTCATAGGAACTAGCACTTACAGCAGCGTTCGCGCAAAACAACGACCAGGCAAACGTTCCTGTTAGGTGCGGAGTTCCATGTTGCGCCAATTGGGCCTCGTCGAGCACGCCCCCTGGAAACACGCTATCTACAGGATATGAAGTTCCGTTGGCGTTAAGCAACTTTGTCGACATAAATGGAAGAGATCGTGCATTCCACCCATTGCCGTAGTAGATGGCAAGCATGAAAATGAAACAGGCGCCGATCCCCACCGCCTGGTGGACTTGAAGTGACAAAGGCAGGGATGTTTGGAACGATGTGATCTGTTCGTGTGAGCTTTGCCAGCTTGCTGTATGTTAACCTGTGAAAATGATGCCTTACATATTGCCAGTCAAAAGAGAGAGAGAAAAGGCCTAGACCCTCATTGGTGCTAGCTCCACCGAAGAGATTTGTTAACACAGCAGCTTTGCTTCCGGTCGCCTTCTGGGCAGCCAAGCACTGCATATTTCCACATTAGCCACCCAAACGCATCAACTGTCTCTGGCATGAACTTATGGAGCACGTACCGGAATGGAAACCGAATTCAGCCACGGGAAAATGTAAGCAGGGATAATTTCGTAGATTGACATGCCCGTGAATGCATACCAAAACCATCTCAGTGGCTTGGAATTCTTCACTTGCTGCCAATGAAGCCCCTGGAGAGTCTTTACGGTGGGCAATGTGCTCCAGTAAACTGCTTCAGTGTGCCAAACGGCTATCGGGCGCATTATGCCACATAGCCCATACCCAAACAATCCGATAGATATGGTACTAAGAATGACCGTTGCCGCGCTCAAAGGGAGGTCATAGAAGAGGTTTTGTGCTGCGAATACGGTCGAGGCGGAGGCAACGTTGGAGGCCGATGCCGCGGTGATTGCGCATATCGAGTGTTCTTTCAATGACCAGGGCCCGTGATTTATGAATTTGACAACTGATAGCCATACGGGAAGCTTGCCTTGGTTACCTTTCGCTCTCCAGCGAGCCTCAAGTTTATCGCCGCGGGGCAATAGATTGGCCCAAGCATTGCCAACGAAGTAGGAAAGCAAAACGATAAAGGTTCCTTGAATTGTGACCAAGGTGGGTTTGAACTAGAAGGACAGGTGTTAGGCGAATGACTCAAAGGGCAACATAACTATTGAATGGTGCCCGTTACCTGGTATATCTGGTTCATCACAGCCTGGAAACATGCAAACCCCGAAGCCAGCACGATGCTGCGAAGAGTCAAGGCGCTGTCAAAGTCATCCCGAAGAGGCAACAAGTGCTGCGCTGCATCGGCACCAGTCACGATAATGACATCCTCGCTATTCCGATCGTCTTCGTCGCTAGGGGCTGTTTCCCCTTTCGCTGCCACACTTACTGCGCCTTTCTCATCAACGGACCCCTGTTTGGGGTCCGAGTGACCGTCGACTGTGACATCGTGGGCAATTGGTGACATGGTTGGTTCGGTGCGCTCACAACTTTGGGGACTGAGAAGGTAAGGCATCATTTATATTTCAAATGGCCCAGTAAGTGATGCCATTCTACACTTCGATGACCTTATCGCCAAACAACCCAGTCGCCCCTGCCATGTTCTACTGCAACACACCAGAGCTCAGCCCGCCCAATCGAATCGCCAACGTATATTCCACCGGGTTGTTTCTTTGTTTGTTATCAACCCGGAAACTAGAGTCTTCCGCGGAATCCTTCCTTTGCTTCACAGTTGTGGCGTGTTGGATCCCTTAAACGGAGTTTATCGCTAATCAGGCATTTGCCCTAACCGACGATACTATCCGGTGGCGCTCAGCCTTAATGAGCGGGCATAAAATGACTCGCTAACATAGTTAGTTAGTTCAATTGAACGCATATGGATGGTCACTCGGATGGAAGTCCGTCGGACTACCTGCATGACACCTTATCGAACCAATAAGCCGATCCCGCTAATTCGACTTCATCCAAGGCTAGTTGACACTAGCCAAGCACCGATCACACCTACTGTAACCCTACTTGCGGCATGGGTAGTTTTCGAACAAAGACAGGGAACATGCGATGAGCCGATACGCTCAGCAACAAATGTCTCAGGCTATTTCGACCATGCCATATGGAGTGCTAGTAGGCTTATCGACTTTGTCGGTGGCATTGCATGTCCACGTGCGTCGGAGCTCAGGGTTTGGGTAGGCAATTAACACTGACAGCATCCAATGCTATGCATGGTATCCGAAGGCAAGCGAAGCAAGACACACAAGATAAAAAGCCTAATTATATGGAACCAGGGCAAGCTTTCTCTCCATTCTTGGCCTCAATCAAATATCCAGCGCGAACATCCGGGTATGGACGGATACAAGTCGAATTGGGCGTCAGTGACCAAAAGTAAAAACGCCCCGCGACTGCATCAGGTACCCCTTTAGCGTTCCATAATTGAGATCACTTAAAATCTCTATCCCTCAGGTGAATAGCGAAACTTTTGAAAAAATAATCAATTCAATCAATTCTCATTGAAAATTACCTATTAAAATGGCAAGATAGAGATATCTAGGTTATCGTGCTTCGAGATTGGGAGGAGGGATTTAGAACATGCCAATCAAAATGTATAGCAGCTCCAGGTGCCACCTGAGAAAATAATTCAACCTCACTAGCCCAGAAAACCCATGCTAGGGTCCCCAACTGTACGACGTTGACATGCACGCCAGCCCGAACGAAGATTAGTGCAAGTCCAGAGAATGTTCCCGCCAGGTTTTCTTAGGCCCATTACTGTACTACCCTTCGTAGAGAACCGGTTTTTCCAAACCTGTCGGGCAAAGACAGATCAAGTGCATGTATATGTACGTGCTATGGTTTAAAGGTATTCCATTCAAACTAGTTCGTTGTTCTCAGTAAATTGCATCCGAGTAAAGGTAGCCTCCAGTACGGATTACGCCATATGCAGCATTTCTGCGTCTATGGTAACCTAGGCACCCTACGGAGTAATCCGGTGTAGAGTGGGATGTCTTTCGCATTATTCGGAAAAGCCGAAACGAACACTGTAAGGGTCCCAATTCGCACTAACGTATGCCGGGATAGGAATAATCCAGACACCAAATGACCAGGCCACAACCAGACTAGGCGGATTTTGTTTCGCTTCACGGGTCATTTCATTGGCTGTGCCCCTCGTTGCCTTATCATCACATATTCAGAATTAGCAAACTTGATCTAAGCTCGCGCATGACATGTTGAATCTTCCGAGTTGAGTGAATTAAAAAGACCTTCTACGCTTATAAATAGCCCTAAGCCGATCGAGGAGTAAATGTATACCATCAGGGAGAGGTTAGCGAAATATCCAACGCGATAGAGCTCACTGGGATCTTAGAAAGACTAATAAAATCAGGTTCGCTTTTATTCGGACCGGAATTAATCTCTAGTCTTGGTACTTGGGGAAGACAAAGTCGAAGAACGTCGTTGTCTGAAGGCCCAACAGCATGGAGCATAATGTTCACTACCGAGCACTCGCGGACACTTCCCAATCCCTGGTTAACAAGAATTAAAATGCGCATGTTGTTTCGCAATAGCATCAAATGAAAGAACTTTCTCGCAGAGTCACCATAGCCCCGGGATTTGTAGCGAAGAAATGATTTGACGTCATCTTCATTTCCCGGTTGAGCTCAGCGTCTTCTGCTCCCTCTTTTGTTTAAAGACGATAACCTTCTTGCTGGCAAGATCTCGAATGTGTCGGAAGTTGCTCGACCCCTTAATGCAAGGGGGTTAAAGTAATAGGCCAGTCCAGTGCACGAATGGCACAGCTGCAGCATAAGAATTAATTCGTGCGACGACCGAGATTGGGGATGAATTTCCTACAGTGCCCTATAATGCAGTACGCAAATACTATCGCTACTAAAAGACGCCAGAGTGATGATACCGCAGTATATATGAAAATCTGATCTTGAGACCGTTGACACCACCCTCGCCCAGCAATCGTTCCCGGGAATCCCTTGGTTCTTGGAAACCTTTCTATTTCGTCTTGCTGCGTGGCGTCGACATCAGCAGCCTGCCGTTTTAGGTAAACAGGTCATGATCGTATCATCAGTGAGACTTTCAATGAATCGCTTGCCTCGGTGACCGCTTCTTACTGTGCAGGAACCTTTCCCTAGAACCTTCACGAGACTGTCAAAGACCCCACAGGAATGATGTTGTTGACTTTGCAGCTGCTCAGATAAGAGTTCAAACTTTCAAATTGGCTGACTAATATAAGAATGCACTAGGGGTGTTTGATAAATCGGCGCATTCACGCCCTGATTCAGCCTTTCCTGCCGCCTACTCCCCAGAACCGACAGTATTTCACTCTCTCATCAATTGGCACCTAGTAAAAGAACAGAAGCAACCTTATGGCGGGCCTTTTCAAGCCATATCACCTGTCCCCGTTGGACCATTTGATCCCGCCTATATATCCGACCGTTTTCACGTCATTTGCACTTCGGGACACCACTAGTGGCATCTCTGCGCTTGACAAAGGTGTCCACCGGTTGGTACAACACCTATCCTTCCTAGGTGGAAACGCCGTCTTTAAGAACACTTCGAAAACTCGGAATGTACTACAAGTCCGACCTGGCAATCGTCAGTTCCTGGTGGATTATCCCATGTTGCACAAGAAGGTTCATTCACAGGGCATATCATATATTCAGAATTCAGCTATATTCAGCAATGATTTCTCTGGCTTTCCTCTAGAGATAGTACGGCGTGAAGCTTACCCTCTAATCCGCTTCCAGGTAAATATCATGCGTGACGGGATCAGTTTAGCAACCACTCTTTTTCATCCCGCGATGGACGGAGCAGGCTGCTTTAATATTCTTCAATCACTTGTTGCACACTGTTGTTCGGCGGAGCATTCAGCACCCATCACTTCACCCCAGGAACAGCAAGATATAAGGGAGAGGGTCCGCAGTGTTAGACAAGGCACTGTGGCTCTCTCCAACAACGAAGCATATGGGGTTCACTTCAATTTGGACACACCCAGTATCAGCCGCAAGCTTTACTTCTCTAATGATACGCTGGAATATTTGAGGGATCTATGTCAAATCTCTCATGATCAAGGCCTTGATCACGCCAATGCGAGAACAAGGATATTTCTCAACGATGTGCCTCAGCCTTGATCTGGCTATGTGTGGTCCGAGCACGTGGCAAAGTAAACGGCACGTCGACTTCAACATCAACATCGCGATCTTCCTCTATGGTGACAACCATTAATGCGCGGTCAAATGTCGACTCTCTGATTCCCGATAACCATATAGGAAACGCAATCGTGTTTGCGGCTACGACCTACCCAAGATCACCGATGCTAGAGCAGGAATCAAGTTTATTTACCTTGGTCAAGGACTTGGTCTTCCGTGCCCACAAAGCACGTAAGGCTGTCGACGACAAACAGGTCAAGGCCACGATTACGCACGTCAATGCCAGTCATGACTGGGCATCCTTTACCTTCAAACTACCGGAGATGGCGTTTAGTAACCTCCGACGTACCAAAGTATACGAATTGGATTTTGGCTCGAGTCTGGGCAACATTGAGCGTTTTGAAATGCCGGATCCTCGAATTGCTGGAGGGTGCTGGATCTTGCCAGCACGTACTGTCAAGGAAGGTCCTGTAGCCTAAAGTTAGCTATCTTCTACTCCGGTCTGAGGTTCCGTTGCTATCCCATAGTGACGTCTCCATTAGGCACGCATTGCATCACCTGACCCATGAGTCAAAGTCCATCCCCTTCATCCACCATCTTTCCTTCACTACCCACACCCCATCGTCGTGATTTTTCATCACACCAAAACAATGAACGCAACTGAAGTTCCTAAAACACCGCCAGCTCCGCGCGCGCGTCAACTCCCCCAGAAACATGAAACCCCTGCTGGGCTGCCCAAAGGAAGCAGTCCAAGCGAGCCGAATACGCCAACCAAGGATGACGCCGCAAAGACCCCCGACGTGCGTCCTATCAGCCCCCCTCCCATAAAAACAACCATCCACCCTCGCGAGCCGGAAAACCCCTCATCACGAACTTGGAGAGTGTCTCATGCCGACATAAATGACCTCACTCCCGAGGAGCGATCTCTACGCGAGGAACGGATGGAGGAAGAAGAAGCAGAGAGGGCCTATTACCTGCGCCACCCCCATGCATTTTTTGAACGTTTTCTCAACAGAATGCTTTCGCAGTCTCGGGACCATTTTGGGGAAAAGATAAATGGTAGTGCTATTTCTTGATACTTAACTTCCCTGGATGCTTACTAACATATATGGTTTCTGGTCCAGGCAAGCTGGAAGACGAGGAGGAGATTGATATTTGGGAAGGGCACTCTGATATTTTGGAAGGGCGAGTTTAGGGACGAGGACGGGGGAAGTCACAAGAGCGCAGACGGGAGGAAATAAATGCCAGATAGAATATGTGAATATGACCAAGACTTTATTTTGCTATGAATGAAAAGATCGAACCGACCTCCACCAGCGTTTAGCAGTAAAATTATGTCAACTCTGGCCAAAGTCTGCTTCTTGTGCACCATAAAAAGGCGCAAATTTGGTCTATTCCAGCCATATTGCGGGAGTCGTCAGAACTAACTATAGATCTTTGATGCAAGCAGGCATATGACCAAAGTGTTCTGCAAGACAGTAGCTTAATCAGTTATATCAGGATCTATAGGTTTCTAATATGTGGCCCACATCCGGCACATAATACTTCCGCTAAGCATAATTTGACACCCTGAGAAATTTCTTTAGCCAAGAACATGATACTTGCAACAATCCTAAGAGGGGGGGCGACATACTCGATCAAATTTCCATCTGGGTCGCGCACATAAACACTCAGGATTTTGCCCCGTGCGCCAGTCCGCTCCACCACCTTGTCACCCTCCAGAACCTGCGAAAATTATTTAGCGTCTGAACCTTTCATTGGCATGATGTTTTTTACCTCAATATTTGCATCTCAGAATTGCTGAAGCACGCACTCGACATTCGTGTCGGTCAGGAAGCATAAATCAGCACTCCCGGGCTGCACGTTCTGTGCCTTGGGCTCGAACTCCTTGGTGAACTGGTGGAGGTTAATTTTTTGAGAGCCAATAATAAGGGCATTCCTGTTCGAAAAAAAAGCAAGACGCCATTAGCGACATCTAAATATAAATAAATTTCGCATCTCCTTGCCTCTCAATGTCCCTATTGGCAGGCGAGATGAACATTTCATGTCGCATGCCAAGATGGGTGGTGTAAAAGGCGACGGTCGCCGGAATGGACCGGACAGTAAGGACGAGGTGATCAAGTGATCCCACTGCAAATTTAGCCATTCTGAGAGCATGGAATGATGTTCTATCGGCTGTATAAAGGTGAATTGGTTCTTGGATAGCATTTGGGAATAAGATACGAACAGCTGCCCTCGGCAAAGAAGGCCGAGTTGCTTCTCGGCAAGTTGAGAACATCCCGACCCGTGTCCGGGGAGTGAAGTGTGGGGTTATGCTCTTAGCCTCTTCCCCACCAAATCCAATTGAATTCATATCATAGAGAATCACAGTATATCTACTCAACCAATAAATTAAACTGCGCTCTCATAGCGCGAGCAATAATCTTAACCCTGGGCAGCCATTACCTCAAAGCTATCGAGTATCATACTAGCCGTTAGTGCATCGCTTCCTGGCTCGGGGGTTGATAGCTGTTGGATAACATATTGAAGGGATTGTGTGTAGTAGCATGTCGCAACCGGTACCTAAGTCTCGCCCGAACTACGAAAAGAGAGATGCCGCGCAATATAAGCATATATGTGGCGGCTAAGAGCTCCGCGGTCAGGACTAGAGAAGTAAATTCGCGGTGATATGTGTCCTTGATATCAAACAATCCATGTATTTAGCGAGCTCCTGCTGATATTCGTTGAGAAATGAGAAGATAGACCATTTCTGAGGTTAGCGACACCATTGAGTACAGCGCTTTCTGATAAGATGGCTTTTCACGACCATAGGCCTGGTTAACGAACTAGATGGCAAGGGGACCGAATCGTTGCAATGGGAACACCATGGTCTGGGCAGACTCGTGCCTAGACTATCACATGATCAAATACCTGCTGATTAAGTGGTTGGGTACAGCTCGCTGTCACGGTACAGCTTGCGAAATTATTGAGAAAGACAGTCAACTTAGCAAGAATACCGGTGTCCTATCGGACTGGCTGTATATATGTGACAAGTTAGCAACATATATCAAACATGACGACCAGCTAGAACTCCGTTTAATGTGCGATGCTGCAACCAAAGAAACTGCTGCAGCCTTCTTGGATCCACTCCAATATCTTCCTCGGTTAAGGGAATGGTCAATCCGTTTGGGCCCTTATTGGTATCCAGATCTCCAGCAAATAATTATGACGACAATACGGCAAAATACCAGATATCTCGGACAATCTCCAGTGATCTTTCGATTTTTTGATCTGCCCCTTGAACTTCAACTACGCATACTAGAGTTCTCAGATATTGTTGCTCCTACGTCACTAATATACTCATCGCTCCGGAATAGATTTGTCCACCGAAAATGTGAGGGACTTTGTTGTAATGCGTTTTCTTGGGGCCGGCGTCAGCCCGGTGACAGATACTACTGCCCATCAACACATACGGCGTTCTCTACCGCTCTGCCATGCTGGGAGACACCAGATATGATATTTCTAGTTAGCGAGACAATAAGGCAACTAGCAATACCGATTTTGTATTCCAAAAACATCCTCGAAGTCCAATGTGACCCCACAGGCTCGGCAGCAGGCGCAGCATGGAGCGGACAAAAATCGGCATTTCTTCGCTGTTTCCCAAAAAGTTCATTTCCACACCTGCGCCATATCTACTGGAAGCTTCCTAACGTGAATAATCGTCGGGCATTTCAACCGAATAATAAGGAGACAGAGGACTGGATTATCTCCCTTTACTTTATTTCCCTTGCAATCCCTCCTGGCAAACCAATTTTAGAATTGGATCTGTCCAATGCCAGAGAGATACCCTGGTATCCAGAAAATCCAGAGAAGATTGCTTTTGAGTGGGCGCTTTATGATCGGGTTTTGGAGCCAATGGTTTGCTTAAGGGGTCTACTAAAGGACCTTTGGATCCACTTGTGGTATCCTTTACATCCTACATTAGAGCAGATGCGAGTAGGCAAGGAGCAATCACTGGAACAGAGCATAATGGGGAGTAATTATGACAGTTTTGCACGCGGGAAGAAGACCACAGAACCGGTAGTTACATGACTATTAGTCTGGTATTGGGGGTTTTGGCAGTAACTAAATAGCGGCAACTTATCTAAGATTGCGTCATACGTCTATATAGGATAGGCTATAATTCCTTTCTCTAACAGTGGTATATTATTCTATCTGACATGAAAAACCTTCCCCATATAGCTATGACCAGTCCACATGCATGGTAGGGCCCAGTATCTCCTGTTAGATCTCCGTGCGTCTTAGAGAACAGATTATTTATAGTATACCAGGAATATTCGCAGGAACCACAGGCTAAGCCTTTAGTAATATACATCCACGAAATCTTTTCCTGTATTTCCTGTATAATACATAGAGGCAGAAAGGTTTCTGCCTTATTTATTTATTAAACTTCACAGTCATAGTTAAACTATGTGGCCTCCTCTCTTAGGTACATGTGACATGGTGAAACATGACAGCCTACTCAGTATTGTTAAGCAGAGAGTATGGACTAATTACATAGTACTTCAGGCTTAGCCATCGTCGGTTTTCATTACATATAAACTCTAACGTAATTCCTTAAAACTAATTAATATCCTATGATAGACCCGAAGTTCAATTCGCTGAGGAGGTGTAGTGCTTTGAATCCGTCGTCAAGGCCTTGTTGCGTGCTTCATGCCGGAACTATATATATATCTCCAGCTCAACCTGTTGTGGCGTAATCTCAACAACATTGTCAATGCAATGGCTCAGCCAAACCCAAGAATTCAAGGAGAGAAGCCAGGCATACCGGGGAAATCCGATCTATTCCACTATACGTATATAGCTATTGTGCCAGCGTCTTTTGTTTGACAATCATCCGATGTTGAAGTGAAGTGGTTATATTTGCTGACGATAAAGCATTCCTCGCTTGCGATTTCAAATACTACTCTCATGTGTACAAGCATGAATTTGTTGGAGAAACAAAAATAAAGTAGAGTAATTAAGATGTAATGGTTTGCATTGCAATGCGCATCACATCTTTACATTGCCTCATACGTTATCCCTTTCTACTTCACGACTAAACATGTTTGAAAGACGTTGACCCAAGAGAACCTCTCCTTCCCTCACAATTATTTCAACGACCAAATCTACTGGTAGAGCCCATGAATTCGACCATCCCTGCAGCTTTCACGAATCTATACATTAATACGAATTTCACCCACTATAGGCCAGCAATATGCTCCCCAACTGCATGAATTGCCGAGCGAAGAGTAAATCAACTTACCATGAGACTTGAGTCAACAAGGCTTTTGCAACTGCCTCCTTCGGGGTTTGGAATTTTCCTCGTGCTCTGCATGACATGGAGACAAATTTAGAATGCTCGATAACAAGTTACCAAAGGTCGCGGTTGTTGAAGCTGGCTACCTGTGGAGCTCCCCCATGCTTGATTTTGAATTCTTGGTGGCCTCACAGAGTATTCCTATGTAGCGTCCAACGCTACAATGGTCAGCCCTATTCCGGTAAAGAAGACGTAGAAGAGGGCAGAGGTCTAGTTTATAGAGAACGAGGCAAAAGGAATTATTTTCTAGAAAGCCTACCTGAAGAGATGCCGTGGGGAACTGTCTTTCTATCATCCTGATACCTATTCAACATTATTAAGGAGATCAAAAGCATAATCTTTCTCGGGGAAGAAGTGCGGCATTAGAACTAAGCGGTTATTTTCGGAGTTCCGCCTATGTTTGTGGGGAAACAGTTAAATTAGGCAAGCATGGCGATGACGGCGGAACAATTTCACTCGGAGAGGAAGACCTGTTATGTTGCATTCTTGGACAAGGCTAAGCATTGTATTTCAGTTGGGACTTGGCGGAATGAAGGGGACTTAACCACTCCTTCACCCAAAGGATGTTAGAGATATTTGGCGTATACTTCGGTGTGTTTAACAAATCCATGAGAGGGAAACCAATCGAAGACGATGGTCGTGTTGAGAGCCTTCTGCGCCAGAAGAAACCTTGCTGCAAGGAAAGAAGGCCAAGCTAAAACATACGAAACATGGGTAGAACCGACTGCCGTCTTAGCTACTCGCACCGGCCAATAAAATTGACCACGCGATGGTTTGGAATGTTTCACTGTAAACGAACACCGAGCTCCTTGGCCAAACCGTTTGAGAAAGAGTGAAAAGCCTGGCTGCATGGTGATGCTGGCTCGTTCTCACCGCAGCGTGGCTGAGGGCGGCCCGTTCAGGACCCCTGCCTGGGGTCCAAGGCCACGCGGCCGTCAACCTGCGGCCCAACCACAAGTCTTACGTTCCTTGGACATTGTTGGTATTGGAAACTCGAATGTTCTTACGGTCCTTTCTCTGGAGTAGGAAGAAGCCTGAGAATGGAGAGAGACAATGATGGTCCGGGAAGCCATCCGGATCTTCCTACTGATGCCGACAGTGATCGAATATCAATGGAGTGATTCGTGGAGCCAGCCCTTGAGTTAGACACAGATTTGCTGGGGAAGATCGACCGCTGTCACACGTCAAGGCACAAGTGAGGCAGTGCCTAAGGGTTGTGCCGTGCTGAGCCGCACAGACAGAAGGATTTAGAAATGGACGCGTTAGAATATGGGGAAATGGCATGATAGTCGACTGCCGGCTACCCCTTACTCCATCTCCATAGCCAATTAGAGAACAAATCTAGTCAACTCGTGCCTGTAGCGTTGCACTCAGACAAACCGTCGGCCGACTTTGGGGCCGGGGGCCAAAGAATGGGGCTCCACGGCCCCTAACCTGCAGGCTCAAAAAGGCGCTAGAAGCCGCTTCCGCCCCGACGGCCCCAGAAGTAGTCAGCCAAGCAAAGCATGAGCTTGTTAAGGATCTCAGCAGATTACATACGTTGACTCGGGCTGGGAAACTGTGTACTATTCTGGTCCTGCCGTCATGATAGACAGCCCCCTATCCACCTTCGCACTGAAGAAAGACTACAAGCCTGCAAAACCAACATATGAAGCAAGAGATCATAATACACATCAAGCTGAAGAATCTTACTCAGAAAACCGTCCAGAGTAGCATTGGAGGAAGGATAAACAGGAAATCATCGATTGTTGATTTTGCGGCTAATCAGCATGTTTGATCATTATTCGCTTGTTCGGCTAACCCCTGTAACCTAGAGTATAGGGTCAATGTTACTGTGCAGGGGTCTGTATATACTTATTCTGTACTAGACTACGCAAAGACTTGGCCCCTTGGGGCCATTCGAGATCGATTCACATCGCCCATCTGACATGCATTGCGGGCTGGGGTCAACCCTCTAGAATCAGAGCTTATTTCCAACAGCACCACCTCGAGAGTTCAGGGTATTGGATCCGCCCTGGAAGCCAAGCCGGACCAGGAGTGAGATTGTCTATCCATCTAATCTCATCTTGGGTTAGTTTGATGCATAGCCCTTTATTTCGGCCCCTGCTCAACAACAGTGATGCGCCAGGCATCGTTCCAACTTACGCAACCTACGCATTTCCAAGTATAGGCCGCGAAGAAAAGGCAATCTAGAATGAGGGAAATAGAGGCAGTATAGAGACACGAAAAGACATAAATAGACCCATCCTCTCGCCTCAAATCAAAGCATCATCACTCACTCACAAACACTCTCTTCAACAGCCTCCAGCTTCTCTATCCACTCTCTTAATCTACATTCTTTGATCGGAATTCCCAGGCGGAAAACCCAAAACAGTCAATCATTCAAAATGCAGTTCTTCTACCTCTTCTCTGCTATTGCCCTCATCTCCGGCGCCGTTGCCGGCCCCGTCGTTCAGGCTCGCGACGAGAACACTGTCCTCGGATACAAGGAGGAGTGCGCTTCCGACGGCAGCCTCGGCTACTGTGACGAAGGCTACTACTGCAAGGTATGCCGAGTCTCTATTAGATACAAATGGCTTCGCGACATTGAAAAGGATACCACTAACGGCTTGTCTAGGTGGATGTCTCCGAGAGCACCGGCAAGTGCTGCACCGAGGGTGCTGGCTGGGCCATGTGCTAAACAGCTTGACCGATATATTATCGAAAGCTCGACTTTTGGTCGCCGGACCTAATCTCAGCGACAATAGGAGGAAGATGTTCAGAGACGGAGGGGTTGTTTGAAAGTGTTCAGTGGAGGAAGATGTATCTAGAGTTTTGATTGCGTTCCAATTAAAGAAGCCTTTGGTCTTCACATCTATCTTCCTTGGCTCTATTTCGGGGCTTTAGTTAACCGGCATTTTGGGTCAACCACTGGGCAAAAGCCGTCCTAGAATCTTCAAATGCTAACGACTACGCGAGGAGCTCTTTGCAATGTGGCTAAGTGGAAGCAGACCTGGAAGTGAATACAATAACATTTAACAAGAACCTCAATTGCACTATCAGGCTTCATTTACAACAAAACCACTTCCTGCTCGTATCCATATCCAAGGAAACAAACTTGAAAGGCACATCTTTCACCTGATACAGTTCTGCGGGATTTTTTCTAGCCCCAACATACACTTCAAAAATACTTGTCTGCTGAATCTGACGTAGTGGATCTAGCACTTCATGGATTTGGTCTTGGAGAAGTGCCGAGCCACCAATGTGCATATATAGTTCTCGTAGACTGGAGAGAGTAGCCAGTATTAGGCACACTTCTTCCCAAGTGGCGAAGTCATATGGGGGGATTTGTTTCGCTGTTTTACGGTCACCGAGCGTGAGGTGGGGGAAGGCATAGACAAAGTGCATGGTACGAAGGAGATTTATGCGAGAAGGGATGATTGTCTGAGAAAGGTTGAGGATTGTATCGACGTGGTTGAAATAGAAGGCACTTTCTCGATACAATATGGGGATGGCTTCCGAGTAGCTATAGGACTATCAACTTCAAGATCATGGCTTGGTCTTTGTAGTGGGAGCAGAAACGCAAAGCGTAACAGAGCAACTTACACCATACGGCACGTCTGAAGCAAGGGAATTGGGTCCGGGAACAAGGGGCAATTATCCGTTCCAAGCAGATACCCCGGGCAAACACCGTGATATCCCGGGAACGCTTTGTCCGAGTAACCCCAGCATGAGTGCTCACAAGCAGGGTACCGACGTTCTTTCTCTTCACCATGACACTGGCTGGCAACGAGCTTCCTTTTATCCCGCACCAAATGTAGGTCAAATGAACCAAGGAGGCATTTCCAAATTCTTTGACGTATCTCCAAAGGCAGAGACCCGAGCAACAATGATTGTTTCTGCGCACATGCGTACTGTTTCTTGGTTGATGTCTTCTGTCCTTGGGACTGGATATCGAGAAAAGAGGCTTTCTTTCCTTCCTCTGACAGGCTTAATGTTCGAGGTCTTTGTGAAGGAAGAAGCTTTGGAGCGTACTTCTTCCTCCTTTTCGGATGTCTCTCGGAATGTTGGCGCCCGGCACGAAAGATAGTGCCGATGTAAACAATTTCCCCAACATGTCCGTCAGATGCTATATTCGCCGGTAAAAAGGGAATGGCAGAACCAATACGACTTGTTGTTATCGGCGCAATGTCGTGGATCAGTTCAATGTACAAGGGTTGGAAGTATAAATCTGCAGGGGGAAAAAGATAAGAAAAGAAAGAACGAGTATAGAAAGATTTAAGAAATAACATATGAAATGCAAGGACCAAATAGTAATATACGAAGTTATGATGCGCCCAAGCGCCGAAACAAAGTTTAGGGGAAAAAAAGCGCCTCAGTGTTCAGCTGTCGGTAGCTAAAGGTCCCGGGCGCTGAGAATCGGTCGCATCGAATCGACCGTGATAGCCATGACAGACATGGGGAGGTGGATCAGAACACGCGTGAAGCATTTGGCCAAACAAAGAAATAGAACAGACCATTACAGTTCAGCCTTTCGCGCAGTTTCTTATCTCGCAAGCTGAAATCGGCGATCGAACCACACAATAGGTATCCCCAGTGATTGCTGGCGAAAAGTGTTCAGCTCCGAAAACAAAGAGGATCGATCATATATGCATTTAGCCTACGGGGATCTGCATCACGTTGTAGATTTTCGCGCCTCAGCTAACAAGACAGTGCGTTTCATTTGTTGAACGAATGGACCTAGCCCGCGAATTAAACTTTGCCTATGTGCAAACCTGTAGATATTTTAGCACAGTCCGTACTAGCCCCTGAAATAAGGAAACCTGAGCCCAGTTTAGTTTGCTCTGCAAAAACATTCACAGGAACTACTGGACTACTCGTCTTCTCAACACACGCTGCGGCGGCCCGTCAGACCAAAACCGACGGAATTTGTTCGTCAGCCTCCTCCAACAGCGCTAATTGCTGTGACCTTAGTGGCTTCTAGATCTTTTGCAACCCGTATAATAGTTGATGCTATTGTAAAGTATGTGGTTCCCAAAGACTATAATATTAGATAACAAGTGTATCCGGGCATACTTGCTAGAGAATTAAATTCAAGATTGAACGTGATTCATTACTACCATTTCAGATAGCATATCCAGCAAGAATGAAATTTCTACTCAGTGGTTTGCTATTTTATCTATCGCTCATGCTAGGCTTCATACAGAACGTTGATGGCTATGCACTAGACAAGCGCTGCAATAATCTAGATATGCACTTCGAGTACCCAGTATCCACAAAGTGAGAAAATAAAGAAAATGAAAAACGATTAATTCGCGTGTAAAATGACAGGATACGAAGACCTTGCTAGAGAGGCAATAATTAAAATGCTTGAATTCTCCCAAACAGCTCAAGACGCCCTGCAGGCCCTTAAAAATAAAACAAACAATGAGGCCCAGATAGATCTTTTCGAATACATATTTAGCTTTGCCGTTGAAAAGGCCAATGGTCAGAAACGCGTCAAACTGAATAACTGGAAAACAATTTACAAAATATACACCAAGATCCTAACCTTCGCTCCCGTCAAACAACTAAACGAAGATATTCCCACAACTAATGTCGTCATTTATTGTGACTATTCACGATTCATCGAAGAGAAAGATTGCGACAGCAAAAGAAAGAGAGATATTGCCTGCGATAAGGACACAAGTCTCAATAACAAAATAACTTTCGGATAGAAGCAATGCAAAAGCAACATGACTTATATTCCCTCATAGTTGATATGCCCTCGTATCTTGTAGATAAATTCACGTTTTGCTAATGAATCACATCACCGCAAAAGCTTTGGCAGAAGCGAATGGTAGCCATAGATTTGCACAGATTAATCTTTGTGCTTGATATTTGAATTTTGTTTCCACTTCTAAGAAACAATTTTGGGTGAGCTGCTGGATTCAACGGTACAAGACATATCTAACAAATACAGAATGATGTTATCATGAGGTCAATCAATTCATAAGATTATCATTAGGATGTATCAACGCACGAGAATGGATACCCATGCCCTACACGACCATACAATTTTGCATAAATTAACACACGCCCCTTCCAAAAATGCTGCAGACGACGTCAAGGAAAATCGCAGCTATAATACGATTTGAAAATATGCCTGACCTTTAAGAAAACTCGCTGAGATCAATAAGATGAAAAAGATACGTGACGATAGGAAAGACACTGGCAGCTGCAGGAAACGCGAATAATTATGCATACTTTAATCTTGATAAGATACCATAATTGGCCATGATTACATCAACATTAATTATAATACATGATACAAGGAGCCAGAATGATCAGTCCAGATGCTGGGACATTACCGACGAGACCGAATAGGAACGGCTCGATCTCCGCTCTCTCGGATGCAACTCATGAGGCTATTGGGGGTTGAGATACTGAATACATGCCTAAGAGCTACCTGCTACTGTGATGGGATATCAACAAAACAGACACATGCTGTGCAACCTGCCACAATAAAACACGACATTAGTTGGTTTCCCTGCGAGAGGAGTGTATGTGTAGTTTGCTGATCTTCAGAGATTCAGCATAGATGTGAAAATAAGTTCCGATCGCCAATGAATCCCATCCTTTCACGAGAGTGCGCAACAATCCTGAGCACTACTAAGGCTAGTACAGCTGTGTAGTTCCCTAGTTCCCACCGCTGTCTCATATTCACGTTCTATAAGAGGGGGACTCGGTGTCTTCCTCGGGATCAAGGGATCAAGGGATCAAGGGATCAAGGGAACAATACTCCGTACTAACCACGGACCGAAGATTGGACATGCGTGTAAAATTAGCAATCCTCCGAAGGGGTTCATACGTAAATCGGTCCGAAGTTCGAGTAGAGTGCTTGAAAAGGATCATGACCCAAGTCTCTTTCACGGGGACCAGTTTAATAAATGAACCTTAAAAGGCAAGGCGGACTGTAGGTGATCCAGTCGGATGCTTCGGGCGCGCTCCACAACTGTTCCTGCCCCCCACAGAGACGCCATCATGGCTGGATTGAGCAGGTCTGACGATAAGGATGAAGGGGTAATAATGAGCAATGAAAAACCCACGATTGCGGTGTACACAGCAGGGATAAATCAGAATAGTGGATCAATTGCGGCATGCAGCTCTGTATGAATAATCTCGGCCAGCCGTTGGCCATCTGATGTGCATGTTATATTTCAATCTTTCTTCATCGCGCGCAGAAAAAAGCTCAATGATTTGAGGCCTCGAGTCACTGATAGGCTCTTGCAGGACCTGCCAAGTAGGCCCGTTGTAAAGCCTGACTAGTATATGTCGTCGCACAATGCCGCGCTTTATGAAGATCAAGGTGTGACTCTCTGGGCTGTGAATACCGTCTTCATTGTGCTAGCCACAGTGGCTGTCATCGGGAGGTTCTATGCGAGAAAGCTGCGAAAGTCATCTCTCGGCTTCGATGACTGGGCAATCTTTGTCGCTTTGGTGAGAATACTATCCCCCTGCTCGTTGTATCCAGACTAACGATCTCAGCTTCTCGACTTGGTCCTTTACGGCCTGTTCGCTGGATGTAAGTACACACATTCCCGCTTGCAGCTTATATTAAATTTAATTACGATATTCGATATAGGTCGAAAGTATGGCCTTGGAAAGCACCGAGCCATCGTCCCCGAGCCCGACGTAATACGCATGAAGGAACTCCTATACGTCTTCCTGATCTTCTATCTCCTCGCGCCACCAACTGTGAAACTATGTCTTCTCTGTCTCTACAAGAGAATCTTCGTTTCCTCGCGCTTTCTGATTCTAGTATACTTCATGATCGTCACTATCTCAGTCTGGGCGACCGTGACAGTTTTCATGGGTATATTCCTCTGCAACCCCATCAGTGCTTTCTGGACCGAAGAAGGGCATCGTATGTCCCTTGGAAAGTTTTCCATCGGATACGGCGTTGTGAATATCATCACGTCCTTTTTAGTCTGGATGATGCCTATCCCGAACATGTGGAGGTTACAGCTACGGATGGCACAAAAGATTGCCTTGACTTTGACCTTTGCATTGGGCCTTTTGTACGCCATTCCCCATCAGATTTATATCAGATTTATTCTTCTTCATTTAGTGGTTCTTGAAACTAACGCTGACCGAATGGCAAACCTGGACTCTAGTGACATTGTTGTTGCCATCATCCGTATGCTTTCCCTTTTGACAGCCTTCGGACATTGGGACGTCACATATGACTACTCGCACGGATTCATGTGGTCTATCATTGAAGTGTCGGCTGGAATCATTTGTACCTGTCTTCCTACGATGTTCATTATCTTGCGGATGGCCCTGAGCGGGAGATTAGGACGGATGCTGGGAATCTCGAGCTCAACACCCCGACGCCAGAGCACAGGTCTGCGGCCATGGAATCGCTCAGAGGAGTACGATGAGATATTGAGCTCCTGGATGATTCGCGATGGAGGAGTTCATCAGCATAACAGTGATGTCACTGCTGGGAGCGCGACGATTACGAAAACGGAATCGTTAGAGAGAGAGGCAGGAGAAACTGGGATTCGTGTTCTGGAGGAGGTCAAGGTTGAGTTACAAGACTTGAAGCCTGCTGTTTACTTAGCGAGAAACAGGTGAACGGACTGTCTTCCATAATTATTGAAGTTGAACAAGGCTTTTCTCTGCTTAGTGTCTATGGGACTTTGACAGCTGGGTGGCTCGAGCATCACAAGCATGCACTTTTTCTGAAGACCCTACAAACTCGATTCAAGAATTGCAGAATGCTAATTTAATTGCAGCAATATATTAGAGTTCGTGATCGACATCCTCAGCCTCTCATGCCAATCTTAGTCCTCTTGGTCCTCGTTCGCATCACGACTAGTTTCACTTGTCGCCATGAAAATGCCCACGACTCTAATTTGGAAATATTTCAATATGTAAAACTGGTACCAAGTCACCAATACGAACCGTGATTTTTCTACCGGCTGCGGTTCGTGTTCTGTGATCAATCTTGTCATCAATTCATGATGCTAGCTGGACACGGCAATACCTCGGAGAATCGGCTGGCGCCACTGTTAGCCCTAATCCCCAGGTGGTTAAACTGATAGGCATTGGACCCACGAAGTACTCCAATCAGCAATGAGTGCATGGAGTTCTTCTCAGAAGAGCACAGATATAATAAGATTAGTTCGATATGAGCAGGAACCTCGGCCAAATGCAAAAGTTTGTTAGAGTGACGGTACTGTATATTCCCAAGTCCGGGATCTGCCTGCTTTCTTTCCGGGTTGGTGATGAGGGCCGCTTTACTTCTAATCCTTCAATCTAAAGGATAATTCCAACGCCCCGATTTATGTAACTGGCCCTGGGATAAAATAATTGGGAGCGTGAACGTGTTTGGTTTTCTTCATTAACTTACATCATAGCGCATTAGGCCCCGGATTTGAGGAGCAAAGTGACCATCACGTAACTATTCTCATATTTACACCTTCAGCCTCCAAACAGCAATGTCAGCCGATGCAATCTCTGAGTTCCTCCCTCCAATCAACAATTTAGACCCCTCAATAACAGGAGGTTTTGCAGGACCCAAACCATAATTGAACCCCCAAAGCAAAGACCCCCTTTTAGCAAACCGCAAAGTGGGTCCAAGGTCATTCTTGCTATCGGCACGTCGCCCCGCAAAGTCTGCAATATTCGCGTCCTTAGCAATATCACCGAGGTATGAAACCAGTAGGTCCACGGAAGGATTGAAGCCAAGGTAGTGGAACCCATTCCTCGAACAGGCGGCTGGCTGACCAGGACGATGTGGCGAGCTGTATTTCAATGTAACAGTGCTCGTGCGGTTCTGACGCTCGCAAAATACCCACTCTTCCCAGCCGGAAATATTGTATGTCTTTCCTCCGTAGACAACGCCACTTCCCGCGTGGTCTGGTGGTGTCTCTACACGAGTGACCCTCATGGGTAGGCGACGGCGGAGCGGGCCTTCTGAGGGATTGAGACCGGGCGTGTAGCTGAACTCAGGTGTCCTAGATCCAGTGTTAGGTCCGAAGACAACGGGTCCGTTGTAGTTGGCTAGTGCTTTGTTGAATGAGTCGGGAATTATGGGTAGACTTGGCACAACGACAAGCTTGTAACCGTGAATAGGTTGGTCAGGCCCGATCACATCAACGGAAAGGCCCAGACGGCGGAGAGACGAATAGAAATTGTACACGACGTCCATATATTTGACCGCTGGATCAGTGTAGGCAGTGTCTTTAGGGCTCCAAGACCCGCTGTATGGCTGGATAGCCCAGACCCGAGCGGTAACGTAGTCGAATACAAGAGCCACATCCGCTTGTGACTCCTGTTTTTCATCGCTCTGCAGTGCTTCCTTCAACCTTGGTAGATCTTCGTCTACCACGCTCTGAAGTTCAAGGAAGCCTTCGTCCGCGGCGTCGTCTGAGGTAAATAGACCAGAGAGTGTCTGTTCTTGTCCGAAAGGAGGTTGGCGCCAACGAAAGTATGATACCAGGTCGCCTAGATCTGCGAACGTCTCGTGAGTCCAAAGCCGCACCATGCCACTCAGTGGAGAAACCCGGTAGGCATTCCAGTTGAGAACGCCGGTTTGCATCTCCATGACTCCGAACGGTCCGGACGTTTTGTTGTATGCGGCACCTGACACACCGCGATAAAGAGCATGGTGCAGAGCCTGCCAATCGGGTGGCCCGGTGCGCAGATACTTTGTCAGTTCGTCCTGAGAGAGCGACGAGAGAGTTTCCAGGCCGGCGAGGGCGTACTGGTCAAACGTTGCGAGGTCCAGTCCGACCTCGCGCGAGAACTTGTAGTGATCGAAGTCGGTGAAGCCCATCATGAAATTGTGCGTGATGAACTTGGTTGGCGCGAGTTCCCTCAATATCTCTGACTGCTGTCGCGCAAACTCGATCGTCATGTCCGAGCTGAATAGATACCAATCGAGAAGATGAACCGGCTGTGGCGTATATACCTCCAGAAACGGAGGGTGAATTGCGTCAAAGCTGACATATTGATTCGACCAGAATACCCGGCCCTGCTGGGAGTTGAAGTTCTCGATTGTTCCGTATTTCTTTTCCAGCCATACGCGGAAGCGCTTGATGGCGTTGCTGTCGTAACTTTGCACAGTGTCATGACACCCGAACTCGTTGTCTAACTGCCACCCCGCGACTGCGGAATGATTGCCGTACCGCTCTGCAAGCTTTCGTGTGATCTTTTGGCTCAGACGACGATAGTCAGTCGAAGAGGGGCTATACCCACGACGCGACCCGAAGAGCAACGTGGTGTTCGTCTTATCAACGAAGCTAATGCCGTATTTTTCGTAAGCCCAGTTGGGGGGAGTTGCTGTGGGCGTCCCAACGATCGCTTTGAGGTTATACCGACCGACAAGCTCCAGGGTCTTATCGAGCAGCGTGAAGTTGTACTGCCCCTCTGTTGGTTCTAAGATGGTCCAATCGAACTCGTTTACCCGGACATACGAGAGGTTGGCATCTCGCATCTGAGCCATGTCAGACTCCCACATTTCTTCCGGCCATTGCGACGGGTAGTAGTCAACAGCAACATGAGTCCCAGGTGACCAGCGATCAAGGGAGGGCCCGTTTGGTAACGGGGGAGATCGAGGGTGCGGTGTGGCAGCACAAACAGCTCCAAGGGTGACACAGGCCACTGCTTGGCGGAGAAGCATCTTTGCAGAAAGGCAATTGCAGTTGAAACCTTGAACTGACCGTGCGATCCCGTCCGATCACAATGTTTAAGTACTACTACTGTTCCAGTCCATCTTATGGGGTTTTTAGTGGGTAATGCGGCATTTTCAATGCTGGAGGCATCGTTTGCTTTTGCTTCGTTGACCCGCATGCACTACTATCAGTATATGGTACGATACTACTACTGAGTAGCCTGTTTGTATTGCGGGGCTATGTCACCAGAATCTTCGGAAAAGGGCCGCATCGTTATAGAATCGACGTCATACCACTCGATCTCTACGATGTACACGGTTAATACTGCCCAATCGGATAAAACCAGTGTCTCGGTTAATAGTGCCGAGTCATGTGTACCCCGCTCTCCGCATCCCGCTTCCCCACGTTTTGAGGCAGATCTTCGGTACACGGGATTTGGGCGGCAATAAGAGAACTATCGATGATTCCGGCCGAGAGCAAACAAAAGAAAAACTGCAATCAGATTGTGATATGAAAGTAGTGGCATGACCCAGATGTCTAGTAGCGATAGAAGTATTAACCTAACCTAAACCATACGACAGAACGGTTTCCTCGATGTGTCTCATTGAGCAGGATCGAAGTCCAATATAAAGGATGGCCCATGTCCCACAGAAAAGAGTAGACGTAATCACTCGTCTTGAAGGGATAGGTCCGGATCAGTCTTTGCTGACCTCAATAACAATTCTTGAATGGAGACTTGTTCGTGCTTGGTTGCCCACGATAAAGCCGTTCTTCCCCTTTTATCTTTGACATTTGGGTCAACCTTAAACGACTGTAACAAAAGTGTCACGACAAGTATCTCATCCTGGACAACAGCCCAGAAAAGCGGGGTCTTCCCACTCCTGTCCGCTACATTTGGGTCCACATCGTCGCAGGCCAAAAGGTATTGCACGATAGAAACACATCCCCGCATCGCAGCCCATGACAAGACTGATCGGCCGGTTTCATCTCTCGCGCCAAGGTCAATGTCACTTGCCCTCAGAAGCACTTTTGCGACGGCTTCCTTCTTTCCTCTGATAGCAAGCATAACGGGTGTCTGTTTATGTGCCACTCGCGCATTTGCGTGAACCCTTCCTGATGCAAGTAGGATTCGAACAATATCCTCATAGCCCTCCTTTGCAGCATATGCCAATGGCGTGCACTCTCCGAAGTGTTTTGATTCGAAGTCCACATCACTATGCTTGATAAGCATTTCAACGACATTACCAAGTCGAAGACAGATGGCTGTCCATAAAGGATCCTTGTTACACAGAGGGGCTATTTCGCCCATGAGCCCAGGCCAGCGTATATGAATATCTGAACTTGGATCGCAGAGCTGAAGTACCGAAGCCTCTAGCTCGTCTTGAGGCACCGCTTGTGATTCGCGTAGATGATGTATCCAGTTTCGCACAGCATATTGCGAGAACTGGCGATGCTCCAGGGCGATGTCCGAGTCGAGATAGAAAATACAACTCTCTGCAAGGGCTAGATGCGCATTCTGCAAGTTGAGAGTGCCGTTCCAGGAACTGCGACCGGTTTTGGATGTTTCGTGTTGTTTCTTCACAAGGAAGTCTCGAGCGGTTTGGTGAATGAAATGGACTTTGTCGTCGTATATTGAAATGAAGAGCCCGCACATGTCCCTCAGCCTGGCCTTGAAGTCTTTGTCATCTTCGAGATCCAAGTCCTCGAGGGACTTTGTTGATCCATCGACATTCATAGCAATGTTCATCTCAGTGAGGCTTAGGGGAGTGACCGCTGCCAGAACCAGGTTCAGGGCCTTGGAAGCCCCGTCCCCACCATCGCATTTGCTGAGGATTCTCTCGTATGCTTCGTTGACACTCGTTGGGAGTATATTGAGAGCCTTGCGAACTCCATATTTGGTGTTTGGGATGCTCGAAGTCTCGATGTATTTGATTACCAGACTCACCCAGAGGTACGTGCGGTTCTCAATGGCGAGCAACCTTTCCTGAAGGTACTCCCTGGCCTTTGGACCGAGCTTCGTCAGTTGGCCAACCTTCCGGCCAATGGCACGATTCACCTCCTGGCTTATCATCTCTGACTGACTCTCTGCTGGTATGTGAACATGAGGGAACCTCTCCACAAGCTCGTCGAATTTAGATGTTATCTGCGAGTATGGTCGGGTGGTTAAAAGGAACTTGGTCTTTCCAGTCAGACCAGTATTCTCACTGAGTGTGCGGTTCAACTTGTTAATCATGTCAAACCTTTCTTCTGTGATGCACTCATCCAGGGCGTCCAGAACAATTACCACCGAACCTGCGTCAGGATCACTTGTTGCTTTCCACAGAATGTCCCACAGTGCTGATGTTACTTTCACAAGGCTGTGGCCATTTTGCCGATATTCGGGCATTGCATGTCGGATAAGCTGGGGCCTCTGTGAAAAGAGTTGGTGCAATAAAGCGCATAGTGCTTGGTTTTCCCTGTTCTGTAGTTGGTCTTTGAAGAAGAAATAACAGATAGTCGACGATTCAGCTAGTCTTTTGTCGATTAGGTGCTTGGCAAGAACCGACTTCCCGCATCCGGGATCAGCAGAGACTATTAAGATTCCCGACTGTCCCTGTTCCCAGGATTGAAACTCTTCCCTTGAAAGAAACCATTCGCACGTTCCATCAATCGCATCTTCTACCAGGTTCTTGTACCACTCATACGAGCTATCCCTGTCATCACGGGCTAGTCGGAACAGCTGGTGACATTCTGATTCCCTCTCGGACTGCTTCCTTCTCTCGGCCCGTTCGTGGAATGTAAGTTGTTCCTTGTTGACTGCAAGCTGTTGCTTGCTGATTTCGAGCTGCTTCTCAGACAAACTTTGCAGGTTCTCCATGAGACCAGTGTATTTGCTCATAGATTCCTCCATACTCTCAAAAAGCATTCTAGATGTGTTGAGATTCAGCTGCTTGGAATCACTTTCCACACGCTTTTCGAGCTTCGTGATTTCATTCACCATCCCTTCCCAACCATCATACTGTACCAAGTCGCGAAGGAAGATAAAGCCACGTCTCTCGTAGCACCGCAAGACGCTTCTCATCTGAAAGTTGAGAATGTGCTTATAAAGATTCACAATGGTTGCCTCGAGCTCTATTCTCACTTGTTTTAAGGACTCGGAATTGTCTTTACAGTTGCTTGGCCATAGCAATCCCTCTAGAGCGACATAGAACCTCATTCGAGAAGTGACATAGGTGAATCCTTCCTCGTTAGCTTGCTTTGCCGCGAGAGGGCTCGTGATGATCGGTAGGAAGAGGCAAACGCTAGCCCAGGCAAGCGATGCCTCCGGAGACGCTCTAACTGCTTCGTCGATGAAACCTTTCATGTTCTGCAACACCTGAACGGTCTTGGCAACCTGGTCTTCCAAGTTATATTCACGACTGCCGATGTGGTATTTCAGGTCTCTTTCATCAAGACGTTGCAAGCAGTTTTCAGTAACCTGCTTCATCTGGTCATGACGGGTCTTTGCATCTTGTCGCTCAATCCTGTTGGCGACATGGTCCAAGTCAACGTGCTCCTCAGCAGTACCACCTAAATTGGTCAATATTACAGGCAGAGGACATCACTAGCTTCATGCCGATACTCACCAGGTGTCTGCAGATTTGTGGAGAGTAGTTTCTCGTACTTCTGGACCAGTTTGGAATCCACAGAGTCATACGCCCGGTCCCATAGTGAGGGCGAATCTAGTCCACGTGCTCTCTGAGCCCTGCTTTCCCCCTCATTATCTGATGAGGGATGTGTCTCCCGACACTTGCTACCATTCACAACCACTGCCTGCGAAGCTGGCTTACGAGCGACAGCGGTAGGCGATGGCGAAGCAGAGCCATTTTCAACTCCCCTGACCGACCGATCCGAGTGGAACCATTTTCTTACCCATGTTCGAAGACCCATGTCTCAGATGTGTTCCCAGAGAGCCGACCGGCACATCACTTTGCGGATGCTTTCATGTAGGGAACGAACCGGAAGACGGAGAAGCTGACATGCTGAATTAATAAGTTCAGCCCCGCAGCAGATGTGCTTTCTTTTTCCGGGCTCGTTCCTCGGGATCCATGCGCTGGTTCGGGGACTCAATAGCGCATGTGGACGACCACGTAGATTGGCTCCGCAATCATGCATATCGAGGCGATTGGCGGTCGGGCGTCCTTGTGCTCAGGTTCTTCAGCAGCGACACGGTATCATTAGTGCCTTCAAATGGCAGCAAAATGCACAGTAATGGAAAATTGGGTAAAAGATCAGCGCAAATTGGCTTAAAATATGCATTTCAAGACCGGCAGATGAGGTTTCCGATAATGTTTAGAATATATGATTTTTCCACTCCACATTCTTATTATCCTGTGTCTCCCTAGATACCGTTGTCAGCGACAGTTGTTCAATGTAAAGCTTCAATTCATTGATGTGCAATTTCTGTTGATTTCCCGTTCACAAACATATTGGTACTTTTGACCCAAGATTGCTTGCATTCTCCTACTATATATCTTGAGGAGCGTATTTGTCCGGTGCCAGAGAGCTGAAAGAGAATATCGGCTCCCTTGAATTGACAACAGACACAGGTTTAGATGTTCACGGAGAACAGGCGCTAGTAAGGCTGAAGCCTAAGAGTTCAGGCAAGAACCCATTTTTGACAAAGTTGTGACTGTCCAAAAGGGAGCAGTAAGATACCCCACAAATGATAAATGTCTTTATTATTCTGGGCTTCTTCCTGTCGTTTTCAGAAAAGTTGAACATTCCCAATGGTAAAAACAAAGACCGACGAATATCGTGAACTGCTGATGGTCTACCGTTCGGAAGGATTGGGCAGATTGCAGATTATACTATCGCTTAGACCTTGTCTAGGTCATTCACTTTCACCGTCTGTTTCATCCGTCATTTGTGTAGCATACTGCAGCCTGATGGTTGTTCGGATCACGTGTCTCCGGTATACTCCTGCTGACGCAAGGGCGACGACATGCACTTGTTCTTACTCGCTCTTACTCATTCTCAGACCAGGCTAGGCCTCATTCATCTTTCTAGGGCAATTCAATATAATGATTTGCCCCCTGATTATCAAACTGACAGTGATAAATCCCGCAAATCTCGCACCGTCAGGCACCAACGGCCGCGACTTTCCTATCAGCGTTAGCGCGTTACCGTGTTTGGAAAGTGTACCTAGGTGCAGCGCGTCACAGGAAACTTCCTTCTGTCTTCCATCTTCCTTCCATCTTTCTGATGTCTTTCCAGTCCGTGGGGGCGAACAGGATAGTATTTCTATCACTGGTTGGCACAATGCTAATCCCTGGTGGATGCTAAACATACTCGTTTCTCACTGCCTTTAATCACGTCCATCCTTTCGATACATTTCTCCCTTTCCTATCCGACTCGTCATTCGTTCTCTTAGTCTCATCTGCCTGGTAACAAAGAACGCCGTACTGACCCCGACCCTTATTTTTCGATGTGACCTTCATCCTTTAGGGCGATCTGCACGGTCGGCCTTCAATTCGGGGAACAGATTTCCGATCTTTCTTACATCTACTTATATCCACTTTATCGCAATTACCGACCGCTACGATGGTTGAAACAGATATGAGCGCGATTCTGGCGGGAGTTGGCGAGGAGCTGAAGTCAAAGCAGAGGAGACACCAAGAAGAAGCGTCTGACAAGCTTCGTGACCAAATGGCACTCATTACCAGAGGTAAGCCTGGAAACGATGGCACGCGATGGCAATTTATAGCCCCGTTACTGACTCGCACTTCACAGACAAACCCAATGAGCAGCTTAGAGAAGACTGCGATACTCTATGTCGCTTTCTTGGTCAATTGATCCTGCATGGCGATTCGAACGGAATACTAGGAGGGCTCCTAGCACTAGATCGGCTGATCGATATTCTTGCAGGCAACGCAGCCCAAATCGTCCCTCGATTCGTCAGTTATCTGAACAAAGCCCTGCAAAGTGATGATGTTCACACCCTAGTCTGTGCTTCAAAGTCTTTGGGGCGCCTCGTACCGCAAAGTGGATTTCTAGCGAGGGAATTGGTGAAGAGTGAGGTGCGGTCGGCCTTGGAACACGTACATTCAGCAAACCCTGGCAGCAAGCGTCTGTTGGCAGCATTCATGACCATCAAGGAGCTTGCGACCAACGCCCCCTCCTTGATGCTCCCGTATGCTGTTGAAGTGTTTGAGCTAGCATGGGTTGGACTTCGCGATTGCGATCCGCTCATATGTGCGACGGCTGGAGGAGCCATTGGTGAGTGCATGAAGCTAACTAACGCGCGAGACCAACGTCTCGGCCAGACATGGTGCATGTGCTTTCACGAAGGCATACTCTTAGGACTCGACTCCAGCGACACCCAATTGATTTTTGGTTCCCTATTGCTCCGGAAGGAACTGGCAGTCTACTATGGCATACTCACAATCGAGCAACAAAAAGAGACCTGCGACTTCATATTTCGGCTTAGTGGCCATCGAAATTCCCGAATCCAGGCGCAGATAATCACTCTTCTCCCCACTCTGGCCACCCATTCTCCGCTCGTTTTTGCCCAGAATTACCTAGGCCCGTCCATGGTTTTCTTGAAGACTCAATTGAAGAAGAGCAAGGAGCGTGACGCTGTCTTCCGTGCTATCGGGGAAATGGCAATTGCTATGGGCGACAGCATGGCTCCTTATCTAGAGGACATTACACGTTGCATTCGAGAAGGCCTAACAATGAAGGGTAAAGGCCAAACTCACATCAACGACGCATCAATTCTGGACTGTATCCGCATGCTTTCTCTCGCTTTGGGTCCAACCTTCTCGAGCTACGCACAGGAGCTCCTTGCACTGATGTTAACTTGTGATATAACCACCGAGCTTCGAGATTCCCTCCAAACAACAGCAGAGCACATTCCTTCTTTGAAGTCTACTATACAGACAGACTTCCTTGCTCTTTTGGAACGCTTCCTCCTAGACCGTGGCGCATGCACTGATTCGAATACTCAGCTTCCGGCGAGAACTACAAGCAATGACCATCACATTCCCACACACCCGCGGGACGATACCTTCGTTTTTGCTCTCAAAGTGCTAGGAGACTTTGATTTTGGCTCCCTCCCCACCAGTGCGATTGTGCAAAAGGTCATGTTCAAATATGTGGAGCACGAAAGCCCAGAGGTTCGAAAGACCGCCGCATTAACTTGTTGCCAATACTTCTTGCGAGATTTTATGCTGAAACGCCCGGGTTGTAAACTTCCTCGAATCCCTCCCGACGCTCTCAGAAGGCTTCTATCACTCGGCATTGGCGACCCTGACGCTAACATTCGAGGAGCCGTGTTATCGGCATTTAGCTCAGAGTTCGACCGTCTTCTTGCACAGCCAGATCATATCCGATGTCTCTTTCTGGGCACTAATGACGAGATATTCCATGTTAGGATTGCAGCGATGTGCATAATCGGGCGCCTATCAAGCATTAACCCTGCTTACGTCCTTCCGTCACTCAGAAAGTTGCTTCTTAACTTGCTGACAGGTCTTACGTTCGCCAAAGCCGTCCCTGAAAAGTTAGAGACACTTCGGATGATCAACGCCTTTGCCTCAAATAGCACATCGCTACTAGAAGCATATGTCGCTCCGATACTGGATGTCTTACTTCCGAAGGCCACGGATGAGAGCCAGGCTGTCGCAACTGCTACTCTGAATGCTATTGCGAACCTTTTCAAATTCGCCGGACCCTCGGCGCGGGATTACGGAGCAAGACTTATGCCCTCCCTATTGAGTTCTCTTGCAAGCTTGACCTCCAATACTCGGCGTGAAGCGGCCCTCGAGGCAATCAGTCAACTTGCCCAGAATTCCGGACGCGCAACCTCTCCATATATCGAGTTTCCCGAGCTCTTACCTGCTCTCATCAAGATGGTCAAGGTCGAGGAAATTGAGTCTATTCGGTTGTCCACGGTCAGGCTCCTTGGAACTCTGGGTGCTCTGGACCCAGTCAAATGTCCTGGGACAAATGGGTCTACCTTGGAACTCCATCGTGTCAATCAGGTGCTCAAGGAATCAAAGATGGACTCCCACATGCGCCGCCTGGACCTCACTGATGTGGAGATTTTTCGATCCGAGGTCTTCAATGCCCTGATGGACAATGTCTTGTCTCAGCCTTCCCTGAAAATGTTACACCCATCTGCCATCGACGCCACAGTTATGGTCTGCAAAGTCACAGGAATGCAGTGCACATCCTTCCTCGAAAAGGTCATCCCAACGTTTTTGTCTGTAATCCGAGCATCCTCTGAGGACACCTTCGGATATTACTTCAGCCAACTGAGTGCTCTGGTTGACGTGATCAGACAACATATTCGCCCTTACCTAACAGAGATCATGAATACCATTCGGATGTTTTGGCACAATATGAATCAGGCGCCTCTCATATCACTGATAGAAACCCTGTCAATACACCTGGGAGATGAGATTAAGAGATACATCAGCAACTTGCTTCCAATGATAGTTGCCACCCTGGAAGGGGGGGCATCTTCCGCGGCGCAGCGCATTCTTCATCTTCTAGTTGTGCTGGGTAACACTGTCGAGGAGTACATGCATGTTATTGTTCCTTCTTTGATACGAGTCCTTTCCGATCCCGGCTACCCGATTAAAGTGCGTAAGTCAGCTATCGATTGCATTGCGAGCCTGTCAGAGGAAGTCGATTTGTCCGATCTCTCCTCTCCGCTGGTCCAGTCTCTCGTGGATATTCTTTCTGGAAATGAACATGTTCTAGTGCAGGCAAGTATGGATTGCCTTTGTGCACTCATGAGGTTGCTAGGACGGGAATTTATGTGCTACACTCGGACTGTCAACAAAGTGCTTGATCGTTACCATATCACTCACGATGGATACTCAACACTGCTATGCAAGCTTCAAAAAGGAGAAAGTCTACCCCCACGCGTAGACACTAATGCTCGCATCGAACGCAACGAAATCATGTACGAGCGTCCCCGCATGCGGCAAAGAGAACTGAACATTAATTCGGAACGCCTCAAGAACGCCTGGGATACTTCGAGGGTGTCCACCACGCGAGAATGGCAGCAGTGGGTTCAGGAGCTAACACTCCACCTCCTGGAAGAATCGCCATGCGCGACTGTTCGGGCCTGTGCAAACCTGGCAGAGCTATATCATCCGTTTGCAAAGAGTCTATTCCACACGGCCTTTGCCTCATGCTGGGCTGCGCTTCCCGAACAATATCAACAAAGCCTTGCCGGGTCTCTAGTGAACGCCCTTGCGTCGCCGAATACTTCCTATAATATTACATCCACAGTGCTCAACCTGGCAGAGTTCATGGATAGGTGCAACATGTATCTTCCTATTGAGACTAGAGTGATGTCATACCACGCAAAAAGGTCACATACCTACGCCAAGGCTCTGCGCTATGAAGAATTACACTTTGATGCAGATCAAAGCATGAGCACACTGGAGACTCTCATGGCTATTAACAACAATCTTCAACAGCCCGACTCTGCACATGGGATTCTTCGCACATCCCACGAGCTTGGGAAAGGGGGTATCAAGGAAAACTGGCTGGAGAAGCTGCATTACTGGAAGGCGGCCCTTAATTCATATGTGAGGCGCGAGAAAAACTGCGAGAGCGCTGAAGATTGCGAAGACTGGGATATTGTCTTGGGAAAAATACGTTGCTTGCATGCTCTCGAGGATTGGAAGGCGCTTTCCGAAATCGCGGATGAGAAGTGGAGCCGTGCATCTCCAGAGCACCAGCGTGCTATCGCGCCCTTGGCTGCTACCGCTGCGTGGCGACTGAAGGATTGGGAGCTGATGCAAACCCTCTTTGGTGGAATTAAGCGGGGAACGGCAGACCGGAGCTTCTTCGGTGCTGTGCTAGCTGTCCACAGTGACCAGCTTGAGATCGCGGCTGCGCATATTCGTGACGCGCAGAAGAAACTGGATCCCGAACTCACTATCATGCTGGATGATTCCTACGGCCGCTCTTATGAGGTCATCGTCCGGCTACAGATGCTCGCTGAATTGGAAGAGATCATAATCTACAAGAAGTCTCACGATTCCGAGAGACGGCGGCAGATCCATGAGATGTGGAATCAGCGGCTGCTTGGGTGTCAGCGGAGTGTTGAAGTTTGGCAACGTATCTTGAATCTGCGGACCCTATCCGGCTGTTCAGTCGGAGATGACATAGGAATCTGGATCAAATTTGCGAACATGTGTCGGAAGGAGAACCGATTGGACATGGCTGAGGAGGTGATAGCCTCTGTTGAGGAAGCTGCGTCGAATCTTCACGGGTCTCCCCTAACAGAGATTACATTTGCTCGTCTCAGAATTGACTGGCAGCTAGGGCGTCGACAGGAGGCATTCGACGGAATGAAGACGCTTACGAGGAGTTTAGAGCACCAGCTTCCTCGTGGCAAACAATCGAAGCATTCGCTCAGTGAAAAGGACAAGCTTACTGGTTTCGGAAGCATTCGAAAGATCATTTCAAAATGCTATCGGAGTCTAGCAGACTGGCAGACGGTCCTTCATGAAGGCAGATGGAATTTGAAGCACATCGAAGCAGTCCTCGATTCCTACCATGCTTCCATGCAGCACAGCAGAGATTCCTATAAGGCATGTCATGTCTGGGCCCTAGCCGCCTACAAGACGGCACGCGTCATTGGCAGAGACCCATCCTCAAAGTCGAAGATGCCCGAGAGTACACTACGCGGCTACATAATATCTGCTATCGAGGCGCTCTTCCAGTCCATCTCCTTGTCATCCAACTCACCCCTACAAGATATTCTCAGGATTTTGACTCTCTGGTTCACACACGGCAACGAGAAAGAAGTCAATATTACAGTGAATGGAGGATTCTCACTTATCAGCCTAGACGCATGGCTTGCAGTGAGTCCTCAGCTGGTCGCTCGTATCACCAGTCCCAGTAAGCTCGTGAGGACTACTGTGCAGCGATTACTTACGGAGGTGGCCAAGTCCCACCCGCAAGCTTTGGTCTATCCGTTGACGGTCGCGATGAAATCCCAGGTTGCTCGGCGTTCCCATTCCGCGTGTGATATAATTGGTGACACGAGACGACATAGTCCAAACCTTGTCCTACAGGCAGATACGATCAGTCAGGAGCTGATCCGCGTTGCCGCTCTGTGGCATGAGCTCTGGCATGAAGCACTCGAGGAGGCATCCAGGGTATGTTTCGTGCGCGGGGATATCGAAGGGATGATCAACATGCTCAGACCATTACATGCGATGATGGAAGCTGGTCCTGTAACACTGAATGAGATCGCATTTGTTCAGTCCTTCGGTCGCTATCTCACCGAGGCGAAGCAATACTGCCAGGCGTATTTGGCGAGCCGCGCGGTCGGCGACGTCAACCACGCGTGGGGCTTGTACACTTTGGTCTATCGGCGGATTGGCACTCAACTGCCACTTATGCTGCAGCTCGAGATGGGGTCGATATCACCGAAGCTCAAGAGCTGCATAAATCTTGACGTTGCCGTTCCCGGTACCTATCGCAACCACGCCAGCCCCGTGATCAAGGTCGCGCGCTTTGATCCTAATCTGCCTGTTATTGAAAGCAGGAAGCGACCGCGAAGGCTGAAGATAGTCGGCGACGACGGCAATGTTTATATGTATCTGCTGAAGGGACAGGAAGATATCCGCCAGGACGAGCGTGTAATGCAGTTATTCGGCCTTGTCAATACCCTCTTTGCAGGTGATTCGGAAAGCGTTCGGCGGCAACTCGCGGTTCAACCATTCCAAGCCATCCCCCTATCCCAAAGCTCCGGTCTCCTCGGGTGGGTTTCGAACAGTGATACTGTTCACTCCCTGATCAAGGAGCATCGTGAAGCCCGTCAGATAAAATTCAACATTGAGCTCAGCCTGATGTTGCGGATGTCGCCCAACTACGATAAACTCCCTTTACTCGGCAAAATCGAGACCTTCCAAGATGCTATGGCCAAAACAACCGGCAAGGACCTCTACCAGGTGCTCTGGCTAAAGAGCGCCAGCTCGGAAGCTTGGCTGGGCCATCGTACACGCTACACACGCTCGTTGGCCGTGATGTCAATCGTGGGGTACATCCTCGGCCTAGGCGACCGGCACCCGTCGAACTTGCTCATGCATCGCGATACTGGAAACATCGTGCATGTCGATTTCGGCGATTGCTTCGATGTCGCTTTACAGCGGGATCAATTTCCTGAGAAGGTTCCGTTCCGCCTGACCCGCATGATGGTGGTCGCCATGGGGATTGGCAATTTGGAAGGGAACTTTCGCGCCGCATGTGAAATTGTGGTGAGAGTTCTCAGGACTCATAAGGATTCTATTATGACCATTCTTGAAGCGGTATGTTTTCGACTTATCCTTAATTTGACTCCGACGGTCCTCGCCTGTTAATCTCTTGATACCGATCATTTGCTAATTATTTTCTTCTTTACAGTTCCTCCACGACCCTGTCTTAACTTGGCAGATGGGCTCCGAACCTTCTTACCCTCAATCCCCAAAGTCTGGAGATCTCGAAGGTCTGGGGGACATTGGCCAAGTAACTGAATCACCTTCCTTTCGTCGATCCTCTGTCCTAGGCGCCGGCGTCCTCGATCCGCAGCAAGGAATCGATAAGAACAGCGCCGGTGGTGAGGAAATCCTCAATGCCCGCGCCGTGGAGGTCCTTTCCCGGGTCGAGCAAAAGCTCACAGGTTGTGACTTCCGAAGGGGGCAGATGGGTGTTGAAGAGCAAGTTAGGAAGCTGATTGAGGAAGCCACTAACATCGAGAATCTATGTCAGCATTATGCCGGATGGTGTGCATTTTGGTGATGGGCTGTTTGGTTTACTGGAATGGTTTGGAGGATTACGAGTAATGATGGGTATTCTGGATGTGTTAATCATGATTTATCGAGATATGCTGGCGCTGGATTGCTGGGTTATGCTCAGGTCGGGATTTGGGGTTTATCGGTTCATTTTGCGGTCATATTGTTGTTTTCAAGGGACTGTTGGGGTTTGCTTTGTTATGTCTTGTTTGCTTGCGCTGGTTTCCTGTGAAGTACATGGTTGAATTCATGAGACCTATTCACCAGCCTTCTCATCTGTTTCAAAGTTCGATTGCACATCTTCGTCATGCAACAATCAAGCAATGATGTGTTTCCAACCAAATCATACATTCATAAGTTATGCGTCGTGCATAATGTTTATGTCATCTGATTATCCACGCATAAATCTAAATATAGTACATTCCTCTCCCTTTATCCAGTCCATTTATATGGCCATCTCAAATCCACTCTATAACCCCCTCTCCTCTACAGTGTATGATATTAAATCTTACAGCGCCCTCAGTCCATCCTGCACATCCGGCCTATCATTCTCCTCTTTCGCATTCGCATCCCCATCCGCATTCATACCCTCACCACCCCTCCTATTCTCCTTCTCCTTCTCCTTCTCCTCGGCCCTCGTCAACTCCTCCCACCGCCGTATCACCATCGCCCGCTCCTCCGTCGACGCAAGACACATCTCTTCCATGCCCTGCGCGATCCGGGACTTGAGGATGTCTTTTGTTTTGGATTTCGAGAGGGACTTTCGGAGGCTTTTGTGCATTCCGTCGAGGGGGTAGCCCGCTAGGCCCCATACTCCTGTTTGGTTTTAGTGTTGGGTTTTGGGGGGGTGAGGGTATGTCTGAGTGAGAAAGGGAAGCGGGAGGGATTATCAAGGTAAAACAAGTATAGGAAGAGACGTGAAAGGGAAAGGTAGCTTTGAACGAGAATAATAGGAGGAGAGGCGGGATAGGTACAAGGAGAGGGAAAGACAGAAGAGAGGAGAGGAAAACTCACCAGCAACAGGCTTGAACACTACCCCGCCCATTCCCTTTCCGATCCCTTTGATGAATCCTCGAGGGCCGGTTTTTCTGGCACCGTGGATCGGCTGCGTCACGAGTCCTGTTATCCCGTTGTAGAGACCTTCGGTGAATTCCTATTTGTATTAGATTCAATATGGTTGTTAGCTGGCTTCTTCCTTTCAACTAACAGATAAGAACAAGTTCATATGAAAGTAGTTGTTCTTTCGCTGGAAAAGGAATCGATAGATGTAACAGAAAGAAATCATACCGTCCCCGCAGCCCTGAACCCACTCTTCACGCCCAAAACACGAGGCGTCTCCTTCACCGTCCGATCATGATAAAGTTTCGGGGCATTATGAAATCCCTTCGACAGAGACAGGGTGAGGTCGTGAGGAAGGAGAATGGCAAAGTCGAGAGCGTGTTTGGCCACTTTGGCCATGTGGTAGCTTGTTTCGAGGAGCATTTCGTGCAATGAGGAACGCTTTTCTATGGCGGTTTGTTGGCGCGTCAGGGTTTGTTCGAGGTCGAGTTCTGCGCTGAGGGTTGTTTGCGAGGAGGTTGAGGTTGTGGATATTGAGTCTGTGTCGGAGTCTGAGTCTGGGTTTGGATTTGAGGCGGGAGGTTTTGGGGCGTTAGTTTGGTTGGTATTGTTGGGTTGTTGGGAGGTAGTAGGTTGGGTGGTGGTATTGATGTTGCGATGCGCGGACGCTGGGTCCGGTTCCGGTTCTGGTGTCGATTGACTAGTTCGCGTGGTTCCTTCGTTCGAGTTAATAGATTCTTCGGGTGTGTTGTATTCTGTCGAATCGGCTGAATTAGATGCTGAAGGGGACTTGGAATGCGATTTCGAGTGCAATTGGATATTAGATTCCGGTTGAGATTGCGTATTAGGCTCCGATCGCGATCGAGCCCGTGAGTTTCTCGAGCGAGTCCGAGACTGTCTTTCGCTCTGCGTGCTCTTTCGAGATGACTTTCCCACCGTCTTGCAGGTCGGCGGGAATTCCTCGTGCGGTTCGTGGGAAAACATGTCGACCACGTTAGCTGGCAGGGTGGCCACGCCCGCGATCAAGTCGGTGACGATGCCGTAGAGGACCTCAGCGCCTGCGGTTAACGGACCCCGGGGGTCGCGATTCGTGTCGTATTCTTGGGATCGATATCTAAATTTTCGAAGTTGTGTTAGTATTCGCAGGAGCGAACTCGTCTGGGTGTGAGGAGGCATACAAAACTACGTCGCTCGTTTTCACCAGCCCCGTCTCAACCAACACGGCCGCAGCAAACGGACTCAATCTGATCCTCGACTGTCGAATGAACCACACAGCCGGTCGGTTCGGACAGATCGAGCACCGCAGACTCTCCACGTCCAGATGGTTATGGAAGCTGGCCACCGCGTCCCGCACCCCGTCTTCCTGACGCATGTCCTTGCCGATCGTCTCCGCCTTTTCGAGCGTCTTGGGCTTCAAGGCGATCTGAATCGCCTCGGCCAGCTTGTCCGCTGTCAGCTGCTTATAAGGCACGGGCGGTGGACCGGCACCGGCTCGCGACACGATCGAGCCCCAGAACGGTTGGTCGCCGAAGAAAGGCACGATGACGGTTGGTCGGCCGAGTAGGAGGCCTGCGGCGGTGGTGCCTGCGCCGCCGTGATGCACGACCGCTGCAACGTGCTTGAAGAGCCAGTCGTGGGGACATTTTCCGAGGAGAAGCACGTTGTCTGGGGGATTGTCGCCGCCAATGTTGCCCCAGCCTTTGGAAATGAGAGCGCGTTGGCCCGTTTGGCGCACCGCGTCGAATACAATCTGTGTTAGCTTTCCGGGGTTGTCGACGACGATGGAGCCGAAGCCAATGTAAATGGGTGGAGGGCCGGATTCGAGGAATTTGGCCAGGTCGTCCGGGGGCTGGTAGTTCGATTCGTGAGGCAGAGTGCTGAAACCGCAGACGTCGATGGTGTCGGGCCAGTCGGAGGGTTTGGGTAGGAGAGACGGAGACCTTAAAATATTAGCTGTATTCTTCTATCCCAATAGCGCGTTAAGGGGGGAATAAATACCAAAGATAGGTATACGGAATCCGCAATCTCGAAGCAATACTCGGCGCCCGTATCGCATCCAACGGATCCAACCCCAACTCCCTCTTCCGAAACCGATTAATCAAATCCCCCAAACCTTCCCACATCATGACCTCGACGATAGCATACGACGCAAAATTCGCCGCCGAGGGCTTCGTCGACTGACTGCGCACGTTCGCCAATGGATGCGGAAACGCCTGCGTCGCACTCCACGGCATCGTGAACATCAGATTCACTGGAACCCCCAACTTCTCCGCGCAGCTAAGATGCACGAAACTGGGCGGATTTGCGATAATCGCATCCGCGACGAACGGACGATGTTCGGCGTCCACGGTCCCACTCCACGGATCGTCCGGGATATGATGTAGACCCGTTCCATCCCCCGTCTCGAAGCACGAGCGCCAACACCCCGAGAAGATGGCTTTCATCTCGCGACGACGCTTCCGGATGGCTCCGCTGCGGATGGTGCTCATATCGGGCATCAGGCCGGGGTTCTTAACCATGAACGCCATCAACTCGGCCGGGTCGCCGCCAATATCGAAGAATTCGAGCCCCTGCGCGAGGACGTCGTCGCGGAAGGCGAGATGCGTGGCGAGTCGCACGCGGTGGCCGTGCGATCGGAGACGTTTACCCAGCGCCAGGAAGGGTTGCACGTCTCCGCGCGATCCGACGACTTGGATGACGATGTTCAGACGCAGAGGGAAGGGCGCGTCGGTGGTGGAGAGCACGGAGGCTTTGCGCGACGGTTCTTGCGGTCGGCGACTTTCGATGTGATGGAGGAGTTTGCCTAGCCAGGGCTTATGCGATCGGAATTTGATGTCGAGGCGGCCGTCATCTTGATAATCAATTATTAGCATTATCCATCTATCTTCAACAGCTTGGAAAAAAGGGACAATGTACCCATCACTCGAACGCCCGTATTCAACCCCCGTTCGCGCACGGTGTGTCCGTGTCCGTGCGGATGGCCATGATCGACGCTGGGATGTTCATGGGCGACATTCTCAGGCCAGTCGCCCGACTGTATCCCCTGTTGCGGCATTCTGGGGACAGATAGAGAGAAAGAAGAAGATCAACGGCACGGGTGATCACCAACGAAGTGGAGAGAAGGTGTTCCTCGACCGGGTTTTTGCGGTGATCGGAGTTCAGGGTCTGCGATGACATCACCGCGCCCAACCGGGCAGACCTGCTTTTCTCTCGATCCACGGTTCCTTTTCCTTCTGCATGGACTCACTAATCAAAAATTCGGGTCGTCATCGGATTCTGGAGTAGGCCGAGGATGAATGACTATTTGTGAGGTTTCAATTGACCGAGAGCTTCGATCTTGGATGTTCGCTATACAACGCAGCAGAATATATCTTCACATACCGCAACCAGACCAACATTCACTCTTCGACAGTTCAACCCAATGAATAGCACCCACAAATGCAATAGAGTTTTCAGTAGATTAAACAACCGGAATATATATCCGTTTCCCTCAACCTCTCTCTTAACCCAGAGGACTCTCAATGCAGAGTGTCATATCGATGGTTAAGTGCCTGTGGCAGCATGCCAAGCATCCTATCACCCCAAGGAACACTGATACAACTGTGTTTATGACGCTGCAAATTGATTGAATTGGCCTCTTCTTTGGAATAATTGATCAATTGCATTGTCAATACCTCAGGAGGCCAACAGATGGCGAGGGAAACCGCAGGTTAAGCTACTGGGGATGTTGAATGGGAGGATACTCCAGGTTGGCATTTGAGCGCCTAAATAAGTAGGGATCGACATAATCACCTGGCTACATAACCACAGGTACAAGGGAAAGCAGATGAAAGATTACCCAATAAAATTAATCAATACATAGATAAAGAAGGATATATATATGGACAGCAAAAGGTTTGAATATATAGAGGCGTCAATCTCAACTAGTGAGCAAACAACCTCGATGGAAATCTAAACTACAAGTCTATCTTTCGCATCATTCTCCCCAAACAAAGCAACTCAACTCATACCAACCAGGTCAGACTCATTTAAGCCTGAACGCACTGGTGGTAGTAGGGGTTCCACTTCTTGCAGACCAGGCCGCTCTCACAGCCGGTGGGGCCGGTGAAGTTGATACCGCCGCAGCGCTGGTAGATCTTGTTGGAGCCGGGGACGCCGGAGCTGACGGGGGCGGCGGAGGAGGTCGAGGCGCGGACAGAGGTGGTGAAGCTGCTGGGGGCAGGGGCAGGGACCTCGGGGGCGGACGAGGACTCAACGGGGGCAGGGGCGGCGGTCACGACGGCCTCCTGGGTGGTGGGGGCAGCGGTGACAATGGCCTCCTGGGTAGTAGCAGCGGCAGCGGTGGTCGAGACAGCGGCGGCGGGGGCAGTGGTGGAGGGGGCAGCGGCGGCGGACGAGGAAGAGCCCGAGCCGGAGGAGCCGGAGGAGGCACCGTCCCAGACGGCGGGGCCGGGGATGGGGTAGGAGTCGAAGTCGCTGTAGATGTCGAAGAGGACACCCTCGGTGTCGGCCTTGTAGGCGCCGGGGATGGCGACACCCTCGGGGAGGGTCTTGGAGCCGTCGGAGGTGACCTTGACCTGGACACACTCCATGTAGAACTGAGCACCGCCCTCGCGGTTACCCTCGTGGAGGGCGATGATCTCGGGACGGAGCAGGTACTCGCCGGCCTCGATGTCGGGGATGGTGACGGAGTGCTTGCCCTTGTTGGCGATCAGGTTGTCGACGGCCCACTTGTCGGTGGACTTGTCGTAGCCCTCCTCGGCCAGCTTGACCCAGCCCTCGCCGGAGGAGCCCTTCTTGGTGGGGGCAATGTAGGTCATGACGGGACCCAAGTGGGACGAGGCAATGATGTCGTCGCCGGCATCACGGCTGTCGTGGTGCCACTCGAAGGTGACCTTGTCGCCGGACTTGACGGACAGGGTCTTCGCGGCGGCCTTGTCACCGTTGACGTTGCAGGTCATGTCGGTGGAGGTGACATCGGTGACGGGGGAGTTGCTGGGGGGAGAACGGATGTAGCCAGAGTCGGTGTTACCCAGGCCCTGGTCCTCGCCGTTAATCCAGACGGCGAAGACGGTGGCGTGGGCGTTGGCCATCTTAGCAGCCGCTGCCAGAGCGAGCAATCCAGCGGTGGTCTTCATTTTGAAGGTGTAAAAAAGAATGGAATTGTCCGTAGGACGGTGTTAAAAAAGAGAGGAAGGGGGTGAAAAAGAGAACGTAAAAAACAAGAGAATGAATGCAGCTGTCCAGGCTTGAGAAACAAAAGAGAAGGCTTGTCAGAGGGAGGCATCGTTCAGCGCTGTCTTTATACAAGTTGGCCGGGTGGACTCTCGTAAGATAGCGAAGCCCTGCCAAGCATTGTACCAAGAAAGACGTTTCATCTAAATCGATAGGCTTCATTTCGACGTCTTGGCTTTTCCTCCGGCGGCGGAGACAACAGAGGGCCAGACCTGCCAGAGCGAACGAGTGTAAGCGCCGTGATTAGAGGTGCTTTTGCCTTTTCAACGTCTATCTCCACCCTGAGAGGGCAACTCCGGTGGTTCCTGCGATGGTGTTGCGCCGGCGGGCTTGGCAGAGGACCGTGTTTCAGCTTCATTTCATTAAATTTCGCCCGTCATGGAGAGGTAAACATGCCGATCAGATCGACCCACGCGATCTGCCGTCACAGATTGTCTCTGCCGTCCGTCTTCTTTGGTGGGAAAACTCCGATTTCCGAACGTCCCTGCCGTCTCAGGGTTTTGTGTTCAGGGTTTGAGGGTTTCGCCTGGAGGCACGAACTGGAGACGGATTGCGAATGCTTGACCTGGACTGGATAAATTAATTCGGCCCCAGTCCGAGTAAGACATGGAATACTCCGAATACCCTCCGTAGTGGCCTCGGTCCAGTATTATCCGGATATTAGCAATTTAGCATAATCCACCCTCTGGTCCTCCACTCGCCATTCGTGCCATGCCAACTATTCCCCGTCTGGTCGGCGGCAAACAATTGACCATCCAGGGTTAGTCGGCCCGATGGCGGTTCATAGATTAATTCAGATGAAGGGATTCATATAATTTGTTAGACCGTAGAGTCTTCGATCAATGAGATGGCCGGACGGGCGCTGGTGCCTGTTGATCGTTGGCCAGAAATTAATCCTAGGGTCGCTCGCTTGGACGATCAGGGCTGACCTGTCCATTTCTCCCATCAGCGGCGTTTACCCGTATATTGCACCGGTCGACGGCTTATGCCAAGGCAATATACTACCGAGAGAAAGCAATATCGAGTATCGAATGGTGGGATGGGCTGACCGTGAACGGTGTACTCCGTAGGGGCTAGCGAAATGATGGCGGCGTCCACAGGCGCCCACCAGTCCTCTATCATCCCATGCGAACCCCCTTTTCCTGGTGGAATCCCCGGATGGAAGACGATGGAAGGCCAGGCAGGGACTTTCGGTCGGTCTTCGGTCCACCTTCGCCGGAGTATCGTATCCGAATGGATTATGGAGATGGGACTGGGAGACTGGAGAGATGAATTGTCTTCTATTCTAGTCCGCCTCGAGCACTCGGTTTCCCTAGTTTCCTGGCTATTGCGATGGCTTGACTGACCGCTTCCTTTTTCTTTTCTTAAAATAGGTTGTCTAATTCTAGACCTCGGACGTGGTGCCAGATCTAATCGACTCGTCCGAACCCGTGAGTTGTGTGCAGAGCAGACCGACGGCCGACAGTCTGCGTTGATGCTGGACTCTCCCCGTCGCTGCACCATGTCGCGGTGATCGACAATATATTGAAGTCACAAACAGAAAGGGAATTCTCGGTCGGATCCAAGCCACGCGGTCGGTCGGTCTGGCATGACTTGCATGGGCGGCTGCAGTCGAGTCAATAGTGGATAACTACCTGACTGCGATCGAAGACAGCACACGTCGCTCTGATAATCGCCGACAGAGACAGACAGACAAACAGACAGACCACAAAGGCAGGTTACACGGATGACCAGAAAGAGAGTCGCGATCCATGTGTGACGCGGCGCAAACCGACCATGGGAAATCACAATGATCTGTCCGATCGCGTCTCGTCGGCAATCACCGCAGCCACAGCTCAGCTCAGCTCAACCCATCACGATCGGTGAGTTCCTCGTGAGCCGTGTGACCTGGTGAGGTGATTAGCCTGCGAGGCTGAAAACCGAGTTCGCGTGCAAGACGATCCTCGTCAGAACAAGTGCAGCCAGACATGGACTTGCTGGTCCGGACGAGAGTCATTGTGTGGAATGCTGGCGCCGACCACCAGCGAACCTTGAGCTCCTTGACGTGGACCACCGTGCGAGGCCATGTGAGCGGAATCCCATCCCTTGAGGATCATACATTCCTGGCGTGTCCGTGCCTGTCTTGTCGACTCCACGGTCTGCCAGGGCCTGGGGGGCTACACCGCATCACCCACCGGCTTTACCCGGGACGTTGAACGGTCGACTGGGGGGGGAACATTCGGTCGCAGTAAGGGATCAAACACTCCGCCAGACGCGATAGAGAGCGATCAGATACGTACACTGAGAGAGCGACCGGAGCCAAGTTCTGCAGGGCGCAAGGGTACGGCGGCCCCTTGCCATGTGCGTCAGCCGTGGATTCACCGCGGCCAGTCACGTTGAGCCAAGATGCCCTAAGCGACCACTTGCTGAGTTTGTGTGCCCTCTTGCGCTCGTCCAGAGTCCTGTAGTTCTGGCGGTCAACCCGGCATTGGTCCAGCATTTGTCCGGAATGTTCGAGCTCGACCTTGCAGCGAGAAGGTCTCTGGGATTGTGGCATTTGGGTTTGAATGGCTGGTGACGGTCGATTTGGTGGTCGGTTTGTATGGGCGGGCCCTTCGCCGGTCGGTATGTAGGAGTACGAGAGAGATCCAACATGCGATGTGTCGATCGGTGGACTCAATTGAGCTGTTGCAACTGAATTGGATCCGGACCCTGAATCGACAAACTAACTTGTTACTTGTTCCTTCGCTGGTGACTCCAGTAAAGTAGGTTTAGTCGTTAGTCAATGCATCTGGAATTTTACTTACTCATCGCTCGACTGGTCCATCCTGCCTGCGTAACCTTATAAGTCCCTCTGCCCGTTCCTGTCTTTGTGTTTCTTTTCTCCTGTCGTGCTATCTCTATAACCCCCCTTGTCCCTCTTTCCCTTCTTCTTTGTCTTGAACATTGATCTCCTCATTCGCCATGGGTGAACCCACCGCCGTCTCTGTGTGCCGCGAACCGACCTGCTCCCCCGCGGAGTCTGGTTACACGGCGTCCGTGTTGGCTTCTTGCCAACGACTCGGCGCTCTCAAGGCCACCGAGGGCTTCATGCTGGACGGCAGCTCGCTGGATCTCAGCTCGGTATACGCCGTCGCTCGGTACGTGTGGTTTTCCTGCTGGCGTCATGGTGATCTAGACAAGTGATCGTCCAGACCCGCTCCAGAACTCCGACCCAGATCCAAGGAATGGACCGAATTACTGACGAGACTAAACCCACCCAGACATGATGTGCCTGCCACCATCACGGGCAACCAGCGTGTGCTGGACCAAATGACCCGCAGTGTGGATATCCTGAGCCAGAAATTGTCGGCCGGTGAGATCATCTACGGCGTCAACACCGGCTTCGGCGGCAGCGCGGATACTCGCACCAACGACTATCCGGCCCTGCAAAAGGCGCTGATCCAGCACCACAATGCCGCCGTCGTGCTGCCCAGCGACCGTGGGGGTGCGCCCATCCCGGGTCTCAAGAGTCACAGCATGCCGGTGCCGGTCGTCAAGGCTGCCATGCTGACCCGCTGCAACTCCCTGCTGCGCGGCCACTCCGCCGTGCGACCCGAGGTCGTGCAGCACATCCTGGCCCTACTGGCCAACGGCATGACCCCCGTCGTGCCTCTGCGCGGTAGCATCTCCGCTTCGGGTGACCTGACACCGCTGGCCTACATCGCCGGCGCCCTGGAGGGCAACCCGGACATCGCCATCTACAAGGACACCACCGGCGAGGTAGTCCCCTCGAACCAGGCACTGCAGGAGCTGGGCCTGTCGCCCCTGGAGTTCGGTCCCAAGGAGGGTCTGGGCCTGTTGAACGGCACCGCGTTCAGCGCCGGCGCCGCCAGTCTCGTCCTGTTCGAAGCCAACCAGCTCGTCTTGCTCTCGCAGGTCCTCACGGCCATGGGCACCGAAGCCCTCCTGGGCACTCGCTTCAACTACCACCCGTTCATCGCCGAGGCGCGTCCCCACGAAGGCCAGCGCGAGGCCGCCGCCAACATCTTCGGCTTCCTGACCGACTCCAAGCTCGCCACAACAGCGCACCCCGGTGACGAAGGCGGCAACGAAGGACTCGCGCAGGACCGCTACGCCCTGCGCACCTCCAGCCAGTGGATCGGCCCCCAGATCGAAAACATGGCACTCTCCCTCCGCCAGATCGAAGTCGAGCTGAACTCCACGACCGACAACCCCCTCCTGGACCCCGTTGAGCAGCGGATCCACCACGGCGGCAACTTCCAAGCCGCGGCCGTCACCTCCGCCATGGAAAAGACCTCCGGTGCCATGCAAATGCTCGGCAAGATGTTTTTCGCGCAATGCTCCGAGATCATCAACCCGATGCTCTCCAACGGACTCCCTCCCAACCTCGCCCTCGACGACCCCAGCCTCTCCTTCGCCTTCAAGGGCGTCGATATCAACATGGCCTCGTATATCTCCGAACTCGGTTACCTAAACCACCCAGTCAGCAACCACGTCCAGTCCGCCGAAATGCACAACCAGGCCCTCAACTCCCTCGCCTTCATCGCCGCCCGCTACGCCTCCGACTCCGTCGACATCCTCTCCCTGATGGCCGCCACCTACCTGTACGTGCTCTGCCAGGCGCTCGACCTCCGCGCCCTGCACATCGAATTCGTCAAGGCCGCCCGGCCCCAGGTCGACGCCATCTCCGCCTCCGTCGGCGCCACCGACCCTACCACACAATCCCAAGTCTGGGAGCAGCTGATGCAGCACTGGGCGCGTAACAGCACGCACGATCTCTCCGACCGCGCGCGCGTCGCGGCCACATACACCCTCGGCAGCCTGGTGCACCTGATCACCTCGAGCGGAGCCACCCTGCAACCCAACGCCGTGCCCGACTGGCAATCCCAAGTCTCGGACATTCTGAGCACTAGCTACGCGTCCGCCCGGGAACAGTTCCTGGCGTCTCCGACGACAAAATCGTATCTGTGCAAGGCGTCGGCGAAGTTCTATTCGTTTGTGCGCGAGACGCTGAACGTACCCCTTCATCGCGGCATTGTTGACCACCCGACGTTCGAGACTGGCGAGGCGGATAAGAAGACGATTGGGTCGCGGATTGGGGAGGTTTATGCGGCTCTGAGGAGGGGGGAGATTCGTGATGTTTTGGTGGATTGCTTTTAGGCTGCGTTGGCTCTAGTTTGGACGAGTGAATTTAACTTACGGGTTGGATAATGGTAATAATTTGGTTATCAAGAGAGATGAGATTGGATGGGATCGGATGGGAGAAGACGGATAGAACGATTGTCTACGGATTTTCTTTACTTTTTCTTTTCTTCATTCTACTCCTGGCAATAGAAACTGCTGTTTGAATTTTTATAACTAGGACGGTTAATTTGTTGATTAGATATAGCGAAGCAGAACGAGATAGCGAGTGCAATTTCCTTCTTTTGAGCAGAATCAATTTTGTAATTCTTACAGTTAACTCATAGCATTCGTGGCGCATAATGTAAACCGCTTGAACAAGGCTATTGCGAACATGATAATATTTGATGATCAAAAAGCCACACGAACAAAAGCAGAACAGCGAGACAAAAGAAAAAGAAAAAGAGAGAATAAAAGGAATCAAATGAAAGACACAAAGGAAGAGAGAGAATGAACGCCGAAATAAGCTGAAAAATGAAACAATCGTAAACATCCAACCCACCCCATCAATCTGTATTGAAACGCTTCGGACGATACGAAATCGACATACTAGGCACCGGGTCCGGGATACTGGTATACCGACAAAGATTGTTCGTGATAAGTGGCACGAAGAGCGTCGTTGAGCTGGATGATGTCGTTCGCGGACAGTAGCAGAGCCATTGGGGGTCGCGCCAGATGTTGAATCTATTGATCACTAGCAGTTAGCATAGGTTTCTCGGTACTTAGATGATGAATAAAGAGACAGAGGGGCTTGGGGATACATACGAAGGCGTACAAAGATACTTCCTCAACGTAACCAACGTCGTAGGAAGCGTTATGACAGCAATTATCGGTGCCGGGTCAGTGGTTGTTACACTCGGAGCCGCAGTGGCCGGCGGTTCTCGTGTCACTGTGATGCGGTCCTGGGTTGTGGTGGTCGATGGAACGGCTGTTATAGACGCAGGAACGGATGCGGTGGTTTCGCTCGTGGTGTCTGTCGTTGTGATGCTAGAGAAGGGTGATGACGAGGCGGTTTCGAGTCCCTCCAGAACAGACTGCTGCACTTCAAGCCAGTTGTGTTGCCCGTCCCAATCCCAGTAATGCTCGATGGGGGACGCGATAGCGTCGGTGGTTGATGCAGTGATGGTTGTTACTGTTGTGGAGATGGTGCGAGGGCAGGAGTCAATGGACTGGAAGGTCGAGCAGGTCTATTGAAAAGGGTGAGTTAGGCAATTGCTCAATGAGTGAGTATGAAGAACTGGAGGATGTATACCTTGATGGTCTTTGTCTCAGGAGTCGGTGTGCTCGTCCCCGTTGCCGTGGGCGTGAAGATACTCACTGTCATCGTGCATGTAGATGCTGTTGCCGCCTGTGAGCAAGTTTCCGATTTGCTGGTCGATGTCGAACGCTCTGAGCTACTTGTTGCATCTGAGGATGTTGACTCAGTGGAGGTAGCCGTGTTGGGCCTGGTCGTAGATAGAGAAGTAGATCGCCCAGCAGTAGACGCCGAGGTAAAGGTATTTTTCTCATCTTGATCATTGTCCTTCCCATTGTGGCTCTTATCATCGTTGTTCTTGTCATCCTCAGTATTCGAATTACTTCCACTCCCCGATCCACCACCAGACCCACCGCCGCCCCCAGCAGGCGGCCCCGGAGGACCAGGCGGAACAGGAGGTCCGATCACAGGAGGCGAAGGTGGTCCTCCAGGAAGCAAAGCTGCACCACCGGGCACGGGAAGCGGGATAAAGCCACAGCATAGACCCCATGATTGACCGATATCTGGCTCGTCGGCGCAGAAGGCCGGAATGATACAGCTTTTGCTGCTACTTGTGTCGCAGAGATCACCCTGGCATTTCCAGACATCGGTCGGTTGGTTGTCGGAGTCGACAGTGTTGGTTGCGATGTATGTTATGCTGGTGGAGGTATCTGCGTTGCTGATGGGGAAAACCTGTTCGAGTTAGTTTGTTATTGTCTCATGAAAGCTTAAAGGTATGAGGGCTGCTTACGGTTATAGGCACAGGGACATCGGTTGTGAAGTTGGATTGGGCTGAGGTCATTGGTGAAGGCACGCTGGTTGATGACGTCTGAACTGGTAATAAGACTGGCGACGTGATATTAGGGGTGGAGGAAGTGACAGGGTATTCGTGACTGGTAGAGGTCAATGAAGTCGCACGGATTCGGGTATTTGATAGAGAGCTTGGTTTGAGACCTCCTGACGTAGGATCCTGTGCCCCATTGTTGCTAGTTGGGCTAGGATCCAAGATGTCTGAAGTGAAATGGTTTGTCGAGCTCTGTGCCGACAAGGAAAGGGTCTCATTCGAATGATTCTGCGATGTCATCAATGGCATCCTGATCGATGCTGCTGAACCAGTAGATGATGTAAAAGGTACATCTGAGAATGTCTTTTTCAAAGTGTTGCCATGTGGATATCTGCTCCGAGCTTCCGGTGGAAGAAGTGCTGCGGTCAGGGGATCTGTTTGAACCGTATTTGACGAAGTAGAAGCCCTGGTAGTATTTAAGGGAAGGTGGTGAACTGATCGGGTGAATGCTGATCGGATACTTGTATTGCTTCCCCTGAAGGTAGGCGCATTCTCTTCCAGCGTAGCCCCGTTCACAATAGGATCAACACCCCGGGCTTGGTTCTGTCGAGGCTTTTGACCAACTCTGTCGGTACGTGGAAGAGGAGAAATAGAGCCATTTCGATTAGGTCTCTGGGGTGGCTTATTATCAGTTGGACTAATCATTCTCGCTCCTGGAACAATTAGTTTCTAGGCTTTCAATTGAACCCCAAATATAAAAGGGATGAATATAGAGAGAACATATGTGACGCTTACCAAGCGCAAAGTAGGCATAGTTATCAGCGTTGAATCGACCCAGGCCACGTTGCTGTCCTAGCTTTACGCAGCGCTTCCAACCTACCAACTAGTTAGAACGAGGGTATCTAGCGGACTAATGGTTTCCCTCTAACACCTACCGTAGCTTGTCTTTCCGGCAACGTCGTCTGTCGGACGCACCGGTATAGCATGTGTCAGCTCATGCATCAGTGTGTGGTCCAACAGCGCGTAAGCATCCATGCGTGTCCGCTGGAAAATAGCATTATATCCGGCGTGGATGGGCCATGCTAACAAAGCCTTCGGACCAAGATGCCACTGTGTTGATTTTGTTAGCCATTTCTCGAACAAAGGTTCAAATGGTATATGATTCGAGTGGCATACCCAGTATTTGATTTTGGATTTGGAGCTAAATTCCAAATACCAGGAACATAGGTCAACCTGACCAAAGTTTGATACGCCATTGGACAGAGTGAGAGCCTTGTTGCGGAAAGAAAGTGTGGTGGTTAGCATGAGCCATCCCGTTCGTCCGTGCGGTGCAGGCTTACCATGAGTGGAATATACCCAGATTTCGACTTGCATGACTTATAAGAGAAGTCTATATTGGCTTTCTGGCTAGTATCCTTGTCACAAGCCACCGATTTGTTCTCCACTCCATTGCAATCCACTCCTTCGATGTATCGAGAGTAGTCACAGTATATGACCACGTCGTTGGGTTTTCTATCCTCTCTTAAAAGAGCGAAATTGAGGACGTTTGTATAGATCCCTTTTATATAATCTAGTTCATTTTGGTTGACCTGTCTATGACCGTTCACTGTTGTGACCGCAAATCCGAACATGTATTGGAAGAGGTCCATCTGAGCGACATTGTTGGTCTGGGTGCTGAGTGCGTCGAGGGTGTCCACTGCAGCAGCAGCAAGATCCAATGCGCCTTTCATGCCATCCTTGACCACATTCTCGTAGCCTTTGGCCAGGTTAATGCATGGTTCAATGGCCTCAAGGACTGAAGGGTCACTAACCTAACTCCACGCAGCGTTTGTCCATATTCCAGGCATTGACAAATGAAAGGAAGAATGTCGGTATAAGAAAAGCTATGTTTAAAGACTTCATGGCGAATTGGAAGGCAAATAAAACTCAACGGAAAATAGACTTGTGCCTTTGTCTGCTTCTGCGAACGATGATGGAGCCCATGATATGTATTCTTATACGAATATCAAGGAGTACTAATGTCCTGCATCGATATCTACGCCTTTCTTTGTGCTACTCGTAAAACTACACGATGCAACTAAAGGATCATTTGGTAACCTTTCAGATGAGAGCATTAACCGCTGTTAGTAGTTAGCCTTTGGGACGCTTATCGAGCTGATCGGTACCAAACTGTCGGTACCGCGAACGTGTTACTGGAGGAGAGGTACTGGATAGTGTGGTTTAAATAGGGGTCAATGCGAGAATACGGCATTAGAGCCCTTTAGATATGTGACTCCGGAAGGCCTATTTGAACTAGATTGTCTTTAAGCCATTTTCATTGACACATCGTCGCCACCACTGCTTTTACGATCGATGGAAGGTAGGCTTTCTCTGTGCTACGGTATGTAAATCAGAGTAGTCTTTCTTTTGCGATAGAGATGTTCTAGGCTCGAGCACATGTTTTCACAAAGGAATCGATCTACTGTTAGGTTGAGGCTGAAACGATGTGTTGTTCATAGATCCTCCGCTCTGGTCTAGACTTCAAAACCATTCGGAGTTGTATACCTCGGACCTGGATTTAAAGTTCAGCCAAAGCTACCTAAATATTCCGATAGACCAACCATACTAGCAAGCGCGATATCAGGCTGACCAGGGTTGTCGAATGGTAGTAGTTTCGGCCTTCAAGGGGAGTTCACTGGGCTGCTAAGCGCCGACATGAGATGATCAATTTGCGGTCAGACTCATCTTTGCCCCGCGTAAGTTTACGATTATATTAATAGATGTTGAGGCTGAGGTCCGAGCGCAGTCAAAGAAATATAATAGCCATGCTACGTGGCGAATCCGGTTGGTTCCTCTTGCTAGGCCCATGGGCGTGGTAACGGGATGATTCGAACACGTTAGTTTTCTAAGCGCCTGTCCAATCTAGCCCCGTCACTCTTGCCCTCGGCCGCGTTTGACCCTTATTTTCTTTGTTCCCCTTCGAAGTCCTGGTGGGGTACACTGACTCTCTCCAGAATCTGCGTGTTTGTTCTACCATTATACTTGGCTATCCCGAAATCCGTTCTTCAAACCATGGCCTTCCTCAGAGAATATGTGGAACGACTCGTTGGGAGAATGTATTTTGGGCCAAAATCCGACATTTCCAAAGCTGTTCCCAAAGAGCGCAAGAAAAATGCACCCAAGCCTCTTCCAAGCCTGCGGCCTCGAGCATTAAGCCTCCCAAACGGGGGTGATGAGAGAGGTCTCTCCATCCCTTTCACCCAAATCACGACTGAGAATGAAGTGATACGCCTAAAGGGACAACAATCTTTCTGTGATCAGAAGCAAAGCGATCTTTTAAGAAAGCTCCCCCTCGAGATCCGATCGCAGATCTGGAGGTACTGCGTCGCATCATTCGAGATACATGTTGTCCGAGGCAAGAACAAGCTTGTTGCTATTCCATGCTTGGGGCAAGAAGAAGAGGCTCGAATGCCACCTTGCCAACACAAATGTTGGGGTAGCTCCACCAAAGCCATTTTGGGATACTACGGAGTATGCCCCGGCTACTTCTACGACTCCAATGGCTGTCCTCCCTTATCGGATCCTGTTCCCTTGCTTCAAAGCTGTCGCGTAATGTAATGAAACCCAATTTTTTCCCTTTATACGTGTGTGACTTACGAAACATCAGATACTCCGAGGCTGTCGATCTGCTATACAATGAAAACTCATTCCGCGTCAACCACATTGATACAATCGTCAGTCTCTCACGCACAATCTTACCTTCACGGCTCAATATCATCCGCACTCTTCACTTGGCATATACGTTCCCGATGGGGATGTATGCGGAAAGTGACCATGCGATCCCACCGTATGATGCAAATACGTGGGAAGAAGTATGCCGGATCATCGCGAATATGACGGGCCTGAGAAAGTTATATGTCCACCTCGGGGGAAGCAACTTAAGATTTGAACTCCACGACATACTCAGGCCTTTGCATCAGATCAGACAGGTAGACACTTTTGATGTCTTTGTTGGTATTGGTTGTGACCCGGACAATGTTTGCACGGTAGAGAAGCCGTTTCGATTTGTCTTCCAACATTACGATCTACTTCCAGACTGGGAATGTTGTTGATGGACCTCATGGACTCATGTCCGTCCATAAATCTTTCTGTTCTCCCCTCTTGTTGTATCGTTATTATTTTACGATTATTGTTCTATCTCTGGCTTGAAACAATTTGAAATGGTAGCCATGGTTATGCATGGCTCCCGCTAGTCATCCAAATCCATAGCTTGCATTAGATTTATGCCCGCTTTATCCGGGTTTAGCGTCAAAAAAGGATCACGGTCAATCGATTTTTTCCTTAAACAAAAGGACCTGACAAATTGGTTTGTTGGCATTTAATCACTGAGAACTCTAGACTTCAATCCATTCGAGTATGATACGACATTTACATTGAAGAATCATTTGGCTATACGCTGGGGTGATGCTCTTCCGAATGTTCTGGGGACGGAAGATGTAGGGACATAAGAAACAAGTGAAATTATAAAGGCACTTCTACGCCGTTTGACCTCGCTATCTAAGCGGTAAACGTTGTTTGGCCCACAGTTCTGGTCTGCTTGTTTGTGAGATCCTTGTTAGTCTCATGCACTGAAGGTCGTTCGATAAATGTGGCTGAGGACGTATAGATCGAGTGTGTGGATTCAATTTTGGGTTCGACCTGCGCAGGAATCGAACGTCTCTGGTTTTGATTACTCAGAGGCTTGATAGATCCATTCTTCATTGGACGCATGGAAGCTTTGCCATTGTTTGGGTTGATCATTCTCGCCCCTGTAGTTGAGTCAGTAAAAAAAATCGATTGCATGTGTCATCCAAATCAACCGTACCTAGAGCAAAGTAAGCATAATTGTCGGCGTTGTTAATGCCCGAATCACGACTTTTTCCAAGACTCACACATCACTTCCAACCTAGCAACAACTGTTAAAATAAGCTTCTATACTTATTATAACACAGTGACGTACCGTAGCTGAAGAATTTAGATGTATCAGTCGTGGCTCGCAGGAAGATGGCATGCGTAAGCTCATGCAAGATGGTATGATCCAACAAAGCAGTAGCTTCGTCTTTCAGTTTCTTCATTCGGTTTATATGATGGTTAAAGATTGTCTGGGCTGTTCCCATGCTGATTGTTCATAACCCATACAAAAGAACAGACTCGAAAGACCGGATCATTCTGCTGTTCTAGATTATACTCTATACTGATTTCCGTTGGTCGAATCTCGACGAGGTCTCTGCAATCCGACTTACTGAGCCTAACAGTCTAATTGGTTTCCAGCGTGATGGCATGAAACGATGTGTTGTTTGATCTATGTTCTAGCCTCTAAGGCTATGCTGCGCTTTCGACCATGGAGTAGTAACTTAAAGTTCCACCAAGCAACTAATTATAATCTTCCGAGGCCACGATCAAAGAATAAGGCCGCGAATTGCTCTAGCAGGAGCAGGGGCCTTCGAAGAACAATTTACCCTTGTTGATATTAGCGCCGTGCTGAGGGGGTTTGTTTCGGTCAGACAGAAATTGGCCCCGTGTTCCATTGCCACGGGCATTGCGGTTGGACTAGAAGGCAAGGCTAGGAACTTGTATATAGCACAGGGCTCTATATGTGGGTTCCAGCTTTCTTTGTTACGGTGTTCTCGCCAATAGCATCCATGAGGACGGCGTAGTTCTAAGCGCCCACCACCCCGCTAGTTACCACTTCTCGGTGTCGACAGGAACCAACACGTCTTCCAACTCTTCTCTATCTCATTCTTAATACTTGATTTGTCTTTTGCTTACTGCCAGCCCTTTATCGCCTTGATTATTTGAAATCGTTCACCTCGGAAAGCCTTCGGTGCATGACTCCTTTCCGCTTCTAAAAAGCTAAACTCGGCTTCTTAATCATTGCGGATGATCGAAGATTATGGAGGCCTGCATATCTTTCTTTTATAAGATAGTCGAAAAAGGCGCTTTTGGGCAAGACGCCAATTTCCCTAAATCAATTACCAAGAAAAGGAAGAAGTTAACCCCGAAAGCATTACCCCAGCTCCGTCCTCGATCCCTGAGTCTCCACGCCGGAGAGAAAAGCGGGGGGACATTCGTTCTCGTAGGCAGCGAAAAGGGTATAGAATCAGACGCGAGACAATACGTGTGACCAGCACCAATCGCCGCTACTCGCTTCTCTTCCCGTCGAACTTCGCATCAAAATATGGACCTATGTCCTGGTACCTGGCGACCTCCATGTTGTGCGGGGCGAAGGCAGACTCTTGACTATAAAATGCTTGGGGGCAGAGGCAAGACACCGGTATCCACCCTGCCAACACCGATGCTGGGGTAGTGCCACAAAACCATTTCTTTGGTATCGCGGTGTCTCTCCGGGATATTGCGTCGGCACTAAAGGCTGCAAATGGTATTGTGGTGCAGTTCCTCTCCTTCAGACATGCCGATCGATGTAAGTCCTTGGGCGTGTATCCTAGATAATGCCTCCTTTAAACTCACATGAAACTAGCTACACTGAAGCAGTTTCAATCTTATACCATGATAATATCTTCCGGTTCAATCACGTCGATACTATGATCAGCCTATCTCGCACAATTCTCCCCTGTCGACTTAACCTTATACGTGTCGTCCATCTGGCACATTCCTTCCCATTTTCTATGTATGGCCACAACTCTCGGAAGGTGGTCGCGCCGTACGATGCGAAAACTTGGGAAGAGACGTGTCAAGCTTTAGCCGGCATGACTGGCCTCGAAGAACTCTACATGCATCTTGGGGAGTTCTGTTCCTCTGAAATCCACGAGGTACTGGCACCATTGCACGCAATACAACAAACAAGAGTATTTGAGTTATTTCTGGGAGTGGGGAGTAACCCAGAAGAGCTTTATCAAATTGAAGATAGGCCTTTTCGATTTGTCGGACAGCTGGATTGGGGAATGGTTGACCGATCGGAGGAATGGATATGTTGTTGATACCCCAGTTCTTGGATTGGATGCTTTTTGATATGAATTATGGAAAATCCACACCTGTCTTGAATGGAGCTTTCTGTTCGATCTTCATACTCTGAATGTGTTGGTTCCTTTGATGCCTTTGACTTTTCAAGTGCTTATCATATCTAGCCTCTCGTCCCTTGGCATTATCTGTTGTTTGATTTATATTGTTTGTTCGTCTTTGTGGTTTGACTAGGGTATGCTATCTTCCTCCGGATTTTGGGGATCTGATTATCGGTGTAGCTGTTAATCATGGAAACTGGCCAAACCATGGACTTTGGCAAATATCTTGCGGACCGATCTATCGACCTCCTGTATCTTGGGCCCGGAACCGACATTCCTAAAGCTATCCACGAACAACACAAGAGAAATACATTTGGAGGGAAATAATAAACAAATCAAATCAAGGAGGCCACGCGGGCAAGTATTGGTTGCGGTAAAGAAGCTTTCCGGGCGAATATCCCTGTAAAAGGTACCATTACGCCATGTAACCTCGCTATCTAAGCATTGCCTGATAGGTGATAATTGGAGCAATACACGCAATATGTGGGTATTATTGGCAAATCATCCCTGAAAGATGTAGCCTGCTACGCGTTGCTTCTCCCAACTAATCTAAAGCCTCTTAACCAGCCGCAATATAGACCTGCAAACGTGAATCCTGACCATATGACCCCCGCTCGATTGCGGTTGCCTGTGCGCATGTCCAATCCAGTAGCCTTACAAGTAAAATACATAAGAGATTACCGCCCCTTTTCTCGCCCATTCATGGAAGCAGTTTCTATTCAAATATATCATATTTGCCAGCTCCATGGTTTAGTGGTAGTTTCAATCCCTTCTTTGTCGTTGAGCGAGCCCAGAAAAAGCCTGTCCCTGTACCTTGCATGCATCCGAGATTGGTTTAAAATGACACCATTGCGCTTCGTAACAGAAGGAGGCTTCAAAAATGCCCAGATAGGTCACGAAGAGCCTGTCGGACTATTAAGTCTGTTGACATTTGGGTGGATCTACCCATTGCTGTCAGTATGTAATGTTTTTCTATCGATTCTTTCCTTTGCGCAAGCTAACATGACTTGTTCTCTAGATTGGATACTCTAGACCACTAATCAAAGACGACACCGGGACATTGAATCGGAAACGAGCCGTTGCGCTACACAAAAATACCGTCCTTGAGACCTTCCAGCAAAATCTCGCTGCTCGTAGGCGTTTTCCACTTCTCTGTGCCTTGCATGATGCATTCAAAGCCCAGTTCTGGGTAGGAGGACTCGCCATGCTGTTTGCAAATATTCTACAAATCATGGCACCTTGGCTACTGAGGTATCTTCTCGTCAGCTTATCGGATGGGTCTTCCAACTCTACATCCTTAACCTACGTGGCTATACTCTTCACCACTCAGATGGGGATGAGCTTTGCTCTTGTCCATTACCATTATCTGGGACAGGTTGTGGGTAGTCAGGTCAAAGCTGCTTTGACTGCTATAGTCTTTGAGAAATCACTGGAGTTCTCGAGCAATGACGGCAACGACTGGACTGAGGGAAAGATATCGAACTTGATAACGGTCGATTCGCAGCGTATCGAGAGCGCTCTCCTCTACGCAAACATGATCTGGAGTGAGCCTCTGGCAGTTGTCCTGGCATTGATTGTTCTCTTTTATAATCTTCGCTGGAGCGCACTCAGTGGTCTTATCCTTCTTTTTGTTGGTGGGAAGGGAGTAGAACTTAGCATGGGCTGGCTGATATCAGGGCGTGTGGCAATTAACGCGGAAGTAGATGACAGGACATCGCGCCTTCAGGAGGCGCTGCAAAACATGAAATTTGTCAAGTTTCATGGTTGGGAGTCATACTTTCTTCGTCGGATCTCGGATGCCAGAGCGGCGGAGGTTCAGCAGCAACGCAGACTATTGAACATTCGAAGCACGATCATGTCCCTGTCCATGTCCCTCCCTTCGTATGCGGCCATGATTTCTTTTGTTATGTTCATGACTTACCAAGGTCGGCTTTCAGCTGCAGAGGCTTTTTCGTCGCTGGCCTTGTTTAATTGTCTTCGCAAACCACTCAACATCTTGCCTATGGTGCTCAGTCAGCTCATCGATGCTTGGATATCTTTGCAACGCATCGAGTCATTTCTAAGGGAGAATTACCAACAAGACACAATTATCTGGGCTCTCGGTGCACATCACGCCGTGGACATGACAAACGCCTCTTTTGCCTGGAACTATGCTGCGGAAATGAAACACAATAATGATGATTCATCCGCTGCAATCGGCGAAGAGACTGCATTGCTGTCCGTGAATAAGCAGTCCAGCCAGAATGCTAGTAACGTCTTGTCCGCCGCCCTTCATAACATCAACTTGCAGATCAAACATGGGGAGCTTGTCGCGATCTCAGGGCCAGTAGGGTCAGGGAAAAGTGCACTTCTCCTCGCCCTTGCAGGCCAGATGAGCCAGACACAAGGTCAGGTCACACTAGGCGCAACACGCTCTTTCTGCTCTCAGGTCCCCTGGATCGAAAGTGGAACATTCCGCAACAACATCCTGTTTGGGAAGCCTTTACGACAACCATGGTATGACCAGGTAGTGGAAGCTTGCGCTTTGAATCCTGATCTCGAAACATGGGAGCATGGCGACCAGACTTGTATCGGCGAACAGGGCATCACATTATCTGGCGGACAGAAGCAACGGATTAGTCTAGCGCGAACAATCTATGCTGACGCCGACTTACTGCTTCTCGATGATCCCTTGTCGGCTGTGGATGGGGATGCTGGCCATCACATCTTTAACAAAGCCATTCGTGGGCTGCTACGGGGAAAGACTTGCATCCTAGTATCCCACCAATCGCACGTCATTGCTCAATGCGACCGTGTATTATGGCTAGAGAAGGGTTGTATCAAAAAAGGTGATGAGATATCCAAAGGAACATCTGATAACGCAATACTCTCGTCTATCTTTCCCACCAACGAAGAGCCCAGGCCTCAGAGCTCTGCGGATCAACTACATAACAGATCAGACGATGGGCCGTACAAAACTGTAAAAAAGAGCCAAAAAAATAGTAAGAGAACATTTCAACAAAAGTCATGATGATAACGCTAAAAAGTGTCTCCAGATACCGTTATGAGCAGCGAGACCCATCAGTCTGGCAGCGTCACGCGGTCTACCTACAAGGCATACTTTTCTGCTTCGGGTTCTATGTTTCATTGGCCCATACTTTTCCTTCTTTTGATTGTCTCGCAAATAGCTGGAATATTTACCGGCATATGGCTATCCTGGTGGGTGGATGACGCCTTTAGCTGGAGAAATCGTAACTATATAGCGGGTTATGTCTTCCTTGTAGTCATCCAGAGCGTGCTTATGTGGGCATACCTAAGCCAGGCCTCAATGCTAGGCTTACGAGCAAGCGATCGCCTCTTCAAGACAGCTCTCCGGCGTGTTCTTTACGCACCCTTGTCATTTCACACCGCCAATCCAGTTGGGCGACTCATGAACCTATTCTCCAGTGATGTCAGTCAGCTCGACAACGGCGTTAGTGACACGATTCGGGCCTTTTTCTTGATGCTTGGTATTATGCTATCGACTTTTCTATTGATATCAATTCAGTTCCCTATGGTAGGAAATACTTCCGACCCCCCATGTGCAGGACTTGATCTAATTGTCAAGCTCTTCAGTTTGTGGTATCCTTCCCAGGTGTCCTTTTTGCCATATACTACACCTCGAGCTACTATTGCGCATCGAAGCAAGAGCTAAAGCGGCTCGAGACCACCGCACGTTCTACAGTCGCAGCAAAGGTTACGGAATGTATTGCTGGCCGTCAGACTATTCGAAGCTTTGGCTCGCAGGACATTTTCAAAGCTCGACTAGACGTCGCTATCGACGAAGCAAGCAACTTCTCCCGTCTCACGTCAGCTAGCCAACAATGGTTAAATCTCCGATTAGACGCGTTAGGGAATCTTCTACTTTTTTTTGTCGGATCATTGATTGTCTTGTCTGGAGACTCTATCCTCGCTAGTATGTCGGGCCTGATCATGACCTACGCGCTGGCGGTCGTGCAGATAATTCCTGGCGTTGTGTCCCAGTCAGCTGAGATTGAAAGCTCCCTCATCACAGTCGAGAGGATGATGTATTATGGTAACGAGATCCCGACAGAGATATCAACACCGGCCACCGTGCCACCCCCGACTTGGCCGGAGAAGGGGGATATAACGATGAAGTGCGTCAGCCTGCGCTACCGAAGTGATCTCCCTCGTGCACTGCACGGGGTAAACCTGACAATATCTGGTGGCGAGAAGATAGGCATTATTGGCCGCACTGGTGCAGGTAAATCCACTATTATATCCGCTCTTTTTCAACTCTTCCCGCTGGAGGAGGGGTCCATCGTTATCGACAATATCAACATCGCAGATCTGGATCGCCAATCCTTGAGATCCAGATTAGCTATCATCCCTCAAGATCCAACATTGTTCGACGGGACAGTCCGGTCCAACCTCGATCCCGCCGAAGAATACGCAGACGCTGTTCTGTACAACGCACTTCGTATGGCTAGCCTTACTCGAATCCATCTCGATCATAGGGTTCTGCCCCACGGTGCAAATCTTTCCCTGGGTGAGAAGCAGTTGCTTGCACTAGCACGCGCCTTGGTGCGAGATCCTCGCATCCTTGTCTGTGACGAGGCTACGTCTGCCGTCGATCAACACACTGATGAAGCCGTTCAACAAACTTTACTTACTGCCATGAAGGGAAGGACAGTCATTTGTATTGCTCATCGGCTGCAAACTATCATGCGATATGATCGTATCTGTATGATTGATCAAGGCCGAGTGGTTGACTTTCAAACTCCCCGTGTCTTGTTTGACACGAACACGCAATTTCAACAAATGTGCAGACTCACTGTTTAACTTAGTGCTTTATTACGAGGATGGCAATAGGTACTTTTTTATCACCTAGAACTGTCTAATATTGTATCTGTATGGAGTTTTTAACCACTAAGTTACTAAAAGACTAGAATACCATGTCAAAAGACTTGGTACGCGCCTCGCTCTATGCAGTGGCCTTGACCAGTTCGTCACATAACATAGCTTTGATGTGCACTAGGCAGTCCAACGGGAGGCTTGAGTTTATAAGAAGGGTTTTGAAATCCCAAAGTCTGGGGAGGTCGACGCTATCCTCATCCGTTAAACCTCGTTAGCACATACAAAGGGGGGAAAGTACGACTTACCTAGCAATTGGCCCCGCAAGGCCGAGGTCAGGCGTCCTCTCTATAGTACTGCTGACATTTAGTGGGTGTGTGGTATTAATTCGGAGGCCCTGGCCGACGAAGCTATCCTCCAGCGTTTCCAGGGACGATAGGTCGATACTAGAGACATCTACTCGATTAGATAGTATTCTTGTGCAGACACCTGCATCGAATCATCACGAATTACGGACTGGACGTGCCTTGATAATGGGCCGTCGATTTGAATCCTCCCAGATGAGGTGACCAGGTTTGATAGGTTGATAGCTGCTGGCATGACCCATGTAAGTAGACATGGAAACCCTATCCAATATGTTTGGTACACTTGGGTCTTGGACACATATAGATAAGATCTACCCACCACACCATTCCCATTCAGGCAAAGTACACGCGCGCTGACTCATGCGACCATCCACAAGTCACCGCCGACCACATGTGGCTGGGCGCCCCACCTCTGCCCCACTCGACCCAGACCCATGACGAAAGCACCGCCACAGCCCCTCCTTCACACCTGAGGCACCGAGCTGAGCTACGAAGCTCTCCTGGTTAAATACCTTTCTTTCTCTCTTCATCCTCCTCCTGCTCCGGTCCTCTCCTACATCATCCTCCCCATACCTTTTCATCTTCCATATACCCAAAAATATATACCACCTTCCAAAATGGGCTTCTCCGATCTCATCCAAGACACCATCAATAAGCACACCGGCGGCGGTGACAACAACAACAGCAACAACAACAACTCCTCCTACGGCGGCGGCGGTCCTCCCAGCTACGGCAACGAAGGCGGCTACAGCGCCGGTGGTAGCAGCCAGTTCAACACCCCTCACGGCGGTAACCCTTCTTCCTACGGTGGTAACCCCTCTTACGGCGGAAACCCTTCCTACGGCGGCGGTGGTCCTCCCAGCTACGGTAACGACGGCGGCTACAGCGCCGGCGGCAGCAGCCAGTTCAACACCCCCCACGGTGGAAATCCCTCCTACGGTGGTAACCCCTCCCACGGCGGCGGTCCCAGCTACGGCAACGATGGTGGCTACAGCGCCGGCGGCAGCAGCCACTACAACACCCCTCACGGAGGAAACCCCTCCTACGGCGGCGGCGGACACTCATCGGGCTACGGCTCCGACGACGACTTCAACCCGGCGGTCTCGCACGCCCAGGCGGAGCACAACGAAGACAGCTCGCTATTCAACACTGCCCTGTCATTCATCAAGGACCGGAAGCAGCAGTACGCGCAGAAGGACAATGACATCGACGAGGCGCAGATGGTGCAGTCGCATCAGGCGCTGTACGGTGGCGGCGGGGACAGCAACCGGGCTCACGACTCGAACTCCCTCGGTGCGGGAGCTGCCATGCAGGCGTTGAAGATGTTCACGTCGGGAGGTGGCTCTTCGTCGGGTGAGAGCAGCGGTGGTAGTGGAGGCATGGATAAAAATAAGTTGATTGGGATTGCCATGGCTCAGGCGAGTAAGTTGTGGGAGGAGAAGAATGCGAGTGGGGGTGGTGTGGTAAGTTCTTCCCTTCTTTTTCCTCGGGGTTAATGATGGTGGTTTGCAAATAAGGCTAACTTTTGCGTTTCCTATAGTCCGAGGACAAGCAGTCTGCTGTGAACAAGGCCGCCGAGATGGCGCTGAAGATGTACATGAAGAACCAGGGCAGTGGATCGACCGGCACTGGAGGGCCCGGCGGTGGTTTGATGAGCTTGGCCAGCAAATTCTTGAAGTAAGCTGAAGTAACGGACTGGGTGATTTGGGATCGAAGCATAGTGCATAGTTTATTTCAGGAATTCATTTATGTATGTTCGTGCAACCTTGTATGTAGCATGCGGGTCTTGTTTTTACACACCATAGCCGACAGCTCATGCATATATAGTATAGCAGACTCTATTTATACCAAACATTTCTACCTACAAATTCAACAATGTCAACATCCACCGAGGGTATGCCAGCGCCAAGCAATGTAGGTCCACTTTTTGGGGGTTGGTATCAGGTAGACCAGAAACACTCAATAAACGGAATGACACTCTAAGGCTGAGCAAACAGAAAAGAAAAGAAGAAAAAGGAAAGGAGAAAGATCAATGGTGGGTGTGCTAAATCAAAAAGAGAAGGTAAAAAAGGAAGGGAACGAGGCAATCACCAGTCATCATCGTCGTCTTGCTGATGCTTCCCCTGCATAGCGTTTTGTCTTGCCCTCAGTGCCTCGGCAAGTCCACCGGCCAAACTTGCATTTGAGGCGCTGTTAGGAGTAGCACGTCCACTGCCGCCGGACGAGTCCTGCGATTGCATGCTTACAGCACTGTCACGAGGGGCCGGTGGAGGGGCCGGTGCTGTCCTCTTACCCGCCATGTTAGGCCGCTTGGCGGGTGGTGCAGGGGGCGCTGGCTTGGCCTTGGCGGCGGCAGCCGTGGCAGCTCCGTTGGTCGCAGGGACCGGGCTAGCTCGAGGTGCCGCTGGGGGCGGGGGAGGGGGAGTAGGTCTCGGTGCCGGTGCAGGTGCGGCTTGCTCTTCCAGATATGCTTCGGGAGTCCAGCCCTGCACGGATGTTGCAGTATTCATACACAACCACCAACCTACCCAGATCTATTAGCAAGATCTAGGATATGGGAACATTGCAGAAGAGACTTACCATTTCCTTCCTTGGAAACAATCTGCACAACCTCACCAGCCCGAATTGAAAGCTCGTTCGACTGGGCGCTGCTGAAATCGTACAGGACCTTGGCGGTCGGTTTCCTTTGTGCCGGAGGACTTGAAGGAGGAGGCGGTGGGGGAGCCCTCATTGATCCAGACGAAGCAGTCCGTGTATGAGAAGCGGCGACGGCTGCGACGGGCTGCGGGACAGGCCTAGGCGCCGGCGGTGGTGCAGGTTGAGCGGCAGCTGGTTGGGGAGCCGGTGGTGGCGGTTGCACAGCGGCCGGCTGTGGGGTGGCTTGAGGCATGGGCTGACGAGGAGGCGCAGGTCGAGAGGCCAATTTCGAAGGACCACCACCTGGGCCTCCCGGACGAAGTAGTTTGCCAGTGGTGACGGGTCGCGCGGCAACTTGCTTGGGTCTTGGGGTTGGTTTGGAAACAGAACTGGCAGGTTCTCCGGCACTGGTATGAATTGTGCTACTCTTGTAGCTGTCCACATTGGAAGCGCCGGGTTCCTTGACGACCTTCACGGTGGCCAGCTTTCCTGGCTTCTTGTTGTATTCGATGCTATTCCTCTGTTAGTCATCAGTTCGCCAACTTGATGCATCCAAACCTACTGATCGCTGATCTTCAAGTTCAACTGTCCGCGCAAGGCAGTGGAAAGATGGGTAAAGAACTCCGTCTTAAAAACACAGTTCACGAGAGGATCGGGCTCCTGTGCGCCAATGACAAGCGAGAACCAGTCGTCTTTCAGGTTCGATGTGCTAACGGATTTGATGGCTCCAATCGGTATCGTTCGCTCGGACGAGATAGTCAACTGATTGTTGACGATAGTTTGCGCTACGATATATACATGTCGGCTCGTCTGTAGACGTTAGACCAGGAAATCACTTTAGGCGCGAAGTTTAACTCACCAAAATCAAGATTCGAGGAGATGGCTTGCTGGAGCGACCGAATTTAGATACCAGCACCTCGCCACGGCAAGAGAAAAGCACGTTTTCCGATCCTATAAAGCATCCGAGTCAGTGGAAGAAGCATAGAAAATATAGGAGGAAACGTACCGCTAATGCCTGCACCGTCACGGATCATTTCACCAGGACCACCTTTGTTGTCCACGCCAATGTAATCACCGAGGAATCGTCGCGAACCAAGCAAACTCATGCGCCGACGTTCCTTCCGGCCCTGGAGCAGTTGGTGGCCCTTGTCGCGCACCTTAATGAGCTCAAGGCCGCCAGTGCAGCGGCGCCAGAAACGTTGGATGCGGATAGCACATTCGATACGGTAGCGGAGGTAGTTACGCCAGGCGCGCTGGATTCGGATAGCCATGTTATGCCAGTACCGATCACGCATGGCCTCCAGCGCGAACAGCGTCTCCGGAGTCTTAACGAACACCTTCGTTATACCCATCTGGAACTCTTCTGCCGGAATACTGGTGTCCTTCAAGATCTGGCGGGCACCAGATTCGGCGTCACCCGTCCAGGTGTAGTCACCAGCATAGGACGTCTTGGGAGAAAGCAAGTAAAAACGTTCCACGAATTTGTCGAAAGTCTGACGGTAGGCGAAACCAGCACGTCGAATACGTACGTTCTCCTGAAGACCGAGGTATTTGATTTGATGCAGCACGTTGCCGACATTGTACTCCTTGGGGGCCTTGTTGTCGTTGGGTTTGATGGTTCGAATGTAAGAGGGCTGAGCCTTCATCAGCGTCGCCACCAAGTCGTTGGCGGAAGCCTTGATCTTGTCGCTCGCCGTGGGAGGTCGTCGTTTGTCATCCTGGTTAACCTGGTTGGGGAAGAGCGTGTGCACAAAGTTGTTGCTTGAGTGGCCGACGAGGTTCAGCAGATCCTTGAGCAACTGGTCCTTGTTCTTGTCCGTCATGCCCTCGACCGCATAGCTGACATCACCAGCATAATGCTTCACGATGAATTGACCCTGTCGGCTTTCGAAATTAGGGTTCTGGCCGAGGAAGTTCAGCCTGCCGACGAAGGTGTTGTCCGCAGCACCGGAATCAGCATGGGCCGTTGCGCATGCGTCGTTCAAGGCGGCAAAGACACCCGGCGGGCGCTTGTCCTCGATCAGCGAGCACACCACCTTGTTGTCAAAGTATTTGATCGGAGTCCACTGGATTTGCTCCCGAGCATATTCATCCTGCTCCGCCTTCAACGTCAACTGAATGAAGATCTGCTGAAGTTTCTCGTTGACGTAGTTGATACACAGCTGCTCGAAGGAGTTCTTTTCGAAAATCTCGAATCCATAAATATCCAGGATACCGATGGAGTTCGTCACAGACTCCCGGGCAGTCAAAGAAGCGTTGACGCGCTCCACAATCCAATCGAAAAGGTTGAAGTAGATTGCCTTCGAAAGCGCATCGCGCACAGCCAAGGCCTGGGTCGTGTTTAGAGGCACCTCGTAAACAGATCCCCTTCGACCTCCCCGAGCGGTCTCCATGATACGGATGGTCATGGCCTTGTTCACCTCGGTCGGATCGACCTCTAAAAGATAGGCGACGAAGTTCACGACCGATTGGTCCGTGATGGCGGCGTTGCCGGAGTCGTCCTCCGTGAATTGGATGTTTCCGATCCACAGAATCGTCGCCAACATGCGGAAAACATCGTCCTGCTCGGCCTCGGTCATACCAATAACCCCCATTGCGTTGAGCGTATCCCGGAACTCGGCAGCGTCGTCGACACCGGGCACATCGAAGCATTTAGATCGGCTAGTGTAGACGTAGGACTGGGGTTGTTGCAAACCGAACATGTCTAGTTTGTTGAGTTAGTGTAAGACATTGCGGGACAAGACCAGCCCATTCATACCTCGATACTTCTGCGGCGCAGCTTTCGTGAACTGGTAGAAGATGTGGAAGTTACGCTCGTTCGTAATCTGCCCCACAACTCGCGACTTCTCCAGCAGATAGTTGGTAATGTTGGCACCAACTGGCTCTCCATTGGCGTTGAACTCCAACTCCAAGTATTTTCCGAAACGGGACGAGTTGTTGTTACGCAGCGTCTTCGCGTTACCGAAAGATTCTAAGAGCGGATTCGTTGCGAGAACCATGTCCTTCGTTTGTTGAATGGACGAGTCCGTGCCTCCAGATACACTCGCGATATACTGCATGATCCGCTTCGCAGCCTCGGTCTTTCCAGCACCGGACTCTCCGGAAATGATCACGCACTGGTTGTCTTTATAGGATTTCATGTTATAGTAGGAGGATTCGGCGACCGCAAAGACATGGGGCGGAGTTTCCAGTCTGTTCTTCCCCCGGTAGGATTCGAGGACGCTATCGGTATAGATGCCCACTAGACAAAGACAAAACAGAGTCAGTCACAACCCCTGATATCCCTTATACCAGAACAAGCGCACTTACGGTCTCGGAAAGGGTTAACAGACACCAGCACGTGCCCAATATACGTCTAGAAATACACCAGTTAGCCGCCATCCGTCAGCCAGACCGCGCGATCCACAGCTTACGTAGATTTCGTCATGTTCAAAACGTAGTTTCAAGTTATCGTTGATGGCTTCGTTCGAGATCTTGCTCAGCAACGTCAAATCGGAAACACCAATCTCTTTCTTTTTCGTGCTTTCAAATGCGGCCTTTCGGACTTGGGGCTTGCCGCCCGCTTGCCGCCCATCGCCGACATCAGCGACTTTGGAGCGACCGAAGCCTCGACTCTTCTTCTCCCCGCCGGCCGGACGTCGTGAGTGTCCCTAGAATTGAAATATAGGTTAATGTATTTTCTTGCCAGTTATCTTGACCGATTGCTCGTCTCCCGATCCAGAAGAGCAACGAGACAACCCAACTCACCATGGTTGTTGCTACCGATCGCCCCGGGATCTGGCGCAGGCGTCAAGATATCCGACGTATCAGTTGCGGAATACCGGTCGATCACCGATTACTGAGTAAGGAAGGGAATGAGCGTAAAAGACAGGATGCTCATTCCAGGAATGTGTCGGGAATTGTCAAGAGTAACTCCAACACGGGAGTATGCGGAACGAATGGAGGTGGAAGTGGAGGAGTTAGAGAGGAAGAAAGAGGGAGAGGGAGAGGGAGAGGGAGGGACCAGAATGACGACGGTTGCTTGTGGAGGACAGATGGGATTTCTGCCTAAGGCCGCTGATCCCCCCTTCTGCGCCACACCGCCGCACGTGTGGCACCTCCCGACGGCCGGCAAAACGCGCAATCATCGAGTTTTCGCCTCCGCGGTTGGGTCGTCCCTTTTCCACCCGTCGTCAAGTCTGGCCCAACTCTGTGGTTGATGCTTTTCCTGGTGCCTGACGCCCAGTCGTAGGTGGGCACGTGCCATTGTCTTGGTTGCACAATCCCATTTGCTTACGACATCCCTATACTATAGTTAGTTACCGGTAGAACAATTCGGCTGCCTTTGGGGAAAAGAAAGAAATCATAGTTATGAAGTCCCTGAAGACAGTAAATCTAGTACGTTTGGGAATCAATTCTAACTATCGCGCCCATTCCCCGTCTTGTTCTCTACCACTCCGTTGGTATACGCTCCAAAGGGAGCCCGAGGCATCAACTCCTGATGCCTGCGCCTTTGTACACAGTATGAAGGCTTGTAGGCAGCCCTTTTACGACCGATTGCTTTTCCCATGCGGTTTTCCTTCTACCTTAATCAACACTCCTGAGTGTCGATGTCAGGTCGACAGGTGCCCAATAAAGGCAGGCATGGTTTCTAATTCCGGAATAATCTCTGGCGTGTCTTGCTTTTTCTCTTCTCCAGATTGGCCTAGTTTCGACCCTCGAATCGATCTTGCTCCACAGTCCACCTCGGTGTCATTTCCCATTCGTATCCGTATGGCTCGACGGCCTGTCCCCTTGAATTGGCCTGGGGCAGCCGGTCCCATATGACGTCATACTCTTTGGTCCACCGCGAACACGCGGCAATGTCAGCACATTTTACATGAACTTCAGGTATTGTGTAGATCGATTAAACCGTAGAAATAGCTTGTGTGTTATTCATGGTGGGACTGTGATTTATTAGTGTTGGTTTAATTGGTCTGGTGTTGAGGTTACCAGTCAGATTCGTCGTGTGGACTCCTGGATATATATCCCGGGAAACAAGACCAGAATACTCCAGGGAGAATGAAAACCCATTATCCGTACCTCTCCATTTTACAACCCGTTCACTCATATACCCTGTCATTCTCCCAGAATTTTGTTATACCTCTTGCCTTTCTTTCACCCAGATAATCATATAGAATCTCCTGCCCCTCAGGTGTGCGCACAGCCTGACCCACGGCTTTTAGGGATGGAAACAAATCGCTCAGGATGTTAATGTCATGCTCTGACAGGTTTACAGCGTCATCGGAATGAGCATGAGCCAAAAGATTGATGGAATCCGCCACAGAAGAATCCTGCACCGGGATATCCACAAGATTACCCATGTATTCTCTTATACTCGCAAGAAAGCTGGATGAGTCGGGAATAGGAAGTATAGGAACGGACGTAGATAGAGTTTCCGTGGTTCTATGAGTGTCAATCATGGGCGGTACTGGATTATTTGTGGATGGCGTACAGTATCTGGAGGGACAATAGTACGTCTAGATTATATTTTCCCGTTGCACTGTTGAATGGTTGTTCGGAAAGGAGGAGAGCAATGATGCATCTTCCAGGTGAGCACAGCATGGATACAGAGAGATCGTTTAGCCGAGAAATAGTTTGTTTCTTGTTCTCAGAGCCTAGGGAAGATGGCGTCAAGAGCAGGACGCGTAAAGGCTGCGGACTATTCCCCTGGTAGAAATCGAAGTCGTGACTTGGTAAGTGGGATTCTATCAAGACATGCGTAAGGACTTGGATGAGCATTGAATGCAGCAGAAGTACCGTGAAGAACGCTTGCTTGAGCCGTCAGGATTGGTCCTATGACTTTCCATACGGAGCGCGTTCGAAGGGATGAGGAAAATTGTCCACGAATGGAGTCCGGATCTGATTGATGATTCATGGTAGATTATAATTCCTTGATGTTCCATAATGTGCAGTCGAAGAGATGAAAAGGAGGAGAGAAGGATAAGTATGTACAGTGGGAAAGAGAGGAGATGTCCACCCCGCTCAACGTCATCCGGTAACAGAGAAGGGTATCCCAAACAGAAAAACAGGTATAACACCACCTGTGTACAAAACAGCGTCTATAAGGAGCAGAATTATGCACGAAGCCAATGTCTATCAATAGTCAACTCATTTCGATTTCGATGGCGGGCCCTGGTTGGTTGAATTCGTTGGAACCGGGGTCTTGTCATCCGTCTTCTTGGCCTGCTCTTCGCCAACAACAGCTTCAGCTGATTGTTCAGGACTTTGGCCAAATGTGAAATAGGACGTGATGCGTGACCACCAACTGGGCTCTTCAGCCTTCTCCACCTCCTCCTGCTTTTCCACCTCCCACACTTCGCGAGGGAGAATCCTGGGCGACGACTTTGACAGTCCCCCTTGCTTGGCCTTTTGTTGCAGAAGCTCCTTCTCCAAGGCCACCAAGGCCTGCCGAGCGGCCTTCTCCGATTGTTCCAGCTCAGCTAACCGAGACTCGACGTCTTCTCTGCGCGTAGTTTCCTTCCTCCGTGACCTCCACGATTCGAAGACGATCAAACCACCCGCCACCAGAAACAGGAACGATTCGCTGATAAATGTCGCACCCGACTCGATGGCTTTGGACTCCGACAGAGGCCTTATGTGGGGTTTTCGAGGGTTCGCGGCTTCTTCGGCGGCGGCTTTAGCCTTCGCGGCGGCTTCTTCTTCAGCTCTGGCCTCGGCGTGCGTTTTCGCCGTCGGAGAGGTCGGTTTGTGTTTTCGCAATTCGGCCTCGGCGGCGGCTTGTCTTTGTGAGGCGGCATTGTCGCGGAGGGTACCTAGACGGAGACGCATGTCGAGCCGGTGAAGAGATTGCGCCATGCCGATGCAGATTCGTCGGAAACGTTCATGTTCGCGGGCTTGTGCTTTGATTTGATTCTTGGAGTGGTCAGCATAATTTGGTCGGGATTGCTAACAGAATTGAGTGGGTTGAGCATACGGCGATCGGCTTTGAGAGAGTGCGGATAGCCAGCGAGGAGAGCTTTAGTGTGAGGGACATGGTGAATCAACGTAGAGGGGAGGTAGGGGAGGAGTGGGAAGAAATTATAATTAATTATTGGCAGTGGAGAGAAAAAAAATTATCGGAGGTCGGGAAGTAGTTTCATAGTATTGTGATATTCATAATGAGCATTGAGGATTTATCGAGGAAATCTCATTGAGAATCAAAAGGAATGAAGCCGTCGAGGCTGAACTCCAGAGGTGACCGAATTGTCAGGCACCAACTCTGCGTCATCCATGCAGATGCACAAGTGAGATTTATACAAAATGAGTCAGCGATGCATGGTTGTTACGGCATTCGGATCAATGTTTATCGATTGCCGGATTAGGCAGACCGTTTGGGGGGCGCCCGTGATCTCTCCGTTGCCGTGTCATCCCTTTTACTTTGCCCTACTGGACTTTGATTCCTCTTCCCTTGCTCCCCACCTGCTGGTGATTTCCGGGATCGAAGACTGTTTGACAGTCGCGTTGGGCGTTGGATGCATGTCATTGTTTTTGAGCGTCATTGTTATATCTTTTTTTGATTCATTCTGGTGAGTCGGCCCTTGTGTGCGAGTTTTTCGCCCCGCTGTGTCCCTCGGTGTTGATGTCGCCTTCGATATGGGACGGTTTTGCGCTTCAATTTGCCACGCCACTATACTTCCTTTCAATCACAGCTGGCTAGAGGCCAGTACATGGCCGCCGCTAATTGCCTTCTCCCCTCAATTGACTGACCGACCACTATTCAGGATAGCACCGGCTCGTCCATTATACCCCGTCTGCACCGTCTAGTATTTTCACATTGTATATTGCAATAACTCATGATTGTTACGACCGCCTTAATCGATTCAGAGACAGTCGGCTTGCGCATCTGGCCCGCCAGCGACAATAATACTATAGCGAAAGCACCCAAGGAGAATCCAACACAGGAGGAAGCACAAAGATGGAGGCCTTGTCACCCCGCTCGACAAATCAAATGATCAAACCCAAAGTGCCAATGGAACGGAAGGTACTCGATCGGAACGCTGCAGCTGCCAATGCTGCACAGAAAGCTACATCCTCGAAGAACCATGCGCCGCCGCCGCCTGCCCTCGTCACGGAGCCCATCGAGTATGGTGAGCGATACTCGACCGGCGCATTCCTGGGGAAAGGAGGATTTGCTATCTGTTACGAAGGCACATTGCTGCGCAATAATCGAGTCTTCGCGATGAAGGTGGTGAAGTCGGAGATGACACAGAAGAAGATGCAGGAGAAGGTACTTTGCGCTCCAGATCCCGGATAATTGGGCTGGACTGGAGATCATGTGGTTTGCTAATCTGGGGTGTTCTGTAGTTTCGGACCGAACTTCAGATCCACTCGAAAATGCGACACCCTCATATCGTCGGCTTTCATCGCGCGTTCGCTTTCGATCAGAGCACCTACGTGATCCTCGAGCTTTGTCCCAATGGGTCGGTTATGGACATGGTCAGGAAAAGGAAGTGTTTGAGTTTGCCGGAGGTCCGACGATTGATGATCCAGCTTTGCGGTGCGGTGAAATATCTGCACAAGCGAAATGTTGCGCATCGAGATTTGAAAATGGGCAATTTGTTCCTGGATCAGAACATGGATATCAAAGTGGGAGATTTCGGACTGGCGGCGATGATAATCTCAGAGCGCGACGAAAAACGGAGAAGAACGCTTTGCGGGACCCCGAATTATATCGCTCCGGAAGTTCTCGATAAGACCAAAGGGGGCCATACGCAAAAAGTCGACATCTGGTCCTTAGGTGTTATATGGTAAGAACGACATGATCTACATTGACTGTCTGGTGCGACTAACAAACCTTTATAGCTTTGCGATGCTCACAGGCTACCCTCCCTTCCAATCGAAAACCCAGGAAGAGATATACAAGAAAGTCAGAAACCTCACATACGTGTGGCCCAAAGGTGCAGACTGCGCCAACGACATTCCGGAAGAAGCGAAGTCGCTAGTCAGCTCTTGTTTGAATTTGGCAGAAGAGGAACGACCCGACCCCGACGACATTGTTGAGCACCCTTTTTTCAGCATGTACGACGGATGCATCCCGCGGAGACTGGAGCCCCAGTGCTGCCTTGCTAAGCCGTTCTGGCTCACGGCGGATCAACCTCGTGGCGACAATATGGTGATTGGCCATAGCTTGGAGTATGACGAGAAATTGTCCGGCTATATAGATAACGTCGACGATCCGAGCCAGCGATACCACATTTGCAAAGCCGCCTTTTATACTTTCTGCGGCGTTGGGAGGAAGCCAGATGGGTCTGCCCGGAAAGCTGCTGGCAAGCACGGCTCTAAGTCGGCGTTCGCTGAATGCTTCGCGGAGGAGGAGAAGGGACTTCAACCAGTTATCCCTTTGCCGGAGGACATCGTCTACAGCTACCCCTACGATCCAGAAGGAGATTGGAGTGTTCCGGAGCTGATGCTAACAAAGCGCAGAGACTGCTCCTCGCTGGAGAGCTCCGTTCTGTCCTCGAAAAGTACTGCATCGGTTCGCAGCAATGTGATGTCACAGTCGCGAACGCAGGCCGCCTTAGTTGCGGCCCAACAGCGTCGACAGGAATCGCAGAGCCATGCAGCTACTCTTCGACAGCAAGCGACCGGCCGAGGCTCTGTCAGAAAGGTGCCAACCCTTTGCGATCCCCCAGGCCCCGTATCACGACCGTTGGAAAATGTGCGTGTGGATGATGATGCGTTGTCTGTACCGGGTGGACCAACAGGTGGCCTCGCGGATCGTCCCATTCGCGCGCGCCGTGGGGTGGCTGCTTCGTACTCAGGCTCAACGCGTGGCTCGGATAGAAACCTGGTACCTCAGGTCTCCCGCATTACTAGTGATGCAGCGATGCTGACGGTTGGAAAGACTCGTTCGCAGTCTCGACGGCTAGAAGCCGCGAATAAGGACGGCCCAGAACTTCCGTTACCTAAAGAGCGAACTACCACAACTACTCTAGACAGCGCTCCAATCCGGCTGCGACCCGCATCAATTCGTGTTGCGCCTAAGTTGGAGAAACCCGAGGTGTTGAAACCGGTCGAGCCATTGAAATTAGAACCCCGACCCGCCCCAGCTGAAGAGGTCCACCGTTTACGGCCAGAACCTCAGCCTCAACCTCAAGCTATGCCTAGAACCGGCAGTAAGACGTCGCTATCTTCTGGCAATAAACCTCGGTCATCTCTTGGAACGCACCCACTTTTTCATCGCGATGACCCATGTGAAGCCCTTCCGGGGACATCTATTGCCGATACCAATGCAGACCTACGACACATGCTATCAAACCTGGTGCCAAATTCATCTGTCCGACGGCGCGCAGTTGCCAGGAGAGAACCGCATACGTACGTCATCAAATGGGTCGATTATACCAATCGATACGGCATCGGCTACGTCCTGGACGATGGGAGCGTCGGATGCGTCTTTAGAGCGGGTAATGGCAATCCGGCCACTGGTGTCGTCGTACGCGAAGGTGAGAAGCACATCCGTCGCAAGGCGCGCAGCCATGAGAAACGGGAGGGAGACGCATTCACCTATTCCGAGGCGGATCAGCTTGTGCCTCGCCAAGGGAAGCCGGTTGAATTCTACGAGAACTGCGACAACGATGCATCCGGGTTCCACGGAGGCGTACGTCGCGCAGCAGTCCCCCCTTCACTATTTGAAGTCAAGCCGTCATCCAATGGCTCCTCCAGCTCGGGCGTCAAGGTTCGTACAAATTCTGGTATGGAGTGTGCGCGAGCGGACGCCGAGAAGATTAAACGCGTCAAATTGGTGGACCAGTTTGGCAAGTATATGATCGGATCTCTAGGCCGACATGGCGACGAGGCATTCCTCGAGGACCAAACGTCAACCGGGGACCAAAGACAGTTTATCAAATACTACCAGCGCCTAGGTAACGTGGGTGTGTGGGGATTTGGGGATGGTGCTCTTCAGGTTTGTTTTAGCCCCCCTCTGATTTTCTTCCACCGTGCTGACCAGTTACTGACAGTTCAACTTCCCCGACCACACCAAACTCGTTATATCACCAGGTCGCACCAGAAGTTCATCTCCATGGATAGACTTCTACCACCTGTCGCCCTCGGCTGCTCGTTACTTGAGCGCCAAAGGAAAGATGCACCCCGCTGGATTCGACACGCGGGCGCTGGCATCGGACGAGGTGGGAACGTTCCTGAGCATTGCGTACGGAGCGACAGCTAGTCCGATGGATGAACGCATTCGCGACATCCTTGACGCCAACTCGTTCCTTCAAAAGATCGGGTTCCTGAAAGACGTTTTGAAAGGATGGATTAAACACGGGCGAATTGGAGGACGCCCATTCGACAAATCCCTGGGAGTCGAAGGAGGCCTGCGGTCGCTCGACATGTTCTGGGAGGGAGCCCAGGAGAGGGCCCACGGGTCGAAGTTTGTTTGGGTGACAGTGGGCGCGCCTGGAGGAGACGGCGAGTACCGATCCATCACTCTTAGGGAGAAGGACAAAAAGGTGGAAGCAACCCATGAGCAGGAAATGGGGATGCTCAGGGAACGGTTGCGAATGTTGGGGGCACCGTCTTAGTCGACGGTCCGCGGATCTTACGATGTTATGATTTCCACTGTTTTGATTCATTGCAATGGTCGTTTTGGTGTGATTCTTGCGTTCATTCCCTTGCATTTGCTGCGTGTTTGATTTATTGCATGACCGTGCGTCTTTTCCACAGTTACATATTTAGTATCCAATTTTCAGACCTGCGAATTAATCAACCTCAAATGATGAATTGACTTTCCACCAATCCAACTTGCCCCTTGTCTACTCAACTCGACGAGTCATCCACCTCAACCCCCAAGATTCATGGCATGGTCCTGAGCGCATACTTCGTCCCATCTCTCGTTTCCCCCTCTCGTATTCCCCGCCCAACCAGCCGCTTTGGTGCTTGGACAAGCGGCTTGCAAGTCTATATTCAGCACCAAGACGGGATCTAAGCCGCATTGTACGCTATCGCTACGAAGTGAGTGGTCCACATCACGTCTTGGCCTGAACGTATTGCTGGAGGGACTTCGTATTCTGGAAATTAGCCCCAATCCAGTCCAGGCACGGCGCTCTCATTATGCGGAGACCAATCAGGTTGGTTCTTGGGTATCTGCGCGGGAGGGGAGAGGCAAGTTGGGGTATAAATATCTGGTTGTAGGCAAGGTGCGTGAGCTTGAGGTTCTTTCATGAGGTAATTTGGATCAGGCAAGAAGAAAAGCAGACAGATATACAGTCACTCATTTTACTGTTTCCTGTTGCTCATCCATCCGCTCGCTCACTCACTCCACTCGCTTGTTATCGTGATTGATTGATTGAACTGGCTACGATGCTTTCCTCTCTTGTCCTTCTCACCCCCCTTCTTGCGGGCCAGGGTCTCGCCGCGCACTTCGGCTCTCACCTTGTCGAGATGGAAATATTTAAGCGCCAGAGCGACAGCGAGGCTTTTGTGCCTGGCACTACCCCCGGCTGTCCTTCTAACTGGCCCATGTGCGGGACGAGTGGCATCTGCTATAACCCCAGACAAGGACAGACCTGCTGCCCGGGTGGAAAGTGTATGTTGTACCCTACTATCTTGTTTATCAGACACTACCTCACTGTAGAAGAGCCTGATTGCTGACGATGTCTGTGGAATTGGAATAGACGCCTGCCCGTCCAACTCGTTCTGTCTGCAGGAGCCGTACTGCTGTCCTGATGTACGTCCCTTTCTCCCTGAGATATGTTAAACCTTGGAATGCTAACACCCAAAAAGGGCCTCGACCCGGAAACCTGCGCCCGCCGATACGGCATCACCTTGTCTCCAAGCTCAACTGAGGAGCCTGTCCCCGAGCCCACCGAGACCGCCCCCGAGCCAACTGACACCGTCGAGCCCACTCCCACCGAGCCGACTGGCCCTGAGCCTACCGACACTGTGCCAGAACCCACTGAGACCGTGCCCGAGTCTACCGAGACTGCTCCAGAGCCGACGACGACCTCGAACCCGGTGATTCCTAAGCCCCCGACCTCGACTGTACCGTCTGTGCCGTCGAGTACGGCAAGCCCGACCCTGCCGACTGCGTCTCCTTCTACATTGTTGTTTACTGGCGGTGCGAATGCTAGGGAGGTTGTTGGTGGAGCGGCGATTGTTCTCGGGGGACTGGGACTGTTGGGTAATTTAATTTAGGGAATGGAGGGGATTCCAACGAGAATTGTTTGATGTGGGAGATGTGGTTGGGATCAATTTAATGGGGGTTAATGTTGATGGACACGAGTTCAGGGTTATATAAGTTTTTGTGAATATGTGATATAATTATTATAAGGTTGACTTGCCACTGGACTTCAAGGTATGGCTCAATATCGAAGTAATACGTCAAACGCCAGATAGAATCGGATTCAGTGCGGAGAATCTCTCGGAGGAATATCCATACTGCGCGGGGTAGAAAGACCTCATTAGCGTTCCTGCAGATCGTCAATTCTATTCTCATCTCATTCAGATGGCTTAACCTCTCACCGCATGTCACCCTGCTGCCCTGATCGCTCTCTTACAGCCAACGACCATCCATCTACCCTCATTTTAGCTACAAAACTTCGCTAAATCGCCCATCATGTCCACCTCGATATCCTCCATGCAAAACCCCTCCTGCCTCCTCTACGGCGCCGGAGACTGCCGCTACGAAGACCGACCCATTCCCAGCATCGAAGACTCAAACGACGTGATAATCCGCATCGCGTACACCGGCGTTTGCGGGAGCGATGTACGTAAACACACCCATCATACCCTAACCCTCTTCCATAACTCCAACCGATACTAACAATTCAACCGGGGGAAAAGGTAAGTTTCTGGGTCCACGGCGGGATCAAACGCCGCATAACGCCAGAAAACCCAGTCGTGATGGGCCACGAAGCATCCGGCACAGTACATGCAATCGGATCCAACGTCCACCATCTGCAACCCGGCGATCCGGTGGCCATCGAGCCCGGATATCCGTGTCGGCGTTGCGAGCTGTGCAAAGCGGGGCGATACAATCTTTGCCCGGGGATGAAATTCGCTGCAGTCCCGAGTAGTTGTCATGGGACGCTGACCAGGTTTTTCAAGATCCCCGGGGATTATTGTCATTCGTTAGTGCCGGCAACATCGGGATCGGGATCAGGTTCAGGATCCATAGACTCAGCCCCAAAGTCGGGCTTAGGACTCGACGAAGCCGTACTAATGGAACCCTTAGCCGTGGCAATCCACTCCGTCCGCTCCGTAGGCGTTATACCTGGGAGCCGGGTAGTGATATTCGGAGCCGGCACGGTGGGCCTGTTATGCGCGAGCGTGGCGCGCGAGTTCGGCGCTAAACAAATCATCGTTGTGGATGTGAACGCACAAAAGCTGGAGTTTGCAGAGAGTGTGGTTCCGAACCCGCATGTCTCTTTCGGAACATACATCCCCTCGTCGACGCTCTCGGCTGAAGAAAATGCCAGCAATATACTTGAGCAGTTTGATTCCGCGTCCCATCATAGCGGAGGATCAGAGATTCCGGGCTTCGATGTCGCGATCGAAGCTACTGGCGCTGAACCCTGCGTTCAGATGGGGATTCATGTCCTGAGGGCTGGGGGTGCGTATATCCAGACGGGGAACGGGAAGAGGAAGGTGGAATTTCCGATTGCGACGGTGGCGGAAAAGGAGATCACGGTGCGAGGATGTTTTCGGTATGGACCTGGGGATTTCCAGCTGGGGGTGAGAAGGGCGAGTGAGGGCAGGATTCAGGTGAAGAGGTTTATTACGAAAGTGGTGCCATTTGAGAGGGCAGTGGAGGCGTGGGAGACGACGAGGAGGGGAGAGGGGATTAAAACTTTGATTAAGGGGGTTGAGGATTGAATTTTCTTGAAAAGAAAATTGCAGGGGATGCGAAAGGAGAATGCAAGGATTGTTATGGGGTAGTTGTATGTGAGTGAGCATTCAGTCCATAAGGGAGGATGTTGGGAGAGATCGTTTACGAATAGAATCAATGGGCTGGAGCCAAAGCGGAAGAAAGCCCAAGAGCAAAATATTGTGAATGATTCGATTAGATTGGTAAGACGTCATCGTTTGGAAGATAAGTATTCCTCAATTACTAGCGACATGTGCAACGGTGTATGTATTAAGTGGCCAGATTAAACAATATCTTATACTGGGGGAACGCGCAACACAAGTGGTATCGAAAGACAGAGATCATAAACAACACCCCCATGCAAGACTATAAGTCATTTAAACATACCAATATGTGCAGTCAAATTCAAGATAGCGATAATAAACCCATTAATCCATCAATGTTTCTCCAGTGAGAAGGTCGGCTCAGGCATGGTCACCGAGCTTGCCCCCGACGGTTCCCGCATCGGCGGCATCGACATCGGCGGCCTGTTCTGCTCATGACCTTGCATCTGTGTATGCATCTGCATCGGCGGCTGAGGGTGCGGGTGCGGATGCGGTTGCATAGGATAAGGCGACATTGGCGGTCGTGTCTGCCCATGTCCCTGTCCTTCTGTCTGCATCATCGGTGGTTGCATCTGCTGCTGTGGATGTGACTGTGGATGCGGCGGCATAGGATACGGCGATGAAGATGACTGCGGCGGCGGGTAAGGACGACCAGGTAGGAACGATCTCCGATGACCCGGCTGCTGCGCAGCACGATTCTCGCCGCCACTTTTTGTCGCCTCCAGCTCCCGCTTCACGCCCTCATACATATGCTCGATGATCTGGATCTCCTCCTGGATGTCTAGCGCGCAGCCATCCAGACACAGCTCACGTTCGCGCTGCTCGATATACTCACGAATATTGCGCCACTCGTTCTGGTAGTGTTTCAGACGATCCGGGAGGCCGGAGCCCTTGAGGTAGGTGAGGACGCCGGCCATGATGGTGTTGATTGCGCCAAAGGCCGTGACGGCGGAGTGGGGGCCCGAGGCGGCCCCGATGGCGGTTAAGGCGGCAGCGACGACGATCTGGATGCTCAGACAGGTGTTGATCAGGATGCTGAAGAGGCGGTAGCGTTGCGCGGAGGCTTGTTCGGCGCGGACGACTCGCGTGTAGATGCCGACGTTGGGGGCGGAGCGGGCGAATTGGTTCAGTGCGGTGAGGGCGGGGACGCTGTCGATGCCAGTGAGAGCACGGAAGATGAGGAGTTTGTCATAGGAGGGGATGAGAGAGCCGGCTTCGGTGGTTGAGAGCGTGAGGCGTTTCGGTGGGAAGTCACCGGGTCCTGGACCGCCTGGGCCCATGGGATCTGGATGTTGTGCTTGACCGTCTGCCATCATAGAGTGGGGTGGCATACCCGGTCCGTTCATTGGGGGGAAGCCTTGCTCCTCTCGATCAAAGGCAGATAGAAGGAGGCGGCGAGCGAAGGTGCCCAGCCTGCTGGGTTGGTGGCCGGCCATGCCGTGTAGTGCTTGCAAAGTAGGGCAACGCACGTTATGGACTGACTTGAATGCGCAGGACGTGGGACGACACCAAGAAAAACGAGAAGGGCGATGGCTCTGCTTTAGTATTAAAGTGGCGTCGACTGACGGCAGCGACTATGCCGGTTTGATTGCATTTGTGTTTATTTGTGTGCACGATATCATTTGGTTTAACCCAGGTGAGTCCGCGCTAAATCCTCCCTGAAAGGCACGGACATCGGCACGTCAGTCAAAGATGCGCATGGGTGATTGGATCATAGGGTGAACCTTCACGATACATCGATTGTAGATCCTCATATTCAAAAGAGACCGTCTCAGGCGAGAGGAAACTAGGGAGAGCAAGTGCAACCCTCGAGGGAGAGAAAGTTTGATTTGGTGTTGAGAGTGTGATCGCTCACAGCGCGGGCTCCACTCCATTATACTGACTCCTTGCAGACCAATCACCAAAACAAACAGCCAGTTCGGACGCAGACACAGCCTCCTTGGATGGTGCCAGGTGATTAAAATCCTCTGGTATAAACCCGCAAGTCTAAGCTCAACTCGGAGCTGATAGGAGTACAGATCGTAGCGTCGCATTGGGTCGGGCGAGCTTGCCGGGCTGCAAGTGTCGGGGAGGACAGTCTTGGGCATCGTGCAGAGAAGTGGCCCCGGGCTCGAGTCATGATTAGTCCGGTGGGGAACTGGTGGCTCCAAAAGTTGGGAATTTTAAGCGATGCTTCTGGGCCTGTCGCCTTCCTTGTCAGATTCACGTCTTATTCCCCAGAACAATAAGGATCGTAGTGTGACATACATCACCGTCGTCGGACACGAAATAAACTTGCGCGTCCACGAGTTCTCAGCTCGCACAGCTGGAACTCCGACGTAGGGGACCAAACTCTGCTTCACTCTACGGACCCCAACCCGATCTCGTGTCTAGGGATCAGCGCCCCTAGACTCGCGAGGCCCGGGCGGGCTGAACCCGACGCCAAAGAACGCTAATTAATGTCCGAGGTTCATCCTCTCCCTCTCGATCCACGGTTCGCCAGTCCGTCAGTGCGGGAATCCCGCGTATTTAGTGCGTTATGTTGGGACCCTGATTGGCGTGTGTGGAAAACAGCCTAATGCACGCTGCTGTATGAAGATGGAGCTCAGCTCGCCTTTTTGGGTATGTTGTTCGGAATGCTGGACATGGGACTTGAAGCAACCAAGAAAGTCTCCTTAATTCGCCGAGTGTGGATCCTTTGCAGCCGACTCGATGGTTGTGAGCTCTAATTCTCGAAGGTAGGATATATTAATTGTCATTGCTACCCGATGGAAAGGAAGGTGCACCGAATGTCATATTCATGTCCTGGAGGTGTCGGGGAGACTAGAGCGTACGAGCGCTATTTGTCATGTTCGAGCACGGATGCTAACTAATAAGATTGAGCATTATAACAAGCGGCCTAGACCGAAGTCCATCTCGGCATGTTTGCGTACTGAGAGACCTGATAATCGCTGATGTCATCTTTTCCAATCATCGTTTCTCCGGCTCGTGCCGCCCGCGACATCAAACTGGCTATACAACAGCTCACGCAAAAAAGAGGCACTATGGCTGCCTTATCAAATATCCGGGCTTAAGAGAGTGAGATATACCAAGAAATGTCTTCGAAAGGCTGTGGTGTCTTATCGACGTCACTATCTCTGTGCACTGTTCAACAACGTTCAATGACAACCCTTGCGACTAGATAAGCAAGGGAAACAAGGCCGCTAAACCTGGTCTGGAGATTTGAGTTGGCAAAGGGGGGAGACACGATGCAATATTAGGTGACTGAAGCAAGGATATTCGAATGTGATGTGCTTGTTAACTGATGGTTCTGTTCAACAACAAAATCGCAGCGCAGCGTACCGCAACAGCCTAGGCCCAAAACTGCCGCTAATTCTCTAAGCGTACTAATATCCCGATTTTCCGATGCTGCTTTTCAATGGCCGAATGCCTATAGATGCTATAGGCGAGACTTAGGGTGAGTCAGTGGGACAACACGATCAATATGGCACAGTTAGCCCGGTCGGTGTACTTCGACTTAGTGTTCATTTAATCATCAACCCGGGAGCTTTTCAAACAGAAAGCTTAACGTCAAGACACAGGAAAATCCAAGATGAAGTTCTAGTATCTTGAGAACGAGGCATTAGGGTAGGGTTTGTACTGCCCGTGACCTGCCCGCGGCGCGGACGTCCATGGTTCATACAGTAACATCCGACCAATCAAGACTTTGAAAGATGCTTAAATAACTCTCAGATTTTATTGAGCGTTGAGAGGATTCCACTGACTATATGAGTGAAAAGGTCGCCTTGTGGGGCAAGATGGTATGCCGCAGGGCGTGCTCAACCATCAATCCTCTCCGTATGCAAGCCTAAATGACTCACTTTTTGTTAGTGAGTGTATAAACCAACAACCGAGAAGTGATACAATTTATTTACCAGTTGTGCAAGCCTAAACCTCTCGTTGCCTCGTTCCACTCATCATTTCAATTACTCCCACAATGCCATTGGACTTGCTCGCGCAGTGCCCGGGCCTAGAAGGCCTAAACGCCTTTACTCGCCCTCTTACCCCAAACGATGTCAAATCGTGCGTAACAGTAGAGAGCGCATTTGTCGAGCACGAGAGATGCTCCGAAGAAAAGGTTCTTCACTCGCCGTTCCACCACAATTTCCTAACTAACTATAAAATCCGCAGTTTGCGTATCGTCTCAACCAAACCCCCGAGCTCTGTCTCGGTCTCTTCATCAAACCCGCCAATAGCACCACGTATCAATTAATCGGACATATCATCGCCAACAAGACTCAATCCCCAGTCGTGACGGATGGGTCAGTGGAAATGCCTACTTCCTGGGAGACATTACCCCCGAACGAGCGAGTCCTCGTGGACGGGGAAGTGATCGGGAATGATCCCCAGGGGACGAATATAGCGATTCACTCGGTCGCTATTATCCCGGAGTATCAAAGAGGCGGAGTTGGAAAGGCCTTAGTAAAGACGTATGTCGAATATATTCGAAGGTCTAGGGATATTGGGCAGTTCGGGCGGATTGCTCTGCTCGCTCATGATTATTTGATTCGGTTCTACGAAGGTGCTGGGTTTGAGAATCACGGGCAGAGTGAGGCTTTCTTTGCGGGTGGAGGATGGTATAATATTGTGATTGAGCTCTAGTGGTCTTTTGGTATGTAACTGAACTTGCTGAAGGGGAATGGGGGTTTGTGTACTTTCGGATACGTAATGATAGACAGTTGTATCGGTCGGGGACATAATAATGATAAAAACAGTTGTTTAATCACCAGTCCCAGAATGAAGTAATCCGGGAAAAGTAAAGCAGCAATATAACAAAACACCAGGAGCGAAAGCGCGGGCTGAGGATTACTGTGAACGGAATTAATTGGCAACTACTACCTAGGTACAGTACAAGTGGAGCATGCTGTTGCCTCACCGGATAAGCTTAGATCTGGTATACTCTGCACTCTCCGGGGTAGCTCATTTTATACAAATTTCCAGATAAGGCCTCTGAACTGTGGGAATGCAAGAATAGCCGGTTTTAAGCAGGCTGATCAGCAGTGGAGAGAGCTGTTCCGAAGCGGCAATCGACGTCACCCAACGTTACATAACTCTGACATCAACACCAGCCCTAAGCATTTATATAGCAACCCTGACCTACAACCCCTTGCAACAACCACAACACCGGACTTTTGTCCAATTCACAACCATGGCTACATTCAACCCCCCTCCGCTGGTCGACATAGACCGATATGTCGGCCATAAGCAAAGCCGCGCGCTCAATGCCGGCGACATCGGCATCTTCAAATCCACTCTTCTCCCATCCTTCACTATCCACTCCGGTCTATCCATCGCATCCTTCATCGCCGCCAAAGCCACCGACCGCGGTGAGATCAAAGACTGGTGCTGGCCCTCCAGTCAAGTTTTGAACGCCTGGTGGAGCGCCATCGGCCGGCCCATGGCCCTCGACGATATCTCCTTCTCCTCTGCCTGGCGCATGCTCCCCTGGACCGAGAAAGTGCTTCTCAGCTCCGTGACGATCTGGGGAACGCGGCTTTTCTATCGGATCGCAACCCGCACTATCACCCGTGGCAAGGACGACCCGCGATACGACGAGCTGAAAGCGAAGGATCCCGGATTCTGGAAGTCCGCGTTCCTGAAGCAGTTCTTGCCTGAGGCGGCGTTCTTGACCTTCATCACCTTGCCATTTACGCTGCCGTTCCGATTGAGCGAGACTTCGCTGGACATTACGCCCCAGACGGCGGGCTTGTTACGGACTGTCGGCGTGGCGCTGTTCTCGGCCGGGTTTGCTCTCGAGGCTATGGCTGATAAGCAATTGGAGTTGCATCGCCAGGAGCGGACGGACTTGTGTCGCCATGGAGTGTGGAGTATCGTGAGACATCCGAAGTGAGTTTTCCATATCCGACTCAGTATCCCATGCAGTGTGCACCCATTGGATAGACGTTGACTAATCTACCTTCTTTTTTCAGCTACCTCGGCGACGCTCTTGTCCACTTCTCCTTCGTTGTCCTGAACGCTGCCAGCTCATTCAACCCTCTTGTCATCCTCGGCCCCGTGGCAAACTACCTCTACTTGCGATTCGTGGGCGGCGACAAACAGAACGAAGAAAGCCAGGAGGCGCGGTACAAGGAACAGGACCCGCACAAGTACGTGCAGCTGCAGGCTTGGAAGCAGGAGAAGAACAGCTTCTGGCCGAGCTTGGGCGAAGTGCTGAACCCGTGGACCTGGGCTGTGCTAGGAAGTGGATTGGTGGGGGTTGTCTTGGAAGAAGGTATCAGGGGGTGGGCCTTCCAGTAAGGAACCAGGATGACCAGTTGTGTCTGTGGTTGGTTACGATATATGTAATTTGTTCATACAATGTGGAGTTAATTAGGATAATGTGGCTTTGAATCTATCATGAAATACTATCGTATGTACTACCGGGTTCAATTTAGCATACAATGCGTGTCCGTCTATGTCCAACCCCCAAACAGATATCAACGATCAATACCCTTTACCCCTCTTATACTCATTAACCAACCCCTCCCCCCTCTCCGACCTTGCCAAATTCTCCCTCAACACATCAAACGACCTCGGAAAGTACTCCACCCCAAGGGAGCTCACATGCGGACTGATTTGCACATTCGGCGTGTCCCACAACGGATGATCTTCCGGCAAGGGCTCGGGGTCCGTCACGTCCAGCGCGGCACCGCCTAGCTCGCCCGCCTTCAGCGCCTGAATCAAAGCATCCTGATCGATGACCTTGCCGCGCGAGATATTCGTCAGGTATGGTTTCGGGTGTCCGGGTGTTGCGCGCGCACTGAGCAGCGCGAATTCCTCGGCGCCGAGGAAGTTCGTTGTTTCCGGGGTAAGGGGGAGCGAGATGACAAGGTGGTCGAGGCCGAGGGAGAGGAATTCGTGTAGAGAGGCCTTGTCGGTCCCGTGGTGCCAGGACACGGGGATCGAGCCGTCCTTGTCGCCGGTGCCGGGGACGATGAAGCCGTTGTCGATTCGGGAGGAGGGCGTGGAGCGTGGAGAGGCTGTGTAGGCGTATACCTTAGCGCCGAGGGCGGAGGCGACTCGTCCAACTATTGAGAAATTATTTGATTAGTGCGCTGACCGGAAGGACCGGGGAGGGGTGAAAATTGTCGTATAGGTAAAGAAGGGTGCTATACGTACTCTGTCGCCCAATGCTCCCATATCCTAAAATCCCGACCTTCTTGCCAACGTTGTCATGGATATCCTGCACGTACGCATTGACGCCCGTCCAGTTATGCTTTTTCTGGTTCTCGTAGGTAAAATTGTATTTGCGCGAAGCGACGAGCCAGTTCATGACGGTCCATTCGGCGATTGGGGGGCCGTGGACGCCAGAGCTGGTGGTGACCGGGATAGAGGTTTCTCGGAGGATTGGATGATGCAAGGAGTGGTCTAGGCCGGCGGAGAGGAAGTGGATGATTTTAAGACTGTTTTAGTTTGTATGTTAGCCCAATTGCTGCGGCCAGCATAGGAAGAGAAGAAGTCAATTACTTTTGCGCATCTTCTGGGTTCGGGAGATTTGTGAATGTCACAAGCAATGTAGCTTTACGGGCATGTTCTGGACACTGGAGTCAGGATGATCGCTCGTAAGCTGGTCCAGCATAAAAATGAAGGCATACCACTAGGAATCGTTTTTCCCCTGGGCAACGACAACGTCGAGACCTCGGCCTGCGGAAATTTGGACTGGATGATGCCCAGCAATTGCGGGGAGATGGGCTGGAAAAAGACCACGAGCAGATGCTCTTTGTGCACGAGTGCGTCTCCCATTGTGTCTCTTCGCAGTAGAAATATCGATCAGGGGAATAATTGGAACCAAAGTGGATTATCAATTCATATATGGCCGGCAGATGTCGCAATAAAGAGCGAGTCTGGCGCAGGGCGCGAGAAGCGGGGTTTGCTCTTATCGTTATCTCCGCCTGAGTAATCGGAGTCCACTTTGGCCGAGGTTCATTAGTGATCCTGTAAGAAACAAAGGAAGGAGACCCGTAATTGTGTTGTGAGGAATGTTGGTGCGTCCGTGGTTCGGGCCGGAGAGAATGTGGAAACTGGAAACAAACAAGTCGAGAGCGCGTTTCTTGACTTTCGGCATCTGATTCATAACCTGGAAAGGACCAGAAGGGAAAGTTTCAAGGAAGATAAATAACCACCGAAAATTGAGGAAGGAAAAATTCCTTTCCGCAAATAAAACGCAGAATAAAGAGGGACAATATAAAAACCCTCGGACATGGATGAGTAGACGAATATGTATGCAGTTCAAAATTTCCCCTTGATTGTTGACAAGGAACAAGCTTTACCCAGCTAACTTTGTTTTGAAACACAACACACTAGAAAAGCATGAGTCTTAGACGATGTGGCAATTCTAAGGCCATGATCAAGGTATATATGCGCCTAAAAAAAAAAAAAAAATGCAAATTGCGAATTGTACTTTTATAGCAAGACATCTTGCTTTCCAGATTTATATACCTTTCTTCAAGACTTGACACTCCCACTTTTACTTCTCGTTCCTACGGTCCGAACCGTCATACTCCTACCCAGCCCCGGGATTCCTGGACGGTCATCCAACGACATCTCCAGCTTCAGTAGAACCTCGACAGCCTTTTGATCTTCCACGATCTTAGGATGCCGGCGAGCAAAATACCGTGCATACCTGTATAGAGACCAGTAGCAACTTGCAACATTTATTAGTGTAATTATGAGTTTGTAGGGCATCTATCATCAAAATGTTCGTCAGAGAAGCGCTATAGAAAAGAAAAGGGACAATTGTCATACATAATAGCATATTAGAACTCTCCACTTGATCCGCTCCTTTTTCAATCTGAGATGAATCTCATTGAAGATGAGCACATGGAGAAAGTATAGTCCGATGGTGCTTCCAAGGAGGGTTGCGCTGAAAGCAGGGCGGACTAGAAGGGACACGGGGAGGATGAAAGGTGCGAGGACGTATATGATTGTCTCGTAGACCTAATATTTCATCAACAAAAAGAGCCTATGTGAGAACAGAATCACATGGGGTGTTACGTACCTCTTGAAAGACAAACACCTTGGCGCCGATTTCCCACCAGCCCAATTTCCAACATCCAAATATGTATGCGAGATTGTAGTATAGGCCGTTCGCAAAGAAGAAGTTCCATCGTAGAAACCGCTGCTTAAAAACCGTCATCTCCCCAAATCCGCCACGCCCGTGTTTCCCGCCGACATAGAAGACGGCCGGCGGCGTCGTAGTCTCCACGAACACGGAGCTGCACATCTTAATGCGGCCACCCATGCGTCGGCAACTATTCCCGAGGAACCAGTCCTCACTGATCGAGAAGCCTGGATGGTCTCGGAAGCACTCTTTCAGAAACTCACGATCCCATAAGGATATCGCCCCGTGAGGAAATGTGGAGCTACCAATTTTCCCGGCAAAAGCACGCTGCAGCCCGGACATCTTGTACTCCAAATCCTGAGCCTGTTGACAATAAGTGCTCTCTGAAGATTCGGAGGCGGCGGACTTAATCGTGTACCCGATGCACCGGACTTGCTTTGTGATTCGAGACACCACAACGGGAAAGTTCTGAGGGAGCGTGCAATCGTCGTCGATGCACAGAACGTGCTGGAATTGTTTGGCAGCGTAGCATCCGATGAACAGGGCGATAGCTTTTGAGCCGATCGGCGACCAGATATGGTTGACACCGTAGGAACGACAGACTTCTTCCGTGTTGTCGATGGGGACCGGCGAATCGCCGTTCGCGATGACGAATATATGGCCCGCTGGGAAGAGTGTGAGTGCAGCTTCAAGCGTCTTTCCGATGACCGCGGCGGATTTAAAGCAAGGAATCAAAAGAGCGGTGTTAGATGAACTGCGATCAATCCGTCGCTGTTGGTAGTATTCGAGCCCAGGGGCATTTCTCTCGAAGGGGGATAATAACGGCACAAAGGTATAGCTAGATGATGATCAATATTAGCAGGACTTCACCAGGCATAATGTGTCTCTTGTTAGGGTGCAAATACAGCCGAGGAGGGAAACTTACATGACCATGAAGCCAATGGCAATTGACCATCCTCCCTTGAATACAAATTTGTTCTTCATCGCCCAGTACAGCCAATATACCGAGCCTTTCCAGAGCGGTACTCCAATCAATACAAAATAAATAACGGAAACGAATAAGAAGTATACGCCATATTCAAAGGAGAATTGGGCCCAACTTGTCCGCTGAAGCTTGACACTGACAAGTTTTGCTTGGTCGTACAGCTCCCACAGGCTGCTGACTCGAGGTCTACCGGAGACATCAAAACGGGGCTGGCGATACGAGAAATTTGGAACGCGAGACTTTGGTGGCCTTCTTTCATGTCCCGATCCGTTGGGGGAGACGGGGTGAGAGGAGAAGAGACTTGGTTGTCTTTCTGGGGCTTCGTTGATCACGGGATCCTCGATGACTGTTGGCAAAGGCCCTCTCGCCCCAGGCTCGAACGCCGATGTGTGACTCCAATTCCTCCTTTCGCCGAATAGCGGTTGTTCGTAGACTTGTCTATTGGAGAATGGTTGTCGCTTCTTCTGCACATGAATCTCCCTGGTCGGTTCCTCGGAGTAATAAACAGGGTAGTTTGGACCCCGTTGGGAACTTGTTGCTGCTGCCGACAGGAGAGACTCTGGAATAACTATGTCCTCAAAGACAGGGCTCATATGCATTTGCCGTAGGCTAGGGACTCCTAGCGCTTACGATTGGGGAGGGCCGGGTGAATTGGAATATCGGCGTCTTGCAAGTAAATTGGACTCGAATATAGGATATCCCAATAAGCAAAATATATTTTGTTTCATGAAAATCATCCTCATTGAACTTGATCGAGAGTAATGGTGATTTCTCGATGTGTGGGGTTCAGCAGTACCTGATCGGAAGAGTGGCAACTTAAGTGGTTGATCGCGCGGGCCGTTCCATACCTCCAGAAGCAGGAATTCAGCTTCAGGGCGGAAAAAGCCCCCGGTTACATACCAGCAAAGGAAGGCCCCTTGCTCGCAGTACCCTCCTTTCTGAGTAAGATCAGCCCCGACTCCTCCTTCATTTCAGGAGGCCTGTCGCATTTAGTGCCAGCTAGTCTGGCTACTGTTCATATCATTTTCGAGTATTCAATCAGGCCAACCAATCCAAGATACAGCCAAGAATCGAGTATAGGAGGAAACAAATAATGCTATTCAACGGCTAGAGTGAGACCCTCCGTTGTGCATGTTACTGGACCTGAAAGACAAGAAAGGAACCATGTCTGGTGCAGCAGACTGACTTATCGATCGATTAGTAGGTTATCATCGAGTAACATAAAACTTATTAAGGAAAGCAAATCCCGAGAAATGGAGCACCTGTACCATCTAGTCTGTCTACTGGCCATTTATTGTAAACTTATGAGATTCAAGTGCGCTAATCACGAAACTTTCTCGCCTCAAGTGAAAGCATCCGTACATATAACGCCGTGGTGCCATGACTCAGTTCACTGCAATCTCGGGATTCACTTCCCGCCCTTTGACAATCCCGTTCCCATCAGGAAAGCCTTGAGGCATTCTGGAGGTCTCAAATTTGAGGGAGAGCCGCGTTACATAGAGTGTTGTATGGCCAATCAGTCGAGACAGTTTCATGGAATGCCGCACAGATCGCTCGCAAGGGGCAGCCTGAATCAGAAACATTAATTCAAAGCAACACCACCTGTCCAACAATCGCGCTGAAACTTGTTTAATTAATCACAATCTCAATCTTCACATACGTGGCACCAGAAGGAAAACAGGGTGGCTGTGAATTCCGCAGCATACCAATTGGTTAAGATCCATTCCCAGTAGAAGTCAACAGACAAATATCGCCATATTCGTTTGAATGAGATAAGTGTCCCCAGATTCTTCTCTATTTCCCAAGAAATTGGTTTCAATAACATTAGCGTTCTGTTTTCTTTCTTTCTTATTTTTTTTTTCTGTCATCGATTGTGTGATCGCACCTCTAGGCCGAATTGTTTGGCAATTCCTAGACCCCTCTATCGTTCATCATCGCAGAACAGGACTCGATGTGATTGGTTCAAGAAACCATAAATAGAGTTTATGCGGCATTTGAAATTTTTAATATATGCTATGAATGTAACAATTCCCAGTGGCTTGGTCTGGCCCGAATGTTTTTGTCCCGGGACCTAGAGCATGGCTCCGGCCCTCAGCCACACTAAGCCCACATACCAGTCCACATTTTCAGAAAGAGATCAGATAGACGACTTCCCTGTAAAACCTGATTTTGCATTTTGGGGAACTGGCTCTCCTCGAACTCCAGCTCCGTGCTGGTGCATCACTAATCACGCTATTCAGCGCAGTTCCCCTCTGCCAATATCCGACTCGACGGGTTTTTCAGAGCAGAGAAGGTTCGCAAAACATGTAACGGAATCATCGTTTGACTCAATTCTTTAGTTATCATGGGGATATCTAGATGCTTCTAAGTTCCCTTCGTATCCCAACTTATCAGAACGGGTCTCTGCCTTCAGTAGACAATACAGGACAGTGCACCAACGCCCCAAACAGAGGCGGTTTATAATCCGTCGCGTTGACTGACTCAATAGCATACCAAACCAAACTCTAGATGCGAACGACTCACCAATCGAAATCATCATAAAACCAAACTCGTCCGTCTCTTCTAACCACTTCTCTGCCCTCGCGTCCATCACAATCCTTGGCTTGATCTTATCAAACTCTCCCTGCAGATATCCCTGACCATCCCACCTAGCCAGCCATCGAATGTATCGCGTGTTCCACAGGTGCTCATCTTGCACCTCCCAGAGCATCTTTGCCGCAGGGGCTGGCATAAACCCAAGCTCTTTGCAATCGAACGACGGGGTGCCGTGAAAAACTGAGTATGCCCATTGGAGTAGATATAGAGAAAGCACGGCCCGGCGCTTAGACGTTACATGTAGCCAGGCGTAGAAGGATGGTCGACCTTGCTCTCTTGCTTCCCGAAGAAACAGGCCTGTGGCGACGACGTGATATACGAGGCGCTGCGTTTTGTAGAAGATGGAGCTGTCTTCTGGGAGTTTCCAGAGGGTGCCTTTTGATGGGAAGAGGAGAATTATGGTGTAAATAACAACTGCCTGGAGGGCTGCGAGGAGGGTTTCTTCGTCATAGGCGCGGAACTAGAACTGAGTTAGATGTACGTTGAATCCCAACAATAAAGTGAGCCTACTCTATCTAGCAGCTTATCTAGTTCCCGCAAGATGGTGCTGTAAACCATTTGCTCTGCCCCTTCACATTGCCCGTGCCACATCTTCGATAATGTGATGCAATGTGCCAAGGGCTGCGCTGCCTTATTAGGCGACACTTGAGTGGGTGCACTAGCGGGGGAAGTTGGAATTCTTCGGCCAACTTCTTCGGCCATGTTCTGACAACGCGGAAAATGAAGTCCATGCTGTGATTGACTAGTGCGGCGGAGGCAGTTTGCGGGATCTGAGTTGGCTGTAGCACCGGAGTCGGCGAAGTAAGTGTGACCTCAGGCGTCCTTGGGTTCTGATTCATCTGACCGTGGTTGATCACCAGGCTGTTTTCAAAGTCATCAACACGACACCCGGGCCACGAAATATCTCCCAGGCTGTTGAAGTCAATGTCTTCTAAGCCGGAGAATACGGAGTCCGACAAAGGCTCCACCCCGGCTACTTTCACCAGTGGTGTCTGCGAGGACATATGCAAGCGATCCAATTCAGCGCCCAGTACCGGAGCCTGCGGAACGCCATTGCTGACCGTCGTGGCGCCGGAACTCGGGGTGGGATATTGGCAAGCCAATTCGCGCGTTGTGCATCGCGAACAACTGGGCCGTTGCAGATTACATCTTGTTTTATCTGACACGCACTGGGTACATGACTTGCGCCGAATCGTGCTTGCTTGTGGCTCGTTACAGTTCTTTCTCAGATGGCGAATGAGGGAAGATCCTATATTGTCAAGTAACCATGTCCTCTTTTACTTGGTTAGGGCTTGCAAAGCATACGGTGTCCAAGTTTTGTGCCACAGTGCGGACATTCAAATTTCCGCGTTGTTGGGGAATTCATTGAGCTTGACTAGAATATCTGCTCGTACGAAAATGTGCTGCAAGGAATCAATTCTCCCATAAGAACATCTGAACAGAACGGAAAGAGTAGGACTATCGCATTATAAATCACAACTCGGAACTCCGGGTTGGCATCAAACCGTGATCTGACCAATCAGAGTGCATAATTCACCCGGCGTGAAGCATTATTTCGGAGAGAAGGGAATTTCTACTAATTTCACAGATTGATAGAAGTAGTGCAGCACAGTATACTGTCCTTTTAAGAGTCCTTAGACTCACCGGGCATGTTCTAATTTTCGTTCGCCGCCAACTACAACTACACGCAGTTGACCCTTTCGTCATTTCCTCGAGTTGCGTAAAATGCCATCCAAAATGCACTTTGGACTTCCTAGCAATAGATCTGCCCTTCACGTTAGCCATAGACCCTTTCAAGAAGAGATCCATATTCTTAATTCCCGAATAACTGATGTTGAGTAAAGGCCCTTGCATCCCGCATGATTGAAAGAGTCGTCAAGGTACATACCTTCATTCAAAATACAGGTATCCAAACATGAGAAGGAAGGTAGCAACAATAAGTTTTCATTAATGGGAAATTTTCAAAGGCCAATATGGTAGTGTCTTTACCAACCATTCAACGATCGTAATTATCTCCGTTCTCACATCTACTGGATGACACAATCCCAGGTCACATCACCGTCAGCCAACCTAAGACTCCACGCAAGGGGCAAACTACAACCCCAGTCCTCAATGAGACAAACAATTAAATGACTGAAGATCCATATCTCTCATTCATTCAATAATCCCACATTAATTAGAATTCCCACATCTCTCAGCCTCTCAACGAATACCATCCCCCAAGCAGACGGAGTTACGACACCCTTCAACCTGTCGCCATTCGCCTCGGATTCTCCACACCTCGAATGTTTGTCTAATACCACACCCGCTCCAATGCAGCTCATCAACGCTGCAAACTCGTAAAGCGCACCCTTTCGCGTAAATGATGCCCAGGCGCGAAAGTCCGATACACCTTGCACTTTACCGACGGCGTGGAATTCGACACTTTCTTTGCTGCGCTCGGGGTTTTGAGTCATCTTTTCGGCGATCCGCGTCCTGATGAGAGTACGGACAGGGAGTATCGACACGAGAACAATAAGTAATCTTGTTAGAAAATCGATTGCAACGGCGCTGGATATTCCTCGCACTGGCAGGTGTTCTTCGAAACGAAGACTGGGTCATAGAAATGAAGGCTCTCACTCACGCTGCGGTAAATGACAGCTTCATTTCCGAGCCCGTTGAACGAGGTTGCCAAATGACACACCTCCGCTACATGGCGATATCCGAGCAAACACATAGACCATGGTTGCTTTGGGAGGGCCCTTGATGGAATTTTGGATTGCGCTGACAAGACGAGAGGAGAAGAAGCAAGGAACAATCGTGGTCCATACGTTTCAAAGACGTCTAGAACTGTCTTCAGAGAACCGCCAGCCATGGCCTTGATACTGAAAGAAGGTTAAAGCAACTCATATACACACATAATCGGCCAGGTGCAACTTACTCGAGTTTCCCAGAATAGACAATCTCTGATACATGTTGACTAAAAGTCTCTCGAAGCTTATTTGCAAGTAAACATGCAAGACTCGGCCTACAAACTTAATGAAGCGAAACGGTGGGATCGTCAGACGGTGATTGAAAGAGATGCTGGGCGTTATTCTGCTATCGGAGTTCCGAGTTGAGAGAATGACAGTTGTTTCTATACCAGAACCCTTAGCTAACTTCTATACGAAAATACTGAGCTGTAGGATATAGTGCTAGAATAAGCGACAAGATATATTAATCGGGCAATTTGAACGAGTGATTAAGGCGTAAGACTCGAAGTAACCTAACTACCTCAAATATTGATATCACATCCCTTTGGGGTCGGAGGCGAGTCCCGTAGTTGTCGATTCTTTGCCTTTTTTTGATTTGGCCGGGCTTGAGCTGGTTAAACAACACTAACACGCGGATAACGGAAAGGGGTGATGGGGCCAACTAAGGGATTTTCGAATTGTTTCCCCTTTTTGTTGGTAGTGGCCATTGGCACTCGAAAAACCTCGGGGGTTATTGCCGCCAGGAAAGAGAAAGACTTCTTCTTCCTTGATATGTTAGTTAACTTAGTTTAATAAATACCCTTCTTATTATAACAATCTCTGTAACTTAGGTCTGTTTTGACTAATTACATATCATCTTGACTACATGGTCCCACATCACCTTAACAAGTTGGATTGTCTTTTATTAGTCGTTCTATTTTCTAAAGATATATATTTGCAGAAGTGCTATGCGTTTTACTCGATGCTGATGACCCCATCCTCGATCTTGATGTTCGCAGCCCAAACCCCTCTTCCCTCATCCAGATTCTCGCCATTATTAAAAGCATGGAACAAAATAGCCTTTCCATCTTCTCGGAAATCAGCGCCGCCGGGACCTCCCAAATCTCCAACATTGCTGGGATCCCCAGACACCAGCAAGGGGGCATCCGGAGCCGTTGCCTTGGTATACGGTCCGCCAACCGAATCGGCAGTCGCATAACTGACATCGTACTTCTTGGTGTTGTACATGTTCGACGAGAAAGACAGGAAGTACGTATCGCCAGATTTGACGAGAGAAGGCGCCTCGACAAGGGGTCCGTCGTTGTCATCGCGATCGAGAATCTGCACGGCGTCTCCGTCAGGAGTCACGGCGTCGGATTGAAGCTTCTGAAGCATGATCGGCGTGGGATGGGTTGTTCCATCCCCGTTCAAACTATTGCCGTCGACCTTGTACACGACATAGAATGTCCCGTCAGAGTCCTTGAACCCGGCTGCGTCGATGGCGCCGCCTTGGTCAAGAGGGCAGGCGAGAGAGTCGGATGAGGGCTGGTAGGGTCCCGTAATTGTGTCCGACGTTGCGGCTCCAAGGCAGTGCTTGCTGTCGTCTTCGCGAGCCGCCGCGGAGAAGTACATGACGAATAATCCATCATCCTATAGATAAGTTAGTCCGGGCTCTATTGGCAAAAGAAGAGAGGGGATTGTACTCGTTGGATAACATCTGGCGCCCAAATGCCCGGATGCGCATCGTCCTTCACCCAGTCTGGGAACGGCCCAGGGAGAGCATCCGTATCCAGCTTATCCCAGGTTTGGAAATCAGATGAATGTGCGACTTGTGCGTTTTTACCACCACTCGTCGTTCCGAACGCGTAGTATCCATCATCGGTCTGAATCACGTTGGGATCAGGAAAGTCGCTGTCAATGACTTGCCAAGAGTCGGCCCAGGCGTAGCTGGAGAGGAGGGAGAGGACTAAAGCAGTTCGGGTAGGCATCTTGTAGGATTTGTTGCGTGAACGCAACAAAAAAAGCAGAGAACTAAGAGAGAAACAGACCTTCTTATATGCAAGTAGATTTGCATGTAACCTTTTTCCTCAATCAGGTTTCGCAGTGGTTTACTAAAACCAGATAATCGTCAGACTTACTTCTAAGGGGGATTGGCATGCTGGATGCTCCACCGGGCGGTGATGGGGCCATTCATTATTGCTACCCAGAGCCTTGGGGTCGGTTCGGCTTTGGGGTTTCCCTCAAGGGAAAGGGTCTCTGAGAGGGCCCCGGTGTTGTGGTATGTACGCCTGAAACGGATCCCATGTAGCATACGCCTAATTCCATACAAACGCCATGGTCGGACTGCCGACCTTATATCTTGATCGATTTGGGCGATGCTCTGTTCTCGATATCAACGTCTGTACGAACTGCCGATGACAGAAGCATTATGATATCCACCGGAGCTCCGTGATTGGACGCGTCCTCGTATTCTGCAGCAAGTAGCTAAACATTCCGCCCCCGGAACCATAGCCTCGTGCTACCTACTAGGGCAGTGCAGCCCTTAATACCGGGAAATAAGATTGTCAGACTCAGGCCACAGAATAATAAGCCTTGAACTCTAGAGGAACAGGGGCTTGGCTAACTTTTGGTTGGATGAGACAATAACGGCTGGATCTAGCTGTCTCAAAGGGGATGGGTAGAATAACATTTGCGATGTTTCAAAAAGTGTTCGCTTAGATGTCCACTAATATTTCGCTAGTAATCAGCTGGCTGACAACCAGACTCATGGCAGGGATTCACTAGACGTTTTGATATTGATTGGCATACTGAGAGTACTCCGTTTTCCTTATCATCGATCATCGATCAACATCAACAGACAGGGTTTTATTGCTCCTCGCGTATTAGAAAAGAATTACCACAGTCTTTTACTACAAGACTTCATGCTGTTGAGAGACATCCTATTAGAGATCCTCCCGACCATTAGCAACTGGGACGAAAGACTGGCCATCGACAAATGTTTGATCCTTCAGGCCAGGTTCATTGTCAATGTCTCCGCTTTCTTCCATTTCTTCCATATCTAGGTCATTGCCATCCATATCAAATAGTGCACTATTCTTCGGTTCAATATCTTCAACGGAACACTCATTTACTGGGAGCCTGTTGAAAATAGCTGTAATCCAGGACCAAGCTCGTGGCATCCCAGCGATCAGGGTTTCAGCATGGTCGCGCTCTTTGTACCGAAGGTATCTCACTTTCGTGCCTTTGTCGCAGTATTTGTGATAGAGCTCATCAGTGTCTCCGATAGGACCAGTGATAATATCCTTAGTTCCTTGGTAGATGTAAAGCGGGAAGTTCGGACTTTTGCCGTGGTGGATGTGTTGTCCCATCACACCATTCGTTTCCAGAATGTCCTTGAACTTGTACAGAAACTCGTCTCCATGTTCGAACCAGGAAGAGATGTTGGCGGTTGGTTCGATTTTAGGCGCATTGAGCTGGCACTTGGTGCAGCGTCTCTGAGGGCCCAAGAAAAGGGCCTGATAATTGGGCAATATGTCTTTGCGCATATGATCGTCGACCTCGGGGAATGCCCTCATCACACCTAACATAGCCCAAACGTTGAGTGGAGACTGGGTGCCGTTGACGTTGATATACGTGTTCGTAATATTCGGAGGAGGACCGCCCATTGCCGCACCGGCGATCTTAAGATTGGGCGTATGGTGAGCGTGCAGCTCCGAAGCCCATTCTGTAGCCAATGCGCCACCGGAGTATCCGAACATGACTGTTCTTGCCTTGGGCAGGATACCGGTGATGTGCTTGGAGTTCAGTGCCGCCTGGATGGAGTCCAAAGTATGAAGGCCGCTCTGGGGGCCGACAGTGAAGGCAGCATTGTTGCCCTCGTAGTCGGGGATGTTTAGAATAGGTCTCTTACCAAATGGACCTTGGTAGCTTTGTAGGTAGGGAAAGACAAAGGCCATTTGCATCTGGTTCCACATCGCTGCGGAAAACCCAGCGCCTGCCTGGAGTCCGTAGGAAGGAGAGCAGTTGATATCGGGCGCATCGTAGGCAATCTGGTACGAAAGAACCCGGTTGGGATTCGGATTCGCTGGAATGACAATTGTAGTCACAGAGGTCGTCTTGTGCAAAGTTGCATTTCGTGTCACGTACAATAGTTGATGTGCGGTGAGTGGACTGTCGGCACCGGGGACGACTGATGGCAGCTTGATTGGGCGATGGTCTATGATATAACCAGGGTCTTTGCTTTTCCAGGTGTCATTATCAGGCGTGTAGAAGGGATCTAAATCTGGGAGATCCGGAACGGCCGCTGCAGTTAAGACATGGAGGAACCCTAGTACAAGGCCTAGAATGCGCTGCATCGGGCCAGTCATGGTGCAGAAGAATGAAAACACAAGACTTAGACGTTAAAGTGTAGTTCAGATTACTGAGTCATTGGAAGAGTTAAGGATCCGGTGCATCCACATCAATTGACAATGGAGCAATGGTGGAATTGGGAAACTTATAGCTCGTGCTGTCCAAGGACTTTTGAGAGTGGATTGCAATGCTGCACCAAGTGCGTTTTTCTTTTTTAGATTTCCACTTTTCCCCCCTCCAGACAACAGTGCGAACCATAATAAAATCCTCGATTGATCCAAGCATCACTTTCCGAGTTGATACATATGCCCCACAAGTTCAGCTACGTCGTGGATTTTGCACTCTGGAATGTGAACCGTCATCCCTTGGTGATGCCATAACTGAACTTTATCTCCGAAAACGGCACATCTACGGTTCAGTCTAGAACAGAGAACAAGAGCCCTCCAGATTTTGTACGAAAACTATACAAACTGATAGAGTTTATGTTAAATACACTTTAACCGAAGGCGGATGTAACCTTGTCATTGACGCGTTCATTCATTTTGGCAATGTGTCAGACATCCTACATACTTTGATAATACACGTCATAAATCAACCTTCATCCCTTCCAGTTATCGCGTCGATGATGGGCGAACAGACTATTCGGCCTTCCGCTCCTTCAGCCAGCTCTCGATCGTACTACAATGAAGGGATATCAAGATAGCCCAAACTAGAACAAAAAGCAAAACACATAACGTCATTGGGAAAAACCACCACCGTCACCCCGGGACCAATGATCGTAATAAAATTTGTGGCGGGCTGAGAAAATTGAAAAAATCATGATGAGGGTACATGTTGCCTTCGATCGAGACGGGAACGAGAAGGAGGCATGTCAGATTTGACTGCATACTTAGCAAATCGCACTTCACAAGAGTGATGAAGACAGTTCACAAGATCAGAAACACGTATATTAAATTTTACAATCACTTGCAAAATGTCATACGTCACCTTGCCTTAGGGTGTACATGGTTTTATGATGTTATTCTGGTTACTTATTTCATTAAGGCCTATTCCCAGAGTCTAAGACACATTCCAGGACCCAGATCAAAAATAGGATACCAAACTATTCGCCAACGTTAAATTGGGACATTGAGGTGCGAGTCTTTCACAGAAAGTACAGCGAGGCTGTTCACCTTGGGCCCGACGAACTAAGTCTCATTCATCACTATCCAAAGCCGTAAAAACATCAGCGGACTTGGCCGCCCGCGAATCGTCCGGGAGAGAAGGTCGGAAATAGTGTACAATGGAATGCGGCCTATTTTTGCAAGGAATTGTTGAGCTTCGAAGTTAAAGAAAAAACATACAACAGCCGGTATTCGCTGGTGGTCACCCACCCAACTACTAACCGGCCGGCGTGTGGCTTAAGTACGGCTGAGCGGACGGGAAGCCCTGTTCTCCACACCCTGTGGTCGTATGTGCTTATTACCATTTCGGTTTGGTATATATTGGGATTTGGATATAGAGGTTGAATGTGTTCAAATACATCACACGAGGACCATACATTATGAAATTCGTATATTCTGTCGAACAAGTCCGCTTTGATGTGTAGGCTCAAGTCCCGTTGGCATCCAGATGGACACATTAGGGCTCTCTAGGGCTGCATTCTAGCCTCGTTTGAGAAGAGGCCGACGGAAATTGACTCCGAACGCAAGATTCCCTGCTTCCCTTTCGTCAAGAAGTTGATTAACTAATTAACGGAATAGTCAGGAATGACTAGTAATGCTTTCTTTGCACCCATACCCCGGGGCTTTTGATTGCTGGTTGCAATTTCTATCGGGACAAAATGGAGCCAAGTAAATTTGTCAAGATGGCCCAAATATCCACCCTCGTTTGGTAGTTCGCACACTGATTCTCACCGGTTAAACACTTACCCGCCACGAAATCTGTCCTCCGGCAAGGTTTTTGTACACAATTGTGAATAAACACGCCTATATGAAGTGTGTTCACGAGACCAAGACAGGCTGGACTTCCCACTGGACTTTAATAAGTCCCATAGCCTGAACAAAATACTTCGAAAGCAATGCGGTGAGTTCGGTAGGACAGGGTACGCTGTTTCGTCAAGCGACGCCGCCAATCAGACCACCATGCCAAGATGAGTGGTTTGCTGTTAGTCGCGATCCCAGAAACGTGGTAACCACACTAACTGAAGGGTCCATGGGATGGTTGTCGGTTGATCGTGTGTGGAAACTGTTATTAATGTTATCTGGGTTGTCGGAAAACCCGGGGTATCTCCCCCCGCGCCCAACATCGGCATAATGCACCCCGAATAACTTCCCCGCGGGTCAATAAATATACCCCTACCATTATCCGGCGCGTTCGCACACACGGAGCCCAAACAAAGAGAGACAAAAAGGGAGCCACAATGAAAATCACGCGTTGTGGCATTCACGGTTTCCATGAAACGCTCGGCATCGATGCCGAAGAACTGCGTTTCTACTGGACCATCACCAGCGACGTGCCCAACACTCAATCCGCATACCAAATCACCATTTCTAAAGATGCTTCGACCTTCAAGAAAGACGCTCCCTCAGAGACGAGCGTTTTCTGGACAACTGGAAAGGTCGCCAGTGCAGAACAGCGCAATATCCTCTGCAAACCTTCCGACGGATTCGAGTCCATAACGAGCTACTTCTGGCGCGTCACAGTCTGGGACGAATCCGGGAATGTCTACCACAGCGCCATCAACCATTTCTTTACCTCCTACCCTCGCTCGCGCCTCCTCCCACCCTATAGCATGAACCAGACATACATGCCGCACAGCAGCCTGATCTTCCGCACATGGTTTGAAAACGAGCACGATCGATGGAAGGCCGTCTGGATCGGCGACGGCGGCGACAAACCCATTTACCTGCGCAAATCTTTCAAGTTATCTGCCCGTCCCGTGCGCGCGGTCCTTTTTGCCTCCGGCCTCGGTCACTTCAATATGTCTGTCAACGGATCCGCGGCTTCGGCTCATGTCCTGGATCCAGGCTGGACGAATTACCATCGCCGGGTCCAGTTCACGGCGTACGACGTCACGGAACACCTGTCGGCGGGGGAGAACGTGCTGGGCGCGCATGTTGGCAACGGGTTCTATGCGGGAGATCAGGGCGATCGGTTCTTCTGGCCGATGTATGAGGACAATACGTACGTGCGATATGGAAACGAGCTCTGCTTTTTTGGGGAGTTACATACCTTCTACGAGGATGGGTCGCATGCGGTTATGATTTCTGATCCTTCCTGGAAAGTGCGGAAGAGCGCGACCACGTTGGCAAATATTTATGCCTCCGAGACGCACGACAGACGTGCTTATCCTGCCGGTTGGGATAATGTGGACTTTGATGATCAGGAATGGGCGCCTGCTAAGCCGTTGACGGGCCCGCGGGGGTTCCTGTACTATCAGTCTCAACCACCAGTTGTGTTGCATGATACGTTCCATCCGGTGAAGGTCTACTCGCCGACAAAGGGCACAGTCTGTTATGATCTAGGCCAGAATGCATCGACAATGGTCAAAATCGAAGTGAGCGGGCCTGCAGGAGTGGAAGTGATCATCCGGTATGCGGAGACGGTGAAGGAAGACGGAACGGTCTTGATGCCCGACCCGCTGTTCAAGCAATTCGAGACGGGGGTTTACTCGAAATTCTACCTCTCGGGATCAGGTGTTGAGACTTGGGAACCTGACTTCAGTTTCACGAGTGCGCGGTATATCCAGGTGGAGGGTGTGTCGCTTTCCGCTGACGATGGACTCCCTGTGATACACTCTGCTGTGGGCCGCCATGTTTCCTCCGGCGCGAGAAATCTGGGAACGATGACGACCGATAAAGAGGATACTAACGCGTTGCTGAATGCTCTCTACTGGACCTTTAGCAGCAATCTCTTCAGCTACCATACGGATTGTCCGCAGATCGAGAAATTCGGCTGGCTTGAAGTTACACACCTGCTCGCTCCGGCGACGCAGTATGTTCGCGATATGGAATCCCTGTATACCAAGATCCTGGATGACATTCTGGACGCCCAAGAGCCAAGTGGTCTGGTTCCCACCATGGCCCCAGAGATTCGCTACATGTGTGGCCCGCTACACGATACAATTACCTGGGGCTGCGCGGTGTGTTTGCTGCCTGATATCCTGCGCAGGTATTACGGCTCTACACATGTCATCCCGAGGGTGTACCCTGCAGCCGTGCGCTACATGGAATATATGCGAAAGAAAGAGCGAAAGGGCGGATTGATCGAACACGGTCTCGGAGATTGGGGCCGAGACATTGCGTTCGGAAACCACCAAGCGAACATTGAAACGGCCGTTTATTACCGCTGCCTGCGCTGCGTGGAAGATATGACCAAGGAGCTGGGCCTGAGTGATGAAGCAGAAAAGTACTCGCGCTGGGCCGAGAGAATCCGCAACGTATATAACCAGCATCTTCTGGTGACCGATACATCGGAATATGGCTACGCATACTACACTTCCCTCGACAACTACCCTGCGCGAGACCGCACAGCAGTCAACCAAGGCGTTGCCCTACAATTTGGCCTTGTTTCTGACGCGCACCGCGAAGACGTCATGAAGGCGTTCCTCGCCGACACAAGCGACGGACGCATGCGAGCCGGTGAGATCGGGCTCCCGTTCCTTTTCAGCACACTTGCGGACGCCAAACGACCGGATCTGGTCCTACAAATGGCGAGGCAAGAAGAGCACCCGTCGTACATGCGCTTCCTACGGCGCGGGGAGACCACGCTTCTCGAATTCTGGCAGGACGAGTGCCGCAGCAAATGTCATGACATGCTGGGCACAATCTATGAATGGTTTTACCGTGCTGTGTTGGGAGTGAGAACACTCGAGGATGCGTACCGACGGTTCGAGATTGACCCGCCCTACACGGCAGAGTTTGGACATGTCAAGGGCAGCGTGGAATGTCCGTATGGGGTGATTGCGGTGGAATTTACGAGAGGAGACGGCGAGTTCAAGTTGGATGTGGAAGTGCCGTTCGGGACGGTGGGCGTGATTAGGGTTCCCGAGGGCAGAAAGGCGCAGGTTGTCAGAAAGGGAGACAGCGAAGGGGAATTGTATGACGAAGATGCCGAGCTGTCGCATGGGGTTTATTCGATCACTGTGCGGGAGTAGTGGGTTAGACTGATAGTGATAGAGAGTAGACACTTACTTACACATATGCCATAACCCAATGATAGAAAAGGCATAGTACACGAGAATTCGTATCACCTGGCAAGAGAACCATTCCCTAAACAGACAAGTACTGTCTCAGTTGTCATACCTTTCAGCCAATAATTGAGTGAGTTATTGTCCGATAGTCGGAAAGTGGCCCACAATGTCGTCGGGATATCCGACGTGGGGGAATGCCCGGGGTATTCGAGCTGAATTAGACCGAGATTGCTCCCCAGAATGTCATCTGATGCTCGGACAGTGGTTCGGGACCATTGGAACATCTCTCTATCCCGTAATCACTGACCGCGGGGGTTGGTGCTGAACTCGGAATATCCACCTCTCTCGGTTGCCTTCGGGACAGACTTGTTAGTGCATGTTAGTGAACCATCCAACGAACATGACTCTGCTTTTCTGACAGCACCCATATTTGAATATTCAGAACGCATGAAACGCGAAGGTTCTATATCTCTCTCAAGCAAACTGGAAACAGAGAGTCGGCTTCTGTGAAAACATGGCATCCCGAAACATTTCAGCCCAACAGACAAGCTACTCCGTAGAAAACAAGTCAAACCCAAGACAGCTAAGCGAAGGACCCGTTTCAAATTAGCTCGACGCCACAATAACCAAGTCTACACAAGTCCAGCTGCCGTGGCGATTACCGATTTTATGGCCCTTCTTCAGCCATCTCGGTCTTCGGGGTATCTTTTCCCTTCAGCGGGCACGGAGGTGCGTTGCGGTTCGACCAGCCCAAGCGGGTTAAATCCGGGGTAGAACGGGATTCCGGGGTCGGTCATGTCTTCCGTATATATTCTCGTCGAGCTCGTTCAATCGGCAGGAGAACTATCCACCACGAGCCTGGCTTTTCATAACCTATACTCCTGCTCCCACGCAGCATTTCAGTCCAGCTTCAAGTCACTACAGGACGGGGCACGGCAACGCCAAAATGGCCAAAATCAAGACGTTCCTTTCGGCCATCTTCCTGGCCACCGGAGGTGAGTCTCCCATCTGTCTCCTTTATCTTCTCTTCTGACAAAATAGGTTTCCTCTTCGGTTACGACAGCGGTATCATCACCTCGACTATCTCCCAGGAGCATTTCATCGACTACTTTAACAACCCTAGTAATACCGTCACTGGCGGTGTGGTTTCTTCCTTCCAAGGAGGTGCCATTCTCGGTACAATAATCAATATGATGCTTGGAGACTGGCTGGGTCGCAAACGTTCAATCTTTTTTGGGTCGGCGGTCTCTGTGTTTGGTTGTGCCCTGCAAGCAGGTGCCGTGTCGATGAGCATGCTTATCATCGGGCGGTTTATTGCCGGAGCTGCCGTGGGTATCATGACCTCCATCATCCCTATGTATGCGGGTGAATTGTCAGAGACGAAGTACCGTGGTGCCATGTCTGGCTTGCTACAGTGGATGTTAAGTTGGGGATTCCTCGTTGCACAGTGGCTGGGGTACGGGACGTCGTTCGTGAACGGCGCATTCCAATGTAGGACTTCACTATTTCCGCGAATTCCCATCGCATCATCCTAACTAGAGCATAGGGCGCTTTCCTCTTGCTTTCCAATGCGTGCCCGGTATCGTCCTCATGTTCGGCATCTGGCTGCTCCACGAATCCCCGCGATGGCTCATGGAGAAAGACCGCCACGACGAAGCGCTCGAAACACTACGCAAACTCCGCGGCGGCACTCCAAACAGCGAGGATCTCGTGGCTGTCGAGTTCCAAGAGATCAAGGACGCCATTGATGCCGAGCGTGCCGCCCACAAAGTGACTTGGTCGTCTATTCTCACCACACCCTCCTGGCGGCGTCGTCTGGCCCTAGGATGCGGCGTGCAAGCCTTCGGCGTTCTGTCCGGTATCAACGTGATCAACTACTACGGCCCCATGATCTACAAGTCGCTCGGCATCGAAAACCAGACCTCGCTCATGATCATCGGCATCTCCGGCGCCTTGTCCATCGTCTATGCCACGATCTGTCTCTGGGCCCTCGATAAAGTCGGTCGTATCAAACCACTCATCATGTCGGCCGCTGGCTGCGGTCTTGCACTCGTCGTCAACGCCGCCCTCTCACAGCACTGGGACGCCACTAACCCGAACCTTCTTCGCGCCATGGTCGCTATGAACTTCGTCTTCAGTCTCTTCTACACTCCCCTCGGTTGCATTTCCTGGGTCTACCCAGCAGAGATCTTCCCCGTGGATATTCGTAATCAGGGTAATTCGATCACGACATTCACGAACTGGACGTTCAACTTGGTATTTGCGCAGTTCTCGCCGCAGGCGCTGGATGATATCGGTTTCAAGTACTTCTATGTCTTCTTCGTGTTCAACTTCATTGCGCTCCTGTGTTACATCTTCTTCTTCCCTGAAACGAAGGGCAAGACGCTTGAGGAGATGGACATGGTGTTTATGGATGCGAGCGTTGCTGTGGCGGCCAAGACGGCCGATTTGGATGATAGCAAGAGGGAGGGCGAGGATGTCCAGATTGAGCAGGTTAGGTAATTAGGCCTGGGCTTGTGGTCCCTTGTGGCATGTACAGTTAATGATAGCGAATCAACGTTATGACCTCGATTGAGGATTGGCTCTGTCCTTGTGTTCCATTTCCGGCGGGGGTTACTAGCTTGGGATACATCTACCAAAGTCTGGCCTGAGTGGCTGAAGAGTTGCTCATCTACAGGCATTTCCTAGAAGATAACAAGCCTGGCGTGCATCAAAGCAACGGCCCAAGTATATTAGTGAATTGATAAGTCTTTCGGGACGTTGATCCGGGAGTCCAATGTAACCAGGCGGCCGGAGATGGGTTTCCAATGCCCAAAACCTGCATTCTGACCCGAGATAGCTGCGGAGCAACTAAGGTCGATTGCTATCCGGTTGCGTGCTTGAGGAATTTAAGCAGGCCGTGGCGTCACCATCTGCGCGTCAATCGGGCCTCAATCAAAGCATCATGCTGGTTTGGAACGGAACGTCAAACCTCGTCCAAGTATTGAGAGTTTAGATGATTAGCCAGTGACTGAGTTGGTTGCTTGGTTTACAGTAGCATAAAACGTTAACGATTCTGATGCAGATGTCTGTATTTTCGCGCCTTATCTACGGAAAGTAACGATGCAACCCTGAAACCAGGATTCACCAGCCATCATAAAAGTTTCCTGGCAGAGGACGAGCCGAATTTTCAAAGGCTCCATCCAGTTACCAAGTCGCTAGATAGTATTAAAACACTTAGCTATCCTTTTAGGGGTCAGTAACGACGCTACCGTAGCTAGGGCACACAATATTTACTTCACTGGGAATATTCCATCCACGGATGCATCTTCTGCAGCAAAAGGGACATTTCCGGGTAGACGCCCAATCTCTATGATACTTTCTAGGCTCTGCGATCATGAAGCCTGCCTATCAGCACTGCCTAGAGCCTTGTGGTTTTCAAAATTGCCAAAGCCATCCCTGAGATTACGGCCATTCCAAAGAAGGGCCGAACTACACTGGTAACCCTAAGGAGAATTACAGCATGCAACTCCTTCTTGCCTTCGACTTTGGACTTCCTTCCAAAAGCATCAACCTACAAAATGGTCAGCGCAATCAGACCAGAGATACACGCTTCTCCCTGGAATGAGAGACGCCCTGAGAACCAAGTCACAAAGCCACCAGTCCAAGGAAGTCAACCGTCAAGAATGTACCATGTTTCTGCAAGAGGAGCGTAGGAATGTACGTCGTATCAAAACTATTCGATCGAAGGAAGGGGGAAAATGCAACCGGCCCGCTCCAGACCCATCCCTATCTCTCCAACCGTTTATGGGTCCCCCGAACTAAGACTCCAGGTGCGCGGGCTGGGTAGGCGTTCGGGCCGTTAACGGCTAGGGGTGGGTGGGTAGGGTCCTATCGATCAGTAGCAGTTAGCATCAATATCCAGATTAAGACACTTAGATCAAGAGGACCATGGCCGGCTTCTCTCTCGAGGTGTTGGGATGGACGATGTGTGTTGCAGTTGGTGGCGTGTTGTATTGGTTATCGAGTCTGCGTTCAGGATGCCAGCGATGGAGAGGAACGAGTACATATATCACTCCCTCCGGTTGTACGTCTCAATTTTCCTAGTAAGGTAATCAGCGATCTCTCCCATCTGTCTTGCAATTGTGATCGTGATCGTGATCGTGACTTCAACCTCGTCTCCATTCTTCCCTAAATTGCACCCCATCTCATGGCTCCCCTCCCTCGCCCCTTACTAGGCCTTATCCTCCTAGCCAACCCCCTCCTTTTCCTCCTACCTGGCCCCGTGCAAGGGGCACCTTTCGAGGCGCACACCCCCACGCAATCCTGGAACGCCACAGGACCCAGCAACTCGGTGAGGATGATCCAACCCAGTCAACACATCTTACCATCATGCCCAGGAGAGAGAAGTGCTAACGTCACGCACAGAGCCACCTCGTGCCCAAACCACCCAGACCGTGGTCACCCGCGCCGTTCTTCTGGAACGATGCCCCTCCGCGCCCGTATCATGCCTACGGCTATGGTGGGTTTTATCAGCCGGACAAGGCTGGAGATGATGCGAGGGGTTCGGTGAATGTTGTGGATAAGGGCTCTGAGGTTGAGGCTGGGGCCGAGGATGTGCATGAGCATGTTGACGACATAAGGACCCTGGGTGGAGATGGCAAAGAGGATGAAGTGGATGCGAACTCGTCGGATGCGGAAGAGACTGGTGAGAGAAATGAAGATGAGGGAAAGGATGTATCTTCTTTCTGGAACCCTTTTGCTGGTCTTCGACACGGTGATGACCTGAATCGCGGAGACTGGGACTGGAAGAAGCAAGCTCATGGACATGGGAAGTCTTGGGGAGAGGCAGACAGTTGATTGATTCTATCAGTGTGCCGTTGGGGAGGATGATGGCGTGGGTAGATGGAGCTGGGGTTCCAGACCCTGCGCTCGTCCGGCCTTCTCATTGTCCTTCGTGCTTGAAAAGTCTGTTATATGGGATATCAAAAGTTAATCTAATATTGAGGGAAAAAAGAAAGAAATCTGATTTTGCAGCACCAACCAACCCTATTGTTCCAACAGTGTGGGAATACCCCGAATACCCTATGTCCAGGATGGCCAACGCAGCCCTCCCACAACATGGAAATTCCCCGCCGGAGAACACATCCAACGAAGCTTCTAGTTACTTTCTTGAATTCGAAGCTACCTAAAAAAAAAAAAAGCCAATTGAGGTTTTAATCCTAGCCATCGTCCCGTGTTTTACTATCGTTCGGACCGCGCCGAAGAAAAAAATCAACAAGAGGCAAAATATGCCGAGGCATGTTACGTCTCCGGTCGGCGCAGACAAACAGAGAGCAAAAGATAGGCAGGTTATAATTAGGTCTCTACTCAAAAGCGAAAAAAAGATTATACTACATACTACTATAGTTAAAATTGCCTCTCTCAGGTCACCTCAGAAAAAGTGACTAATGAATACTGTAAAGCAAACCAGCAGCCATGTCTCACTTCCACCAAATGAAATGAACTTTGCCTCCAGTTGCGAAAAAGGAGTCGTCAATTGGGCCACTGTCGCCAACGCAAGTCTGCCTTTGTACGACCTCACGCTGCACCCGTCCAGACCAATGCAGTATAAGCACTAAAGCTAAGACACGAGCGGGAGATTGCGGGTTACACAGGGAAAATGAACTGACAGGCTCGAAGCTGGTAGGGGGGAAGAGGGGGAGGAGGGATGTGTGACTTTGGACGATTAGCGATTGGGGTTTCGACGACCTGGGAAATGATATCGAAAAGGTAGAATTGATTGCAGCAGAGTCTCTGCGAAAAATCAAATGTGGTCGACATGTGTTGGCCATGTTTTTTCTTTGTTCGTTTCATCGTGACTAACAGCTACCTCCCTAGACTAAGTATCTTCCCTCCCTAGTGCAGTAAACAACAAAGAAGAAGAAAAAAATGTCGCAAAATTTGACAAATCCCCCTCTCCCCGGAAACTCACCACTCAACCGCGATCGATTCGAGGCTGTGTATTTTTCTGGACACCGACAGCAATCGATGAAGCGCCTGGATGTAAATCCTTTAAGCCGGAACCGGTATAGCAGAAGTCTAGACCCGAGATGAGCCAGAATAAGTCCCGGGTTGACCCAAGTTGAAACCGGCGCTAAGGCGATTGCGCATAAGCTCGCGCGGAAACACCCTGAAATGTCAGGGCAGCGACTCGCTTTCCTTGACACAGCCACGCTACGCGCAGCTGCCAGGTCGGAGTGGGTTGCCCACGGATCTTTGTCCTGGTCCTGCGTCGACTGCTCTGGATTGCTTCCCTTTGGTTGGGTCGTTTTCGACTGCTCTTTTCTGGTATGCAGGGCCAAGAAAGTCAACTGGCACGTGCACGGTAGATATTTTCCATTGGATATGTTTCTGGAAATAGGGCCTTGGAACCGGCGGGGATTAGGAAGATCGGGAGTTTCTTTTACTAAGCGGATCGTCCGGTGTGGAGGTGAGCATTGCCGATGGCTCTGACGGTTCTGACAGCTCCTGTCTTTGGGCGAGAGGCCTTCCAACTCGGCCGAAGTGTGATGATATAGGCGATGTCCGTGTATCTACAAACAACGGGAGCGGTGCATGCGATCATGCTAAGCGGCATCGGTTCCGTCGGCCAACTATCCTTGATCGTTTCTTGTTTCCTTCTTGGCTTCACTTCTTCGTCTACGGTGCAGAGAGATTATGATCTTTTTTAGACATTGTAGTCTCGATCCCGGCTCTTCCATCTTTCCGGCTCGTCTAATCGTGCCATAATGTAGACATACCGTGGACAGCAAAAGCAGATCTCCGAGCGGCTGTGCCCTCCACGATCCGGCGACATCCCTGTCCAGAGTACATCTTCCTTCCTGTTGACTGAAATCATGTGTTCGTCATTGGCTGCGGGTGGTAAAATACCTCACCGGCCGGTTCACCATGCTCATCGTGACCGCCACTTTGTCATTCCGGACCGATTAGTTACCAGAGCACAGCAAGAGAAACCGGTATACGACAATATGATCCAGTAGGTGACTGTTGATAAGAGACTGTATGTCTCAAGTCACTGGTATTGTGGTCGATTGCGTGTCCGAATGAGGGGAGTCGGATGGGCAGGGGGTCGAACGAACAAAGAGGCTATAGTCCAGATGACGGAGTATGATGCAATCTTGGATCATATTGTCCCCGACAGACTTTATGGCTGTTGCTAGTGGAATGAGTACATCGAGCAGTCAGTCTCGGTATACTCCAGGATGGTTTCGAAATGCCCACGACCAGGTAGTAGGCCGTGCCATTTGACTCCTTTTAGCTGAAGATAAGGCCATGAACGCTCATTGAGGTGAACAGAATAGAATCTCATACTGGCCATAGATACTTGGCGTCCGCGATGATCAACCGTTGCAGGAAGAGTTAAAGTTGGGGCGAAGCACTTCTTGGTAAAGAGGGGGTCAGGAAGGATATACTGGAGGACCGGGCTGCCTCGTGGTTATAGAAGCAGGCAGCAAGATAAAAACCAGTCGCCTAAGCCTTTACCCATTTATCAATCGCTCCACCCTCCACAGGGCACTGCAGGGTACGGGGCAGACTTCCTGATAGATCATGGAGCAGAGGAGTAGATTAAACGAGACGACGATCATCTCCGCCCCGTCGAATGAGGAGTCAGAAGTGCGAGGAGTTCTGACGACAGCGGACAGGCAGATTCCGATATGCCAGTGGCCCCCAGAAAGTATCTACGTACCATTAATCTGCCCATGGCTCATCGCATGGTTGGCAGGAGCGATCCGCGTCTTCGGATCCCGCGGACACCTGTGCCTGACAGATAAGCAAACGGAGAGTTTTTGGCGGCACCTGGAAAGTATTTCTGCGAGCGGCATCAAGTCGGTGTTTGACACAGTCAGTCAGCAAATGGCCACATCTAGAAGACCAGCGCTGGACGGCGGGCAACCATGCAGGGTGCATGTGGCTGTCGGCGAGTGGTCCTGTGTTGTCGGACAGACCAGCCCGGAGCCTTTTCGCTTGGAAAGTCTTAATTCGAACCCATGAAGCAATACGAAGTAGCATCTGGATTCCGACCACTGACGAGACTGTTACGTTGCGGGAATTAGGGCTCACCCGTGCAATGGAATTCTTCTGCCTGTCTCTGTCTTGAAGTTCGTTCGGCACTAACGGGGTTCGCGAGTCGACCCAGTGCCTCAGCATGGGACCATTGCAATGCCCCTGGACCCTCTCCGTAGGGCAAATAAACTAGGAAAGTCGCTGCCTGTGCCGGTGACAAGTTCCCAAAACTAACAGTGAATTGCCCCTCCGTCTGAGACAAGCTCCGGTCCCTAGTGGCGCCGGTCGCTCCTCGTTATTGGCGACCAGACCCGATCGCAATGACTCCGACTCGACGAACAAAGCTTGGTCTCAGTTTATTTTCATCAAGCTCAATGAGGTGTAGGCAACAGGGTTCTCTCCGCTGGCTTCTCTTTTTTCTGTTTCTTTTTGACTTTTTTCTGGCCTTTCACTTTCTTAGCGCTGCCCTAGCTGCCTAGCATCCTTAACATCCCTAAAATATAGCCATTTTATTTTCTATCTTAATTTTCTTTTTTTTTTCTTCTTTTGGAGGGTCTTTCCGGTTAGACTGTCATGCAGTTTGTTTATTTATATCGACGTGACTGGCCTGCTTTGATCCCTTCAATCACCTCACTTTCATTCTTCCATAAGCCAACACCTTAAGAGACCAAGACCTCGCAAATATCCTTCTCTTCTCAAACGACCCTCCTAGTCGTCCTCGACCTCATACAAAATGCCTGCCACTCCTCGTCCCAACACTGACTACGAACGCTGGATGCGGGACTCAAATCCTGCCCACACTCTTGCCGCCGAGCCAGATTACGGTCAAGTCCAAAAGGCCACAGAAATGGATTCTGCGCTGGAATATCAGTATGTTATCACTCTATACCTACCATCTTTTGTCTCCTAACATGACTAACGATTAAACAGACCGCCCCTCTCAAACCCTCAGATCTACATCTCGCGAGATGACCGATCGTTCCAGCTCTGGGAAAACCGACCTCCCTTCTCGACCGCCTGCATCATCCCCGTCTTCGTCGTAATAGTCGCCATCATCTTCATCAAGACGCGCCATTCGCGAGGGAAGGAAGGCGCTGTCAGCTTGAAGGGATAGACATTCGATCTCTGCGACTTTTCTTTTGTTCGGGATAGAGACTGGTGTGGTTCGGTTCAGTGACGCCGTCTCGGTCGGGCCTTTGTTAATTTTTCATGTTTATGTCGATGTTAATAGTTTTCATACCCCATGTTATACCTAGCTATGCAATAAGCGATGATTTTTATTCAGTTCAATCTTTTTCTCGCTAGTTCTCGTTGTTCACTGGAGTTGGTTGTACATACTGCATTGATGAGCGCAAGAATAAGACTGAACAAGCCTTACAATATTTAAATTCATACTTCTCCTCAAATTCCAGGGACGATCACATTCTCAGCCTCTAGATCTAAACTTTCCGACCGGCGCATCATTGCTGGCACACTCCACTTATCCTTCCCTGCGACTCAACGACATCCATCACTCCAGCGCCATCTCGCCCAATGACACCCCCTGGACCGTTGGTCGCCACTCTCGCATCCTCTCTACGCCAAATAAATCTAAGCGCCGAGTAGTTAGGTTAGCCCAGCTAGTTATTCTATTCCAATCCTCGCCTTAGAGCCTCAGCCCCGACGCAAAGCAACAATAATCCGCAAAGCGCCATAAGATGATCGCCGAGATTTCCCCGCCAAGCTTTTCTCTTACCCCGTCGGCCTGTTCAGCGTCAACGCATCATCCAATAATAGCTCCTGACGACGAGAATTAGTGCGATTGGATGTTGGATGGGAAGGAAACGAAGGGGGGGGAAAAGTGGGCTTGCCATTCTCTGGGTGGGTCTAGGAGGAATCTGACTGAGAAAAATGGCACTTCCCTGACTGTGACCCCGTTGGTCACTTGTCGTTGAGTTCCCATCCAACAAACAACCAACGCGCCCTCGCACGGATACCTTGTCGTTACTGGTAGTTAAGTTGGCGTTGCGGCTGTTTTGGAGGATTATGGAGTACTAGCGACCGGTGGGAGGCATTGCAGTCTTTTTCTTTTTCTTTTCTTTTCTTTTCTTTTCTTTTTTTTTCTTTTTTTTTTTTTTTTGGACAGTAGTTGGACCCCATAGCTGGTTGCTACACGACTCCTTTCGTTAAGTTTTAGGAGTTGTTATCAGTTATCTGTGCTACAATATGACGAGGACAGCTGAAACCGGATGGATGATAAATCGGTAGGAGGTGTCCAGTTTCAATTACTTCAGCCCTGAACCCCTGTGTGAAGTATCGAGACTCCGTCTTGAAAATGGTGTCTATACTCTAAGACGTGGAGATGCGACCGGTGAGTTCTACTCCGGATGGAGAACACAATCAACTAGTAGCTGTTACTGAACAATGTTGATCTAGTAGTACCTATCGTTCAATAGTATCAATGGACTTTCCATGAAGTATTTACTGCCTACTGTATAGATGTTCTGGAACTAGTTAGTTAGCAAATGTCACGATAAGAAACGATCGTTGATCCCGCATGATAAAAATAACCCAAAGGCAAAAACTAAGTAACAAAACACCGACCGCGGCAAAAAAAAGTCAATCAAAATAGATCTCTAAAAACAGGTCAAAAAATCTTGTCATGCCTTGTGAGGAGAAGAAAAAGACCCTAAAAGATGGTTGCGACCGGACCAAGTCCCAATCAAGAAAGGTGAGACATTCCTTAACAACTTAGTCGCGATAGACCCTTTTCCGTCGCAGTAGCGCACATGGCACCATGTCGGGCTCAGCTCGCCACTTCCGCAGCTACAACTAGCAACAATGGGTTGCGGTGAGGTTCATCGTGTAGGTTACTTTCTATTCTTTATTCAAGAAACCAAACCATGAAATGGACGATTGGGGGTTGTTCTGCAAAGTTTGCAGGGTCTAGTTTAGACGCTGTCTTAAATCGCCTATGCGATCGAGAGAAACTCCGGCAATTCGCCGATATATCTACTAACTGGGATGAACTGTGTCTTTGCACGATAGTGAATTATTTAGAGCCGCATAGCATGTCCAAATATATCGATCGAGTCTTTTTTTGTCGTCTAAATAGCATCAGGTGAATGTAACAGGTCATATAGCCAATTCTATATGTATAGATATCTAGAGAAGATCACATCATTCTGCGATGAGATCTGTATAGCTCGACTGCAGTAGTATACCATTACTACCTCAGTTGATTTGGCGAGGTGTAATAAGTCATCTATGGTCTTAGGTTGTCACCATGTGGTCGTTCTCACATTAGATTCACGTCGTTTCAGCTTTAATGAATGGAACTCATTCTCGCGTTTAGAATAATAGATAAAGATACAGCCTCCTATAGAGAGATTCCCAGAGTCCAGGAACCATCGCTTAGGTCCACTTTAGTAGAGTTCAGATAGAGTCGTGAAGTCAAACAGTTTTAAACTAATTTCCTAAGGCGCTTGGGGGTAGTAGGTCGTCGTACTCAAAAATGACGAGATCCGGTAATAACAGCTGCAGAGTGTGTAGAAAGATAATAGGCAGGCAGGATAGTCCTCAGTGCGATATAGACACCTTTTGGTACAAAGAAAATATTAGGCGGTATGATACCCATAGGTAAACAGAAGCTATGCTTCCGTTAAGGTGCTGTGGGCATGTTAGACTGTATGGACAGAGGGGAGACTCGAGATCCCAGAGCCCACATAACATAACATAGAGAGACCATGCTAATAGTCCATCGTGCAATAGTGGAATAGTCACTTCGACTTTTGATACCTACCTACCCTTACCAAGGCCTTGGCTTTGGTATTGAGATCAAGGGCTTGATTCCTCATTTGGTTCTATGATCGGATCCATTGACAAAGTCGGAATCACTGGCTGCAGGGCATCCGGAGGAGAACACCAGTGCTCACCATCGCCCCGTCTACCCACTGTGAGACCGGCTTCGAGCTCCCGGGAATATGAAGGGCTATCGTATGTTTCCTCTCCGGAGCAACCGGTTATCATAGGGACCAACATATCTAAAGCGTGGCATCGGATCAACTGGTCCAACCAAGCATCTACCGAGGTTGGATTGAAGACTGCTACCATTGGCATCAATTGTTAGTAAAGGCAATCAAGTCAATAGAAGATGCAGTATTGAGTATGCTTCCATAGCTAAGGTGCGCCGCAAGTTGCAGATTTCCGCCGAAGAGGTCATCCCCAGACTCCATGCTCGGACTGCTCGGATTCGAATTTTTGATGGCTGTTGATCTCCGTTCAGGGTCTCTTGAATGGCTTGGTGTCGACGTGCAGGTTGTTCAGGTTCTCAATGCTTCTTGAATCGCTCAGGTCATCGAGAAGATCAGTGAATGACGGGCGAAGAAGCTGAAACTCACCCAGTACCTGTCATGCTCGGATCTTGACCAAAGTTCGATCAATCAGAGAAATCACGTCATCAGTAAGTCCTCAATCTTTAGAAGAGCCCTCGTTGCATTATCCTTAAGGCTCTGAGGAACCCATCGATCTTGGATATTTTGGGTTGGAGACCCCACCACTCAGTAAGGACGATCTCAAGTCCATACCAGCGAGTATTCTCGAGGACTTTTACCGACCAACCTCCAGTCCTAACTTCGAGAAACCCGTCAGGCTTTCAGTTGCTCAATTACTACCGGTGCCTCCACGCTTTCATGGGAAATAGCAGAACCCATAACGTTAACATGCTGTTTGGCCTTCACCACACACCCCGACTAGAAAACTATAAAGCAGCAATTGGCCGCTTAGCGATGAGAGATGAAACACTGCGAACGCACTTGCTGCCTGGGAAGAACGAATCCAGCTATTCATGCCATGCCATCATGCAAATCGTACGATTCCAGCCGGAGGTCGTGCACGTTGACGATTCCAATTCGATGAGAGACGTCTATGTACGTGTTCGTGGCGACCTTCCCCACAGGGATGTGGCTCAGACCTGCCGTTTTCTGGTCCTGATAAAACCCAAGTCCTCTTTGTCAGATATCATCAAATAGATTCCTAGATGCCAATGGCTTCCTCGTTGTTCGGAGAAAACTTGAAATCTGCCATTGGAATACATTCTCGGCGCGTCAACCAATATCGCACCGAGACCGTGCAACGCCGGCTGTCTCCCTCACTGACAAGTCCAGGTCAGGTCTATCTTCAGGAGAATCGAACGATCTCGTTTAACTTTTACATAGTTGCGCTGTGCATTGTATTCCTTGCTCGCGGTACGGACACAAATGGTGTCAGCATCTGGTCTGTGAAGTCTGGCCGTGGGGATGCGGCCAGTCTGAGCACGGTGGACCTCATTTAGAATGCTTTACCATCCGGCTTAATAAGAACAATTCTTGACAACCATTCCGGCGCATTCTAGTCCTTGCGAAAGGCAGAACTCAATTGACAAGAGCCCATTCGCGAGTCCCGTACGATGTGATACTCGTCGAGTTGGGCGTGCCTCGATCGACAATCCGCAGCCCACTCTTTCAAGCCCTGATGGATTGGCAACCACAAACTATCTTTACATATTTGTTCGACGGTATCAAGGCAGTTTAAATGAACTAGTGCTCGACAAAAGATGTCTTGATCTCACGCGGCTAATGAGGGGCTGAGAAGATGGATTCACTGCGTTTGAATTCGTTCTCCATAAAGGGGTCTTCTCCTATCGGGCAGTGGAGTTGCTAATGCAAAGCTATTTGGGCTTGATTTATGCGTTTGCCTCTCAAGATGAAGTCAATGTTATAAAGACGCCCCTTTTTATTTCACATGAGAGGTTGGTTCAGTCACCGAATGCTCTTACAAGAGCATCACGGAGCTAACCGCTCATTCGGGGAAGAATACACAGCACACTGCGCTGCGCGCGGTACCAAGGCGCTGGTCCGTTTCGCGCAGCGGCGTCGCGTCCCGATTCATTTCCTCTCCAACGGTGAACTGGCGACGAGCTCTCGGGATACCCCCAACTGGCTAAAATGCACCCATAGTTCCTAATGGGCCAGCGAGCGCCTTCTGACCAACGCTATAGGTCAATGTGGAGTGCCGGTATGCATCCATTGCCCTGTCGAGACCGACCACATAGAGCCACTACCACCGAATCTCATACAGGAGCTCCAAGGGCTCATCCTCGAGTTGGAAAGCGTCCCGACAACCAGACAATGAAGGGGGGTTTTGCTCTAGTGCTGGTGGGGATGATTTCCGAGTCAGTAGTAACGGCGTTGCAGGACGAGCAACAGGAATCAAGACCCATGATCCGGGAACACATTTCCGAGGAAAGAGTACCCATTGAGGATGTGATGGGCCTGTCTGCGGCCTTAAACCAAAGCTCACGCTCATTCCCGCGACGCAGTGGGTCGCTTGACCATACTGAATAGATGGCAGGGGGATTGACATGGTATGGTGGATTGCTCGACAGGCCGCTGAATTGAATGGAATCAAGGGGCCTCGCTCCTCGACTCAAAGGTAAGAACGCACTGTTCGCATAGACAAAGGCATTTTTTTCTTGGTATGTTGGATTGTAATCGCTGCCATGTCAATCACGACATTTCCTTAGTCACAGAATCTGTGAGCTTGAACTAAACGTCAAAAAACAGGTTTAGAACATCGCTAAGCAACTAGAACAAGCTCCTCGGTCTGTCGGAGTAGGTGCTGGCTGTATCACGGTTTTGGAAATCAAGGGCAGTGGTGCGAAATCCAGGATTTTAGCCCAAAGACAAAACATGACGTGCCCACTTAGTCGATCTATTTTCGATAGTTTTCCGGGGCTTAAAAATAGTGCAGTTTAGAAAGAGGGGAGATAGGAAAAACTGAACACCCGACGGATCTGCTATCTCTTCGAGAATTTTCTAGTCTGCGTTGGATGAAACATGTGACGCTAGAATTATTTTTCCGACTGATGAGGACCATGAGGTGAATGATCGCTAAACTATGAAGATCCTCGCTTAGGTCTTTACTGTGATTCCTGTTTGGGTCAAAAGGCACGAAGTATATGAATGTAAAATCTGTGTTCGAATTTTGAAACGCTTGAGTATGAGCATGCAATAAACAAGAAAGAAAAGAAAAGGTCGCTAAATCGCAAATAATTATATACAAGTTCGTTGCAGCGTGCTATCATAATCCGTAAATCCAAACACCAGTTCCAACCCAATCTCGTTCTGTTCACCGATATATCGTCTATGGATCTAGCCACAGATCCTTTCCCAAAGTATGAATCAAGATGTATAAAATGTGGAGAATAGCGAGGCCGACCGACTCGAACTAGTCAGCCTACCATCGGCTGAACAGGCGAAGGCGCACACAATCGACGGCCGAGTCCCAGGCGCGCAGCATATCTGCGCGACACGGAAGAGAATGAAGGGGCCTTGCTGATTGTGATAGTCGAGCTGGAGGATTTGCTGCTGCTGTTGGACGACACACGAACCAGCTCGGGCTTTGAGCGAATTTTCTCAGAAGAGGAGGAAGAGCGCTCCGGCGATCGTCGTCGAACCATCGACTTCACAACATTGGCAATCTGGTCGCGGATGATTGTCACAGGGGCAGTTTCGGCGCCAGGATCGAACTCCTCCTCACTGTCACTGTCGTCGACTTGCAGTGCCGCAATCGCCTTCTTCATGTCATTTTGTGCGATCTCGACCGATCGGCGGAGGACTCGATCGTGGGCCAGGCAGCGTCGGAGATCGGGGCTGCGGGCGGAGGTTTCCCGTTCAAGTTTGTCGCGGGATAGAAGGACCATGCGGCATGATAGCGGCGAAGAAGAGCGATGTGCGAGAGGAGGGAGACGAGAGTTGGGGCGAGAGGATTGACGCATCACGGCAGGGCCGGAGAAGGAGGTCTCGGAAGACCGGGACATGGTAGGGTCGAATGTGTAGAGTTGATGTTTGTTTTTTTGTCTTGGGAATAGGACAATGCAATGCAATGCAAGAAAGACTTTGTGTTTTGAGCTGATCCTGGTAATGATTTGGTTCTAATGCCCTGCAGGCCAGGGGTAGAAAGCATGAGCTTTTAAAAAATCCTGACATGGACAAAGCTTCCTGCGATGACTCCCACCAGCGCCGGTCTAGATCCCATGTTTTCCTTGCTAACGATTCCTTAGACCCACTCGGACCGAAACCAGAGAACAGTCCAGACTGTTCGCCACGAACGGCTGCTCGGCCCCGATAAAGAAACGTGGAAGAGCTTCTCGTCTGGCTGGTCGTGGCGCTGGTCTAGACACAACGGAGGGAAATCCCCCGGACTGACCGTCAGTGGCAAGGAGATAATCGGCGAAAAGTTAGAGTTGTGGTGTCATTGACTGCGAACCGTTCATTCGGGTGGTTCGTGCATGCTCCGACCCGATATTCTCATTGGATGATAGCTGAATCATGATCGCAATCTGACGGAATGACCGTTCATAGGTATCGTGCTATCATCTATTTGTTGTTGCTTTTGTTCCTATCTTCCCTGGCCGGATGTCGGGCCCGAAATCGATATGAGTCCTATCTCAATTTGATCTCACTCTGATCTCACAGGAGACTTCAGAACAAATTCGCTCCCTCATTCATAGCCTCGTCTATCTGGTGGTTGGTGGCTTGCCCTAGAACCGTGGACCCGATATACTCTCGGCGAAGTCCTCCGACGTATCCTTCACATGGCAGCACGTGTTGGGAAAAGCCCTACTTGAAGGCCAACATTGGATTTGGCTAACATCTAGGCCAATATTTATTTATTATCATCGCACTGACAGGTTCATGGTGTCAAACTCGGACCACCGCACAAACCTAGATCGTTTCACCCGCCAATGATCGAGTGATAGGTGGTTCTGTAGGCAACTCCGAGAACTCTACTGTGAAGACCGTCGAGTGGACGTGCACAACCGAGTCTCCGGACTGACGAGTGGCACTGGCACGGTGGACCCACGACTTGCGAATCGACTCCTCCCGAACGGTTCCAACGACACTGCCGTGTGGAACGACATGTTGTCGTCGCTTTTCCGGCGCCCGTTATTGGCAGTTGGATGGGATCTTCGGATCATTCCCACAGCCCTGCGTGGACAGAGTCTAGATCATGTCGTGTCAATATTTGCTATCACACAATACTAGTGGAGAAAATTGTTGGGAATCCAAATTGGCTCTAGTATTAGATATTATGATGTTCTATAGATAATGCGTGCAAACTCTTATCCCTGTCTTCATTTTTGACATCAGAATTTCGTCCGATAGTTCCCTTCGCTCATCATCTCGTCATGAATCATGCCAGATAGAAGATTACCATCCAGAGCACCGCCGCCTGGAGCAGGCCCCCCACAGCTACTCGCGTCGACGACGAATCCTCATCGTCACCCGAGGACGACGAGGAGTGTTTCGCGGCCAGTTCCCCAGTCGAGGTAGCGTTGCCAACCCACGCGTTCCAGTTCGTCAGGTTCTTCTCGCACTTGTCCGTGATGGCCTTTCCCTTCATCTGTGCCAGGAACTGTTTGTCCCTCGACAGCGTCACTACCACATCGCCCAATTTTTTCCCAGTCTCGATGCTTCCGTGATAGATCCCCTTACTCCCATCCGGTTTATCGTCCCACGTTGCCGTCTTGTTGTTGCCACCAATGCTGACCGTAATATCGGCCGGCGACTCTAACAACGCCGAGTAAAAAATCTTATCCTGTAGGACCTCCTCAGGCTCGTACAATTTCTGCGCCTGAGTTTCCGTGTTCCCCGTCGTTTTCCCATCCGAGCAAGCAGATGACGGATTCACACGATACCACGAGACGATGCCCTCGTTCTCGATCTTTGCGTCCCGTCCCGGGTTCTTATACTGTTCGATCACGTACGGCAGAAAGGCCCGCCACCCGTCATGCGGCATGCCCTTGGCATAGTCGAACGGCGCCTGGGCGTCGTCGAAGACATTCAGACTTCGCTCATGGATCGGCCCGATGTAATGAGACTCGCCGTAGTCATTCCACGAGATGATCTCCACGTACTCGGGGTCGATCTCCAGCACGTCCTGCCACCGTTTGTACCAGACGTCGTCTCCCCGCCACACCCAGTTCTTATGGTAGCGGACCATATTGGTATAGAACCACGGCGACACAGGCATGATGTAGGGTTTGCCATTCAACGCATCCATGTATTTCTTATCCTGCGTGGTGTTGGTATCATGCGCACCCTCGGGCCAGGCACTCCAGCTCATGAGCCCGTCGACTGCAGCCCGCCCCAACGCGACGCTAGGTTGGAGAGACGACCAGTCCGGGATAAAGACACAGTCAACCTTACGTTTGATGTTCTGCCAGTCGCCGGCGGCTTGGGAGCCTTCGAACGTCGAGACAAGTGGCTTGTCATCGCGGTGTCGGTAGTAGGCGGTTTTGTTCGTGTAGGCCTTCAACACGTTGACGACTTGGTCTTGTGGCCAGTGGCCGTCGCCGGAGTAGTCGAGGGAGAGGAATAGTTTGAAGCCGACCTCGTCGGCGATTGAGAAGGCGTCGTCGAGGAGCTCTTTGGTGTTGAGACCCCAGCCTGTGTTTAGGGCGAAGGCGTCCAAGTGGGCTGCTTTGGCGGCGCTGATGTCCTGTCGCCAGTCATCTTTTGTGTAGTTGTCGCTGTTCCCTAGCTAACGGTTCATTAGCCTTGTGCGGTGAATGAGGGAGGCGATTCTATAGCTTTGACTTACCATAAAATGGGCGAAAACACCCTTAGCATGCGCGTGGCAGACAAATGCCAACAAGGCCAGCAAGGGAAACAATAGCATCATGTCACGTCAGGCGGGAGGACTGGGAACAAACAAGTTTCATAATAATTCTTAAAACAAGGAACCGGCGGACTGCCGAAATAATATACGACAGGGTTCCCACGAAAGCCGTCTCACTGATTTTCCGAATCCATAAAAATACAAGTGAATCATCCCTCGGTGATATGATCTGTTCTCGACTCCATACGGAACACGCCATACCCGAGCGATATACAAAAAAGGACGGTAGATTTGAGTTTGAATTTGAAGTTATTTCCCCTCCGGGACATTTAAATGCCCGGCGTTCAATAATCTGCGAGGAATCCGGTAGCGGTCAACAACCAAGGCCACAAACTGCTATAGTTCCCTCTAGGCATCAATAGAAACCCATTGGCTTTCATGTTGGCACCGCGTGTTGCACAAGTGAGCCTCGCCATATCGCCTATAACATTTGCCCAGTAACGCCGTTTTCTAGGCGCATCAACCTCGACAAGCAGTTCGTTGGCCACTTAACTCATGTACCGCATTGACCAGCCAATTCAGACTCAATGCGGAGCCTACAGCACTGACAGTTCCCTGCGTGGCGTGCATTATTGGAACCTCAGAGTTGCAGCTACTGCAGCGCGAAGCCAAACTATTGTTGTTGACCCTGCTGTCATACGGGAGGATCGGATAGATCATATGCGAACGGGTCTTCGACGCATGCGCAGCGTTCGGGTTCCAGTCATGGGATAGCCTAGTTATGGCGGACCTCGCATGAACCAGGCAATAGCGTTTATTTTATGATTGCTGAGTGGGCTCTTTTTGCGAGAACTTATAACTGCATGCATCATCGACGTATAACTGTGCGTGAGGTCATTGGTAAGGTTCTTGTTGAGTGGTCGGCTCTGGCTTCCGTCGATCTGAACCTATCGAGTCTGAAGGTTGGGCTATTTTGAGGATCAACATTATGAGGGATAATGGACAGCATACGGCGGATGTTGTCTATTTGTCTACGGATGGACTTCTTGGGAGTTTCTCGGCGAGCGCCACGCCCACGACTGCATCACCCAGATGCTGACAGATGAACAAAGCGCTTTGACATGAACTTTCCGAAAAAGTGCAGTCAGACTGGGGATAAATGCAGTCCACCTAGCATGACTGATACGCACGGGGGGAACCCTGTAAATACGCGACTTACCGACTTTTGCCTAGATGATCGTCTAGGTTCGCACTATGGTCAATGGACGCGGGAAATAGAGTATACGTAAGGGATGGACAGTGGAGCCAGGTGCATACGACACCTGCGTCTGGATAGTTCAACATAGGCTCACACGAGATAATTGTCATTCTCCATTGTGCATAACCTGATTACAGGTCTGCTAAACCTACTCCATAGACAGCACAATTAATGCATTTGCAGTGAAGTCATTAACTCTCTGACTAACAAACAGGGTGTGATTTTCCTGTCTTCCCTTGCAGCGAATGTTGCTCGTTTGCATAGACCTGGCTATGTGGCATCTTGGCCCCATGCGTCTGGATGTATCTTTGATTTTTTAGCTTCCACTGATGAGCGAATCACAAGGCTACAACTTACTTGCTAATCCGATCGATCATTGACTCATCCATTTCGTCCAATGCCTTGATGGACATTTTGAAATCCTCAATTAACAGGTTACATCGGTGGAGGCTGAAATCCTCGCGCAGGACAATCCGCATCATCTTCAGCTGGTTGCTGTGCGGTGCCATAGTATACGCTGGGATGACCCATCCTCGCTGGCGAAGTGAATGAGCCAGGGCATACTCGTCGTACAGCCGGTCCTCATCTTCGGGGAACCGGAATGCAACTAGCGGAAGCCCTCGGCCTCCTTTTTCGCTCATGATGACGAAACCGAGCTTTTCGAGTTCGTCGGCCAGGTAGTCGGCTGTTCGCGTCAGATTTGACATTATGGATTTATATCCGTGCCGGCCCAGCCGCAGCAACTGATAGTACTGCCCGATGATGTGCGAGGCCCCCTTGGAGAAGTTCAAGGTAAAACTAGATTGGTCAGATCCGAGGTAATTGATGTTGAAAATCAACTCTTTAGGAAGATATTCAGGCCCTCGCCAGAATACCCAGCCCACGCCGGGATATACCTGTGGCGTCTGTTAGAAAGAGCCAGCAAAGGGACCCAGACGACATACTAGCCCATATTTATGCCCGGACACATTGATCGACACCACCTTCTCCAACTGAAAATCCCAAATCATGGATGGATTGACGAACGGCGCCACAAATCCACCACTCGCCGCATCCACGTGGATCGGACAGTCAATGTTTCGCTCCGTCAAGAGATCATTGATGGCTTTGACATCCTCATACTGGCCCGTATACGTCGTGCCCACGATCGCACAGATCCCAACGGTATTCTCATCAACCAAATCCACCGCCGTCTGCGGATCGATTACGTATCTAGTATCAGTACAGTAGACATACTTTTCCTCGACGTCGAAATATCTCGCCGCCTTCTCCCAGCAGACCTGCACCGCGCTATTCATAACAATATTCGGTCTGGACCAGTCTTTTCCCTCTGTTTTACGTCGGTTCTGCCATCGTTTCTTCATAGCCAACATACCTAGCATGATGGCCTCGGATGATCCGACCGTCGACGTGCCGATCGAGTCTTGTTCGCTTCCGTCATTATTTGTGGGTGCGTGTAAGAGCCCAGCGATCATGCTCACGCAGCGGTTCTGGATATGTGCAGTTTGGGGGTATTGTTCGAAGTCGATGAAATTCTTACTCATGGCGTCAGTCATCAGGCTTTGGACTTCGTCTTCCTATTTGGATTCATCCTATTAGAGTGCGACTTGGTTTAGGCCGTCAAGGTAAGCATACCATATAGGTAGTGACAAAGCTAGCTAAGCTGCTACTGTCAATATCCTATTCCTGGCAAAAATATGACCGAACGAATGCCTACTTGAGCAGTGGGTTCCCATCCAGACTCAGCTCATCCTGAATCATCCGTTTCACCACAGCAGCTGGCATCTCTCGCTCTGCAAGCTCATGCTCGGGTAGCTCCTCTGCGGCATAATGCGTCGCGTAGACGTACGGAGCCGCTGAGCTGTCCCCGGACTCCTCGGCATCCTGACGTCGGGCATGTTTGCCTTTTCTGACTCTTGACAGATGGACCATTCTGATTTTGCTATGGGATTTGTAATGACGAGATCTGATATTTCGCAAGGGATTAGTACTGTCTAGCGATGGTCATTTGAGTGAGTAGGACAATGACGTGCACCGTTTACTTGTGTTACTGGTGACGTTGACGGGATGACTTCACCACTCCCGTATTCGAACATGAATTCTAGACTCGTCACAATTGGATTGAAGGCCTAGAATAGCGTGTTGCCAATACTGAGCCAAGGGATCTAGAGTGCCCAGAAAAATTTTACTGTCCGCCACATTGAGGCATGGGGGTGGCCTGGGCTCGGATAGGACATAAGCTATCGCCGACTTTTGTCACAACACTATACTTATTTCTTGAGATTTCAGTAGTTAATACCAATAATCTTAAGAATAGGTTCCCTTCATACTTAACTCAATTATCCCTTTCGAATATAGCTTTACCCCTACATTCGCCTGTTTACGTGACTCCACAATCTATTCGCTGTCATGAGCTCTCTTGCCCTGAAACTATCCACCTCTCAGGCTTCCTTCTCGGGAAACAATATGCAATGCCAAATACCGTTACCCTAACTAAAAGACGGTGTGATTTCCAGTTTGGGGCCCTGTGCACAGGTGTTCGACACCTGAGACATCGTCCTGCAGGACTGCTGCATCCTGCATGTGGTACACGAGCTTATAGACGGTATTGGACGAGACGCAGTTAGCGGTGACGGCTCTTTGCTGACACTTCCCTTCCATTTCCCTGGAACTATGTCTTGAGCAAGAATTTCCCGGTCAAGTTCATGATTCTCTACCAATATCGTCTGCGCGATATGAAGACCTATCGCATGCAATAGAAGTGGGTGGGTTTATTCGACTTTCGCTGGCTGAATGAATGAGACTAGTATGATATGCTTGGCGAAGCACTTTCTGAATGTCGATATAAACCAATTTGTATGGGGCATAGACCACTGATGATTTTGTGGATAGTATAGCGGAATTGTGGAAATATTGGCAGTGTACCACCCCAAAGTTCAATATATATACATGAAAAAGGGTCTCGGGATCCATTGTAGGTTACCAGGTCTTGTACTCTGTGACAGCTCATATGCTCGTCCGTTTAGCGGTTTGACTCTTTCCCTCTTGATTCCTTTTCCAATCACTATTGAACATTGTCAATCTTTCACCCTGCTGAGACAGTCACTAGGATGAAAACAAGGGAAGTCTTGGCATGACATCACTTAGTACTGGGCGGTCAGCTTGGCGGAAAACTCTTTCTGCCGCTGCAAATCCATCTGATCGCGTCTTCCCATTCGCATTTCTCTCCTTTTCTACAATCCGTATCTTTTGCTTCATCTTTGCACATACTCGTCTACTTACCTAGCTAATCGGCGCATTAATTATCCTGAAGTCTTTTTCGGAACATCACCTGATGGAGTCTGTTTTTGTCGCGGTTATACCAAATCATCGAAACTCATACCCTCCTATATAGCCCTGTGTATCGTGTACCAGGAATTATCATCTTAACTCATCAGCATGGCCGGCGAACAATCCGAAGCGGCCTTTGCGTATCATGAGCCTGCCATTGCGACAGTGCTCAACCTGACCGGCTTTCTATTGGTCTTGAACATCGTCAATGTCTGTCTAGATAAACTTCTGTACTGCGGCCTCATCGGTCAGTTGTTTATCGGCATCCTCTGGGGTACTCCTGGGGCGAAATGGCTCGATAGGGGAATGGAAACAGCTGTTCAGCAGCTCGGGTATCTAGGCCTGATCCTGCTAGTATACGAAGGTATGTTGTTTCCATATGCGACCGTGGGACTTCACTCACGCGCATCTAGGCGGTCTCTCGACCTCAATCAAATCCCTGAAAGCCAATCTCCTTCTGTCGCTTTCTGTAGCGCTCACGGGGATTGCAGTTCCGATGGGATTGTCCTTTATTCTCATGGAACTCGTCTCCGCGACCCCTCTGCAGGCCTTTGCGGCTGGTGCGGCGCTCAGCGCGACGAGTCTCGGAACCACGTTCACCATTTTGTCCACCACCAACTTGATCACAACCCGTCTGGGTGTGGTGACCACTAGCGCGGCAATGATCGACGATGTGGTCGGTCTCATTATGGTTCAGATTATCAGTAACTTGGGTAGATCGGCGGACTCTTTCAGCGCGGTCACAGTCATTAGGCCCATCTTTGTGTCTATCGGGTTCGCGGCTGGCCTTTTCCTGGCGTGTAGGTTTTGTCTTCAGCCTGTGTTGAGGAAATTGGTGGGTCAGAAGGATAGGATGCCAGAGGCAATGCTCACCGTGCAGTTTGCATTCCTCGCCCATACCTGTGTGCTTGTCGGGTTAGTTGCTGGCGCGACGTATGCGGGTACTTCAAGTTTGTTTGCTGCGTATCTTGCCGGGGTGATCGTCTCGTGGTTTGACGGTATCGTGGCCGAGTCGAAGGAGCAGGCAGAATCACCTCAACAGCGTCGCGTGAACGAGGCTTCAAGCAGTCAAGATAATCCTGACAATAATAAACAGCCGGCAGAGCCGACCTCGTCCAGTTCTCCTGCTGAACACCCGCCGGCAGCAGAGCACGATGAAACTCCCACCGGTGTAGTAGTCTATGAACGATACTACAAGGAGCCCGTCAACCGAGTATTCATTCCTCTCTTCTTCGTGAGTATCCCTCTTTCAGAGCAAGAGTACGTTACACCCGCTGACTAAACCAGGCATCCATCGGATTCGCCATCCCGATCACCGAAATGTTCCAGGGAAGCGTCGTATGGCGCGGCTTTGTCTATGCCATTCTCATGGCCATCGGCAAACTCGTCACCGGATTATGGCTCGTCCGGGTCTCCCTGAGCCCCGTATCCAGTCTGATGCGCATTGCCACGAAGCCCTTCTCGTATGCGCGTCTCGTCTGCTTCGATGCACGAAAGAAACCCACCCCTAGCCAGAAACAATCCACGGGCTCCGAGATCCCGATGAAGGACAGGTCACCCCAGCCTGAATCATCGGAAGAAACCAGCGACAGTGCATCCCCGAGCACAAATCCCATGCCGCGAGCTGATCGATCATCGCATGCCGAGCCCTCAGATCATCCGGCCCCTTCCGCCGTTAACCCGCCATCCAACCGCATCTCGTTACCGCCTAAGCCCAAGTCCCTGTACCCGCCATCGATCCTTGGCCTTGCCATGGTTGCCCGCGGAGAGATCGGATACCTGATTGCCTCGTTGGCGGAATCGCAGGGAATATTCTCCGACGGGGCATCGACCGGAACGACAGAAAGCTACCTGGTCATTGTCTGGGCTATTACGCTGTGTACGCTTATTGGGCCGATCTGCGTGGGGACCCTAGTGCGACGGGTGAAGACGCTGCAGCAGAAGAGGGTCAACGCTGGAGGTATGGATCCTTTGGGGGTTTGGGGTATCTAGATACTGGGTGGGCTAGGCTAGTGCGGGTTGAATCAGAGAGATCAGGCGGGGATGTGAGATTCTGGTCTGGACTGTGCAACGCTGCAATTCTGGTCAGCCAGGCGGTGAATTGGTTGGATTGGTGCTGGGGACCGGGGATGAGACATGTTGTGTTATTGGTCGTTGATGGCTCGTATACGTACTTTACGTTCAACTCGGAATATGATGCCATTGATATCTAGAATCATTCTGCCTAAATGAGTTGGTCGAGACCGGAAGATGAGATGGTGTTGGACTTGTAGGTATGAGCTCATCAATGACTAGATCTCTAACCTTACAATCGCCTGCATAGCCTGTCGCAATAAATAGGCCTTATCAGGTTAATAGAATTTTGATTGATTGTTTGTAACTATTAAACTGTAAACAAGTCAGGCATCCAAGTCCAAATTTCAACGCCGTTTCACTTCATGACATCAACAAATGGCTCAAATTAGGTGGAAAATTATGCATTGCTTATCCCCGTATCTCTGTAGAGGCCGGATACATGCCCATCCAGATCCTAAATTAGAAACACGAGCAGTCTTGCTACACGAACCGTTGCCTGAATGCTGCCGAGCAAACCCTGCTCCATGTCAGTCTTTTCCACTTTGGTCCGGAGAAATCATCGCAGGAAAAGTATAAAGAAGCTCTAGTCCGTATTTCCAGACTGTTAATCAATGAACATAATCACGAACCAAAACAAACAGAACCAATTTCTGTTCCTTCATCCCGACTTCCCTCAATCAAACTTAGCAATATGCAATTGATCAGACTCCTCTCCGCTGCCATCGCACTACTAGCTCTGGGGGCTGCCGCAGACAACAAGGTACACCCACCTTTCCATGTAGCATAGTATAGTAACGCCAGCTAACCCCGAAAAACCAACAGTCAACCCTCTACAACGACGCCGAGTACAAGGGCAACTCCAAGAAAATCTCACCGGACAAATGTACTGAGATAAAAGGCGATCTGTAAGACTTCACCCCTCTTCCGTGCAATTCCATCCCTCCCGCCTCTGTATATAACGAACGGAATGGAACTGACGGCACCCAGGAAACAACTCGGCTCGATCAAAATTCCTCGCGGGGATGTGATGTGTATTTTGTATAGGTCAGTCAATGATTCCCGTCTTCAATTGAATTTCTTGACCTTCCTGCTAAAGAAGATATCTAGATCTACTGATTGCAAGAGACGCCCTCTCTGCACATTGTTCGGCAATACGGACGACCTGACCAACGATGATAATCCCTGTTTGCGGCAGGTGGCGAAACGTGTGAAATCCGTGGAATGCTACGATTAGACCTTAGTGGAGGATTGGCCCGCCGGAATAACCAGTGAATAGGGAGAGGAGCCGACGAGAGGGTTTCCTTCAACAGCTATAGTTCTGTATAGGGCGGGTGTGTGAGAGTTTTGGGAGGCCTAGTAAATACATGACACAAGCTTCCTCCATAAGGAATATCTTTCTAAAATGCTTGCAATTGCTGTTTGCATTGATTCCTCCCTAGTCACAACCAACCTCCAACATATATGGCATAATTATTCATATAACCCAAATTCAATGTACATAGGAATTCCTCCAAGTAGAGGCCCCCTCACTCGTCGAAATCAATGATCTCAACGCTCAAACCAGAAGGCACGTGGACTCCCCTCAAATCGCCGACATCGACGTCATCCTCCGCGGTCACACTGTTCTTGTCAGATCTACATCCTTGCCGAACGCAACCGTACCACACAAGGATAACATACTTCATGAAACTGATCGGCGGATAAGTGGAGGTTGTATCGTATTCTTTGGGAAAGGTGAGATTCTTGCCGTTGTAGATATCCTGCATCCTATAAGCAGTGAAGTGGTTGGTATGCGTGATCACAGATAATGGTATAATAGCTACATACCGTTTGGTAAGTTTCTCTCCATCGCCGTAGTACTGGTGGGCGAGTTCGTTGTCGTAGCGGACGTCAAAAGTCTAGTCGTAGGGGCAAGGTTAGTAGAGGATTGAACAAAGACAAGTGAACATACAAGACTTTTCGTCATGGTCGATGTTGTACTTGTGTTTTGCTGATATGAAGTGGTTCAGAATACTGCTGTGATCTGGTTGAGCAAAGGACAATAGGCATATTTGAAACATGAGGAGGAGCTCTTTGTTGAAATTTCTATGATTCCATGACTCGCTGGCTTAGCTTCGTCGAGATTGAATCGATCTGTCACCATGAGATCATGTATTCTTGAGGACGAAAACGGTTGATGCGTGGCAAGATAGACGTTGCGGAACCGTGGTTATCTAAAAGATGTGCCAAACTTTGTAGATATACAGTGCTTTAACGTTTACCGGTTAAGTTGTCTATACTTCAAAATCGTCTCTTCGAGCCCTGTTAATTAGCTGCCTGAATTTTTCATCAGGTTTATGGTTTGCGGCGGTAGTGTGATTATTTGGCCAGAACGTACGATCTAGTGGGGGCGTGAATATAGGCTTCATCAGGTAAACGGGATTTAATTTTAGGGATTGATGTGGGCGTGCGAGAATTCTCCTACTAAATCGAAGCATACTTACTCCAAGTGCTTGGATTTCTAAATTTCATGTTAAGTCTGGTGATTAGCATGATGATTCTGTACCATATCTATTTTCGTGGTTTGCGCAACCAACCACCTAGATAAATATTTCGTAAAACTAGCTAACCGAATAAATAAAATTCACCCAAGACGGGGATATGAATTTGAAGATCACCGCCCACATGGCGGCCTCAATCCGCATAAAAACCCTTCAATCCTGAGGGTGTGAATTTATAGCGCCGCAATAGTGCGACGCCTGTTTCCACCGACTGCCAATCACCGCCTTCGACGCGCACCCCAACAACGCACAACTCCCACGATTTCGAAGATGTTTACAACTATTTATATGGCCCTGACTGCTAGACCGGTCATTCTTTAAACTTTTCTAAATTATGTTGACCTGACCTTTTCTTTTCACTTTCGTTAAAATCTCGTCTATTCTCGCTCGCGATGACCGCGTTCGACGTTTGGCGCGTCCCCGTCGCGCAATGGGCCTGCATGCAGCTCATCACTGCCATGGCCGTGGGATTGACTCCGTCTCGCTCGCCATTCAGGTCTGCAGCTGCAGTCGTGGTCATCGCTCTAGCGTGTGCATTTCAACACCAAATCAGTCACAGCACACTGGAAATGAGAATCGGGGGCCCGATGACGGCAAATTGCTGGGTGAACGTGATGAACGCGATGGACTTGCTCGTGCTCAGTCGAGTCTCATATGAAGGCCAAGTGACATGGGAGAAGAAGACGAACGCGAAGATCCATCGCTCAGGGACCATTCTAGAACGCGTCTTCTGGTCCGTCAGTGCGGCGTTCAATTATCGGCGCATCAACACTCCCTGGCAGATCAATAAGCTACCTCGGTTCGATGAGACCGATCCCTCGTATGTTCCGTCGCGTGGCAGGTTCGTGCTTGTTGGTGTCGCCAAGGCTATTTGGGGTGTTGTCCTTCTGGCGCTGTTTACGGTCGAGACGAGCGATCCGCATCTACCGTCTGCGATTGATGCCTTGCCGCGCGATGAATCGGTCTTGTTGCCTTGGGTGTATGCTGCGTCGATGAGGAGACTGGTTCTGCTGATTGCGTTTACCATCTCGTTCGCTATCTGCAGCAGGGCGTTCACGCTCGCGGTGTATAACTCTGCCGCTGTCGTCGCGGTGGGCTTGGGGATTCATCATCCCAGCGCATGGCCTCCTATTGCTGGATCGTTGCTCCACGGCTGGTCGTTGCGCCGGTTATGGGGGTATGTTGCCTACAGCCTCTTTCAAGGCCTGTCTAGCTAATCTGTACCTAGAATCTCATGGCATCAGTCACTTCGCGCCCTCATCTCCTCGAACGCAGATATGATCACGTCAAGCATCCTGCGCATCCCGCGCAGCTCTAGCTGGGTCATGTACCCGCGCCTCGTCATTGCTTTCGCTCTGTCCGGTCTTTTCCACTCAGGAATGGACGTTGCGTTCGGTATCAAGTGGGAAGAGAGCGGCGCGATCTGTTTCTTTTTGGTACAGGCAGTGGGTGTTCTCGTCGAGAGTGCCTTTCAGCATATCTGTAGGGGCTGGGTCAGCCGTTTGAATCCGATTGTTCGTCGTGGACTGGGTTATGTCTGGGTCTGTGTCTTTCTATTGTGGACTACGCCTGTTTGGATAATACCGATGGTGAGATCTGTTTATGCGGATGGGACGCCTGTTTTCTCGCCGTTTTTGATCTTTAAGAGTTGGGCTGTTTAGATTTGTATCGGGATGTTGATAGATGGTTGTAGACATGTTGCATTGTATTTCTTGGGATATGGATAGATGGTATCTTAGATATTCTAGATTGCATTGATTGGCAAGACCTGCCATCCAAGATAGTTTATAAAATCAGTTCGATTCCAGCAGCAAAGCAGCATCTCCTGCCCAACTACTGACACCCCTCAGGCCATTGCAGAACCCCCATCCGCCCCGGCCCCAGCCAAAGCCAGCAATATCTCCAGCACGGTCTTCCGTTTCTGCCACTCCCCAAGGATCATACACATCGCCGTCGCCACAATCACATCATACCCATCCACCACGCCAACCTCCTTCTCTCGATTGCAGAAATCCTGCCTCGAACGCACCAGATCTTGAGATCCAAACACCTTCCTCACCTCGTCGTCAAAGATGACCAACGTACCGTGTTTTCCGTGCGAGAGACTACTCGAATACCGAGCTAGGACGATCTCTTTCTCTTCATCACTCTCCCTCTTCTCGAACCCACACTCCTGGTCCTGTTCCTGATTCAGACCATGATCATGGTCATGCTTTTCTCCATTCTTACTCACCGAGCCACCACCACCACCATCACCCTCAACCACCAACTTCAAATGATGCACCGGCATCAGACGTCTCGCCCACTTCTTCCTCTGCGGAATATCGTGACTCCCCTTCCACGTCCCCTTCACACCCTCATACATAAAACCATACCATCGCACACGCGTCGAGAACGGCGTCGCATGCATCCACGTCACAGGAAGCACCTCCTCCGCACGAACAGGATCCCAAACCCTCCTCTCCCTGTCATCACCACCATCACCACCACCACTTACCATATTCCTCCTCCTCTTTCTCTCCTCATGGACCTTCCTAAGATACTTCTTCCCGCTCTCCCCGCACGCTCGCCACGACCGTACGCGATACCCCTTAACCTCACCTTCCGCGCGGGGACGATTGTTCGCCGCACTTCTCCGCTCATACGGTAGTAGACCGCGCGGGTCGATTGCGTCCAGGAGCTCCGTGCCGGTGAGAATGCGCCAGCGCTTCCAGAAAGGGGAGTTGTGGATTATGCAGATGGGAGGGGAGGTTTTCGTGGCGCCGCGGCGGAGGGTTCGGGGTGGGGAGTGGAAGGTTAGGGTTGGGAGGTGCAGGAAGTAGGATTCTGATGGTGATTGGGACGAAGAGTCAGAGGTGAGGAGGTCCGGGTTATGTTTGAGGAGTTTGCGGCGCGCGGAGGACGATTTGGGGAGGTTGTGTTGGGTAATGAGCGCATGGCAGGGGTTCTGGGGTGTTGGGTAGATGTGGTATGTTGTTGTTTTTATCGTTTCTGTTGTTTCTGCTGTTGCTGGTGGGAGGTTCGTATTGGGAGGAGAGGGGACGAGGGTATTTTGGAAGGAGAGGTCGATGTTGAAGTTGGGTTTCGAGTCCGATTTCCGATCTGGGGATGAGGCCGTGGTAATCGTGGGGTCTTTGAAGGCCGGGTTCGGGTTCGGATTCAGGTTCATGGTTGTTGGTTTGCGATATGACACTTTTTTTTATCACAGAGGATATGATGAATCCATCAAGGACAGACCTCTCCTGGTATAAGAATAGTTATGGTAAACGCGGCGGAGTCAAGCCACGAGGTCATCTACCTCCGGAGGAATACGAGGTGGAGTCTCGGCGTCTGCACTCTGACCATGTCGCCTCCTCTGGGTGCCGAGCTTGATAACTCTATTTTCTTGGACGTTTAGTGATCGTAAGTCAGAAGGATCTCTGATTCACATCCATGTTCAGAGCAAGACGAGCATGTATTATAGCGAGTCGTAGTGGATAGATTATCATTATGTACATGAGAACTTTTCAAGAAATCGGACTAGATGGCGATAGATTAAGTATTACGACTCGTGAGTCTCAATCTCCACGGTTATAATGACGCAGAGGATGAATGTTGTCAGGATTACCTGGATATAGTCAGTGCCCTAACATTCTGTTCCCCGAGATAACCAAACAAGGGCAGCAATCAACCAGAGATGCAATGAATAGAACTCACCAAACCAATCAACACCCCAATACAATTCAACTCCCATCCCCCCGCATACACAGTCCCCAGCGCCACAGCATTCTGTTGTTTGAAAAAGCGATGCGCCCCCATCAAGGCCACTAGGATTGCGACTGCGTGGCACGCGACCGACAGGGGAATGCCTACTTCATGATATCCGAGGCGCGAATTGGAGGAGGTGGAATGCTGCAGACGAAACAGCTGTGCAACCAGAACGCCCTGCATGGCTAGGATGACGGACGTGCGGATGTATGCCAGGAATGTCCGTTCGAGGGCTATGAAACTTAGCTTGTGGTTTATTTAGGCTGGTTGGCATGGAAGACAAAACGGAAAAAAAGAAAACATGATGCCGTAAATTGTCAAACACCGCTCAGACAATCCAATTCCATGCGATCGATTTGACCAAGCTCAACATACCGAAATGATCCCGATTGCTCTTCTGCGGCACCGTCAACACGACGTTGCGCGTCCAGAACCGCTGCACATAGCCCGCGAACCCCTTGCGTGGCGCCCGACTCTGCACCGTCCGCTGACTGGTTCGCGATGCGGTGCGGTGCGTCGTGATGCGATACTCACCCGACGAGATGGACGCCGTCGAGGTGGCGGCGTCGTCTTGGGTTTCGATCTCGTGGAGTTCCAGAGCATCTCGGTCTCGCTCGTCTGAGTCCCGTCGATCGGAGTCTGGGGAAGGTCGGCGATCAGGTTCAGAGGGACGATCATGGTCGGCGACGGTGGCAGGACCGTTGGCGAGGTGATCAGAGTCAGACCGGTCGGTCATTGTCTCGAGGGAAAGGCATCGAGGTGTCGCGTGCTACTTTGTCGCGACAGAGGGAGATGAGAGTGACAAGAAGGAGGGGAGGGAGGAAAACAGGAAACAGGATGCGGTGACTGGTCGGCGAATCCCGGCAATGGATGTGTCATGCTGCCTTGGCTCCGTCGATCGCCGACTGTTCCTTTGTTGGGGTCCCCGCGACCCGTTCTCGTTTCTACAGAAGTATAGAATGACTCTCTAGGATGTATGTACATAGCAACATGAGGGAATAGATCGCATACATCAACTTCACACCGTTAGGGCTGCCAATCCCTTGCTTAAACGCCCCCACGTCCAATCAGGGACCCGCCGCGGCGCCAACGCGATGGCGCAATCGCTGCCGGTGCCACTTTTGCTTCTTTTCTCCTTTTCTCCTCTCTCCATGAATTGCCTCGAGGCAGGTTCAAATCTCCCCCTCCGCCCCCGTCAATGTCGCCCATTGCGGCTGTCGTTCTTTGAACACCGCCAGCTTCGGCGAGGAGATCGTATCGAACAGTGCCGCCTTCAGATACATTTTCCCCGGCGCACTCGGAGTGGTGGTGTAGATCGGGCTGCACATATCAGCCTGTTTCTCTGTCGCAACATCAACATCAAACATCTTACCTTCCACAGTTCGAGCAAAAGTGACGCTATTCAATATTCACTTCTCGTCAGCCTCCTCCCCACAAGACCAAGGATTTCAAAATGAATCTCGGGTGCCTTCGAGTTTCTACCTTGGCAACATTCCCCGACGCCGTCTTCGTGTCATCGTAGATCCTCAACGTCCCCTGCGCATCTTCCAGGGAGATTTCATCCTCGCCGACAAAGTAGTTCGTCGAGAAAACTATTCTTTCGTTAACATTGCAATTAACCTCCTCTATGGATTAACTTACCACTCCCTCCCGCTCTCTTGCAACTCGCACTAAACACGGCATATCGTCAGCACTGTCAATCATCACATCTCATCCGAACTTCACAGAAATCAACATCGTAGTTCTCCGTACCAATGACAAATGACTGAATTCTCAGGCTGACTGGGCAGCGTGATTCGGATGCTTTCGCAATTACAATGACCGGTGTACGCCATGACGTCGTTTGTCGGATAACCTAAAATCGTCAAAAGAGCAGTTGTGCTGTAACTCCCGTACCTTTCTAAAGAGTAGAAGAGATAATTCCCCTTTTATGGCAACCCAAATCACCCCATGCGCCCGAGCCAGTGGAGTCCTAGATTAATAATGCCACCGTGCCGGCGTTTCCACGGTTTTCCGATCCCCATACCGCTTCGAAAGTGTGGAGTTTTTGCCTGTGGATAGTGGATACTAGACATGGGATGGAGATTTCATTCAACGGTGAAGGCAGAAAGCAGAAAGATCGCTGGGCGAGTGACGTCGGCGGCCGAGAAGAGCGGGTCTCCACTTCGCGGCCCAGTTGCTGCGGCATCGCGGTTCTGTTTCCGTGATCCGAGTATGTGTTTCTGGCCTGTTGATTCCGATTCCGCGGGTTGGAATTTGAGGTTATTTTGAGTTTGAGGTTTTTTGGATTGGTGCTCCGATGCCGAGGCTGTAAGTAGAATTCGGATGTTCGGGATGATGATACGGGACCGAGAATGACGGCTTTGACTGCTTGAGTTGCTTCGATTGAACAGCCTATCTCGGGTTGAGCATTATCTACAGAAGGTGGAGGACCTTTTGACGGCTCAACAAGGCGTATGCCTCGTTGCCTGGCTGCCTGGGAGATGCCTCAGGCACCTCAAGACTCCCTCCAGATGTCAGCAAAAAGCTGAGTTTGGGAATCTATACTTCAAGTGGTCTATAGAAGATAACGATCTTTGACTGTTATCCCGAGAATATAATGGGAGCTTAGTATAGGGGGCATTCATGAGGTCCAAGGGTTCAATCTTGAAGCGGGCCAATTTCTGAACCGACAAACTAAATACAGAGGAACATTGAAGATAGACCCCCACAAATACCTTTGGCACTAATCGAAACTTGTTCTTGTCAATATGGTAAATTATTCTTGGTGCCATGCACAGCAACTCCCGAGCAATATATCCAAAGTTTGCATTCTCTGCCGATCAACACTTCATCCACGCGCATAAACATCAAAACCATGAAAGCATAAACGTCACATTGCCGCTGTAAAGGAGACAAAGAAAGAAAAAAGAAGTACATCCCCAGCTCTGTCATTCCTTTGAGGCAGATTTCCAAGCGATGTCCGAGCTGAACCTCGTTCTCAACAGCAGAACTCGGCTTTATACAGCTCCCCGATATTCTCCAGAGTGAGCAAGGTGCCAATTGATCATCTCGTGAAGAGCAGTCACGAACTTTGAAGGATACAACCACCTAAACTTCCTTGAAGACAGACAATAAATGGAGGACGCCCATGAGAAGGCCTAGGAAGTGCATTTCACCGTATTACTAACTTGTCTATATTGCCGTGGGAATCTCGATTGGAATGGATTATCGTGCCCGCGAGCGTATCTGCAGGGCCTTAGTTTGCACAAGATAATTATAGGCACAAACCGACAAATATGTCAAAAGGATGCAGAACCCTGACCCTTGAGGATCTACTGCCAACCCGAATATAAAAAAAAGACAAATCAAAGGACCAAAAGTACAACGGCCGGAAACCACCTCTACTTCGGCAGAATGGAAAATCTCGAACACAATATCTACACACACTGGGCATAGTAGGGGTTCCACACCCGGCAGGTAGTGCCAGCTTCGCAGGAACCAGAGCCCGTCCATCCCTGACCGCCACATTGGTAGTATTTCTTGATCGCACCGTTCGAGGAAGGTGCTGCCGGCACTGCCGTCGGAGCCTTGGAAACGGTTGCAAGGGTTGTCGGAACGACGGAGGTAGTGGCGATAGCGTTGTTGGCTGCAGGTGCAGAGAAAGTCGGGGCGGCGGAGGAAGACACCAAAGCGGCAGGTGAAGAGGCAGGGACAGAGGCAGAGTCACCACCGCCCGACCAGATGGAAGGGCCAGGAAGGTCGTACGAGGTCGGGACGGGATTATAGATGTTGAAGTGAATGTTCGCGTCATCGGGCTGGTACACGCCGGGGATCTTAACCACCGGGCTGGGCGAGCCTTCGCCTGCGCCGGTGACCTCGATCTGGGCGCAGGTGAAGTAGAATTCGGCGTTACCGCTGAACCCACGATGCAGGCCGATGTGCTCGACGCGCACCAAGTACTGCCCGGCTGGGGTATCCTCGGGAAGGGTGAAAGACGCGGTGTCCTTGTCCCAGGTGCACCAGTCCTCGTCCTTCAGGCCGTCCGAGATATCATTGCAGACACCCTCCTGGTAGACTTTGAACCAGTCACCGGAGCCATCGTACGAGGTCACGTCCCCTGGAGCCTTGGACATGTAGATTTGTAGAGGGCCGGGGTGCTTCATGGTAGCACCGAAGCCGAGCTTGAAGCCGATCTCAGAACCCGGAGCTACTTTGTAGGTCTTGGTACTGGCGGCGGAGGCCATGGAGCCGGAATTGCAACGGAAATCATTACTCAGGATGTCTGAGGCCAGGGTGGGCTGGTATCCGTTGCTGTTCTTGCGGATGTACTCATATTCCTGCGTGAGTTCGCCGTCGACAATCAGCGTAGAGAAGACATAGTGGGCCGAAACCAGCGGGAGGGTATTTGCCAAAAAGAAAAGAGCGGATGAAGTGAGCTTCATTTTCGGAGGTTGGAGCAAGAGCGTCAAGACTAAACAACGAAAGAGAAAAGAAAGAAGAGAAGAAAGAATGGATGGAAGAGTGATCCAAGAGAATTAAGGAAGGGAGTATATAAAGGCCCAGAATATCAGGATTATAGCAGTTTCTGGTATCTACTCAATCGATGAAACGACATGTTTGACTCTCATTTAATTCAGGCTCGACAGCGGCTTGGGCCGCCTCCAAAGGCACCAGAGGCTGACTCTGCCAAGGAGCCATCGGAGACACAGTGCTGCCTGGGAGGTTTAGCGAACGACAACAAACACCGGTCTTGCTAGTGACAGGGGCTGCAGCTCACTAGCCGCTCATCCAGGCCGAGATCTATTGATGCCGCTATTCCCCATACCAGCCACTCATCATGAAACTTACAGCAAGCTCAGAAGGCAGAGCCAAACGCCAATGTCCATTTCGCGGAGTAAATTGGCTTCTGCTATCTCATGATAGAGCAGGGATATCGCAGTAAATGAGGTTTACAAGGGGCCATGACAAGTTGGGCTCATGGAGCTCCCGATCCGAGGTTCAATTAGGCAGATCCGGCAGAATTCAGAAAGCAGGATCGATGTGAAACTGGGACGGTGGGGACGCGCTGTTAGGGCTGCTGTTCCAAGTGGGCCTCTCAGGGTCTAGAGATTCGGGATCGCAAATAGAACAGAGCACACGGTATGAAGAGCGTTCACCGGGGCCAGCGGCCGCATTACTAATTAATCACTAATCGGCAACTGGTATGAAGTCGCTTAGCCCCTAGAAACGACGGTCCATTCATTCTATTTAAAATAACATTTGCTCCAACCAATCTTCTTTCAGGGTTCCTCTGCCTTATTTCCGATGTCCACTGTCCCGCAGTAGCAGTGTGGTGTTGCTTCGTGCTGTACCTCATGCTTCCTCGGGGGTGAACGACAGGCTTCCGTTAATGTAGAAACACTACATCCCACGAGGCAAGGGATGCAGAGCCTTGCAGAGAGTGTCCACATCTCGGCACCAAGCGACACTCCTCCCGGTCGAAGTGGCACTGCGCAAGGTTTCTAATGTCCTTCAATCACGGACTATATGAAGGATATATGATAGGATCAGAGTGAGGGGGTTTCTTGTCTCGAGAAGTCGGACTCAGAAGTAGCATAGCATGTTATTTTGTTAACACCAAGCCGTTCTTGACGGGTAATGTATATAGGATAGGGGCTCAAGAAAGCGATGCTTCTGTTGGGCATGACTGGATACATATTATTCCATATGTCTGTACTGAATGAGGGAATTTGAGCTCAAATGGTGTTCAAATTAAATTCTAGAGTTACAAATGATTGGTGCCTATGTAGCACGAAAAATCGAAGTAGATCAATCCTCTAACAAGACATCGAACATGGGCTTCCAGGAACACAAAGCCAAGTGTTAAACGAGACATTGCCGCAAACCATAGCGCTTGAACTTTAACAGAGGACACCTTGCCCTTCAGGGCTTCCTCTGCCGCAGTGGCCGTAGGCTAAGCGGTGTAGTCCTCGGCATACATACAGGCCTCGCCGGATCCGTCGTTGCTCTCGGGCTGGATCCAGTTGTGCTTGTCGTTATAGTCCCAAACAGTGATGCCCTTGTAGGCCTCGGTACTCAATGCCTAGGATGAGCTTATTCATGACCGTGTTGACCTTTTCGCCCGGCAAAGACAGCTGGTAGTCGTTGTAGAAGAGCTTGATATTGGCATCAGAGGCCTGCACGGCCTCGTGGGCGTACTGGAAAGCGTAGGTGACGTAGTCGTCGCCAATAGTCTGCAAGAATACTGTCAACGGATTAGTTTGCTTGCAATGGTAAAATTTGATTTGACCAAGTAGGCTTACTGTTATCCGTGTAGCTGCCATCGTAGTTCACAGCCTCTTTGGCAACATCCCACGAGTAACGATCACCCCCGTAGTGATGAATTTCCCTCATGATGTGGGCCTTCATCGCCTTCAACAAACTGTCCTTGGTCCAGCTGCCGCCAGAGACCCAGTCCGGTAGTTGTTCAGTTCAGACCAAGTTGTGGCAGCGGACTCTTGCTTGACTGCTTGGCCAAGTCAATCTTTTTCTCGCCTTCGCTGAAGTCAGACTGACCGTTCTCGGGCTCCGTGAACTGCCACTTCATGGTGTTACTGGGGATGGTCTGACCAAAGATGCTGCCCTGGTTGAAAAATCTCATGTAGTTCTCGTTCTGGTAGGCATCGGTTCCGGTAGCAATGAAGCAACCAAACCACCACAGTCCGAGATGAAACACGCTTATCTCCGTTCCTGACCAAACTAACCCTGACTTCGGCTTGAGAAGTTCATTGGCCGGCTAAATAAACATCTTGTCCACGCAGACCCACTGCTGCGGGGCAGGGCCTCAAGTCCAGTATCTTTGGGAGAATCCAGAAAGTGGACCAGAGGTATATTCAAGCACCGGATCCATAATCGACTACAAACCAGAAACCCCTAAGCCCCCTTCGCGATCGAAACCCTTTCACGTTGTCCAATATTAGTAGACTGGGCTGTAGCGCTTAGTTCGCAACTAGCCTCGCCGGGACATGTTTCCCAAAGGGATTTCCTCCATTACCTATAACCTCCCTCCTGTATTGCCCATTGCCACTTGTAATACGGGGTAAGATGGTCTAGACAGAATAGCTACGTCACCCGGCGTTTAACGAATTCCATACAACCCAGAAAACGCTCGCTCCCCCGGGTCGAGTGATCTTCCAGAAAGCGACAAGCGAAAGACTCACCTTTTAGCAGAATCGCACGATAATGTCTATGGGCCTGGCGGACAAGGTGTAATCGACTACCCTGAGCTCGGGCCGGTTCTTTACTACCACTACGTTGATACCACGATCGGTTATGCGGATAGACAGAAACTGTTCGGGTGGAATAAGTTGGACTTTTCGACTGGATGGCCGGTGGTTGAGTAGGTTGAAAAAAAAAACATCTCAGCGCAAACTCTCGAAGCCCTCTTGCAATGCAAATTCATTCGCCGAGTAAATTCAATGTAGAAGAGCCGGAAAGACCAAATTTTATAGCTTATTCTAAACAATAAATTAGATCAGGATGGACGGCTTTAATCAGAAGCCCATTAGTAGGAAATATAAGGCAGACATGTAGCTTTAGCGCTGGGACCAAAAGAGGCATCCAATCTGATTCGCACATCGAGACAAGGGTGATGGTAGGTATTGGCTACCCTTGCTAGCATCGGCGGTTGGTTTGATTCGGGAAAAGCAATGAAAGGAGGCACTGTGCCGTCAGGGCTCTGGTATTACTGCACGATCGTAGTATGTCTTTTGATGGGTCTACAGAGGTGTAGAATGATAGGGTTGATGAAAGGTCTCGAAGACCGTTGAAGACCATTGTGGGTCACATGTGCTCTAAGCCATATCAGGCAAGCGAGGCCATACAGCAGGCAGTCCTACCTATAGCTCACGTAAGTAAATGATAGATAACATTTCCAAGACGCTATATTATAAGAGACCAAGTATAATAGTCTCCAACAACTTCATCGAGCTCTCATTGGCGTCCCGAAACGCGTTGATAATGCATTCCAGCCAGCCTCCGACATCGGACCGGGCCAGAGTCTCTACCTGCTCTTGACCTGGGATATAAAAACACTCCTGTAGCCATGCTCAATTTATCATTCTGGTTCCAGACAATCCAACAAGTATTTAGCTGACAAAATTTGAAGAAATTAACTCAGGTTCCTATTTCAAAACCCACCTCAAGTACTCGGCGACAGTATAACTTCCCCGCGCCAAGACCTTCACTCCCCAAGATGTCCCAAGGAAAAGATCACTGGTCTACCGAGGTATATATCTATCCTCTCCAGTCCCTCAATCAAACTCCTCAAACATAAGAAAAAAAACCTCAACTGACCCAACTAACAGGCCTATTCAACCTCCGCCTCGTTTGTCCCCAAACTAGCCCAGACCCTACTCCAGTACCTAGACCCGCAGCCCACAGACAAAGTACTTGACATAGGCTGTGGCGATGGAAAGTACACGGAGGCTTTCCTGCCCGCCGTCCAGTCTGTCCTGGGGATTGACGCGTCTCCCGCGATGATCGAAGCGGCGAACAAGGAGTACGGAAGTGCGAAGGCGGAGTTCCGCGTCGTGGATTGCTGTTACTTAGAGCAAGAGAAAGAGATCGTGAATGGAAGTTGGGATAAAGTGTAAGAGTCCTATATTGGAGGTTGACTGATGAAGTACTAATAAGACATGTGTACCTAGCATCTCGAACGCCGCGTTGCATTGGATCCTGCGCAATGAATCTACCCGTCTGAACACTCTCAAAGCCATATACAATAGCCTGAAACCCGGCGGAACGTATGTATTCGAGATGGGCGGACATGGCAACATCGCCGAGGTGCAGACGGCTATGATCTTCGCGCTCGTCCAGCAGGGTTTCTCGATTGAGAAGGCCAGAGATACCAGTCCCTGGTTTTTCCCGTCGGCTGCCTGGATGACCAGCGCGTTAGAAGAGATCGGCTTTAAGGTTGAGAAGATGGAGACGGAGTATCGGCCGACGAAGCTGACCGATGCGGTAAATGGTGGATTGGCGGGATGGGTGAGGCTGATGGGTGCGCCTTTCTTGGATGCTCTTCCCGACGAAAAGCGCGAGGGCGTTGTGCAGCAGGTATGTGAAGTTCTTGAGACGGCGGTGACGCGCCATGAGGATGGTAGTCAGTGGCTGGGATATGTGCGGTTGAGGGGCATCGCTAGGAAGGTGTGAAGTGGAGTAAACAGGCATGGTCCGTTCAATAGAGAGAACACTTTGATTTTGAGACGATCAATGGCGTCTATTGGCCCTTCTGAGCTCGTTGCCGCATTAGGACACCCAATGGGATGTCTTCCTCGTCGTAAAACTCCGCATCTTCGTCCACACCAAAATCTCCCAACCGCTCTCCCTCTGCGTTCCTCCAGCCCTCTTCACCGTCTTCGGAACCATCCATGTCGTCGTCAGACTCATTCTCCTGCGTCTTATTATCGTTCGACTTTTCAAAACGATTGTGAAAACGCCGACGACGCTGAATCCCTAATTCCTCCCTTGGGCGGTTCAAGTCTTGTTCTTTGCGCCGGTTAAAGGCTTCAATCTCGTCGCGCCCGTAATTCCCGGCCCCGGTGGCAATGCCGCTAGACAGGTGTTGTTTAGACGGCATAGGGATTCGATCCGGATCAGGTGGTGGCCATGAAACATCAGGTTCTATTTCGAGTTAAGTCTCGCACTGTAAGGGAACAGATTACAACCAACCTTCAAAACCATTCACCTCATATTCCAGTCCTGTCGTGCGTGCAGGCGTCCTGGCAAGTGGCCAAAACCAACTGATGACCTATCCGCTTGATTAGCCGCATCGCGATTTCGAGCGGGTGATACATACATTTCCACTGCCGCCCATGCCCGCTTTGATGTTCGACCAGATACCGATGTCGTAGGGGAATTCTTGCTTTTTGATCCGGATACTCGTTCCACCGGGTCCGCTGAGGTACCCGCGGAAGTGACGGGCCCTCCGCACCAGGGTCTCGTGCCTTTCAATCTCCCATGATTCGATAGTCGTCGTGTTGAACGCCAGAGTCCACATGGTCCGAAGCAAAAGTACGAACAGCATGAACACCGTCAAACTGTTCAAGACGAGCAGAATGAATAGATGCGCTATCTGCGATGCGCTGGGTCCGAGGTACTGTACGTCGTCAGTATATCAATACATCGTACACATGACCTATTCTTACACTTGGAAGGTTTCTGGAAGCCCAGACAATCGAAGCCCTTTCGAAGAGCAAGGACTCGAGATAGCTCATGCCCACAACCGCGTAGAACAAGAACCGTACAAAATGCGGGAAAGTGAAATGCGAGACGCAATTTGACGTCCACGGACAGTGATGATCCATCTTCGGAATGCACCTGAGCACATAATCAGTAAATATCACTCGTACGTCATCTCCGATAGAGCTACCTGCGACATGTTTTGCAGTGATGCGCCCGTGGTGGTTTCAAAGCTTCGCATCTACGGCACCATCGCTGGCGACCACTAGCACGGTCCGTTTCCAACTGCTTACTGTCTACCGGCTTCCAATCCGTGGGGATGCGCCCGGGGTCTATAGTGCAGGAGCGATAGTAACAGATCCAGATGCACAAGGCGAAGATGTTGATGCGCCATAGTTCGCTTTCCCGTAGGGGCGACGGCTCGAAATAAGCGAAGAAGTATTGGGAGGTATAGGCGAGGAAGGCGATCAGTACGCAGACTGATGGTATTGCCAGCTGCGATATCGAGAAAGAAGAACAGAGCATCGTGGCTCACCTCATGCTGATATGCAGATGGAACTGAAAAGAGATGCACCTTCATGTTTTTCCGTTGTTGGAAGGACACGTCGGGGTGCTGACTCAGCTCACGTGGCCGTGCGTGGAATTATTCCCACCGTCGAGTCCTTCCAACAACTTCCTGGGTTTCATCACCAATCCGAATTATCATCAATTTCGTTTATATATCGCGTTCATTTAGTTCCACCTTTCATATATCACCTTACCTCAGTAGCTTCATCCATGACCTTCGTCTATCTGAGTACCATGGTTGAAGATGCCGATCACGGCTCTTCCTAGTTCCACTGTTCACGCCATCGGCTCTGCGTCAGTCATCTCGGATCCTTGCTCAATTGTTAAGGAATTAATAGACAACGCCATCGATGCTTCAGCCGCATCCATTGGTGTCGAGATATCCCAGAATACGCTCGATCTCATCCAAGTAAAGGATAATGGGCACGGCATCCCTTCCGCCGACCATGCCTTCGTATGCAGACGCACCTTCACTAGCAAGATCCAGACCCTCGAAGATCTGAGGAGGGTCGGAGGGAAGAGTCTGGGCTTCAGAGGCCAGGCGCTGGCCAGTGCGGCTGAGATATCCGGAGGTGTCAATATTCTTACCCGGGTTGAATCGGAGCTGGTCGGCAGTTCTATGAAATATGGGCGGAATGGAGAGCTGTCTAGGTGCGTACGGCAGTATGCTCCCCTGATTAAGCAATCGACTGATCGTTCTAAAGCACCCAACGGACTTCGCATCCGGTCGGGGCCACTGTTCGTATCACTGATCTGTTCAAGCCGATCCCTGTTCGGAGACAAACCGCGTTGAAAAGTTGTGCCAAGACTTTGACGAGGATCAAGAAAATGATCCAAACTTATGCCATGTGTAATCCGTCCAAAAGATTCTCGTTCAAGGTCCTAAAGGCCCGAGCGGAGAAAAATAACTGGGTCTATGCGCCGCAGCATGGGACACTGATGGATGCGGTGTTGAAGATTGCCGGCTATGACGTTGCTTCTCACTGTGTTGAGAGACGATGGCCATGTCAAGAGCCTGCGCAAGGGATAGATGCAGAAGCTCATGATTCCGGCTTCCGTCTGGTCTCATTGCTGCCTGATCCCGACTGTGGTATGTCTATCCCTTATAGGCTCAGGCGCAGCTGATCAGATAGACTTGACCAAGATAAATAATACCGGCCAATACCTTAGCATAGACGGCCGACCCATATCAGCAACTCGAGGAATCGGCCAGGATATTGCCAAACTCTACAAATCATATATACGCGCCGCCGCCTCTCGCCAGGAAAGTTCAACGACGACAGACCCATATCTTTGTTTGCAGATCTGGTGTCCTGAAGCGAGCTACGATGTTAACATAGAGCCAGCCAAAGACGATGTACTATTTGAAGACTCACACGAAGTGCTTGGCCTAGTGGAGGATCTCCTCCAGGTCACATATGGAGGGAAGGGCGATACCAACGGCAAACAGAAGTCCAAAGAGAAGTCAGCTGTACGAAACAATGGCTCATTTGACCTACTTCTCGCTCGCAGGGATGATGAAGCTGTATCAACGCACGGAAATAACCAATCTAGCCTTCATGCGTCCGTTTCGAGGAGTACTCAGCTGCCTGCTCAGTCTCCCACATCTCCTGAGATAAATAGCCGCACTCGCGAAACTTCGGACTCGGAAGCAAGCTTGACTCCAGGTATGCAGAGCCCTGTGGTCTCTCAGGAAGGACCCAACCCGTGGTCCTTGACCAGTTTGAATGCTCCGACACAGCGAAGGAACAGCGTCAACTTGAACAGTACCGGTCCGCGTATAACGAAGTATGTTCCTGGCAGAGGGTTTTGTGAATGGAGCCAAAGCTCCCGAGAGAGAAATAGAAGAGCCTCTGCAGCTTCGATATTACCCAGTCCGTCAGCATCCAGTCCTGAATCTTCCTCTCGTTCAGCAGCGGCGTCGCCGTCCAATGCAGCGAACTTCCATGTTCCTCAAGTCTTGACATTACGGACACCAAACAAACCAGTATTACAGGAGCAAAATGAAGAGCGACAAATCAATGGGTTGGACAGATGGTTAGGAAGATCATCTGCAACAATGCCTTCCCAGGCATCTACGGAGTTGGATGAGTCCCAAGAGCCATCTTTGACCCAGTTGGCTCAGAGGCGATTCGAAACATCACCGAAAGGGCACGAATCCACGAGCCAAATTGCATCAACCGCAGGTCCTTCTGGGCGTACGCGAGAGAATTCGACATCATCAGCCACATCGCTAAATCGGGGGCCAATTCTCCATAACGAGATGAACAATGTGCGAGGAGAACAAGATAAAGTCCCTGTTCCATCGGGCTGGTCAACTGGGCTTCATCAGCTTTCGCAGTCTAATGTCAGTGCACTAGAAGACGCTCTTGACTTTGAGAGGCGCAAGAAGGAAGCAATCCAGAAGCGTCGGGAGCAACTCCGGAGTCAGTCAGGCAACCCACACCTCAGCCGATATCTTGCTGCACGCGCTTCCTTGTCGCAATCTGAAATTCCAGCCTCCTCCAGGGAGGAAGGTGTGGGTGATGCCCGGTCAAATGACTCGACCGAAACTCGCACATTAACCGCCTCTGCGACCTCTGCGACAGAGTCTGTTTTGCAACCATTTGACCCCAGATCGTACCTTATGCGCCATCGGAGTTCACATTTGCAAGGAGCTTCTGGTAGCAGTAAATTGCGCCGGATAAACACCGATAAACTGCCATTTGAAACAATCCCAACCGGACAGGAAATACATGACATTGGTTTGAATCAACCAATCGACACCCCATATCTATCAGAAGAATTTGTTAGATTGTCAGCCACAGACCTATATACGCGTTCTGGGCGAGAGTACGAAACGTTCGGATCGTCTGAGTCTAATCCAGATTTGCTTGAGGCCTGGACGCATCGGCTGCGCTCATTGATCACCAAGAGGTATAATACCGAAGATGGATCTGTCCCAAATGTACAATTTGATTTGACTGCATTAAGCCGACGGTGAATCTTATAGTATTTTGCGAGTGTCATAGCGGGTGTATATGTTACGGCATGTATAACTACAGATTTCTCTCTTTTCTCCAAGCGTTGATGACGGTATACGATCTTCTGAGCATCTGAAACGGCGTCTGATTGCAAATTCACCGAGTTCATGTCATGATCATATTCCAATGATATGAAATGTTACCCCCGGGCAAAGACCCATCATTCCAACTTCCCAGCCAAAACATCCAACCCAGTACCTTGAACAACACCCTGGTCCTAGAACCCCTCAGCATCAGCAATCAACCATCACCCAACCCTCTATCCACTCAACAAGGAAAGAAAAAGCCTACCATAACACCATCCGGAACATTCGGATTCGTCACCACAAACCTCGTCGCCTCCGCATTCTCCCCACACCACACCATCCCCGACTTCCCACCCACAATCGCCGAAACGACCTCCTCCGCATAGCTCATCTGATCCATTCTTCCGCGACCATCTACTCTACGTTCTCTCGCGGCTACAGTGTCTTCAATGGCTTTGTAGAGAGAGTTCTCGGGGAGCTTGAAGTCACCGAAATATGTCTGGCCCAGCGTCTGTACGGCCCCGGTTACGATCGATAGCACGCGGATTTTGAAGGGCTGGAGTTCTAGACGTAGGGTTTCGGCGATGAGTTCGAGAGGGAGCGTCTGGAGGTGGCGTAGGTTGCTGGGTAGATAGGTGGGGGTGGTTAGGTCTGCCTCTCGTGTGATTCGCACCCCAAACGTTCGTCTCGAACAACTCCCTCCCCTGATCGAGATCTTCGTCTAGGAGTCGGCATGAAATGGTTCCGTCCCGCGTTGTTGATTAGATATGTTAGTTTTTCTTGTCCCTGTCTCTGCCCCCAGCCCCTGCCCCTGTGCCTATCCCTGTGTCCGTGTCTCTGTCTGTGGCCGGGTCAGTAAGATGGATCTAGTCCTGGGATTGGAGATATCTATCTATCTGCGGTACTTATGGGAACTCGGGAGGGCGAGCGCTTTTAATCCAGTTGTATGGCATATTACTATCAGCGTGAGCTGTGGACTGTAGGCCGTGGGAGACAAAGGACGGGGCTTAGGTAGTACTTATTTGAGTATGTACAATGTACAGAGCTAGGGAATTCTTTATCTGATCTGGCGAGTGTTGGTTGTTGGTTCATGTTCGGACGTGCGTGCTTGGCTGTTGGTGAAGGGACAAATCAGGGAGAGCCCAGGGAGGGTTAGTTGTTGGTTTGATCCCGGAATTAACAGCGGGTGGATCAGAATGAAGTACTGGACTTCGGTGCATCCTTCCGATCGGAGTAGTCTCTTTGATAGTGCTAGGGTAAGAGTAAAGCGAGTCTTCTCTGCTCGGCGTCTCCTGGCTGTGTCTGGATGCATCGGTATAGGATCTGTTATTGGTGATCGGCAATTTCTGGCATTGAAGCAGGCAACGAAAAGAAAAACCAAATACCTGAGAAAGTCTCACCCAGCAAGACTCCATCTCACAGGCGTGTATGTACGCAAGTACAAGTACGTATGTACAGTGCCTCACATCACAATCAGCCAGCGCCAACCAGCCCATCCCAGTATCGGCATCCAGCCTCAAGCCTTCCTCCCCACGACCGTAATTCTCGGAAACGCAAACATAGCCCCCTTCCGACTCTCCGCCGCCGCCTTAGGCACCAACTCCATGATCTCCTTAGCCTTGGCGCCGTTCGCCGCGCGCTGCGCAATCATATCGTAAATCATCAGGTTGCAGTGATGCATTGCGTACTCGAGGTGCGGGTCCGCCTTGACGCGATGCGCCTTGACGTCGAGGAGACCTTCCTTAGCAAATATCTCGGGCAGCTGGTCCGGCCAGGCGGGGATGAGTCGGGGGTCCTGGGACGCGGTCATTTTGAAGAGCTGTTGCATGGATTCGTCGGAGACGGAGGGGTTGGTTTTGGTGTATTTCATGCCGGGAACGTCGACTTCGGCCCATTGGAGGTAGCCACCGGGTTCTGTAGGAGAGAGACGGTGTGTTAGATTGATGCGACCGTTGTGGAGGTAGGTTGAGACCGGAGCAGGAAAGGGTTAGGTAGGGTGGGTATTAGGCGGACTTAGTAGAGCGAGCAAATTCCGTAGCAAGGCTGTCGGGTCGCCTTTTACGACAAACACGAATAATTTAATATGCACGATGTCGTACTGGCCGACCAGCTCTTCGGGGACCGGGGAGAAGGCATCCCAGGTGCGCAGTCGCATATTAGGCGGGAGCCACTCGGTCGGCGGTGCCTGCGCGATGTCGAGGTCATATCCGTCTAATTGGCAGGTCGGTGGGAGGTGCGGCGCTAGGTCGGTGAGCCATGCTCTGAAGGGATTAGAACTAGAAGCGATAGCAGTGCGAGGGAGGAGATGAGGTCTCCAGTCTCACCCTGTTCCGGTGCCGACGTCGGCGATTTTAAGATCCTTGTTGGTTGTGTCGATGTCGGGGTGAAGGAGGTATCCGAACATCTGCGTCCATAACGAATGCTGCAAATTGAGTCTAGCGATCGTTAGGTCCGTCTAGTCGGGTAATTAAGAGAGCTAGAGAGGCCCCATACCTGGAGCAATCGATGTAGTCTCTGCTCAGCAGATACTGGTCATTGGTGACAGATGAGCCCATTGTTGGTGGCGTGTTGGTAGGATCTGGATCCCTAGAGATTGTACCCCGCAATGCGAGACCTTTTAATTTAGGATAGAAAAAAAAACAACCCACTCGTTCAATGGCTGCATGCAAGGAACCCCTCCTTCAGTTAGACCGAGATCCACGGACCGTTAAGGCAGGACCGGAATGGGGAAATGCAACGTCGATGAGGAGAAGCCGAGAGGCGATAACGCGTCCATCGCGAGTCTGGTCAGTGTGGTCTCTCTGGTCGGAACAAACAAAGAATGGACAACCCCTCCACGCAGTCAGCAATTAATGCCGATCGGGCGCCTTCGGGCTGGCAGGACCCACTGAAGTCGTTGGGGGCCAATTCGGGATGACAATTTCCTGACAAATTTGAGTCCTGGAGTCCGGACGGAGTAGGGTCTTGACCTTGTAGCTTGTACACTTGTACACTTGTACACTTGTACACTTGTGCACGGTGGGGGACACGGAGTTCCGCTCGAACACGATCGTTGATTCTTGGGAAAAGATCTTCTTAGTGTCGGTTGTGGCTTCACCCTCCGACCAGATGGTCTGCCTGTCAGATCAGTTCATCTAGAACCACGGGCTGTCTGGTCCTTGACTCCTTGTCCGGCCCCTTCGCACTAATGTCCGTCCTTGTTTGGGGCTGCATTTCCAGCGTCGGGGCTGACCGCACTGATTGATTATTGATTAATGATTATACCTTGTCGGTGTCAAGTGCCAGCGCTACTTGCCTGTTGAACAAGGGTGCTTTGCAGTCGCGTCGGACTCGCTATCAGAAGTTCAGAGCTAAGCACTTCTAGCTTAGGCTTACAAATGGTAGGGACTCCGTAGGGGAACTTTTAGTGCTTTAAACTTAGGGTGACTCCGTACTCCGTAGTTGGCCCTTTTTACCTCTGTTTTTACCGTTGGAAGTGGTCTAAATTTGCTGACTCGTACATAAAAAGAGGGGTGACACCTCGACACGACTTTTTTGTCCTCCACCCCGCCGGTTGTTTATTATAGTCTACCACATCTATGACTCTACTAGTCCCTACTCTATAACACAACCGTTTAAACCCTAATTCTCTCCCTCCCTCCCTCCTCTCTCCTCGGATCTTAAAAAACAAAAAATAAAACCCCTCCAATGACCGCCGTCAAACCAACGATCGTCCTCGTCCACGGGGCCTGGCACACGCGCCCCAGCTATCGCCGTTACATCGACGATCTGACGGCGCACGGATTCACCGTCTACTGCCCGCAGCTGCCCTCCTGTAGCCTCATTCGCCCGCCCGTCGCCGGCTATGCCGACGACGTGGCCGCCGTGCGTCGCACCGTCGAGCCCCTCGTCAACGCCGGCCAGCGCGTCATGATGCTCATGCACTCCTACGGCGGCATGATCGGCACCGACGCCGTCGCCGACCTAACCTGGCCCGAGCGCCAGGCGCAGAACCTCCCCGGCGGCGTCGTGCACCTGATCTACCTGTGCGCCTACATCGTGCGCCCGGGCGCCTCCGTGCTCAGCGTCTGCCAGGAAGCCGGCATGATGCATCTCTGGCCGCAGTGGGTTGCGAACTCCGACGACGGGACCACCTTCCCTGTCGACCCGGTACTCATGTTCCTCGGCGGCGTCGACCGCGCCCTGATCGACGAGTGTCTGTCGCATCTGGTGCGCGCGCCGCACGAGATCTTCATGACCCCTGCGGAGGGCGACGCCTGGAGGAAGATCCCGGCGACGTATGTCCTTACGCAGAACGACTACTCCGTCCCGCGGGTGTACCAGGACATCATGCTGAAGAAGGTCCGCGAGGACGGCGTCGAGTTGCGGCTATTGGACTTTGACACGGGGCATTCCATCTTTCTCACCTTGCCCCGGGAGATGGTCCAGTTGGTGGAAGACGCCGCGGTGGATGAGCGGAATCCCAGGTAGCAAGTATACTGCCTACTCGATTGACGAAGGGGGGCAGGCAGGAGGAGGTTGATTTGGATCTTGTTCATTTCATGTTCATATTCATGTATTTAGCACAGCATTAGCACCGTGTCCGTTCATCAGTAGCGGTGTTTTGCGACGTTGGTTGCAAAACACGATCGATTGATTGTTTGTCAAGCGGTTTAGCGTAATCAAAATCGAAACTATTGCAGAGACTTTTGATTGTTGTTATTTAGACCCTGGAAGATTTGCTTCGATTTCAGGGTCTACTACACTCTCACCTACCCAATCGAGTCTAGTCCTACGATTCCTATCGAGCATTGGTATCTGACTACAACGAAACAAATCTGTAGAAAAGGTGTATTCGGCCGTCACCTTCGAACACGCGATGGTCCCGTCCAATATGGGACTACCTTCCTATTTAGGAATCCTCTTGTGTTGCAAATAATGTAGACCATGTTAGTCAATCCATCCATTATGTAGCTTATGGAATGTTAGAGGGAGGCGACCGCCGGATAATGAAGAATAATAAAGTGATTCGATGAATGCCTTCGATCTCCACGTGAATGAAGAATTCATGGATGTTGATACATGTAGAAAGGGATGATGTCATCATGTTAATGAAGTTGGTTATAGAGAGCGAACAATAAAATCCTACGCATCCTTTCCCTCAAGCATCTACAGACTACAGACATGTCTACATTTCACCTTTTAAGTCCAACACGGTGCAAGACTCCCAATGTCCCAGAACCAGTAACAAAGGGAAGTTCTCTGCGCATCCTAATGAAAGAGGCGTGGTCTACGCGTCATTCCAATTCCCATCTCTCTCAACGCCGAGCCCCGTGCTATGCGAACCCAATATAGAACAACATCACACGGATGCGTGGCCCGAACCAAGTTTTCACTCGTCTCGTTCGTTTCATTCCCATTCTTGGTTTTCTTCGGTCCATCAGCCCCGCCGTATCATCCACGTTTCCCCCCATGGAGGGGACGGAGTTCCTCCCTGTCCGAGATCAACTGCTCATAGGTGTTCTCGTCGCTCGTCGCTCGTCGCTCGTCTTCTTCGTATGCCGAGCGCGTACCAAAGATCCTGGGATGGCGTGAGTTCGGCAAACAGGCGCAGATGACGGGCCAGCGGCGTTTTCGATAGACGGGATGATCTTTTTTTCACCTTCACGGGGCGTGTACGCGCATGATGTGATGTTGGTTGAATTGAACTCGATCGCGACGAGGGAGAGGAGACGGGACGGATGTTGGTGATGCGGACGAGATACTATGGACAAGGACGGGACGGGTTAGTATATTGTCTTTTCCGTTTTCCTCTGTTTCTCTCTCTTTTTTTTTTCCCTCTCTTTCTCGCGTTCTCGCGTTCTCCCTCATATACGGACACGGGCAAGATCACTCTCTGTCGCTTTCGGTCTTAGTCTTTGGGGCGGGAATTTGGATGCTTAGAGGTCGTGTCGTCCATCCCCTCCGTTTTCAAGGCCCATGGTATTCTTTTCTCGCCACTATCGATATCCCTGAAGATGGTGCTCCCGTAGTAGGATTTGATCTGGTCGATGCAGTTGTCGGCGACGGCGATAGCGACGGAGACGTTCTGCGCGCATAGGCAAATAGGCGAAACCGGTGCGAAGACGAAAACGACGACGACGGAGATCATTTACGCAAGGGCGTGGATTCACGGGGAGGAGGTGGCGATATACAAGAGCGATCTGTAAGGTAGGCAGGGAGGGGGCCGAAAGGGTGTACTCCGTCGGTGTAGAAGACATCGATGCATGTGAGCTGAGCTGCGAAGTGAGGGGTTCGGTAGCATCATAGCATGGTATCCGGCATAGCCGATCGTGCAAATCAACAATCAACACATGGTGACGACCAAGACGATCCATGCATCCACGCAGATCTTCCGCGTCTCGTCTCGAAGTTTCGCCACGAGTCGGGGCCCAACCGAGGTGAGGCCAGGGTCTCCCAGGTAGTAGTCGCTTTCATTCGCGGTGCTGGCTCTTTATATATCCCTGAACATCTTGGCCCCGAAGATAAACATCAATCCGTGGGGGCACAAAGTCGGGAATACTCCAGCCCTGTCTCAGAATGGTTAGCATCGCGAAAGGCCAAGCAGGACAAGGACAGAATCCTAATGCCGTTGCTGATCACTACTCCGAGTGTACTCTGAAGAATTCACTTGCAGATTGAGATTCCACTCCACGCAGCGCCAGAAGATCCAGAAGGCAAAGGGCACGGCACGGCATGGGCTGTCAGACGGTGGCTTATTGCCTTATGTATTCTTAGCCCATGGCAACGGACACGGACTGACCACGCCAAGCGAGCAGCGTCTCCACAGTGTTGCAGTTTTACAGACGCTAGATACGAATCGATACATGGCGCGACACAAGTCCAGAGTCAATTACTCCTGGAGGATTAGTTAGATTAACCCGGGTGGGAAAACGGAGCCCGACGACTCTCCTGACTGGCTGGACAGGGTGAACTTGACGAAATGACCATGCCGTCTATTGGAATTTGGAATGTACAGGTTACAACCCTAACGAAATCCTCTCCAAACGTATCGGAGAGTCGGAGAGAAAAAAGACAAATCAAAAACCTTGACTCTTGCCCCTCCTTTTTCCCTTTTCACCTGACTCGCTCGAAAGTTGCTCTCACCGCGGCCACCAATGCTATGAGATCATCCCCCTCCGAGGGCACAGCGTGTCCAGCCCCGTGAATCACCTGCTCGTTGACCTCCGGCGCACACAAGCGCGACAGTGGCGGGCCCATACCCGGATAATCCTCGTCGTGGGCGGCCCAGCAGTTCACGACGGGAATCTCGACGAGCGGCCGGTCGCACAACGACGACGGCGTGATCAGTTCCACGCGCCCCCTTTTCAATGCCTCCCAGGCAAACGGCAGCCCGCCGCAGAGGAAAACCGCGCAACGGAAGGGTGGCAGCCGAGGCAGATGGGTCGAAGGATCCACATCCTCATCCACCGTCGGAGTCGGACTTGGACTGGGACGGGATCCGTGTGTCTGCAGACTCTGTGTCTGTGTCTCCGTCGGAAATGAGGGTGGTTGTGGTTGTGTTTGTGTCACCGTCCCTCTCTGGGACTCTGTCTGCGCGATGATCAGCGTGGCAGCCAATACAGCGCCCTGGGAGAAGCCGATCACCCCGTCAAACGGCCCATGGGAGTCGATGTACTGCGCCAGATCGACCACGGCTCCGAGGATGCTGGCGGCTGATTCGTCAAAGTAGGAGAAACTCTCCACCTCGTCGCCGAAGACTTCGCGAATACCGCGTGCGGGTGGCCAGAGCACCGCGCCGTCGATGAAGTCGAACTCGTGGCTGTCCGTCGCGTCTAGCTGGTATCGTAGAGAGGCTAACATGGTGGAGTCGGTGTCAGTCCTCGGGGAGAAGAAAACAGGAGAAAAAAAAGTCCGGATTTACGAACCGAGTTGGGTTTTGAGAACCTGTGGTCATGAATCAGGATCATTCTAGTAGGCCATGTAGGAGATATCGAGATGGATAACATACATCGCTGCTCGTCCCTTGGCCGTGTAAACAGAGGAAACGCATGGTAGGACGGTTGGAGGGGGATGTCCGAGACCAAAGTGGCACGGTGCACAGATCAAGAGGGAATCAAGAATAATCCAAGCACTAATACGTAAAGACGTAGCATTAAAGTAAAAAAAAGGCCGAGCCCTGCAGGACAAACCGGCTCTGGAGTCGCATATCGTCACCCGGCCATGTGGAATTAATAAAGCAGAGTTATCGCTTAAACCTTACAAAGTGGGCGGTGCTGTTTAAACTTCCCATTTCTTCCGGAAATGAGAGATGGTCCGTTCGAAAGTTCGAGAACGACTAGCCAGTAACCACAAACTTTCCCACAACTCCTGTGAGTCCTGTCTGATGTCTCAAGGAGGTTAGGAAATCCCGGCGAAAGGGGCCCCTTCATCTTTTAGTTCGATCCTTTCATTCTTCACTTATATACTCCATATTGCCCGGCCACGCGACCCCCCGGTCGGTCGCTAATTTAGTCGCTCCAGCCAGGGTATCCTTGGGGGTCTTTCCCCCCCTGTTGGTTTTTTTGCAGTCTATTTTTATGGTCCGGTTTTCTATTCTAGTATATTTTTTAAAAACCTACTTTTATTGTTTAATTTATCCTCACGATGCAGACCGACGACGATCCGATCGCCGTGGTCGGCTTCTCGTTGAGATTCCCTCAAGATGCTGACTCGACCGAGTCCTTCTGGGAAATGCTCAGTCAGGGCAAAAACGCCATGACCGACTTTCCGTCCACGAAATTTAACATCGACGCGTTCCATGGACGCAAAGGGGCAATGAACGGCACGGTTTGTCCTTCATCCCTTCACCTCCCGATCTGTTGAGGCATATCACCTGACTTGATGACACTGTAGATGCCGCTTCGTGGAGGCCATTTCCTTAATGGCGACTTAGGCCTCTTTGACGCCCCTTTCTTCTCCATCACCCCGGCCGAGGCCGAAGCCATGGACCCCCAACAGCGCATCATGTTGGAGACGTCATATCGCGCGTTAGAAAATAGCGGGATTCCCATCACGCGGTGTCGCGGGAGTAGGACGTCCGTGTATACCGCTACCTTCACGGATGACTATAAGAGCGTGCTGATGGATGCGCCTGATAACCTGCCCCAATGTGCCGCGACGGGCCTGTCGGGTTCGATGCTGGCCAATCGCATCAGCTGGTTCTACGATTTCAAGGGTCCGAGCATGAATCTTGACTCGGCGTGTTCGAGCAGTTTGAGTGCGCTTCATATCGCGTGTGGCGATTTACATAACGGGACTTCGCAAATGGTAGGGACTGTGATCTCCCGAGAAAATAATATAAGAACTAGCTGATGAACTTCTAGGCCCTCGTCGGCGGCTGCAACCTCGTCTTCCACCCTGACTTCATGCTCATCATGTCCAACATGGGCTTCCTATCTAGCGACAGCCGGTGTCAGAGCTTCGACCATAAAGCCAACGGCTACGCGCGCGGCGACGGGTTCGGGGTCGTCGTACTAAAAAAGCTCTCCGCCGCGGTGAAAGACGGCGACACCATTCGCGCCGTGATCCGCGCCACAGGACTGAACCAGGACGGCCGCACGCCCGGTGGTATCACACAACCCAGCGGCGTGGCGCAACAGGCGCTGATCGAGGAGACGTTTGCGCGCGCGCGATTAGACATGCGGCCAGTGCGGTTTTTCGAGGCACATGGTACCGGCACGGCGCTGGGGGACCCGACGGAGGCGGGGGCAATTGGGAGGTCGTTTAGGGAATTCCGGTCGGACGAGGAGCCGTTGTATGTCGGGGCTGTGAAATCGAATATCGGCCATTTGGAAGGAGGGAGTGGCATGGCGGGCTTGTTGAAGACGATTCTCATGCTGGAGAGGGGTGTGATTTTGCCGAATGCAGGACTGGAGAAGGTCAATCCGAGGATCGATACGAAGAATTTGAGGATTCGGGTGAGGAATTCGCGGTTCTTGGTTGTGCGGGGTTGGAGGCTGATATATCTGTTTAGTTCCCTACGGTCTCGATGCCATGGCCGGATTCAGGCCTGAGACGTGCTTGCGTGAGTCGCGGTTACCCCAGGGGGAAGGTGACACGTTATTGATGATCAACAGGTCAACTCCTTTGGATTTGGAGGTTCCAACGCCGTGGTCGTTCTTGACGACGCCCTGCATTACCTAGAAGAGCGTGGGATTGACGGGCTCCATCGCACGACAGATATGGAAGACATTGAGTACGAACGTCCACTCAAGAAACCCCGTCTAGAAGGCCCGTCACGATCAATGGACGCAGTTCAACCGCCGCAACTAATGGTTTGGTCTGCGGCCGACGAAACGACACTCAACACGATGCTGGATTCATTCAATGACTTCGTGCGTCCCGGAAAGAGACAAGCATCTCCGTCATCGCTCATCCCAGAAATGGCATATACGCTAACCGCCAAACGAACGAATTACGCCTGGCGCTCATACGCAGTTACAGATAATAGCGAGGATCTCGGATCGCTGGAGAAATGGAGCGCGAAGCCGACGAAAGCGAACAGCGAACCGGGATCGCTCGCTTTCGTCTTCACGGGTCAGGGCGCACAGTATCCGAAGATGGGGCATGGGTTGCTGGCATTCCCGTTCTTCCAATCGCGGTTGACGGAAATCGAGAAGATTCTGCATGGCCTGGGATATGGCTGCTCTTTGCGAGGTGGGCTGACATCATAAAAAAAACTAACAAAAGCTAGAGACGGCTGACTGATGGACGCAGAATTCCTCTCGAATCCCTCGTCTCCGATGAATGAACCGGAACACAGTCAGACGGTGACGACTGCAATTCAGATTGCGATAGTCGACTTCCTGAAGTCTGTGAACGTCGTCCCGGCCGCCGTTGTAGGCCACTCGTCTGGGGAGATTGCGGCAGCGTATGTCTTCTTCCACCATGATGTACCGGAAGCTAACTGTGAAATAGTTACTGTGCAGGTGTTATCAGCGACGTAACAGCACTGACAATTGCCTTCCACCGAGGTCGCATTGCGCAGAAACTCCCTAAACTTCACTCCGCGTCACAGGGCATGCTTGCGGTGGCCATGAGTGAGCCAGATATCAAACCCTTCATCGACCGGCTGAGCGAGTACACCGAGACGCCTCGAGTCCAGATCGGCTGCCACAACAGTCCCCAGAGTCTCACGCTAACCGGAGACGCCGACCAGCTTGCGCTCATCCAAGATTGGCTCGAAGAGGGCAAGCATTTCTGTCGCAAGCTTCGAGTCAACGTTGCATATCATTCCGTTTTCATGGAAGCCGTTAAAGAGGAATACCGACTCGCACTGAGCCATATCGACAGGGACCCCGTGCAGCACGATCTAATCCCTATGATCTCCAGCGTGACAGGCACTATCGCCCGGCCACGCATGCTGTGTGATCCTGACTACTGGGTGCAGAATCTCGTCTCACAAGTCCGGTTCTCGCCAGCGGTGTCTCTTCTGGCCGTTCAATCGGGCAAACCACCGCGAATACAACTTACCTCCAGGAAACCGCAGACGCTATCCGGCATCAACATGCTTGTTGAGATCGGCCCCCACTCCACCCTACAGGGCCCGTTGAAGGAGATTCTCACCAAGGCGCGCGCTCAGGATCGTCTCAACTATACGGCGACCTTGAACCGTCAGAAAGATGCATCAAGAGCGATCTTGGAAGCTGTCGGGCGCCTTTGGGGTTTCGGTTATCCGGTCAATCTACTCAAAGCTAATGGCATCGACAATGCAACACCAAGGCCTGTGCGGACAGATCTCCCGGAATACCCGTTCAATCACTCTAAGAGTTACTGGTTTGAAGATCGACAGAGCTCTGCATTCCGATTCAGAAAGCATCTTCCACACGAGCTTCTGGGTACATTGACGGTAGATTCCACCGCCCAGGATTCGCGCTGGCGTAACATCATTGACCTAGAGAAACTTCCGTGGCTGGAGGATCATCAGGTAAGAACCACTTCAAGTGTTCGCCTCTCTTGCGCGCATGGTCAAAAATTGACAATGAAACAGATCAGCGGCGACATCCTTCTCCCTGGTGCAGCGATGCTCTCTATGGCGATCGAAGGCGTTCGACAACTTTACAGCAGCAGCGACATCACCATCACCGGCTTCGACATCCGCGACGTCCACTTCCTCAACGCCCTCCAAGTCCCACCCGCCAGCCCAGGAATCGAAACCCAAGTATCCTTGACCAAGCAAGAAACTAGAAACCCCCATGCTCAACCCTGGTACAAATTTCGAATCCTCACCTATACGTCCGAATGGCTGGAACACTGCCGTGGTTCCATTCGACCGCAAGTACAGGCAATCGATCCAGCACGATACAACGCGGAGCTCCTATCCATTATTCGAAGTTGCACCGAAGACGCACAAATCACCCGCGTCTACAACTCCATTCGTGACAACGGCGTCAACTACGGCCCCATCTTCCAAACTTTGAGCGACGTGCGGATCGACAAAAACGGCGCCGCCGTGGCGCAAGTTCGACCATTTTCCAATGACGCGCGGATCATTGAGTCGGCGAACGTCGATCTCAAACCATATGTCATGCATCCATCGGTCCTGGATGGACTATTCCAACTGGTCTTCCCGGCTCTGAATGAGGGAGGCGCGCGCGACATCCCGGCCATGGTGCCCTCTTATGTCCGGAAGCTGTTCATCTCTGCGGACGCCTCTTCGTCTGGGCAGAGTGCGCCACTGCGAGCGAGTACTCGATCTGCACTGAACGGTTTCCGCGGGACCCAATCAAATGTCGTCGTGATGTCGGAAGGAGGCGATAAAGTGCTGTCGTATATGGACGGATATCAGACGACGTTCGTCTCGCAGGCCGAGGGCCTGGAATCGTCCGATGACAAGGACAGGCACCTACTAAGCTATTTGAAATGGCAGCCAGATGTCACGTTGATGGACAACGAGCAACTTGCACAGCTTTGCGCACAAGCAACGCCGAAGCCTGATTCTACTCTCTCTGGATTTGATAGTCGTCTCTCACTCCTCATGCGGTCTTACGTGCACGAAATCCAAGAGGCCCTTCACCCGTCCTGGCCGGATGGTATTCCCAAGCAACTTGCCGGATATATCACAGACGAGACTCATGTGAAGGACAGCGAGAATGCAATCATGCGCCCAAAGACGAACGGTATCCACGATCCCAGCACCCGCGTAGCCCTGGAGGAGGAAATCAGAGCCGCCAACAAGACCGGGGAGTTCTACGTCTCGCGGGGGCAGCAGCTCTTGAACTTCCTCCAGCAAGGCACGACGTTCTCTCATCCCGAGTCTCAGGAGTCCCAGGATGAGACCATCCAGGCGTATCTAAACGAGCGACTGGCCAGTGAACATCTCGGAAAACCATTGGAGGCGTTCTTATCTGCCCTAGCGCACAAGAACCCGCTCATGAAAATCCTAGACATCGGCGGCGGCTGGCAGGATACTGCCCCTTGCGCAGAAATTCTATCCAAATCTGGTCAGGCCCTGTGGGCTCAGTATGACTACACTGAACGAGGCCCGGAAGACCTGAAGAGGGCCGAGGAACGGCTCTCGGGTTTGTCTGACCGCGTCCAGTTCCAGGTCCTGGATATCGAAAACGATCCTGTCGACCAGGGATTTGACGATGGCTCCTATGACATTGTTGTTGCGACTTCAGTAAGTAGATTGTACTTCTATTCTATGACTAGGAAACTCATTGCCCTATTCTAGCTTCTTCACTCGACACCCGATCTCAGTAACGCACTTCGAAATATCCGAAGACTTCTCAAGCCGTAAGTCAACTCACTTTTCTAGATTACCAGATTAGAGCGTCACTGATACCTGACTAAACAGAGGCGGTCATCTCATCCTCTTCGGCGTCATCGCATCACCTCAATTGAGAACCGTTCTCGCAACAACTCTGCTCTCTACATGGGGCCGAGCCCCCAACTCCGGTCGTCCATTGGGTGGGTCCTACTCTAAGGATAGTCTACATCGACATTTGACGGAAAACGCCTACAACGGTCTCGACTTCATTATAACCGGTTCTTCTGAGCACTGCGATACGAGTTTCGTCGTTGCGTCGGCGAACGATGCAACACCGCGCCCTAAAGAAGAGGTTCCTTCGCGCCTGGCTATCCTCACGGACGGAGTCACCTCCTCGCAACAGATTTTCGCTGCGCGATTGAAGATGCACATTGAGACGACAGCGGAGGGGGTCCAAGTCGATATCTACACGTTCTCCGAGTTCGTGTCCACCGCCGACGCGCACGGCCGGTTCTGCATCTCGCTACTCGAATACGAACAGCCTTTTTTCGCAGACATCGGATCCGAGGACTTTGATCGGTTGAAAACAGCACTATCGATCACGGACGCGATCCTGTGGGTAACCAGGGACGCGAAACGGTCTGATAGTCCGGAGTATCATCTGGTGGACGGGTTCTCGCGCTCGCTGCGCTCGGAGAACGGCACGCTGAAGTTCGTGCGATTAGCCCTAGACGGCAGCTTGAGCAAGAGGGTCGATGATGGACTGGGCTCGGTGATGACGGTTCTTCGGCAGGCGAATAGTTCGGCGCTGGATGAGATGGAGTTCGAGTATGAGGAGAGAGACGGATTCCTGCAGATCCCTCGGGTGGTGCAGACTCCGGATATGAACAAGATCCACGAGGCCAAGATCACGCCGTTCCAGGAACAGGAGGTCCAGGTGGGTAATATGCCTCTGACGGCGGTGATAAAGACACCGGGCATTATTAATAGTATTGGGTATGAGGAAACTGGGGATTCCGATGCAGATGGATCTTTGGAGGCGGATGAGATTCTGATCGAGGTCCAAGCTGTTGGCGTCTGCGTTGAAGACTACAACATCGCCTTGGGGCGGAATAGCGACGAAGCTATCTTCTCCGAGTGCGCTGGTATTGTCAGGCAGGTAGGGTCGCACAGCGGGTTTACCGTCGGGGACAAGGTCTTTGCGAGAACTCCCGGTGCTTGCACTACGGGACTGAAATGCAAGGCATCCTGTGCTGCGCGTCTGCCGGCGGGATCTGTGTCCTTCCTTGAGGCTGCAGCCCTTCCCACGGCCGGTGTGACGGCGCTTCATGCGTTGACCGGCGTGGCTAATCTCTCCGGCGGCGAGACCGTCCTCGTGCATCACGCAGCCAGCTCTGTCGGACAGATCGCGGTGCAGATTGCCCAGCATCTTGGGGCAAGGGTAATTGCTACGGTCGACTCGGAGGACGAATCTACGCTGTTGCGGGAAACCTACCAGATCGAAGCCAATTGTGTACTTGCCAGGCATGATCCCGAACTTCCCCAGCGAATTGCGACCCTGACTTCGCGCGGTGTCGACGTTGCGCTTAACTTCGAGCAAGGTGATGATCTTGATCACTGCATCGAGGCCCTGGCGCCATTCGGCCGACTCGTCAATGTCGGATTGGCGCGCAGTATGCCATCAGACCATTTGGTCGAAGAGATGGCCACGAAATGCCTCACCAATTCAACATTCAATCTTTCCAGCTTACAGCGCCATCGTCCGTTGCTGGTCCGAAAACATCTTGAGAGCCTTGCGTCCTTGATCTCTAGCGGAGCCGTCAAAGGAGCAGCTCCCCCGCTGGCTTTCCCTGCAGCTCAACTCGACCAGGCCCTGCAGCAATTCCAGAAGGGGCAGCAGAACATGGGCAAGGTTGTCCTTGATCTGCGTCCGAAGCAGACTGTAACTGTAAGTTCCTACTTCCCACACAATAGTTCTGCCTTCCGACAACTCATGCATTATCACAGGCTCGTGTCCGAAACCGCCCATCCTACACCTTTGACGCCAACGCAACCTACGTGATAGCAGGAGGCTTCGGTGGTCTTGGCCGCAACGTCTGTCGCTGGATGGTCAGCAGAGGCGCGCGAAATCTGATGATCTTCTCACGCTCCGGCGTTCGGACGCAGTCATCCAGACAACTCATCGAAGAGCTCACGGCCTCGGGCGCCTCCGTCCAAGCCCCAGTCTGCGACATCACGCAGGCTGAAGACCTCCAGCGAGTCCTGGCGCAGTACGGCCCGAATATGCCACGTATTCGTGGCTGCATCCAATGCACCATGGTGTTACGGGTATGCTCATACATCGCCTCCAAACCCCTCCAAAACAGACGACTAAGCTAACAACCACCTTCAGGACGCCATCTTCACGAACATGACCCACTCCGACTTCATCACCGGCACGCACCCCAAAACCCACGGCTCTTGGAATCTCCACGCCCAGCTCCCCTCAGGCATGGACTTCTTCATCCTCTTCTCCTCCGTCGGCGGCATCCTCGGCGCGACCAGCCAAGCGAACTACTGTGCCGGCAACACGTACAAAGACGCGCTCGCGCGCTACCGCACGCGACTCGGCGAGAAGGCCATCTCCATCGACCTCGGCATGATGGTGTCGGAAGGCGTAGTTGCCGAGACAGACGGCATGCTTGACTCGCTGCGTCGACTCGGCTACTTCAAGGACGTCAGCCCGACGGACCTCCTCGCTCTTCTGGACCATTACTGCGACCCGACTCGACCGATACCATCACCACACTCAGACGAGGCGCAGATCGTCGTGGGGATCGAGAACCCAGCCGGCATGGCGCGCAAGGGCCTCGAAGTGCCGCACTGGATGTCACGGCCGTTTTTCAAACACTTCCAGCTCATTCAAGCGGCTGGGCAATCGTCAGGAGGCGGCAGCGGGAAGACCACGCAGCAGCAACCTGATGTGCAAAGCATCTTACAACAAAGCCCCTCGGTCGAGGAAGCCGGCGCCCACATCGCAGAATGGTTGGTCAAGAAACTTTCGCAGATCCTGGGCATCCCTGTGGCGGAGATTAGCCCGCATAAACCGATCCATGTGAATGGGATCAATTCGTTAGTGGCGGTGGAGTTGCGGAATTGGTTTGAGAAGAGGATGGGGGCGGATATTGCGGTGTTTGAGATTCTGGGGAGTATGGCTATTACGCAGTTGAGTTTGTATGCGGCGGAGAAGACCAGGTTTAGGCAGGGAGTTTAGGAGGGTTTGGTGATTGGGTTATGTGTGTATGATTATGTGAGAGGTTTTTTTTGATAGCGTTCTGTTGGTTTGTTTGCACCTGCATTGCCTTGAATATCGTTGAGTTAAGCTTGAGTATGATACCATCAAATGTCCAGTTTTATCCATTCCTCCACGCAATCTACTCTAACAGCACACAGCTGATAAGCAACACTCAAGTCTATCATTCTATAACCCATAACTCCATATATAAACATAACATTATGCCGTTCACCAAGGAACATCCTCCGCCGTCGCCATCCTCATCTCATCCGGATGCTTCTGCACATAATCTTCGATATCCAAATACGCCGCCAACACGCTCTCCTCATCCGCATACTCCCCACTACTCAGCCCGTAGATAATGCCATCTACCCCGGCCTCGCCCAGCATCTTCTCTACCATCCAGCCCTCTCCCTCGTCTGTCGTCCAGGCCATCACGGATCCGATCTGTCCGTCGTCACGAGCTTGACTGCCCTGTTTCAGGACCGAGCAGACTCCCTCATCATCACCACCATCCGAGGAAGAGGTAGTGGAGTCACAAGTCCCAAACCCCTCCTCCGTCAACTCCACAGCCCCATAATCCATAACCCTCTGCTTCGGCTTCACATCACTCGAATTCGACCCTCCCTCATCAAACCACCCCACCACATCCCTCACATCCCCACTCAACACCACCGCCTCCCTCTCCCACAGATCGCCAGATAGGACCTGGAACCCCCGACTCGTCTCCTGTGCATAGAACCCATACAGCACCGCAATCCCGGCATCGAGGAGTACATCCCTCGCCAGGTCCCGTAATGCCTCGATGGAACACGCCCGTCCGGGGTCGCATTCATCGGGGTTTTTGATGTCGAGCCAGACGAAGGAGATGGGGTTGGGGTTGGATTTGTCGGTGGTGTGGGCGGAGGCGATGGCGTTGAAGAGGGCTTCGGCGGTGGAGCGCGCGCTGCAGAGCGTGTTGTCGTGGTCGGCGTACCAGCCGTATTTATGTGCGGTGAGGTCGATTTCGAGGGCGTTGGCGCCGTGGGTGAGGGCGGCGGTTAGGGAGGAGGGGGTGAGGACGCGGTGGGCGATGGCGTAGATGGGGCGGGGGGTTGTTGTTGACGTTGAGGAGGTGGTGGTGGCTGAGGATGAGAGTGAGGTTGTGAATGTAGATGCTGTTGTTTGGGCGGATGTCCTACTTGAGAGGGTGAGGGTGAGGGAGAGGAGGATGTGCCTGATTGTCTGTAGCTTCATATCGAACAGTAGTCTCCTAGGAACCTTTCGTATAGTATAGGATAATGTGATATAGTATAGTATAGTATGCACAGTCAAGCACGTCTCCTCAAACAAAAACCATTCAACTCAATCAGTCCAGAAACCCTTTTTATATCCCCAAACACCCTACCCTACCCTCACCCAGCACTAAACACAGGCACACATATTTCCTCCATCTCCAACCCCATTTCGCCCCATCCACCCATGCAACGGTGTGGACTAAATCCATCGTGCACGGGATAGCGTAGCCAGTATACGTCGCCAATCGACCATTGCTAAGTAAGCGGAGGAAACAAAAACACAGGAGACATGGATCGGTTCAAGCCCTATAATGGGGCTAGATGTAGTTCTGTACTGTCCACGCTTCCTACGGTGTATATTAATGGATGTTTAAACCACTGTTAGGGATGGTTCCTGATCCACAGTCTCAAGGACCGTGTCCCACCGGCACCGGCAGATATGGGGCGATATTAGCGTTGACGTACATGATTTTAGGGTACATGTAAAAGTTCCCAAGAAATCCCTGTATAGAGAAGAAAAATCTGATCGTGCACAATCTACCTTACGTACTCGGAGCACACGGAGCAGTGGCTTCCCCGACTACGTACGCCTCGGAAAGTGTCCGTGAGTTGATAAAATTTCAACACACACACAGTAAGTAAACCTAGAAGTTGGTTCGACATATCTCCTATATTCAAGACCGTGTGAACTAATGCATGATCTAATATGAAGGAATGCATAAACAGGTAGATATATAGTTGCCTTAAATATTTAGTTAAGGCCAAGACGTTGGTATAAACACTGCTTACAGGACGGTTTAGGAAGTGATCCATCATTCTCTGTTTCTACATTGCTATTATAGGTACAGTTTAGGGGCTAGAGTGTCAAATCAGCCTTGATAGCTCAGACCCATGAATCTCAGTTCAAGCTTGATACGTTAGAGGTTGAGATATACGGGGTAACCCCCCCGACGGAAAATAATCCCTTAACCCGCCATGGCGATCGACAAATCTTTACTCCATTCAGATACGATCTAGTGAGGGCCGTGTTATCGAGTCCAGGCATCAAGATAGATGGATATCGACGAGCATGTCCGACAGAAGGCAGACATAAAATGTACGGACGACTTGCTCGAACGATCAGAACTTGTCAAGTGCCTCGGGCTGGATTACTCGATTGATCGATTTATGCTCTGATATGTCAATGTTATGCGTAGAAAGTCACTACTCCGCTGCGCCTCGGTAGGGCATTCGGTAAGGCCCACTCCACGTTACTACTACGTACGCTTAGTTCGACCATGTCTTTTCTTTTGACTTGGAATACTGAACCTGGGTTCATCGTGCCGAGTAGATAGAAAGTATGGACTGGTGGCGTTGTCCTTTTCTTTCCCTCATGTTTCGCTATTTCTTGCCACTTCGTTGAAATTTTCTCTTTCCGGGACAAACTCCGAGTATAGACTAGAGTATAGACTAGCATGGCGAACCACGGACAAGTTCCACTGCGCAACGCAAGTTCGCAACGTAATCTATTTATCTTATCTCTACGCCACCATCACTTAAATCCCCGGACGGTCATTGAGCCATTGAACTAATCAGCCTTTGCTTGTTTTGGCGACAGAGATGGAGAGCAGTGAACGTGGCTTTGATGATCGCGTGACCGGATATATATCCTGGCACTTTGGTATCCTCAGGCTAACAAACTCTTCCCGCCGACAGAATATCTTAGATCCCTATATTCGATATGGCAATTGAAACAACAAATGAACATTCAATGGTATGAGTAAGTATGGTATCACCGCTAAAATGTTAAATCAATCATCCTCCCATGGAAATGCAATGAATAAACACAAAAGAAATGTGCAAGTGGCAGGTCATGCCCTCAATAACAATGCAACAAGATTACAAATTTTGACAAGGTCACGATCCTACAATATCAAGGCTTCGTGCTCCTCGTCGCTCATGTTCCGCCAGAATCGCATCTGCCGTTCGCGTTCGCTCAACATGCATCGCTCGTCCTCGTCCAGCTCCGACTCCCGCAGCCACTCGTTCGGCAGATCACGCACGCCGTACCGCTGCCCCCATTGTCGTCGCTCGTACTGCATGAACCCGCCGAAATGCTCGTCCGCGTTGGCCACCCAGATCGTGCCGCCGTCTGCCGAGAAGTCCGCCCCGCCGATCTCGCCGAAGAAGTCCTGCACTTGGCGCGTCTGGTAGGTCTGCGCGTTGACAATGCAGATCCGATCCGCCGGTTCGCACAAAAGCAACGTCCGCGGTCCGCCGCCCACGGGCGAGAACCGCAGAGATCGGTACCCCGCCACATCCGACTCGATCTTCTCCAGCGGTCGCCACGTGCGTGCGTCCCAGATGATGGCCGTCTTGTCCTGGTTACTGGTCGCGATGTGTCGCATATCCGGAGACCAGGCGCAGGCGAACCCAAAATCGCGGTGTCCCTTCAGCGGGTGCACCGGTCGCCCCGAGTCCGCCTCCACGACCCAAGCGTCCGGCGAGTCGCCAATGACCACGCGCAGTCGCCCGTCGGGGGACGTGGCCGTGCAGTTGATGGCGCGCGACAGCTCGTGGTCTGCAACGAAGGTGTTGGTCTCGCAGTCCAGCACCCGCAGATGTCGGTCGTTCGACGCGAAGATCCCCATCGGCGCTCGGTTCGTTCGACTCGGCACGACATCAATGTGGTTGGTAATTCCGTTGGGATCTTGAGTGACAAACCCCGAAGCTCCGATGCCCTCGGCACCCGATGAGCGCAGAGCATACTCTCCCATGAAGCCTCCCGCGATGGCCACCTCGTGCGCAGATTTCATGGAAGAAATTTTAACCGGGCCCTGAAACCCGGTCTCCACCGACGGACGGGACAGGTCAATCAAGCACGTTAAATCGTCGTAGGCGGGGATCCACGAATACAGTTTGGATTCTTGTGCGAAATGTACCGTATTGTAGGCTGCGACCGACATCAGATTACGCAGCTGGAAATGTTCGATGGTGGTCCTGCATCGAGTGTGCATGGATTTCTCTCGGAAGAAAAACTCCTCCTGAGGAAGTTTGATCCCGTGTCGGTGATTGGAATACTCCAAATTATGATAGGATTTGTACCATTGATCTCGCAGGTTTCGCGCGTCCGACCGTTTGACCCGTAACGCTTCCCACCAGGGGATTTGCTGAATGTCATAAAAGTCCCCACCATATGCAGTCGGTCGCACGATCTTTTGCGGTGGGTTCCAGCCGATGATGTTGGCGAGGGGGTTAGGAGGTAATGGTGCCGGTGCCATAGGAAGGCTGGGAATCGCCGCGATAGAAGAATGAACCCATTGGGAAATGAATTGGTCAATGTTGAAATTTCTCTCATGGACTGTTGCAAACCGTTAGCTGTGGCGCGAAGATACGTAAGCCTAGAGGACCTTACTGGTTCCTTGCACAACGGACGGCGCGACGTGAGGATCCGTCGGGTCTTCCCCATCCGAGAAGTAGTTGTAATCGCCGTGGGCGGGAACGGCCGCATCTTCCGTGAACTGCGAGCTAAAACCTTGATCCATCCCTCGATAGAAATCGTCGAAATCCACCTCGGATAGCGGGTTTGGTCCGAGACGAGACGGAGAGTCGTTGATGTATTCCTCGCCGTATTCGCCACCAACACCATCGTCCGAATCCGACTTTTGCGTATCGTCCAGATCATCGTCTTGCAGCGCCGGACCATTTGGCAGTGCCTCTTCATAGGGCTCCTCGTAGTCGCCAAAAAGTCCTTCGGCCTCTTCGTCTTCGCTATCCTCCGAGATGGTCGACATATTCTCACCCATGGCGGCATTGTCAATCAGCTGATGCACTAGACCCTCGAGACCAATGTGCGCGCCGGGCGGCCCAAGCGGAACACCGCCCAGGTCAGACAGAGCATCCGTCATCTCGGAGTCCGACATGTACAACTCAGTTGGCGGGGACGACGAGGATATCCCTGCGGCTGGTCCGTGGTGGACCCCTCCCGGTCGAAAGTACTCCTCGCGCTCGATAACCGCATTGACTACTTCCGACACCGAAAGAAAATTCGATTCGTGGCTGGTAGCATTGGGATACTGCGAGACAGCCATAAGAGCGGAGATGCCCGCGTCCGTCGTGTCGAAGTTCCCGTCTAAAGTCACGCCACCACCGCCACCACCCGCTGGGCCAGGACTGGAGGGCAGGTTCGGATCATCTAGGGTCGGCGGGGATGATACTTCTTCGTGGACAGAATGCGAAGAGGACTGGCGAAACTGCCTTATATCCGCCCCATTCTGATGGGACGGGCCGGAAATGGTGGAGGGGCGATCACCAGGATGAAAAGAGGGTGACCAGGGGGGATCCGATTCACTCCGATCAGGCATTCCGGTCAGGTTGTCAATCGAAGGCGAACTGGCTCGCCCGGCGGCGCAAGGGGCGGGTGCAAATACCCAGTTGAACACAAGGCCAGTCAAATGCGATCGTATGAAAAGTGACGATGGAAGGTGATTGGCACCCCAGGGCTACACAAAGGACAAGATAGCAAGGCGAGTCCACGTTTTTTCCCTTTCTTCTTCAAATCGGGATCAGAGATCTTGGCCCTGCACGTGGTGGTCACCCCGCAGCATTCGTCGCCCACCAACCCCCACGCGAATTGAAACAACAAATCGACCAATTTGGAGCTAGAAGGCTAGGAATCCCAGTAGCAACCAGCGGCTCTGTGTGAGTGGAAAAGAGGTCGCACTATGGGTGCAGTTATCCGGGGATCAGAGACACGGGAAGGGGGAGATGGACGATGTGGCAATGCGGTCGGTCAGGAAGGACGAGGCAATTAGCCACATTTGAGTCGGTCGGAAAGGACAAGGGAAAAAAGGAAAGCAGGAAGGAGGGGAGGCACGGCAAGGGGGATATATAGGAGGAAAAGACAAAGGCGGAAGAGGGGAAGAGGGGAGAAATGAGAGAGCTTTACGTTGCAAAAGCCGTAGGTAGCCCCAATTGGGGGACGTGAGGTTGCCTTTTCAGCGGTACAAAGCACCTGAAGTGGAACAGATGAGGCTGCAAGAAACCGAGTCAGGAGGAACTCGTGGGAAAAGAACGACGCAGATTGGAAGCCATACCGATCACTGGAGAGGCGCCTTAGTCAGACTTTGGAGGGGGAGAACGTGGGCGGGTCACATGAAGAGTTGGCCAGAGAAGCGTCGGACGGAGCTGAAGCTGGGACTGAGATGCTTTATCCATGAAATCAATCTTGGGAATGATGAATCCCATCAACCTATGTACAAGTTGGGTGAAGAGTCTTAGTCGGAAACCGCACAAGGATCCAAAGGGAAGAAGGAGAAGAAGCAGAAAAGAACAATTGCCTTCAGGATGGATGTGTCAGCCACACACATGACTTGCCAAGCCTGCGCCGCTGACAGGGATGATCTATGTTCCTCACTAAGTATGCGAATATGTTGTGGAATATCTATCATAACTTAGGATTTCCTCTTCTGGGTGCCATGGCTTCAGTGAGGGTACTCAGGGCCCTATTTATAGACTTCCTCATGACCCAATATAATGTCACCGGGTCAGACTTTTAAGCATAAGCTGCTGCCAAGCGTATTAGCATAAGAAGCATAAGAAGCCGAACTCTTTGACGAAAGCCCAACACTAATCTCATACAAAAGGGGGGTAGATAAGTACATATCTCAAATCTCTCAGAGTATCTATCCGCACATAAATCCAAACATAGCCCATTTATTAGCGGTATGAATACATTCGGGGTTGATGCATTTAGGAACGCCCCCTCCATGGACGCCAGAAGGCTGGTCCCAAGGTGTGCACAAGAACTTGACTGAAGCCGACACTGATCTAACCTCAGAACCAGTATCGTTCTCAGCGGCAGTTTCGATCATCGAACTCTCAATGCGCTGTTGGCAGTCCTTTGCCAGACAGTGAGGGACTAAGCAGATAGAAGCTGACTTCCTGACGCAAAGTAGTTCGACGAATTCATTCCAGTCGGTAACTTGTCTTTGACGCGAGCGAAGGGTATTCTGGGCCTTCTCAAGGAGGCCCTTATGCATAGTTTCGAGGAGTGCCAGGATACCAGTGGGGAGCTGAGAAAGAGACATGATAGTTTTCTCTTCTGACTTGGGGAGATCTCTCCGATAGATGGTGACATATCGTCCAGCCAGCTCCTCCGATCCGACAACTAGGCGTAGTGGAACGCCGCCGGTTGCCCATTCTTGCAACTTCCAGCCAGCGGAATGCCCTTCGCGCAGATCTGCTGTAACACGAATACCGAGAGAGGTCAACGTCGATTGAATGGAAAAGATCTCAGCGTAAAGCATCTGATGGCCCTGTTGTTTGCCCTGGTGAGGAATTATAATCACCTGTGTCTCAGCGATGTAGGGTGGGATAACTAGGCCCCGGTCGTCGCCATGCGTAGCTACCATGAGACCAATAGCATGAATAGACAAGCTCCATGAGTTCTGCCACACGTGTATAGTAGAGCTCTCATTGTTTGGAGTGTGATCAGGGTCCCCCGAGATGGTAATACCATACTGCTTGCTCATATGCTGGCCTAGCTCGTGGAAGACCCCAGCTTGAATACACTGTTGAAGAGAGGGAATAAGGCCGAATAGGACAGCTGTTCGAATTCCGTCGGACTTATTAGCGTCGCCTTGCTGGCCCCTGACAAGTGGAACGGCCAGAAGCTTCTCATAAAGACCTGTGTAGAGATCAAGAACCTGCAACATCTCTGAACGGGCATCATACTGCGTCTTATGCACTGTATGTGCTTCTTGTGTGAGGAACTCACGGCACCTGAGAAAAGGCTGCGGCCAGGGCTCTGACCTGAAAGCTGTCGTCCACTGATTCAGTCGAAGTGGGAGGTCCTGCGGGCATGCGATCCACTTGGCATAGTATGAGTAGATCATGGATGTTGTGCTTGGATGATCGCGTAGTCTGAGCTCAGTATCCCTCCGTGCATATCTATTATCGTCATATATGCCGTCGCCGCTGACCCCTGCATTCTCGACTGATGATAACGGGAAAGCACAATTATGCACTCCCAGGAGCTCAAACTTATCATTCAGAAATGCACGAATCCTCTCCCAGATGGCATACGCTGCTGGCTAACACAAACAAGAATGGTAAATGATCTGGTGACGTGTTGGGACGCCCATTTTCTAGACGTACCTTGAGGATGAACAGCCCCTGAATAGAAGTGTCGATATCAGTTAGCCTACCCTTTTCCACTGTTTGTTGATACCACTGCCAAAAGTCATCTTCCTTCGCCGCGTCAACAAATGGTGGGAAACGTGCCGTGACGGTCCTTCTGAAAGACATGTTGATTGCCAATACTTGCGAAAGAGGGAGACAGGATATAAAAATCAAAATTGACTTATTTCAAAAAGAAAGGTGCTGAAAATGTAAAAGGGGGGAAAGGCGGGTGGGGGGGCGCGGGGTTTAGTTCTTTACAAGGGTTCAGTATGATGTCAGCCAGTGTTCATCTAGGAACTTATGGGCTTCAGCACATACTTTGGCATACATCACATCGAACCTTCATACACTTTCTATGGATGCACTAGTAAAACACTAGTGCGGGGAGAAACATAGAAGGTTGTGTACATGACATACCTGACAGTACCTAATGCATGTTGCTATACTGACGCTCTACTATTGAAAGCTGCCTTCAGATATAAGTGCTTTAGTGTTTATAGTGCTTATGGTGCTTATGGCCCTTACGAATTGATATTGTCTACTATCTATAGCCGGATTGGAGATCATATTTGTATCTCTCCACTCCCCTCAGCAGAAGGGACATACGCAGCTTCAGTATTCCCATACGGTGAGAAGGCAAAATAAAACGTCCAGGGCTGAATTATGCTACCTGCGTCACATCGAGGACTCTATCGAACGGTTTTCTTCATCCAAAAAGGTAAGAGTTACCCTATGGGCATACAGCCTCGGACGCTAAGATGTATATCAAGTCGTGCGGACAAATACAGGTCTTCGTCCTGATGAAGCTGCTGGTCGGAGATAACATGGCCATGATCATGGCTGCCATGGCTTTGCTCCCAACCGCAAACTCATACACGGTCGCTTTTCTTTCGCGAGAAGGGGTGCTCTTACAGTGACTGGGGTGCACTAGAACTACGCGATAAAAAGCCGATATTCAATATGCAATTTCAGGGGCTTCAAATCGATCATTTCCACGAGCGAAATAATGCGAAATTCGTGTTTAAATCGCATTGGTTTGAACCGATCGGTTGAGCGATGCCACACATACTAACTAAGAATAACGTCTGGCTTTCAAAGATGGGTATCGTTCCAAGGCGCTATCGACCACCTTACCTATCAGCGCCTTGTGGTTGATTCCTTCCTGAGCAGCTGTTGTTGCAACCACAGTATAGATCGGGTGTAGTGCAGGGAGTAGATTAATCTGCAGGGGTTAGTTAAGCACAATAGGATTGTTGCGGTGATGTTCGTGCTTACCTCCAACACATATTGCCTTGCCATCCTCTCCGTAGCGGATGTCCACTCGACCCAGATCACAGCACTCTAACGCTCGCCACGTTTGCAAAGCCAGATCCTCTGCTATCTGAACGTCGGGGTCGACTCGACCATTAACAACTCGCCCCAGTTCACCCCAGTCCATATTCCGTTTTGTAGTAGAAATTCCAGGAACTGCCGTCAATCGGATCCGCGGACCCCCTGTGTGGCTGATTCAGGTTTTCTTAGTCGGCTTAATCTCTCCAAGTCAATGTAGATTGTGCCAAGGATCATGGCGGATTTGCCTGTGCCAATAATAACGATTGGAAATTAATCTGCGGTGATGAGGAATGCTCAGTGAGCAACGCTCTGGAGCGCCCTCATCCAGACAAAATCACATTAGATCCAGAAAATCGAGTTTGTATAGTAGACATATGTCCAAGAAATTTCCCTATAGATATTTAGCAGATATTCAAGAGGTGTACTATTACCAAACTTCTGCCTTCATAAAGCACTCAATGCATGATAGATATCGCGAGAACAAAATTAAAGTATTATCTTTTCGAATCAGGGTTAGGATATCGCGGGGTTTCGAATCAACTTCAAATAAATTCTGAATCTGTTGGCGTTGTCCCTCCGTGAGAGTACGGGCAGTTGGGTGGCCTACCATAGTATCATTCATCCTATGATTGTGATCTGGATTTCGTACCTATAGTTCCCACCTATTACTATTAGGGACCCTCTTTCCATAGAGTTGAAATGGGACAGCCAACGATTCGATAGCTGTCTCTCGCCATTCTGCTCCTTCTGGAGCACCCACTCAACTTATTCATAATAAATACTTCTACGGTTGTAGCTAAAAGTAATATTTTGATTTGTTTTCGAAGCTATTGTAGTAACACTATAATGTCAACCTGGCTAGAAAATCTGGCACGTATGTTAATCACTCATCGATTGTCGTTCTTGCGTAACTATCTTGACTATATCGCTTGCTTGCTTGCGCTCGTAGAGGTTCGTGATAATAACAGTCAGAAAGGATGGAAAATCATCGCTGCGGACAAATACATCAAAAGAAGAATAATTACAGCTCTCCGGTCAATAATATACTATACGGCGATCGTAACGCCTTTCCAAAAAAGCAAATAAAGAAAAAGCAAGCATCAACCAGTCGTAACCCATCGAAGAAGAAAAGAATAAAGCAATATACAAGTTCAGATCACAATCAGGACTAGTAATCCGAGTATGGTTCGTAATGTGACGGATATCCACCGCCAGAGGGTTGCCCCCATCCTGCCATCCTCATTCGACGGTCTAAATCAAAAGTCAGTGATTGTCACTCTTCAATACCAATCCACCAAAGCACGTACCTTTTTCGAAATCCCTCCATCGCTTCATCGTAATCTTGCTGCTGTCGAACTCGCCCTCTCCCGCCTCGTGGCCCTTGTCCTTCTCGCCCGCCGTCTTCCGCGTGTCTCCCCAACTGAAGTCGTCAAACTTCCAGAACGAGTAGGTGGGAAGGACAAAGTTCCAGATGGGCAGCGAGATAAGGTAGATCAGCATCCACAGCACGTACACCAGTCGGTGGGCGGTCACAACGATGAGCACGCCCGGAAGTCCCAGAATTAGAGCCAGCAGAACCAGGGGGATGACCTGCACCGGTTTCTTCACGATGGAAGAAATCACCACGTAAAAGGTGAAGGCGATGGCGGCAGGAAGCACAAGAGTTCCGACCAGTTCGATGAAGATGACAAACTGCATGCTGAAGCAGAACGTTCCGCAGAGGTCGCGGACCAGGACAAGTTCCATCAGGTTGTGAACGGTACTATTGATCCAACGACGCCGCTGGGACAGAAGCACCATGAACTTGTCCGGGACCTGCGTCTTACAGACAGCCTGGGGCACAAAGATCTGCTTCCGCTTGGGAAACGTCCGAAGCATCAAGGTTGACAGATATCGATCTTCACCCAGCAGCAGCAAGTTCTTCTTGTGAAGCGTATCCACCACGTTTTCGGAGTAATGCTCCACCACGTCCGGGTTGGCAAGAATGGGAACCCAATAGTTTTGGCCTCCTTTGGGTGCTTTGATACGGTACATGGAGAAGCAACCGGGCAAACAAGTGACACCACCAAAGACCGACTCGAACGATTTGGATTGATGGTGAGAAATGAAATATCTGCAAGACAAACGTTAGCTCCGCAAGGGAAATGTCTCGTTTAGATCAAACCTACTCAAACACTTGAATCATCGTCACCCAGCTATCCGTCTTGTTGGCAATCTTGGTCTCTCCGCACAGGCCCATAACCTCAGGATCCTTGACCATCGCGGAGATCATATGAGTCAAACTGTCCGGGAAGACCTTGGTATCAGCATCCACCATGAGCACAACCTCGTAGAAGTCTGGTGGGATCCCGGTGACATTCCAGAGCCCGTTAAACATCTCGAATTCCAATTCCGTCATTCGCTCGTCGAACATGACTTTCTGGAGGAAGGACATGAGGATAATTTGACTGTCTCGTTTTCCTCGGTTGCCGGGCTTCGACTGAGTTGCTTCCGCAGGCGTGCCACTCTTGACGACAATCATCATCGGCACACGTTGCTGTTTTTCGGTCGGGATGATCGACGTGTTTCCGTAGTCGTAAAAGCCAGCGTACACCTTGGCCATGTTGTGGCGCTTGGAGCCTGTGGCTACCGCAACGTACGAAAAGGCCTGCACTTCATCAAATGGAACGACGGGGTCCCGCATCATGCGCAAAACAATCTCCGGAGTTGAATATTCCTCGCCTTTACCCTTGATCATGCCATCACAGATAACAACGATAGTCTTGTGACTGTTCGGATAATCGGTGGTAGCGATGGAGTCCAGTGTAGTGCGAATTCCATCTTCGCCTTCGGAGTAACAAGTAACCAAGCACATGGCGTGGGCCAGAGGATATCCGTAGGGCTGCCAGTCAGGGGGAGGCTGCGGAACAACCGCTTCGTGAATGTATCCGGCAGCTCCGAGGCCCTCCGATTCCGCGATAGCATGAGAGTAGCGAGAGTCCTGTACCAAACTTGTCCGGCTGGCCGTAGGGTTCTGCCGCGAGGCATCTGCACTCAAGGTACCCCCACTACTGTTGTGGCTTAGTTTATACATCGAGTTGCCGCTGGGTATCAATCGGGAGGTCGAATTTTGACTCGCCATAGTGACATATTGAGGACGCTGCTTTCCACCATTGCTCACGGTGTACGGGCTGGAAAAGCGAGATGTGGTCGGCAGAAAGCTGGCTCTCTTGCTTGCACGGTCTGCCACGGGATCCGTGATACGAGGACCAGGTCGGTAGATATCATTCGACCAGTCTTCAATCTGCTGGTTGCGTGTCTTGGGGTCGGAGCTCATGCTCGTTTTCTGCGCGGCAAAACGAGGGGCCAGGAACCACTGGAAAAGCAGGGCGAAGGCGAATTTGACGATGACAATGGACAGGATGAAAATCAAGGAGACGTAGAGAACAACCTTGGACGCGATACATCCGACCGTGTCGGTGTCGATACTTCCTACTTTCACGATCTGAGACAAGCACTTGCCGATCTTCTTGTCCTCTCCGCTCTGTAGGTAGTAAGTCAAGTCGACTCCGCGCACATCCTTATTCTCACGCAGCTCATCGAATTTGGACGGGTATTTGACCTGCGATGTGTCGAGCCACTGCAAGAGATCGAGGTCAAGAACGTTGCCAGAATACACCACCAAGTTTCGACTCTTGTTTCTTGTGTCCTCCCAGGTAAAATACACATCGCCGGAGCCTTTGAGACTGTAAAATGACTTCCTAGCCTCCCCGGATGTGTGACAGGCCCATCCAGTGTAATAGGACTCGGTAAAATTTGGCTTCGAAGAGCCGTCCTGGTTGAACGGCGCGCAGGGAAAGTACCAGCCCAGCTCGCCTTTGGAATTCGTTGGGATATCCGAATCTTTGGTTCTTGTAATGAGTCCTTTGCAGGCCCCATTGACCTGCTGGAAGAAGAAACTTCCATCTTGTCCGCCGTACTTGTGAGGGAGATCGTAGAGAACATTGGTATCCGGAGGGATACCGGTGGCGGTTGGATGGGTCGATTTAGACAAGTCGTAGGCCGTGCCGTGGAAAATCATGTAGCCGCTGCTCACCTTATTGATCTTGAGTCGAGTGGGCGGTGTTCCACACACGGTGGCCGTGAAACCGAACGTTAGGAAGCCGACGAACGCCGCAATGAGTAGAATGATACTGATCAGACCGATCTTCTCACGCCATGCACTGCGCTGCGCCTTCTGCGGCATCCCGAAGCATCGCATGATGCAATCAGGTGCCCAAAACGTGATGATAGCGCAGTAAGTGGTCCAAAGACTGGGAGGCCGAACCTGCTCCATAGCCCTTTGTCGCTCTCTCTCCGCTGCCTCCGCTCTCTTGGAGATCTTCCGCGTGTGTCGCCTCTTTTTCGTCCGTTTTCGGCTGGGCACCCGCTCCATCGGCTTGTTGACATTTCCGTACATGTCATCCTTGGTCTTGTATTCCACGCTCCGAGAGCTGGGGGTATCGGCTTGGTCATCATCTTCCATCAGAGGCTCATGTCCCGTAGTCGAAGGTTGCGTCGGCATGTTCTGGGATCGCTGACGATAGTGGTAGTTGGGGTGGGACTGGTCGACCCGGGTGCGTTCCGGTTTCACGAAGCTCTTTTTGCGTCTGAGGTCCTCCGCCGCATCGACTCTCTCTTCGTCATAATCCTTCCTCCTCCGAGAGCTATGCGAACGATGACGGCGGTGATGGTGGCGATGGGACGCCGGCGGGCTCGACAGCGATTCATTCTGGGCGCCGGTCTCGGGATCTCGTCTTCGGCGTCGCGAGGACTCGCGGAAGGCGGAATGTTCGTCTCGTCGCGGGGAGGCCTTCCCCGGCCGTTGAGGCAAAGACATGGTCCTACACCGGGTAGAGTGGCGAAGTCAGCGACAGAACCAGCAACTTTCACTGTTGCTAGAAAGACATACCCTTATTGCCGTGCGACCATGAAGTATTGGAAACAAGTGCTGTAATGTTGTTTAAGTTCTATAATGGCATAAGGGATGATGCTAGTGCGATGGACACTGAAGCGCGGACGATGCGACGGGAATTTATTCGTTTCCGGCTCAACGTGATGTTTCTTTGAACTCTTTGTAGTCGTTAACGAGAATTTCGCAATTCGGCCAGGATGCGAAAAGAACAGTCTGCAAAGTGAAGCTGAGCGATCGCGAAATGGCGTGGTCTAACACTGAACGGCGTTAAATGGTGCTAACAAACGGTTTGCAGATAAGGGTGCCAATAAATAAAGCGAGCGACAACGGTGGAGAAGCAGATTAGATATCGCGAGTAGAGATCTTCGATAGGCAAGCGATGCGCCCAACGGGGATTTCGACAACGTTTCGCAGAAGGAAAAGGGAGAAGAAGAAAAGGAAGGGAACATCAGCGGGATAGGACTAGAACAGGTGACGGTGCCTGCCTAGTGCCTACCTGGTAACCCGACAGTAAAAAAGCGATGGGTACCTGAAAAAACAAGGACCTACCGAAATGAGTATTTTATTTGCACGGGTGCGATGTGATTTGCCCTCGGCTGCAGGAGCTTATACCGTAGAAAAGTTTTCCTCCGCGTGTACCGAACGGTGTCTCCCATTCGGAGTTATCTACTATATGTCACTCTGTGCGGGAGGAATGCCACGGATCGGATGAATCAAAGGAGTCGATGGGCAAAAAACCGCCCATAACAAAGGAGGCAAATAATGGTACAATACGTCTAGTGTACCTTGACAGTAACCATGTGCCTCGTCGCTAGGGGCAATCGGTCGGGCTAGATCCCCTCCCCACCAATTGAAGTCACTCGGCCGGACTCACGGATCATTTAAAAGGTTCACGCCCCGGTCAAATGCCTTTTGCTGATTGGTCACTATTCCGTGTCCATGCACGCTATCCCACATCAGGCTAATTAATCAAGATATCTGGCCAATCGTGCAATGCGCCATGTCTCAAGTTTGGCCCCACCCACCCTCGGTTGCCCCCCCCTCCTCCCGTCTGATCTCAATGTTGAAGTTTAAAACTTAATCCGGGATCCTCTGGCATGGAGGGAATGCGGAGACCGTTGGTCGATATATCCACCACGGGTTTCCATCGACCTACCTAGTAAGACGCTGAATACACAGTAATGCGCCTCTTGACGGTCCAATTCCGCTCTCTCGGACATGCCGGGCTATAAATAGTATCGCAGAGATCAAGATTCGCGAACCTATGGGCTGTCAACAGTTGGCTGGGCACCTACCATGGTTCGCTTTTTCTCTTTCTTTTCAGTTCTATGTTCCTCTCTAGGCCAAAATTCAGTGCTTTATGCACGTATCGTGCTGGATTTATTCATAATGCATTCGGGAACCCAGTGAAAAAGACCTCTGTACTGTAGGACAGGCCTAGATGCTACTCTCGTGGAATACCTCAAACTATCGCTCCGTCATCTATAGACCACCTACTCACCGCTATCATCTTTCCTCAAGGAATTTCAAACTTGGCCCCCCACAACGCAGATGGGAGAATATGTTGATGCTATCCGTCTTACCTGGTTCTTGATCCGTTTGCGCGGCTCCAGAAGGGTCCCTTCTGCAGCCTCCCTGTCGTCAAGCTGACCAGTCAAACATGTATATCTAAGGTCGACCACAAAGTGAATGCTGCATTCTAAATACACCCAGGCTTAGAAATCAAAGTCTAAACAAACGTTGCGGAGCAACCTAAAGCCATCAAAATTAGGGTTTGTGGATGAGCTTGGAGTAACCTGCCGTTGACTGAACCAGACAAGAGAGTCTTGGAAGATCAACGATGCTCGCTTTGTGAACTTATGTCGAGAAACTTAACCCGGAGTGATCACAACCCTTAGACAGGGTTCTCGAAACACTTCCTTTCAAGGCGATGCGCCATGCCAGGTCATTCATAGTTGACTTTCTGGTCGAGTGCGTAATCAAGGATGTCACCCTGTTTTCATCTAAGCACAATCATGTCACCAACATAGATGTAATATGCATTTACTTGCTACCACCCCAAGTCTACTTCCCACTAGCGGTGCAACTTGAGTAAAACCGAGTCGCTCACCTGACCGGACTAGTGGCTGCAACCCGCTAAATCCATCCGGTGCTATTTTCAGACAAAGCCAATTGCATCCCAGCACGCCACTTTGCCGACGTCTGGCGCGTGGATACTCCCTATGAAATCACTGCGTACGCTGTACGGAGTATATCGTAGTATCGCTACCCGCAAAACTATACCGCGGGGGGAACGGAGAAAAGATGTCTGTATTCTGACTCTGTCGATGGGTCGCTGAGTCAATTTCTGTCCTGGATGCCCAATAAGGAACGCCGAGATGGTGAGAATACCTTAGTACATACAAGTGCTGTCAGCCTAAACCATGCAGCACGTACTCAGCAAATACGGACGAATGTATCTGTTAGCCGAATCTGAGTTGTCACCCATACCCGTACTCTAGTACTATGTATACTTAGGTTGCACTACACAGCAAACGGTAGCTTTCCTGGCCGTAAGATCCTGGACCCAAAGCAGCCCCAGTCTCTGTCCATGCACATCCGGTGAGAATGATAATACATCGCTGCATGTACTTCGTAGATCTGACCTTGCCTGGATTTCCATGCCTTCCGAGACATTGCTTGGTTAATGGATATCAGTCCACCGTTCATAGCCACGGTGAGCTCACCCCGGACGATCATGATGCCATTGTCAGTGCAGACTAAGAATGCAGGGCCCTCCGCCTATCGTAGTGGTCGACCACGTTTTGCGCTGACAGCGCGGAATGCGGGCGATTACTATGAAGAATGTGCGTATCTGGATCAAAAAGATCGGCCAGCTTGCTCCACTACAGCCATGGATGAACGCCTCGACGATGCAGATAATCTACCCCAGCACGACGATCTCCTCGGTACACTTTGGGGTCCTGGCAACATCAATGCTTCTTTTCACTCGCCTGACACAAAGACTCGCCACGATTGCCATCCCGACCGCTATGACGAAAAGACGATGGCACCTGTACGAAGCGCCCGAGTTACTTTCCGTGGTTTCCTTTGGTCCGGTCCAAATTGCCAGACGATTAATTCCAAGACTACCTGATCTCGTTGCGCGTACCAGCAGTAGCAGATTTGGACGAATCTTGAGGTCCAACGGCGCTTAGACGACCACTCACTTGTCAAAGAGCCCCTATGTGAGTCAAAACTTCTCTCGTATTGGAAATTAAAACCCTGAAGAGAGATGAGGCTCTCGTCGCCAACTCCTTCCTGACAGGAGACGATCGATTGAGTTTGTTAGGGGAGGACCAGCGCATTGGGCATATTTCTTCGTATATCTCCGTACCCCACGATCAACCTCATCTTTCGATTTCAGCCCGTCATCGATCATAATATATCAGGATGCCAGCTGGTCTCACAGATCCTGGGACCGGAGTACTCCGCTGCAGTCATGGCGTTGACATTGCCGTTTCATCGTGCCGCCGGGTCGGATTAGTCCAACCATGACACGTCCGAGGGGATCCAGCAGGTAAGACAAGCACCAATGTGGAGGTCGAAAGGGGTCCAATCCGATTAAATTCCATTGGATTATGTTTTCTGTTTTCAGTGCGTGCTCCAGTGTAGGGATAATTTAAGAATTCCCCTCTTCGCAACCTGAGGCTAGTTCTTAGCGTTGCATTCTCCATCCGATCCGAGGTGTTTGGAGACAACCCGCCGATTGATCGTTAGATGGTCGCTGAACCGAGAGTCAAGGTCAATTATATGAGAGACGAAGAAGGACGCTTAGACTTGAATAATTCGTGAAATATTAAGGTAGTGCATGACCTTCAAATAGAGAATCTAGAGGACCAGTCACGGGGTCTTACCATACCAAACATACGGGCAATACCGTATTGGCTAGCGGTGTCTCGGCGCCTGAGGCCACCCCGTCTGATTCTCCTCAAATCCACTTTTTGCTCGCTGTCTTTCTTTCTTCTTCCTCTTCTACTTCAGCCCGTCCACTGTTCGTTTCTCTCTGTCATCCCTCCTCCCCCTCACTTCTCCCATTCCCTCGTTTTGGTCTCTCGTTTGACACCCCGCCCCCTCCTGTCGTTCCTGTACATCCGGTATGGAATGCTTCATACCCCTCTAGGCTCCAGTCTCCAAGTCTTGTCCGTTAATCTTTATCAGGTGGATCCCGACTTGCTCTCCAGTTCTCCACGTTCACGACTCCATAAACCCATCGATTCCCGTGGTCTTTCCGTCTGATTTGTCCGACAGCCCGAGAAATAATAGACCGGATAGCTGAACATCACCTTCGCCACACCTCACTCGTTACAACCGTCATCTACGACATATGATCACACCCCACGAACCTCATGCCATAACCTCCTCCCTTCTACGCTTTGTCCATTTCTGAGTCGATCCAGGTCCACAGCCTACCGGACGCTCTGACGTACCCTCTCTCACAACCGCAATCGAGTTGAAGGAAGGAAAGAACAAAATGGCCAGCCCCGTTGCAGGCGGATACCCTCAACCTGTCACCTCTCCTCCTCCGGTCTACCTGCGATCTTCTCCGCCTGCCTCCGACACTCATAATGCGACCCCTCGGTCCACACACAAGAGACCTTTGAGCTTTGGCTTTGGTCGCAAATCCCCCACAGCCTCGGTCCCATTGACAGACCATGTCGCAGAAGACCGGCGTGTCTCGAGAGGGCCCGATGATGCGACCTTGGCCCCCGTGTTCAATAAGACCGTCGACAATTTCCCCGTCGATTACGACGTCCCTCCGCTGCCAACGGGACGGTTCTCCAAATTGACCGTGGAAGAAGACCTGTCCCAGTCGAACAATAGCCAAATTCCTGATGGTCCTTCGCCTGCCTCCAACAGAGATTCATACGACGCTCCGCCACCGCCACCATCCCATCTTCCCCAGACATCGGCGCATGGACATACTCCGGCCAGCAGTGGCTCGTGGTCGGTGGTAGAGCCTCATGGGAAGGAAGAGCCTAAGATCCTGATCAATGCCAGCGGATCGTCGCTAGATCAAGGCGCCCCCAGCGCAAGTCATAACAGCTCTTCTCGGGGCAGCTTGGACAGTGTCGACCAGGTGCCCGAAGTTGTTGAGGAGCCGGAGCCGGAACCTTTGCACTACCACCACCGTCCCTACCAGCCCAAGGCGACCCCGCCTGCCGAGAATGCCGCAGGCAATGGCCATCTGTCGGCTCATCGCGCTCGATCATCCCGGCCCCGCTCGGCGTATTCCATTGCGTCTGATATTGACGGCCGCAATGGATCCCCTCACGGATCTCCATACCTCCATGCGCGCTCCTCATCACGGCACTCCGCCTCTCCGGACGTTCGGCCGGTCTCCTTTGTTGATCTTCTCAACACGCCCTATCCGCAACCCGGTCCCGCACCAGCGCAATTCGGCAATGCCCAGCTGCAGTCATCTGTCGGCAACAGCGCGTCGTTGCTCAGCCACAAGCAAACATTTGACATGTACCTGGCCAACGTCAAGAAGACGGACGATCCGGCCACTCAGTATGAATTTGCCATCTTCATGGTTAATGCCATGTTGGAAATGCCCGAAGATCTCGACGGGGTGGCACAGGTGTACGGCCGCAAGGGACATGAGATCACGCGAGCCAGTCTGCTAAAGGAAGCCAAATCCATTCTGCAGCGGCTGTCCGACCGCAGCTACCCATTCGCGCAATACTACCTGGCCGACGGCTATGCCTCCGGCCTGTTCAACAAGGGCAAGGAAGACCCCGACCGCGCATTCACCCTGTTTCTCGCCGCCAGCAAGCACGGCCACGTGGAAGCGTGCTACCGAACGGCACTCTGCTACGAATTCGGCTGGGGTACTCGCGTCGAGGCGGCCCGGGCTCAACAATTCTATCGTCAGGCGGCCTCGAAGAACCATCCGGGTGCCATGTTGCGCATGGCCAAGGCCTGTCTAGCCGGCGACATGGGTCTGGGGGTGCGCTACCGCGAAGGAGTGAAGTGGTTGAAGCGGGCAACAGAATCATCGGACCGGCAGTACAACTCGGCGCCGTATGAGCTGGGATTGATGCACGAGTCGGGATACGGCGACGACGTCTTCCCCGACCAGTCGTATGCTGCTCAACTGTTCACCAAATCGGCGGACCTGGGACATGTAGAGGCGAGCTACCGGCTAGGCGATGCTTATGAGCACGGCAAGCTGAACTGCCCTCGCGACCCCGCCTTGAGCATTCACTTCTACACAGGGGCCGCCCAAGGAGGACATGCGCATGCGATGATGGCGCTCTGTGCATGGTACCTAGTGGGGGCGGAGCCCGTGCTTGAGAAGGACGAGAACGAGGCGTATGAATGGGCCAAGCGAGCCGCCGATCTAGGTAAGCTGGCATTTCGTTTCTGGCAGTGATCATAGCTAATGGTTTGTCTCCGAAAATAGGTCTCACCAAAGCTCAATACGCAGTGGGCTATTTCACCGAGATGGGCATCGGCTGCCGACGTGATCCGTTGGAGGCCAACGTCTGGTATGTGAAAGCGGCGGAGCAGGGCGATACGCGAGCGACGCATCGAATTGCAGCGATTCGAGCAGCGGCCGAGGGGGTGGATCCCGCGCAGGCCGCCAGTCAGGGACAAAAGGGGAAGAAGGGTGAGTTCTCGTTCCTGCATTGCACGGATCGTCGAGGTGATCGGCAGGCTAACGGTGATAACAGAGGGCAAGAAGCGATTCGGTCTTTTTTAGTTGTCCGCTGCTGCACTAGCCAGCCAGCTTTGGTCTGATTGTACAGGGGTTTCGTGCAGTTATTTATCCAGCGATTTCGAACATAACGGCGTAATTGGAGCGACCATCTTCAGGGGTAATGCATAATATTGAACAGCGCAGACTCTGACTGGTTGATGATTGGAAGACGGTCGGTCGGTTTGGCCGGTCGCATGGGTGTATTTGGTATAGGAAACAGAAATCAGATTTTGAACATATGACTTGGTTTCCAGAGCACAGAACGGAGTAAGAAGTAGAGTAACGAGATGTCTCAGGCCACCTGTAGCGAAGAGCAAGACATGATGTATCACAATCGCATTGAGAATGGGACCTTGAAACATGGCCTCTGCATGATGTGTTTGCTCCAACCGTGTTTCTACTTCCTCGGTTTCTGATAGTTACAGTATTCTGACTGCGAAAGAATAATAAACAAACAAATAGTTACTTACTCCGTAAATCAAGTACCTGCATGCTCTTCCCAGCCTGAGTATTTGTCAATCCTTACTGTTTAGGGTGCTTCTACGGTGTAGTTACCCCTTACTCTTGCTTCTACACACAAGCATGACATGGCATCGCATCGCAGTCACATGAAATTATAAGGATTGCTACACTGTACAGACTACAGAGTAGGTCCAGTAGGTGTAGAATTCAACACCGCCTCTTAAATCATCGCTCCCTATAAATAACCCACATCACGATGACGATGACGACACATCCTCCATAGTACATACACCGTACACAGTCCCTACAATAATACTATGTAACCAAGCACTCGCCACCAACAATCCCAATCAGCCCACATCCCTTCATCCTGAGAATCCGGGTACACAGAAATTCCCCACAATTCCCCTGATATTCACCTCGCTACGGCGCACTTCCTTGGATGATGAGCGTTCAGAAAACCGGGTCCCGTGCCAATCACACCCTCCTGCGGCCTGTCGATCCCGTCGATTGTTGTTTCGGATGATGCGTACCCCGTTTTGCTTTGTTGGACGGATAACTGGCGCGGGAGGAGGTTCTGTTGCTATAAATATTCGGTTGATAGATAATTTACTAAGGGTAACAGGGTTGGTGAGTAGTGAGTACGGAGTACTGTGTAGCATAGCATAGGATAGTTATCTCGTGGTGGATCTGGCCCTGTCCCTGACTGGCGTGTCTAGTATCTACTAGGTTACGGAGCCTAAACTCCGCACCGCACCTGAAAGTGAAAGCAAGCTGGTTCTGATGTAAGTGGTTTGGGTTTTGGCTTTGGGAGTGCATGCTGCAGGTGCAGGTATAAAAGGGGAGATCGCTCAGTCTGCAGTTTCTGTTTTTTTCTCTCTTCATCCCTGGATTTGTGTCTTGCACGTTCAGTTCGATTTTTTTATCTATCGATCGATCTATCTATCTACATCTCTTTCATACTCTATCCTACCTATCTTTCTCTCTCTCTCTCTCGACGTAAGTTACCTTATCCAAGGTCCTATCTCATCCCATCGTACCTGTCTATCCAATTCCCCATCCAATTCATCCTCCCATCGATCGTTCACCTCCCCATAACCCATTTTAACTCATTGTATTTCTTGACACCCAAAACTAACAACGTTCATCACATCTCACCAGTCAACCTCCTCAACCCTCCCTCCAATCCCAATTCCAAACTGATCCCTACGCAAAAATGCAAATCTTCCAAACCCTCCTCACCACCGCCCTCCTGGCCACTTCCTTCGTCGCCGCCCGTCCCGCCGAACACAGCAATGTCGTCCGCGACTCCGAGCTGTTCGTGCGTGAGCCTTTGAAGAGCTGTATTGGTGTATGTTCCTCTTTCTCTTCTTTCCCCTCTATTAGAAGATAAGGACAACATAGACGGAATGAGATGAACTGCAAGGCAAGGAATGGGAAAAGGCTTTGCTGGATGGACGAATGGATGGATGAATAAGATATGGATAAAAGCTAACAGCTCGTGTGTGTGTGTTTGATGATATAGAAACTCCAAACCAACTCGCCCTGCACGAACGTCACGACGTCGGCGTTCGCGTGCTGTCCGCCTTTGCAGTGTGGTAGTGATAAGGTATATCCCTTTTTTTCTTTCCCTTTCTTTTCTTTACTTTCCGGTGGTTCTTCTGGATATGGTTCTGTGGGGGGTTCTGTTGGAATTTAGCTAATATCTATTTCGTTTGAATAGCTGTGCCGGTAATTTGATACCTAGATGATTTTGCTCTGTTTATCTATTCATTCATCCGGCACATCGATTTCACCAATGATCTGGCTCGAAAATATGGCTGGTCATTCGTGAGAAGACCTCTTGGTCTACGTGCGTGTGCGGAGATAGGATAAATGGATAATTGGAAGGATATGACGGAGACGGTTGAGTCAAGACAAGAAGTCTCGGGCTCGGATACCCATTGCACGATGAAAGCTAATAATGACCTTCGAGGGTATATGTATTTACTACTAGGTATCTAGCTGTCTAGCTAGCGCGCGAGACATAACAATTAATGTGTTGATAAGCGGTTACTTACTTTTGCTTTGCTTGCTTGGGGTTATATCTATCCCTGGTTCGCCGGTCTTGTCTCATTCGTGTACACATTATATTATCCATTATATAGGCCAGTGATAGCAGAGGGAGGGGAACTAAGGTGAGGAAGACCATGTCTAACTAGCAGTACATCCGCCCCAAGCTAGGCTCCACAACATCCAAAGACGTGAACGAACAGTGGGCATACACCGACTCATCCTCCGTCCCTGCGCCTGTATACTCTGTCATCTGCTCTTCCTCCCCCCGAGGGATCTCACCCCAGATGACGGGCTTCTCCGCAGCTCCCGCGTCCCCTTCTGGTGGATGACACGCCGCGCTAATTGCTGCACTACAATGCGTCGCCAGCGGCATATGCGACTCGAACCGTCGAGCCCCTGTCCCCAATAACAGACCCAGAGCGAAAATCCCCATCCAGAGAGCAATGAACATCGCCATCGGAGAATAGCAACATCCCCGAGATGAACTCTCCTCATCTTCTCTCCCGTCCGGGAAGTATGTCCTGATATTAACGAAGAAGATGCTCTGCGATACCAGCCAGTGCAGTGTGGCAGACAGCGCAAGAAGAGGGAGGCTGTACCGGTAGGGTAGACTAAGGTAATAAGTTGAGCGTTGCTGGCCGCGCGGCCAGGAAACGCGCAGCGGGCGGCGGTGGCGCGCGTACCGGTCCCATTCGGCGGCGACGAGCATGCAGGTGAGGATGCTGTTGATGACGAAGTAGAGAACCGATAACAGGATCTGTGGGGTGTTGGCGAGAAGCACGAGGGCTATCATGTCGCTGGAAAGGCGCCCGATCATGTTGTCTCCGCTGGTTTTTCCGAAGCCGAGGCTCATGGCGGACTCAAAGGTGCTTCCAGAGGGAATGGTGAGGACGAAAAGGTATATGGTTGCGACTATGGAGCAGATGCAGCTGAGGCTTGTTAGTAGGAGGATTTCTGATTTGACTCGGGCAGATGGACTCACAAGAACAGGACTGTCGCCCAGCGTGTCCAGCTGGCTGCTTGATACCATCTTTTGCGGCGAGGAAGAAGGCCGGGATAGACTTCATGGATTGCTTGCGTAGATGTTGAATAGTCCTTCAGCGGGAGCGTCGTTGGGCTCGCGGCCTGCTGCTGTACTGTGTAGCCTTTCGATTGGCCGGATGCGATAGCAGGCAGGCTCCAGGCTTGAGCCCCCCGAGTCATCTCCGCGTACGAGAGGAGACATCGGCCACGGGTAGTTGAATCAGGGCGTGTAAGGAATGAGGACAGCGCATCTCCCACTGTCAACATAAGATCCCTGCGCTTACCTCGGGTGGTCAACAGCATGCAGATGACTTTGGTAGCATTGCAGATGATGACTACTATCGCGATCGGGGGACTGAAAAACAACTGGCAGTGTTCTTCCGCCTCTTTGATCAGACAGTGAGACGTAGGAACGTGTCGAGCAGGATGATCGAATCCAACATTCAAATTTATGGAGCCATTGCCGATCAGCTCAAAGGTTACATTGGCTGCCCAAGAGCTGTTCGTCCAGTGAGCAGGATTGTCCAAGTATTCGCGCAGGGCGTCGCGAGACGGATTATAGGCAAAATTATAGTTCGCCAGGGTTAGAAGGTCATCTGTATTGCTGTAGCTGCCATACATCCCCAGCCTTGTATCATCGCGAAAGTTAAACGAGGACATCGGACGATAGAGCGCATCAGTTTTGTCATAAAAATCGTCCTGTATGTGATTAGGTGCAGAATAGTTCCACACGCGGTAGCTCCAGTGCCGAGTTTGCATTGTCCAGTTATCCACGGGGATATAGTTTTCCTTAAAGTAGTTGTATATCGACTCGCCATATGGCCCTGGCCAGGCGTGGGATCCCCATACCATGAGACTACTGGTGTTGGGAAAATGCTGTCGATCCGCCACGAAGACGAGCGTGCCATACTTTGTATTGTATTCCACATTGTACTTGGACACGCAATCCGCATTCGTCGCGTTGATAAAGCTTCCGTTGAAAATTTGTGCTCGGGTAGCTGTTTCATCGGTGCCGACGTGGGACAGAAAGATCTCATGGCTAGTAGTGTCACCAGTCAAGGACTCGTTTGGTGACAGATCATTCGGTATCATGAAAGTGCCGTATCTTAAATCCGATATTGACGAGAAAATTGCCGAGTTATAGATCATATGGATCGGAGTCGAGCTAATAAGAAGCAGCACCCATAACACCTTTCGTCGGGTGTCCATAACTGTAAAGTTGCGAAAGCTGGCGGTGCCAATGTCCAGCCATCGTGACTTGGCATGGGCCTGGTCGATATCGGCCCGGGACGGTGCGCCCAGGCTCTGCATGACATAGTTGCTAGCTCCGAGAAGAACTGTGCTCAGCACGTTAATCACAACGTGGAGTCCTGTTGCCCAGTGACTGGAGCGCGCGCATTGTCCATTATACAATTCGGCCATTTGGAACTGTCCTCGATTGCTTTGTCGCCGATAGGCGATGACTGTCGCCGTAATGGTCAGGATGATGTTGATAGCGAGGATCAGGCCGGTGATGCAGGTGCATACGACCACCCCTTTGATCCAGTCACTTCCTTCCTCGGCTTTTCTGGACCCAGGCAGTGTGCATGGGAATAAGACTTCTTTCCATCGTGAATGCTTGCGCTTCGATTTATTAGACAGATTGGAATAGCGAAACTTCTCCCGCCAGGCCAAGGGTATGCCAAAAACCCCGTGCGTCCGATTGCGGTCTGCGGTCATTGCGTTGTGTTCTGGGGGAATGGCCGATAATCTTCAAACGCAACACAGCAGATGCAGAGACAAATGATCCGGTGGTCAGGATGTTCTGCAAGCGCACATATTGTTATGAAGAGAAATTAAGCCGCACGGTCGTTTGCCCGATAACAAAGAGGCAAAAATGGGGTAAGGCTAGGATTCCGGGCTTCAGCCTCGCGGTTAGCCCTGACTCGCACCGCATAGTGTGACCTTTGATCGGGCTGACAAGGCTTGGCAGTGGTAGGAGGATGCTCGCGGGCTCTAGTATGCGGGGATCTTGTTATACGGATGCCTGGCCTGACCATGACTACAACTTAGTTGATCACGTCAACCGTTGTCATTAGTAAACATAATGAACACTTGGAGGAACTGCTTAGCTAGAAATTCATGATTGAGTAGCTAAATCTGGATGAGAGATTTAAACAGAAAATTGCTGTATCTCTCTAACATTCATAAACTTTCGGTTAGTCTAGTGAGATGGAGCCCTGCAGGCATCGCGTTCCTGAAAGTGGACGTTCTACTAATGGGGTTGCTGGCACCTAGTCAGTAGCGATTTATCGGTTTCGTTGATGATGGAAGTTGTCCTTCAGGTCGAAGAAGAACCAAGTCCCGTGGCTTATGAAGACGATCTACGGTTGACCAGAAATACCAGGCATGCCGCAACACGAGAAAGTGCGAACAGACAAATCCAGCCATTTGAACTAATGGAGGACAGTTTTCCTAGCTCATCCATTGCACGGCGATCAAATTTACTTTAGAAAGACAACAGGAAGTCTTACAGAAGTATACTACAATCTTATCGTGATAATTAGCATGTACAGTACATATTGACAAAAAAGAAAAGAACATGGAAGCACCAGTCAGTGAACACGTCAAATAAAGTGATATCTACTACATGAAAGAAAAGGCCTTCCAAGTATTGGGGATCTCAAGAAGATGAAAGAAAAAAGGAAACCCTCCGAGAGGAGCCACACGAAAAGAAATTTGAAAAAGAAACTCCAAACATATATATCCCTTTAACCTATGAACAATTGAACCAAGTTCTTAAGCCTCACGCTTAGAACTGGTCAATGCAACCCCAGTAGCGCTCGACGTCGAACTCGCCGGCATCCTTCCAGAGGTCGTTGGAGTAGGAGAAGAAGACGGACAGGGAGCCGACCTCCTCAACCAGAGCCTTGATGGCGGCGGCCTGCTGGGAGGCACCGGGGACGGCGAGACCGTTGGCCTCACCCTGGCTGGGCCAACCGGTCTCCAAGTTGATGACATCCTTGCCGTCACAGATACCCTCGAGGATCTTGACCTGAGACTTGGCGAACTTACCAGCCTCCTTGGGAGAAACCTCGGCGTTGAAGAAGGGGTGGATGTTGGCACCGACGACGTCAATGGCGCTGCAGAGAGCGGAGCCGCTCTGCTCCCAGACGTTGATGGGCTCAGTGGTGGTGATCTGGCCGGAGTAGCCGGCAGCCTCGAACTTGGACTTGGAGGAGGCGATGAAGCCAGCAAGCTCGGAAGCGCTGCAGTAGCCGTTCTGGATGGACTCGTTACCGACGACGATCAGGGTGACGAGGTCCCACTCGGCCCACTTGGAGATGGCAGTGACCTGCTCCTGGGCACCGGAGATGCCGCTGCCGTCAATGAAGACACCGATGATCAGCTGGAGGCTGTGCTTGCGGGCGGCCTCGCCGATGTACTCGAGACTGTTGCAGTCGGTGGAGTAGACACGGACGTGGCTGAATCCCTTCTGGGCGATGACGGCGATGTCGGACAGGACGTCGCTCTTGGACTTGCACTGGCTGTCGTTGGTGTAGGGAGAGTAGGTCATACCCATCTGCTTGCCGCTGACACCGGTGGGGACGGCAGTCTTGGAGCTAGAGGTGGACGAGGGAGCGGCCTGGGTGGTGGGGACGGCAGTAGTGGTGGGAGCAACGGGAGTCTGGGAGACAGCAGGGGTGGTGCTGGGAGCCTCGGGGACGGGAGCCGGGGTGGAAGTGGGCTCGTTAGAGTCGGTGAAGGGGCAGACATAGGAGATGTCGGTGCGGGTGACGGTCACCACCTGCTCAGGCTGAGTGTAGGTACCCGGGGTGAAGGTGGCCGGGGTGGGGTAGACCACAACGGTGCTGGAGGGCACGTAGGTGGTGGTGGGAGCGATGGTGTAGGTACCGGCGCTGGGGCAGACGTAGGTGGTGGTCTCAATGACGCTGGTCACGGTCGAGCCGCTGGGCTTGACGGTAGCGTAGGGGCAGGTGACCGTGGTGGCGGTCTCGACGATGGTGGTAACACCACCGTAGGTGTGGGAACCGCTGGGCAGGTCGGTGGTGGTGGCTCCACAGACGGTGGTGGCATCGGTGACGGTCACAGTCGTGGCGGGGACGGTGAAGGTACCGGTGGAGGGGAAGTTGGTCACACCGGGGGTGGGCAGAGTCACCTCAGGGGTGGGAGCGGGAGCGGTCGAGGCAGGCTGCTCGGGGGTACCGGTAGGCTCGACACCGGCCGGGGTGGAGGCAGTAGGCTGCTCAGGCACGGCGGGAGCAGTAGTAGGCTCCTCGGGGACCGCGGGGGCAGTGGTGGGCTCCTCGGGGACCGCGGGAGCAGTGGTAGGCTGCTCGGGAGTACCGGTAGGCTCGACACCGGCGGGGGTGGAGGGGGTGACGACCACGGTCTCGGTGGTGTAGCTGGTCGAGTGACGGGTGGTGATCACGTTGGAGGTCACGGTGCTCTCCACGGGGGCGGGAGGGTTGGGAGCGGAGGTGGCCTCGACGGGGGGAGCGGAAGTAGGCTCAGCAGGAGCGGAGGTCGACTCGATGATGGGGATCACTGATGATATTTTTAGCGGGTGTCCACGTTGGAGTGATATGATGTTATGCCAACATACAGGTAGGGTTTCCGTAGTAGGTGATGACCTCGGTGGTGCATCCGCACTGCTCCTCAGGCTCAGGCTGGAGAGCCCGACGGTGGTGAAGAGAGTCGTGACGGCGCATGTGAGCGACGTCCGCCATGGCCGTACCGGCAAGAGCGGCCGCGGTGGCCAAGAAAGCACCCTTCATGATGAACGAAGAATGGGTTTTATTGTTTTGTTTTCTCAAAAGGTGGAATCAAAGAATGCCCGCTGAAAGAGTGAAGCGGTGGTCAACAAGTTCAACCGAAAGGAAGGAATTGGAGGAAGGGAGAAGGGAAAGTAGGGGGGGAAAGGGCCGGTAGCCTCTTTTTGATCTTGACTGACAGGGGGATAAGGAAGGGAAGGGAAGGAAAGGAAGGAAGAGAAAGGAAAGGGAAGAAAAAAGAGGGACGAAGCCAGGAAGAAGAAGGCCGAAAAACGAGAAGGGGGGGCGAAGGGACTGGGCAGTCTGGCCCCAGTGGACAACCCGATTAGGGGGTAGTGCTCGACGCTAGTTCAGGCACCGGTTGCCCGCTATTGGTGGCGGCTCTCTCACTGGTGCTTGCTCGGTTCGGATAGAAGTGGGGGTTGCTCTGCCTGTGTCTTTGTCGTGTCTCACTGACCTGTCCTTGCTTGTCTGGTGGTCTTGCGTGTTCTTGGAGTCCTGGGCAGGTTGCCAGGTATTCACGTATGGAGTACCGAGGTGTGTTCTTGGTTCAATTGTTTAGTTGTACCCAAATACAAGATACGAAGTATCTACGGAGTAGTACGAAGACTTGAATTATTCTGATATGTTTGACTGATGATAACGCTAGATATCCCCGTAATCCACCACTGTCTGGGGGCTAAACGCCCTATCCGAAGGCTTGGACAAGCGGCAATCTCCAGATCAACTAGTGAAATGAAGAACTCATCTGCCATTTGTATAGACAAGGAATACAATGTTCAAAGTGTACATTCACCGTACAGAACAGAGAAACAGAAAGCGAGTGTAAAAGTCAAAGACCCAGGCAAAAGACGGTCAACCCAAGTGGGAATCGCGTAAACGCTAAACTCCCCCGCCTCTGCAGCCAAGTGGGGCCAGACTTTGATTTGGGTCCCTTAAGGCCCGCATTCTCGGTTCGATTGGCTGCTCAGCCGCAGCTTTAATTTCCGCAGACCCACCGGCTGCCTCGGGTTGGACCAACTTTCGGCTGCTTTTTGTTTACTCCGTAATTTTACTTTAGCACGCAGGACCGAAATCAGGGGTCAGGAGGGAATTGTCATTTCTGATGATTCATTTATAATATGATTCTGAATATTCAGCCTATATTCAGTCGGGATGAAACGTTTCGTGCAGTTGATACATTTCCTGCATATTCCCAGAAAGTGAATCAACGCAGACACATCAAGTCGACCCTGGTTAGGACTCCGCGGAGTACATGTACGGTGTACAGTAACGAAATGAAACCGCCACCAGAATAATTGGCAATAGGTCATCCACGGACCATCTCCGCTCTCGCCGATCGCCATTTCCTTTTCTTTCCCTTAGCAAATCTCCATTCTGTTTCTATTCTGGATCTGAATTCTGAATGCTGGATTCGAGGTCTGGACTTATCGAAGTTGACCTGAACAATGAACACACTACGAGTCAAATCCGGTGGAACTCTATCTTTCCCTCTGAGCCTGAAATGCCGAGACCCGACTCTATCCCTGGAGATGGGGATGGAGATGCAGATGGAGATGTCTCAGTCTGCGTTCTTTCTGCTTACTAGCGGGGACTGAAAGTGAAATCAACGGTGCGAAACCAGAAATGCAAAGGAAATATCAATCCTGCATAAATTAATTGCGGGATCGTGGCGCACCACGATCGCCCGGAACATACGGGGTCGAATGCAAGGAACAAACGAGAAGAATGTGGCGGTGGCTTTTCTGCCTCGTCTGTCTGTCTGTCATCCTGTTGGTTTCGGCTTCCAGGTACGGAGTAGGTACCCTTGACTTCTAAGTCTTGTTACGGTGAGCACCGTAGGATGAGGATCCTCGAGGGTTGTGATCGCAGAGATCAGCAGGCCTCGACCCGATTGCTGTCCCTTTTCCCCTCCACTGCGGCCCCTGATCGAGGCTTGGCTTGAGTTTTTCGCTCTGAAGGTAGCTATGGAGACGGATTCAAGCAGTGATCAACGTTTTAACGGTCAACTTGGTTGACTTGGAGAAGTCAATGCTGATAGATAGTCTGATAGTGTCGAACTTAGACATGTCTTGGATGAGATTGAGAGTCAGCCAGCCAGGTAGCCCCTTTACGGCGATTCAACGGTAACGGTCGTGGTAGGTAGCGCGAACCCCTGAGTTGGGGGTTGGCAGGTCAGGACGAGGATCCATCTCTTCAGAGTAACTAACTATATTTCTCGATATCTTTAAGTATTGCATAAAATAAACAATAGATCAATCAGTCCCTGAAGAGTGAAGACATTCATGTCTGAGACACTGCAATCATAGACGAAAAATATGATCTCATCCCGTATTATCCTTCATCATCCTGCCCGTCCGCAAATTCGCCCCTCCGTCTAATTCACCTCGTATAGTTAGCGTGCGACCAGCCCGGTCCCTGTCGCCACGTTGTCACACCCCTATGTTGGTCAACCATTGACTGTCAACTGTCAAGTAAGTCAGTGCCTCAGTCCAATCGACTGCGTGTCAGACTCAGATGGCTGTCAGAGTCAGCCCTGCATAGGGCTCCAACGGAGGATTGGGCCTGAAGTCTTGAACAGGAATTTCCTGGTTTGGCTCAGGGGCTGTCATTCGGTAGGCATGTTGCTGCCTGAGGTGTACACTGCCAAGCATCTCTTCCCAGCATGACTTTTCCCTCCATATTCATCAATTGATTTAGTCGGAATCGTCAATTCGGCATTCCTAAAGACACTCTCTTCATTTATTATCACCGCAATGCAACCTAGGACCTAGAAATCCCACACATCTCCTGACTAGCAGAGAGTGCGAGAATGTACTCCCAACATAGAAACATCCAGGAGTCGGAATACTTCAGTCCAAAGTTCACAATTCGAAGGGTAGATCTTCTCTCAAAAGGTCGAGCAGATATCAATTCAATCTCAAAGCACCATGGAATGCTTCAAACAAAAGAATAAAAACCCACCAAGCAAAACAACAATTATATGAAACCCCAGATCCCCAACTGGCTACCACCCCAGATATCAAGACCACATGAACGATGCAGGGTCACCAACTATTCCAAACCAAACCCTCGGTTTCCAACCCAGAAACAAACTAAGTACAGAGGAAGTACCATCTATATATCCCCACCATACAACCAGTACCTCCTCGTCGTCCGGAAAACCGCCCTCCCGACCGACACCACACCACCCACCACGATCATGCCATCGCACCGGACCACACCACACCACATGCAAGCATTCACCCTAACCACGCCATTCATCCGACCAAACCACCACACCACCATAATAAAACAACCCAGCTCAGCCTCAACCATCCCGCGAACAGACAACCCACTATTCCATCTGCGGCCTAGTCGCACTCGGCTTTCCCGATCCTCTTTGTTATGGATCCCCTGTCATTGGACCGTGGGTGATCCTGCGCTGTAAATCTCCCATACTCTGGGTTTGATCCGGTGCGAGGTGTCATGGTCTGGGGGCGGTGATACGATGACTCGATGGATTGATGGATTTGCTGGGTAGGTAGTGAGGTCGGTCGGGTTGGATCGTAGAGTGGTGAGGTGATGCGATTCGGATCCGGATGTGCCTTGTGCCTTCGAGGTATAGATGAAGGTGGAGGTGAGGAGGTGTATATAAAGTGTGTTCTGGTGAGTGGCTATAGAGATATTAGTTTATCATACACATACAGCAGACTGTCGATTGGGTCTACATACTTTCCCTTTCGCTATATTATACACTTCTTCGATTCCTTGTCATTTTATAACCACACATACTACATACTACATACTACACACACTTCACCTACCTACATACCACTCAACCAAACCATCAAAATGCCCAAAGAAGACATCCACACCACCACCCAAGCCCGTCTCCAAAACGACTACGGCGCTGACCTATGGGTGAAGAACGCCACTCCTCATCGTGTATGTCCCCCTCTCTACCTCTCCACTACTTCTCTCTCCCCTTCACAAGCAAGCAAGCCATACACAAAGCAAACCCACAACTAAACCCAAAATCCAACAAAAAACAGCACCCAACAGCAGGCCGCGGTCTCTTCGCCGGCCTCCAAGACGTAAAACAATATAACGTGGACTCGGGGTGGGCGAAACGCGGCAACGACGAGTCGTCGGGGTTGTTTGGGTTTTTGTTTGGTCGGTGAGTTTTTTTCTCTTTTACCCACTCTGTTTGTGTTGCCTTGCGGCGTGATGTGCTGGTTGAAAGAACTGACTGGGGATAGGATATTCGGGGGTGGATATAGACGGCCGGAGTAATCCATCTATCTATCTATCGATTGGTTGATTGATTGATTGAGCTGGTGGGTTGGATTGGATTCCTTAGAGAGAAAGATGGAGGAAGTGAGGATGAAACAAGATGGGAAGAACTAAGAAGAAGAGGAGGAGGAGGGTGAATACCTAACGGGATACGATAATCAGGTTGAAGCTTTTGCTTTGGTTTGCTTTGTTTGATTTTAGCATGCTGGATATATGTTTTTTCACATTCTATTCTGGGTATATATTTTATCTTCATTTACATTTACATTTACATTTACATTTACTGTGACTTTTTCACATTTAGTATATCATTCTCGATGGCATTTGCTTCTATGTATAATATGTATCAGTCCAAAAACAATATGACAACAGTAAGTTCTATTCTAGATACTACCTTCCTATCGCAATCACAACTATACTGACACTATCATTCTATAAAACCCTATCTACATACATACATACATACATGCAGTGACAATCTCTTCTCCACTTCAAATCTACCATCCGATATCCGATACAACACACCCCCGCATTTCTTGTCCGGGGAATGTCAAATGTGGAACGTGAAACATGAAACATTCTACGTCTGAAGATACTTGGATGATCCGGTGGAGTGGGAGGGTGGAATAGAATGTGGATCTGCCCTACCCGTCATCTATCACTTCATTTTTGTTGATCTTGACATTCAGAGTAAACGACCATGGCTCTGGAGGATTATCTTTAGTTTCTCTGACCTGGGTATAATCGTTGGTGGTGGGTGTGGCATGGTATGCTATACTATGATACTTACCTCTTCTGTACTCCGGTGGGTGGATATAGAGTTAGATGAGTAGGGGGACAGCAATAGCAGGACATCAAATACACACATATCTACATGATATCAATCAGCAGATTCAGATCCCTTCATTTAACCTACAAATAGTATCAAGTAATAACTTGTAACATGATATAAGACTCCATATTCATCGATCCATCAACCCATTGAAATACCAACAGTCAATCATCTAGTTCCATTCATCTAAATGATCTACTCTACTCCCAACTATCAATCTTCATGGTTCCCTTCTCCTGCAAGCTCTGGTGCATCTTGAACGCCTGGAACAGCAGATGCGGCTCATGACCCATGCCCTTACGCAGACACTCGAATTCAGCTCGGTCCAGGTAATCCGTCAGGATGGGCTTGTAGTCGGGGTGCGAGCACTTGTTGATGATGACGCGAGCGCGCTCACGGGGGGAGAGGCCGCGGACGTCGGCGAGTCCCTGTTTTTCATACATGTTAGTGTCACGGTGATATGGAGACAGAAAAAAGGGAGGGGGAGTGGGGGGTTCAGGTACCTGTTCCGTAACAACCACGTCGAGATCGTGCTCCGTCTGGTCAATGTGCGTACAGAACGGCACGATGCAGCTGACACCGGTGGGATCGGTCTTGCTGGGTCGCGTGGACGGCGTGTGCATGATACTGTACTTGGAGCTACGCAAGAAATCGGCCGATCCGCCGAGACCGTTCAGCATGCGCGAGCCCATGACGCAGGTGGAGTTGGCGTGGGCGTAAATGTCGACTTCGACGGGGGTGTTCATGCCGATGCAGCCCAGGCGGCGGATGATCTCGGGGGAGTTGGAGACCTGCTGGGAGCGCAGGAGGAGCTTGCCGGCGTAGCGCTCCCAGTTGTCGTAGAAGCGCTTGAAGCCGTCGGGGGAGAAGCGGATGGAGGTGGCCGTGGCGAAGTCGAGGTTGCCGCTGTCGAACAGGTCGAGGAAGGAGTCCTGCAGCACCTCGGTCCAGACCTTCAGGTTGGTGAAGTCGGCGCCGCCCTTGCTGAGGCCGCCGATGACCGCGTTGGCGATGTTGCCGATGCCCGACTGGATCGGGAGCAGGTTCTTGGGCAGTCGGCCGTGGTTGACCTCGTGCTTGAGGAACTCGATCAGGTTCGTGGCGATGGCCTGCGAGCCGGCGTCCTCCGGCGCGTTGGGCTGCGTCTGGTCCGGGTAGTCCGACTCGACGATGGCCACGACCTTCTCGGGGTCGACGGGGATGTGCGGCGTTCCGATGCGGTCCTCGGGCGCCATGATGAGGTAGGGCTTGCGGTTAGGCGGCAGGTCCGACAGCGCAATGTCGTGTAGACCCTCGAACGAGGGACTGGCCGTGTTGACTTCGATGATGACCTTGTCGGCCATCTGCACCAGTTCGGGCGACGCGCCCACCGACGCACCGGGAATGATGCCACCGTCCTCGGTGATGGCGGAGGCCTCGATGACCGCGACGTCCAGCTTGTTGCGCGGCTTATTTAACGTGTAGTATCCGTAGACCAGATCCGACGGGAACATGCTCAGATGCTTATCGAAGAACTTGATCTGGCCATTGTTAATGCCCTTGGCGATCTCCTTGCCGACCTGATGCGGACTCCGGCGCTCGATCATGTTCAATCGGGCCCATCGGTTTTCAGTCTCCGCGCCTGACGAAGCGCCGACGAACAGGGTATATTTCAGTTTTCCTTCCAGCTTGTTCTTCTCAACGTGGTCGGCCAGCGCGGTGGGAACTTTCCTGGTCAAGTTAGCATTGAGCTGGAGATTTCAGACACAGAAAGGTGGAAACATACTTGGGATAACCCACACCCGTAAATCCGGACCAGCCGATGTACGAGCCATGAGGGAAATGTTCCACGAGGTCCTCAGCCTTGGCCAATTTGCTGAGGTAGGAGGGTCGTCTGACACGGCTCCTTAGGAGAGCAGAGGCCGACATTGTGAGGAGACAGGGCGAAGAGAAACCAATGAGGGAGGAAGGAGGTAGGACTGAATGAATAGAGGGAGAGATGGGGAGAGATGGAGAGATAGAGAGAGGAAGAGGAAGAGAAAGAAAAAGAGGGGAGAGTGTCTGACAAAAGAAAAAGGAAAAAGGAAAGGTGCAGATGGGGAGCTCCGCGATAGAAATAAGGACCCCCCGCCACGGAGAAGTCAGTCCCCGGCTTTTCCAGTGGAGAGAGCGATCCGGGAGAATGGAAGAAAGGAAAAGGGAGAATGGGTCTGGTTACAGGTAAGATTCCAATCAATCAGACGGTATTGGTTGAGCTGTTGAGCTACCGGTTTGAAGATCTTCCCATAGCTATCTACTAGTACTTACAGTCTGACTACTTCTACAGACAGACAGAGCAATTGAATTGTCCACCATGAGCTAGTCGAGAACAATCCTAATTCCCATTCACATCTCTCCACCGCAATGAAAGCGAGAAAGTGAAACTGCCCAGAAGTGAAAAAACCCAAAGCGAACAGAAGCACCACCAGGAGGACCCTCCGTGACGTCACCTCGGCGTTAACTCGGCCAGTCTTGTTTGCCTTCAGTCTCGACGTCACCTTGAGATCAACACTTGGTCGTTGTCTTTGGAGTTGTTGGACTCGAAATTGCTGCTGCATATATATCAGGCCATCCGACACTTTAAATAGGATTCCTCCCCGGGACGGTTACACAACGGTAACTGTAGATAACTGTAGATGTACTCAACAACCGCAGGCCGATCCGCACTCCGAGCCAAGGCCGGGTCTGGCCCTTTGGTCGGCGCAGTCTCGGGCTGTATCGGTTATGCCGCTTCGGCCACACGGAGCTTTCTCTTCGTCTACTGAGTTTAGGGCTTTGTGCCTTTTACCCAACAATCCAATAACTAATGCATACTGTACCGAGTAAGTAAATAATGTAAATAAGTAAGAACTATCGTGTCAACCCTGCCTAGAGTACAAGTACACACAGAAACGCATCCCAGGTCAATCCCATCCCGACACCATTTCCCTTCGAATGTCCTCTCGGTCCAGGCTGGACGGACCAGGGGGATCATCCGATCAACCAGCAAACCCATTCGTGGCAACCATGATCGTGCTTGCTGATCGTGCAGTCACTAAACTGCGAACAGAAGTCACGGAAGAAAATAACCCCCAAGAAAAAAAAACATAGACATAGACATAGACAAAAAATATAAAATGACAATGCAAGATAGCTGACGCCCATGTGCATTGGTAGAAGGAAACACAAAAAACAAAGTGTAAATCCCATCAAACTCCTAAAATACTGTTCAAGGTTCATAATATTCTCCCCGCTGATTCTCCACAAACTCGACCCGTCGAACCGATGCTTTACACCTGCTCCTTGATCTCCGAAGCGGCGGGCTCGGCGTCTGCCATCTCCGTATCTTCCTTGTTATCTGCACCCTCCTGCTTCTCGGATGTCGGCGCATCCGGTGCGGTGGTACCACCCTCCGTCTCCGTCCCCTTGATCCAGGAACGGAACCGCTGGTTGGACTCGTCCACTTGATCCTTGCTTAGCCCGTGCGCCCAGCTGGGGTTGTTGACGAACTTCTCGGTGAACCGATCTCGTCGTCGCTCCTTGACCGCCGCCGCCTCCTTGGCAGCCTCGTCGCCCGACTCGTCCGACGCCGTGATGGGCCGCCACCACCAGTCGTAGCTACCGGGCTCGTAGAGGATGTGGTAGCTGTTGGCACAGATGCGAATGATCAGTCCGTCCAGGTGCACCAACGGCCGGTAGAACCGGTTGTACTCCTCCTCTTGCTCCAGCTTGCCGGGCAGGTTGCGCTTGAGGAACGGCATGCGCATCTGCGAGAACGGCACTCCCTCAGTGGGATCCCTCATGGTGTAAGCCGAGACGTAGTACGACCAGCGAGCCTCCTGGCTCAACTCGGCATTTTCCAACGTCGAGTCTTCCGGAGTCAGAAGCTGAATGTAGGCCTTCTTGCTGGTAGGGCTCTGTACTATGGTATTAGCTTCCGAAGGAACAAAGTGGGAGTGTATCTTAACGACATACAAAAGTGATGCGGAAAATGTCTCCATCCTTGATCAGGCGCTCCACCTGCTTGCGGTACTGGATCTCCTGGTTATGCGTGGTCTGCTCCTTCTCGCGCTCCTTGAAAAAGAGGTTGATGATGTCCGAGCTGCGATCCTTGGCGTCGCCGCTGAAGATGGCCCCGGCAAACTTGGCGATCCCTGTGAACATCTTCTCCAGGTTGTACAGCTGGTAGCCGCTGCGCAGGTAATATCGGCGGAGAGTCTCCTCCAGATGCACCGGCTCCAGGTCGCCCTTGATCACCTCTTCGCACATGCGAACCACCTGGGAATACAGGTTGGCCGTGGGCTCGCAGTCGTAGAAGAAGTCGGTGGGGATCTTGTCGATCAGGTTAAGCTCCTGCGCGGGCTTGGCCATCAGAGCACGGCGGACATCCTCGTGGGCGTCCTTCTCGTGCAGCTTAATGCGAAGCAGGCGCGCGTAGAGAATCTCAAAGGTGCGGAAGAAACAGAAGATGTTCAGGTTGGAGTACAGGTGATGGACCTTCTTCTCGTAGGTTTCGTTCAAGGTGTATTCCCGCTTCATGTTGAAGTTGCCCTGTCCAGGGTGCTCCATCCACTTCAGCTCCGCCACGTCGAACGTTTCGGTGGGGTCGGGAATGGGCGTCGACGGAATGAGAACGGCGTCCGGGGTACCGTCGCGGCTGGCCGGAGCGCTGCCGCTCTCCTTCTCGCTGCGGTTGGCTTTCTCGCTGCGACGCTCCAGAACGTCACGAAGCAGGTCAATCTTCTTGCCATTGACAGGCTTGCGAACACGCGGGGTCGAGCTTTCTCCCGCGGCCACGCTCTCGTCATCGCCCTCGTCAATCGGAGAATTACCGCTGGTGACCTCGTTCATGTACAAGTGGAACGACTCCCGGTCCATGCCGAAGAAGAGGGGAATGAAGTCCTTGATGAAGTTGGTAACCTTCTGCGGGTCGGCTCCGAATCCAGCGGAGTTGCGGTCGATGAAGGTCAGGAGCAAGTGGGTGGCATCGATCAGAACGGCCGGGTCGTCAAAGGTAAACTCATACTGATGCTTGGGAATCTGGAACCCGGTCTTGCGGAGGTTCTTTCCCTCCTCAAACTTGCTCTGGATCTCGTTCTGCAGGTGTTTCGCCACGAAAAGCTTCTTGTCGATGCCCTTGCTGGCAATGGCCTGGTGATCCAAGCTGCGCCAGTAGGCCCTCTGCATCTGCTCGCGCCAGATCTTGTCCCACTCACGCTGACTCGCCTTCCATTCCTCTGATTTCTGCTTCAAGCGGAACAGCAGAATGGGAAGCACATGGCATGGCCGTTCGAACATCTCTTGGATGATCTTTTCGCCACGCTGCCGATCATAGATCTTCTTGATGACGCGCTGATAGATGGCCTCACTCTGCCCACCCAGACCAGGGGGAAGTTTGAAAGCCGCCCGCTCCGCCTCGGACATCACAAGGAATTGTTGCACAATGGGCTCGATCAGCTGGATAGTGCGAGTGCACGCCTCGATGTGGTGATCATAGTCGTGGCGGTCCTCCTCGATACGGTGCAAGGCATCTTCGTATTGGTTCTTGCGATGTGCCACGAAACCGGAGTCTTCAGAGGCCCACGTAGGGTGAGAAGCCCACTCGTCGTTCAATACGCTGTAGCAGAGCTGATCCCGGCCACTGCACGGCTTCTGTCTTTCGCGTTTTGGCAGAAGACGATAGCTAGGTCCAAGGGACCGGCAGTGGGACAGATTGACAATACCCGGCTCAACCCTAGGCTTGGGCTCGATAATCTTATCCTCAGGTTCGTCAACGTGCATAAATCGTTTGAACCATGCCATAAGCTCGGGGTTGGAACCAATGTAACCAGCAGCTCTCTTCACCAGGACGTGGCGGTCAATAAGGTCGGTAGAGTAAAGATTGCAGAGCTTAAGAAACTCGTTGAAGGTCTGTTTGTTGCCAATGTATTTCTTGACGCGATCGAAGAAAGCGAACTCCTCTTGGCTGGGAGTCAACGAGAAAGTAGGCTGTATCGGTTCCGGAAGGGCGGGAACAAGGGTTGGCGAGACAGCGGGGGCTTCTGCCTGGGCTGTCTTAGGATGATGGACCTTGGCTCGCTACAAAACAGGTCAGTATATATGCTAAGTTCACAGCAAGGTGAAGAACTAAAGTGAATGCGGCGGCGGGACTTTCCGAAAGGTAGGGGTCTTTGCGGGCAAAATACGGGAAACAAAGGGAATCGTTCCAGAGCACATTCATCGCGCGACCAAACTCACCTTGTTGGCATTGCCAGGCTGGATGGCCGGAGCTCGACCTCCTTGAGCATCAGGCAGACGTGCAGCGTCGGTCGCTGAGGAGGGACCTGAGGCTGATGGTCCCAAGCCCGTGGGAGCGCCAGGGCCTCCGCGACGTTTCTTGCCTTCTTTGCCAGAATCTTTCACATTGAACTGACCCAGAGGAGGCATCTTGACGTCTCGATTAGGCGTCTGAGAAGGCAGGGTTGCACCACCAGAAAAGTTGCCTTCTCCACGCAGGTTGCTCATAGGCGCCGCAGCTGCTGCCGCCGCAGCCTCCTCGGCTTGACGCGCCGCGGCCTGTTGTTTGGCGTGAGCGGCGGACTCGGGAAGAAACTGCTTGAAATCTTCCAGGAGATCGGGGGCAGTGTTGAATAGCTGGGTCACCTGAGCGTATACGTCCTGGATCGGCTTCGACTCGCGCTGGTAAGTCTGAAGTATTTCCAAAAACTGCTTGTAAATCTCTGGGGCACTCGAAAAGCGATTCTATATTATCACGACGGATTAATTGGGATTCTGCTTTGAGTGCCAATCACGGAACGGTCCGACTAACCTTGATCTTGTTCACGTAACTAATCGCGTGGTTGAACTCGACCGGACCGCGTTTGTTCAAATCGGCCTGAGAACCCTGGAGCATGCCGGAACCGACGCCCGCCAAACTATTCATAGGCTGGTTCAGGCTAGAATTCTGAGCCGAAGCGGGAGATACCTGAAGTAATCCGGGACGTCCAAGACCTGCAGACGCCGCCGAGGCCGCGCCTTGAAGCTGCGATACTCCACGCTGGTCTTGCTGGTGAGCCATGGCCGCCGCACCAGCTGCAGCCTGCTGCTCCTGCTGTGTGGGGTACTCAAAATGATGTTCCTGGGGCTGACTTTGTCCGCTCTGCTGTCCGAACATGCCAGGTCCCATCATGCGCGATCCCGGTGAATACGAACCTGCCAGGTTGCCCTGCTGTTGCTGGGGTTGCTGAGGCGGTTGATGCTGAGGTTGCTGCTGCCAGCCAGGACGAGATTGGTCAAAGAAGTCGGGGCGACCGTGAGGACCCATGGCACTAGGTGGTCCCAACTCTCCAGACGCCTCCATTGAATGACGAGTGCGGGGCATACTCAAAGTATTTGTCCCGGAGGGGGTGGTCACCCGAATGGCATCTGGATTATCTTCGGTGCCGCATTCAATTCGATACCCGGGCGGCAGGAATGTATTGAACCCTTGGATGAGGGCTGGGTGTCCGTTGAATAACGAAGAAACGCGCTGAATCACACCAGGAGTGTCGATGCTGCTGCTGGTCAGACAATCCTCTTCTCATATTTTCAGTAGCCAATACTTACGTTTGACTCTTGAAGTCTTTCATTATATCCAAAAACCGGTTGTACACGTCCGGCTGATCAACAAAGCGAACCTTGACTTGGTCCAGGTAACTAAGCGCATCCTGCACATCGGATTAGCATGATTCCTTGAACCAAACGTTCCATCTCTTCATAAAATAAGGAAGCAAATGAACAGCGACAGAAACCTCCACCGCGTGACGGTGACCCGGGCGAACTTACGTTCAAGATCGGCTGTTGCCCTTGCGCAAGCGCAGCCACATTACCCGGGATCTGAGGACCGGAGGTGTTAAAGGCCAGCATAGGCTGTCCCGGCGGGCCAGCAGGATGCTGCATAAACGACCTGGGAGTGCCTTCGCCATGCTGCATCTGGGGCCCATAAATCGAGCCAGGAGCTCCTGACGTTTGCATCGGACCTTGAGGGCCATTCTGCGGGTTGGAGCCCAGGTTAGACAAGAGTCCATTGGGACCGTGAATCGAGTTGGGCACCTTCGAAGCGACGGGCTGGTGCAAGGGAATCGACCCGGTGTGGCTCTGCACGGGGTGATGCTGCTGTTCGCGCTGTCGCTCCAGCTGCTGTCTTTCGATCTGTTCCCGCTCGCGCTGCTCGCGCTCTCTCTGCGCCATTTCCTCACGGTGTCTCTCCAGCACATCGCGCTCTCTGGAGTCGCGCTCCCGGTCTCGGTTGATGGTCTGAGGAGACGGGTGCTGCATTGCCTGCCCGATGCCCGGCAGCGAGTGACCGGCGCTATGGGAGGCGACGGAGGGATGCTGGCCATATGCGGTAGGCTGATGGGGACCAGCGTGGCCCTGGCTCAATTCCGCCAGCCCCGGCAGGGAGTGACCGGCCGGTTGGCTCGCAGGGTGATAGGGGCCTAGGAACAGCGGGAGCAGGTCAGTCACCTGAAGCAAGAACAAGACAGTATCCTCAATCGAACAGTATCCACAACGTATAGAAGTCACGGGTAAGGTTTCTGCTAACCAGCTGGGGGTGGAAGAACGGGCCCCGCCGGTTGCCCGGACGGACCTTGCTGAGGCGGTGGGTTTTGTCTATAGAGCGGGCGCAGGACAATCGAGTCAGTTTTCCGAATGGACTTAGACATGATGTTGTAATGCAAAACTGGGACAGGGTCGCAATCACTTACCCATAGGAGCCCAACGGGCGAGGCTGTTGATTCATCTGGTCCATCCCCGGGTGCGCTGGGGGGCCACCAGGATGCCAGTTATCGTTTCCAGAGGAGTTCATGGTTTGTGCATGAAATCAAAACAGGGACGCTATAAAACAAAAAAGGAGGATCTAGAAGGGTTCCAAGAGGGAGAGGTCGAGGGTGGAAAAAGGGTGGCGGGCGGTGGACGACTCCAAGACCAAGCTTTGAATCCGGTAATCCTTTTCGCACGGTAGAGTTCTCTATCTCCAAGTCATTTCACAGCGACATCACTGGGACCTGGGGAGACTATGCCAGCCGCAGAAAGTGACTCCACAGAAGACAAAGACAAAGCCAAAGGCCTGGGGAATCAAGGGTCCAAGGAGCGCGGAGAGAAGTAGAGAGCGAGGTGAAAAGGGAGAGCAAAGCCAGCAGGCAAGCAGACTTGGTTGACGATGATGGTTTGCGCGCGACCGATCACGGATGGGCTCCAGACAGAAGGCGGAGAGCGCCTTTGCCTGCGCTAACCCCAATGCAGCCCTAGTGTAGCCTCTCGGCTGAATTCTTTTTCCGCTGTTCTGCCGGTCTGTCGCTGAGGGCGGTGATTGGGCTGGCGGGAAGGCGGCAGGCCCGGGAAGTGCACGTCATGACCGGGTGCTGCCGGCTGGTAGCATCGGTCAGGTGTAGAGGGCTACAGTTGGCACAGCACGAATCAGTTTGCTAGTAGGTATCAAATATATAAACATATCCAATATCATTACGTAGTTGATCTCATACGAACATATCACATACGATCAGTCCGTCATACCAGAACTCGTCATTTCATTATCTACCCGAATAGCGCCAATACACAGCTGCATCAACCTGATTGAACCCTGCAATATACCCCTGCTCTAGGTAGTGGAAACCCAAGACAGACAGACCAACGGCATCGACAACATGAGTGACGCAGACAATCCCAAATGTTCTCGTCGCGGGAGATGCGCCCTGTAAACCGGCATCGAGAGCAAGGAAAGGAAGATGGATGCCTTCTGGAGGCCCTGCCTCTTTTTTCTCTATTTGATTTCCCAATAAACGCCTCCTCCCCTCCAGCAGAAAAACAAGAACCAGTAAATGGATAGACAAAATAGATGAGTGGAAAGGTAAGGCAAAGACGGGGGGGAAGGAAGAGAGAGATGGCCAAAGACATAACAAATCGGACAAAGATCGCAGACCCAACACCAACAGAGAGAAGAGCATTGTAGGGGGGAAAGAAGAAAAGTTTGAAATTGAATTTGCAACTTGAATTGTGAATCTGCGGTGCTGCTAGTGACCTCATGGTTTCTGTAAAATTTGCTCCATGCTCGCCCATTGGTTGAACGTCGACCCGCCAATAATTATGAACCATCCTTGTAACATACTTACAATGCAGAGAAGACAAATAGCTGTGGCAATGGTCAGTATACATGTCGGCAGAATCAAAGGGCAAGAGGACGCTGCTCACGTTGTTGGTGGCCGCAATGGCAATGCTATCTTCGTAAGGATGCCAGCTCATGTGCAGGATCTTCTTGTTGAAGTCGATCTGATCCGCATCGGTCTCCTTCTTCATGCGGCTACCAGGACCGGCAGGGCTACCAGCGCGAGAGCCGTTCTTCTTTCCGTTGGCGTTCTTGTTCATCGGCGTCGGCACGCCCACCTTCTTCGCCTTGAAAGCCGACTTATCTGCCTGTAGCACAATCTCCGTCTCCTTGCTCTGTTCGGTGGGGTAGATCATAAAGTTGTTGTTGTAACTGCCGGTCATGACATTCTCGGCATCGCCTGAGAAGACCACCTCGAACTTATCGAAGATGCTGTCGTTCTCGTACGTGTCGCACAAGCGGGGCCGCAGGTGTTCGTGGATGGGGATGGTCTTCACTGGTTGTCGCTCCATGTTGACATCCCAGATCTTGACGGTCAGGTAGTCTCGTGACACGATGTATCGGCCGTCATTCGAGAATCGCACGTCGGAGATGGAGGAGATGATTTCGGAAAAGAAGGAACGGGAGGAGGCATCTTCTTCTTGCTCGAAGACTAATCACACAATTAGAGAGAGAGAGAGAGAGAGAGAGAGAGAGAGTGGACAGGGAAGCTAGGAGGGAACATACGCTTGTGGTGCTCGTCACACAACGCCCGTTGTCGCATGTCGGCAAGCTTGATGGTACCCTTGGAACTGGCATACATGAACCAATTGCAGCTGGTGGGATGGAATTCGGCGGCCGTGATCACTTCCGTCAGCTCCTCCATGTTCGCGGGCTTGATATCGACGATGTTGAAGCTCTGATCTTGAATATTAAGGTTCCACAGGTTCACGCGCAGATCGTCGCTACTGATGAATGTTTCCCCGTCGCTGTTGACGGAGATACTGTTGATGTGATAGGCGTGTGCATTAGCGTACGTCCTCCGGGGGACGGCGGCCACGACGGTATCATGGTGTGTCATCCGAGGAAGCTTCAGCAGGGAAGGATCCTTGAACGATTGACGGGGCGCGCGGGGTGCCCCTCCGCCACCAACGCCGGCGGGCGTCAGCTCGCTCGAGAGATTGTTTTCCGCAACGACCTTCAGCGACTTGTCGAACACCTTCCATAGCTTTATCGTCTTATCATTAGTCGACAAGAGGAAATGGGATGCATTTGATCGTCTACACCATTTAATTTTGTTGATCTTCTCTTCGATCTCTAGGGATTTTAGATAATCGAACTCCGGCTCGTGCGACTGAAATTCGGTGTGGAACTTATACTCGCAGGTTTTTTTCTAACCACGGCGCGTTAGAGAGAATGGTCGATATGAGGGAAAGAAAGAGGTTGCATTGGGAAATCAATACCGTTTCGTTCCTCTCGAACAGCACTACTCTCCCACCCTTGTCTCCCGTGGCTAGATAATTTCCGGTATGATCGAATTCGACGGTTGAGATGATATCCGCTGTTCACAAAGACAAGGAACGTTAGACACGAAACATCCGAGTTGGGGTGGGGGGTGTCAGGTGAGCACAAAGTATCATCCGTGGGATTGAACTCCGTTGTATGGAGGGGTATTGTGCGCGCACCTTCTGTGATATCCTCCACATCGCCCTTATCACCGAAGCACCTAATTTTCACGTCCCGTTAGTACCAGGATCCGATACCCGTGGAGTCCCCTAGATGGCTATGCCAGATAAACGATAGAAGGAAAATTCCCCGATCGGAGGTCCTCCCCAACGCCGCATCTCGCTTGCAACGACACGATCTGGACCGTCGTGGGGGGGCGCTGGGAGCGAGAGAAGACGATCCATCGACACCCACGACAAAAACCCTGTGCCACCGAGACCACGTAACCCAGAGAAGGGGCCTAAACTCACTGCGTGAACTTCCAGGTAGGCGAACCCGGTTCCTTGTCTACCATTTTCTTTCACGGACCACCCTGTGACTGGGGCAGACAATTGACAACCGAATTGTAAGGGACGCAGAGACGGTATGCGATACGAGAGAGGCGGGGAGGTCGGGATGGCGATCGAGCGATACGAAGGACGATCCCTTTGTTGATAAGAATGAATATTTTTTGTTGGTCGAAGACGATGGGAAAGGGAAGTAGAGCGGTGAAGGCGACGGCAAAAAGACAGAAGCTTTCGGAATGTCGACGGGCCTCGAGAGTGGAGATGGGGGGAAGATGAAGATCCCACCAGAGGAGAGATGGATGGAATGGAGGGGGGGAGGAGGGAAGCAGACGACGTCAGACAAGACCCAGTAAGGCAGAGACCGGTTCCAGTCGGCGACAGGCTAGCGAAAACAAAAGATTGACAGCCCGGGCTGACGATGGTGGAAGATGAGGGGTTGGCGGGAGGATAGAGAGGAAGAGAGGAAGAAGAAAGGTGAAGAGGGAAGGAGGTTAGGGTGAGAAGGTATAAGAGTAATTAATGGAAGTTCCTCTCGGTCTATCCTGGTGTTATTTTTCCCCTCAAATTTTTGGTTTCTAATTAATTTCGTGATTTCTTTCTTCTTTTTTTTTAATTTTTAATTTTTTCCCTTCAACAAAACAAAGGGCAAGAGGGTAAGTGACGACAGCCACAGACCAGAGATGACAACAGAGAGTAGAGGGGGTCTGTTGAGAGAGGAAAAGAGTGAGAGAACGGGGATTAAGAAGAGGTTCGTTAAGGTGGGAAGTGTTGGGGGGAGAAGAAGAGGAGGGGGGAAGAAAGGAAGAAAGAGAGAATGAGTGAGGCGGTAGAGGGGAGGAGTGGCTGCCCGTAAACCCAACGGGAAAACCCACCGCCAACGGAGCGCTGACATCAACCACTATCGATCCATCATCTCCCTTCTCCGACGGGAGAGACCTGTACATCCAGGGACTTTGCTTCAGATGACCTCCAGATTATCTTCTTTTCATTCCACACTACCTGAAGTCCCAACTTGACCAATGATGACCCCCCAGATAACTATACATCCTACAGAACTAGATGACAACTCGACCACCGCTGCCCAATGACGCGATGAGGTACATGCTGGATGTATACTCTACATCCATGATCGGTTCTCGGGCACAACCGCAACGCTGTCCCTTATGAATCATTAATGCATTTAGGGCTAACCTGCTCTAAATTAGCAATTAACCCACTTACCCAGCTGAGCTCACGTATCTTCCTTAGCTCTCTTTCTTCACATGTCGTTCCTGCCCCTCCCGACCGCGATCAACTAAACTCCCTTGGGCCGAACAAGCTTCCCCGGTTCTATAACCTCTCTCTCCTTGCTCATGACATGAAAGTAACCCACTTCTTCAATTTTACAATCTTCTTCTTCTTCTTTACCCCCTCAACCCACCAATGCCAAATTGCCAATAAACCTCCCCCCACTCCCCACCTCCGCCTAGCTAACTAATCCCCGCCATCGCAATGACCGACAAAAACAACCAGAAGCGGGGCACCTCCGACAACAATCAAAACCAGCGCAACGACAACAACACAGACCACAACCCGACCAATCCGTCCGATAGCGCCGCCGACCATGGGTCCAGCTCGTCGCTCGCCGGCCGAATCCAGAATTCAGCCTCGGGGCTCGCGAGGTCTGCCTTCTCTGCCTCGTCTTCGGCTTCGGCTGATGCGGCGACCTTGTTAGCCGGCGGGAGCGGTAGCAAGGCCGGTCCTTCGGCGTCGTCGAGGGCAGCGTTGTCTGCTGCACAGCGACTCGATGATTCAGGGGCTCCGACGTCGTCGTCCTCTGCTCGTGGACTTTCCGAGCACACTGCGTCGGGGGAGACGTTTCGATCGTCCCCAACAACAAACCAGCAAGCTGGCGGTTTCGCTCTACCTTCGCTCTCCTCGGAGGAGTTCCAGTCCAGCTACGGCGATGATCCTTCATCAGAATTGATAATATATTCAAATATACGCGAAAGCCAACCGGGAAAAGGAAAAGCCAGAGAGACCATACCCTTCTCCTCCACCACCACCGAGAACGTCCTCCGCCATGATCCCACCCCGCAAGCAAGATACTCACCACTCCCCACCGACGGCGCCGCAGTGACATCCCTCCTATCCTCCAGCACCTTCGACCCCGAATTCCCACCCCAACCGCACGAAACTTTCGAACCCATCGAAACCGACCTCTCCCTACCCCAACTCACCGCAAAGGAAATCCAAACGATCGACTCCTTCCGACGACAGATGTCGCTACCGCCTGACACCCAACCGCAGACCCAACCAGCGCACCGCTTAACGCCCTACAGCCTCGTCCCGGATATCGACTCGATCCTGAACAGCGCCGCTCCGGTCACCGACACAGATGCGACGGTCCTTCGGGATACGGTGTTGACTAGTCTTCCGGGATCCGCGGACTGGATTGCTGTGGACGAGCGGTACCATGATGAGGTGTGGGGTTATTTGCGGCCTGCGTTGGAGGCTGCGAGGGAGGAGATGGAAGCTAGGAAGGAGAGGGAGGGAAGTGGGCAGGGGAAGGAGGAAGATGGGCCTGCAGTGAGGCGGTTGAAGATGATTCTGAAACATATGGGACGCTGATATCCTTGGTGTTTACTTGTGTGTATTTATTGAGAATATGCGGGACTTTCCAAGGTTATTTCTATTGTATATTATTACAGGTAGGTGGTAGGTATGTAGGTATGGATTCGGGGAGAAAATGTAAGATATATTTTGCCGAGGTTGGGGAAATATCACAGTACCCGAACCTTTAATCACTCTAGCAATTACATCTAGCTAAATCTGACCGATTACCAATGAAACCAACTAAACATCTAAAGTATATCTCTCGAAAAGGAAAAGATAATTTTGAAACATAAAAAGTGAAATTCATATCTTACAAACTAAAAAACACGAAAATAGAAATAAAAAAAGCAGGGCCTTTTCAACCCCGCCCATCATAACAACAACAACTAAGCCAGAAGCAAGTAAATCAGATCAAAAGATGAAAAATAAGGGGGTATGTATCAAATGGCTGCGTCAAGTAGGTCTGGTAGGTAGGTAGGTTAGGAAGGTAGGTTAGGGAGGAAGGGTGGGTAATTTGTTTTTGTGAGCGTTGTGTGGTTTTTCTATTCCAAACAATCTAGAGTTCTAGTTCGGGGGTCTGGCCCTTGACGCGACCAATCACGATATGACCCGCGTATTTGGGAATGACTTCGTCGTCGTGGAGCATGGCGAATTCTATCGAAATCAGATTAGTATGGTTGATGTTGATGTTGATGGTGGGTTTACGAGGAGGGGATTGGTGGCTACATACCTTCCGTGGCATCCCGGCCCATAAAGTTGAACAGGGCGTTCGCGCCACCGGGATGCTCGTCGAGCCAGTTGGTCACGTCGAGGACAACGCCCTTCACGACGATCCAGAGGTCATCCTTTTTGTTATGCTTAGCGATCTCCTCCATGGAGTATTCGGTGGCAGGGACCTCAAACTTCTTAGGGTCCGTGGGCTTGGAAGTCTCCGACGCGCCGGCGGGCGTGGCCGCAGCTTTGGCGTCGAGGGTGGCGCCAGCGGGCGTGGGCAGGGCGGCCTGGGAGCCGGAGCCGGAGCCACCAGCGCCGCTACCCCACTCGACGGAGATCTTGCCGGGGGTGTTCGGGTCGATGTGTAGCGAGATCTGGCCGAGACGGCTCTGTGCGGTCGTGGCGCCGCCGGAGATCAGCTTCTGGAAGAGATGCTCGCTGGCGCTGTCACCGGCGACACGGCCGTAGACGACGCAGCCGAGCAGCGAGGAACCACCGAGACGGTTGGCGCCGTGGACACCGCCCGCCAGCTCACCGCAGGCGTAGAGGCCGTCGAAGGGCTTCTGCTCGGAGTTGAGGACCTGGGCGTGCTCGTTGATCTCGATACCGCCCATGGTGAAGTGGAGGACGGGCTCCATGAGGGCGACGTGGAAGGTGTCGTCGACGTTGAAGGGCATGTTGTGGAAGAAGCGCTTGTTCCAGGGGTCCTTCTTCTTGCCGTCGGCGATGAGGTTGTACTCGTCGAAGGTCTTCTGCAGAGCGGCCTCGCCGCAGCCGATCTCCTGGGCCAGCTCCTTGCCGCTGATCTTCTTCATCAGGCCACGGCCGGAGTAGTGGCGCGTGTGGAAGTCCAGGACGTTGGAGGCCTTGCTGTTGAGCACCAGACGGATCGGCCACTTGCCCTTCTCCTTCTCCTTCCACATCTGGCCGGACACGTAGTCACGGTGGCCCAGCTCGTCGGAGAACCGCTGGCCGTCCGAGTTGAGCAGCAGACCACCCTCGCCACGGAGCGCCTCGGCGGCAAGGAACTTGAACTTGGCCTCGGGGTCCTTGGGGTCAACCAGACCCGTGGGGTGCACCTGGACCTTGTCCATGTCGATGCCGTTGGCACCGATTTCCATCAGCATCTTCTGGCCGTCACCGGTGGCGTGGGTTCCGTTAGTGCTGGAGAGGCCGAAGGTGTCGGGACGGTGCTGCTTCAGCAGCGATCCGTCGCCGAAGTCTGCGGCATAGCCACCGGTCGCAAGCACGACGACACCGTCGGCGCTCGTGCTCTCGCCGTTGTACTCGTAGGTGACACCGGTCACATGGTTACCGGACTTGTTGATAGACGTCACGCGGGCCTTCTTGACGATCTGCACGCGGGTGGGGTCCTGCTCGCTGAGCTCTTCTAAGCGCTGCATCAGGGCGTAGGTAATGGCCATTCCGGGGAACTTGGCATCGTGGCCACGATGCGTACGGGGCTGGGAGTGACCACTGGTCGAGTCAGTATATCGTCCGGTCGCAAAGACAGAAGGATCAACTCGCGGCAAACTCACCCCAGACGAGAAACGAGAGTCAAATCGAGGTTGAAAACATCCTGCAACCACTCGACAGCGGCAGCGGACTTGTAGGTGAGGACCTTGATCAGCTCGGGACGAGCCTTGTCTCGGGCGGATTTGAGGGTATCTTCGTAGAAAGTCTTGACGCTGTCGGCGATGCCCAGGTCGACCTGGGTGCGAGTCAGGGCACCGTTGATACCCGAGGTGGCCTTGGTCGAGTTGCCACCGAAGAAGGCTAGCCGGGTTAGTGATGTTTGCTGGAGATGATTTGGGGGAAGGAGATCGACATACCCTGCTTATCTAGAACCAAGACGTTGCCGCCGTTCAGGTAGACGGTGTGGGCGGCGCTGAGACCGGACACTGAGAGACGAGGTAATGGTCAGCAAAATGCGGGGAAAGCTTTGGGAGGGAGTCCGTACATCCACCGCCGACAACAATCACTCTAGGAGGGGTGGCCATGGTGTATGAAAGAAGTAAAGAGGAGGTCGTATGGAAGGGGGATAGGGACCAGGAGAAGGAGAGGAATCTGGAGGAGGAAGAGGGAGAAAAAGAACGAGCAAGGGCGGTCTTAAAGGCGCAAGAAAGCGAGAGCAGGATCCGGGGGAGATGTTCAGAAGCCGACGCGACCGCACTTCTATCGGCCGAGGCTCATCGTCTGGGTAAAAGTACCGTACGACAGTCTTTCTAGTTTCTACGAAGGGACGCTCGGCTTTCCCACCGAGAGAACTTGCGGCATACCAAATATTACCAGTACCGCGGGATTTTTTACTCGTCTCTATTCAGTTCTCAGGTCACTCTTAGTAAAGGGTCATTCAACAGACGCTGGTTTGTCGTTCAGACTGGGGAAAGGCCCCATACGGACAACTTTGACGCTCAGTCCAGTCTTTCAGTCATCCAGACTTTCAGAGTCTTTCACATGTCCTTCTTCCCTGGTGGCATTTTTCACATGTCGGCAGCAAATGGGAAGGCGGGCGAAAGTCAGCGGCACGTCATGCTCCCCTTTCAGCTGATTATTCCTGAAGCGCTCATTGCTGCCCGGATTCCCGTAGTGGCCTCAATAATGGGTTCTACCCCAGATTGAACAGAATAGTCAGATCTGGCTATTCATCCGGACCACAAATAAGGTCATATATATCTATGACCATTTCTCCTGGACAATAGTCTCAGCAACCTGTAACCTAATAAAGTACGTAAGTGTAGGTATTACTATTACTCTTACTGCAAACTGCAACTGCAATTGCCAGCCATGGCCCAGTTGAACCTCGGTCCGAGAGCAATCCAATCATCAGCCTGTTTATGTCATCCCCTAATATGGAAGCACATCAGACCATCGTGGGTGTAGGTATATATTCCCCAGACTATCCACTTCTCGTGGAATCCTCTACACCGTAAGACAAAAGACCAAAAGAGTAAACAGTCCCGTCGGTATCAACATCGTCACGTCTTTACCACCACTAACTTCCCCCGACATGTCCCAAAATAGGCACAGAGCCATCGGCAATTGATCACGTGTGACCACCGGCAACGGAACACTCTCCTTCATTGCCTATGACATCATAGTTCTTCCACCAATCAAACAAACAGCCTCAGATGCCGGCCGGCAGGCACAGTAATGACAGGCAGAATCTCGTCGGAAAATGAACTTACCATTTTAAGACACTGGAACTCATTCGCCGATGCCATGCACGAGCGACAGGGATGAGCTGAGCTGGGCTAAGCTTAAGCTGTCCAGACAAGAAGAAGTTGGAGATGAGTTTATTCACACTTCATGCTTAATTCTCACCTACTTTATCTACGTGTTATCTGCGATACCTTAGTCCTGCCAGACCAGGTATCCCCTCGTCACGCCCGTATCTAATACCACACCCGACCGGGCTGGATACCGGACAAGCGTCTACCGAGTGCGAGCTCGCTCTCGGGGGATTCTTACCCCGAGCGAAGGGCTGGATTTTAGATGTTTGCAGTAATGGCGTGGATGTGATCCTGCTGGTTCCGGGGGTTTTGGATCGAGATAGATCTTGAGAATCATTTACTAGGGGATGGGTGTGGTGTGGTGTGCGCGTCGGGTAGATGGGTCGTGCTGGTGGAATAATTGTGTTCTACTACCTATAGGTTCCTACTTGAGTAAAGCATACCTCACCATTTACCTACTGGCTTAGATTTGAATGTCTTTTGTTATCACTGCAGAAGATTGAATTACGATTCTATTAAATATATACAGAACGGAACAGACATCAGCTTCATAACTCAATGCTCAATGCTTCATCAATCAATCCATCCACGTCACGCTCTTGGTCACCAGGAACTCGTCAAGTCCCTGCGCCGTGTTAAACCGGCCCCAGCCGCTGTTCTTGACGCCCCCATGAGGCAGCACGGGCTCGTCGTGAATGGTCATGCTGTTGATGTGGACGGCGCTGTAACAATTAGCTTTTCGCTCATTTCCACACGAGAACATCCTCTTCAAAGGGGACAACGGGTAGTTAATATCTGACTCACCCAGATTGAATCTTCTTAGCCATCGCCAACCCCCTCCGCAAATCCTCCGTGAAGATCGCCGACGACAATCCATACCCGCTGCTATTGGCGATACGAATAGCTTCCTCGTCGCTATCCACCACCATGCACGCAGCCAACGACGCAAACGCCTCCTCTTGCCACACGTTCATCTCTTCTGTGACGCCGCCGAGGAGTAACGGTGCTAGTCGGACGCCCTGATGTTGCGGTGTCTCCTCCGTTCCCGGAGCAGTGCCGTGGACCAAGTGGGCGCCGTTGGCGAGGGCGTCGGTGACGAGACGATCAATGCGAGCTTTGGAGGCTACGTTGACCAGGGTTGGGGGTGGAGATGAAGGGTCGAGGTTCGAGTTCAGTGCTGTCTTTAGAGCCTCCATGAACGTTGGCGCGATGGACGAGTGGACGATGATGCGGTCGGTGGCCATGCAGATTTGGCCGGACTAGATGACATGTCAGAACGAAGATTGGAATGACAAATTCAAAATGAAACAAGATCTAAAGGCCAAGAGGGAAGGGAACGCACGTTCAAGTATGCTCCCGCTAGGACGCCCTTAACGGCCGTGTCGATGTTCGCGTCGGCACAGACAATCGAGCTGTTCTTGCCTCCCAGCTCCATCAGACAAGGCTTGAGATTCTGCCCGCAGGATCGGGCAATCTTCCTGCCCACGGCCGTACTTCCGGTGAAGTTGATTTTGCGCACGGCAGGGTGCTCGATCATGGCGTTGACCACTTCGGGAGCATCCTGCGGTCGACAAGACACCAGGTTAAGACACCCGGCTGGTAGTCCGGCATCTTCAAACGCCCGAGCCAGAGCCCAGTACGAGCATGGGGACAACTCGGATGATTTCAGGATAGTCGTGTTGCCGGCCGCGAGCGCACAAGCCGCCGAGCGGACACCAAACACATATGGTGCATTCCTAGCAGGACAGAATCGTTAGCCCAGAACCAAGGCAGGGACAATATTTGCACCGTGAAGTCGGTGAGCCGCGACAACCGGCGACCCCGAAGACTCCTTCGACTCACCAAGGCACCAAGCCCAAAATCACACCCATAGGCTCCTTGTACACAATGGCGCTTTGGCCCTCCTCCTCAACGACGGGGACACTACCGCAAATGGAAGTGATACGCCCCGCGATGTCCCTCAGCATGCGGATCCCGAGCGGCACGATGAAGAACTGCGAGGCGCCCACATCGGCACCCATTTCGGTCCGCATGAACTCGGCATTTTGTTCCAGTCGACTTTCCAAGATGTCCGCCGCCTTCAGCAGGATGTCGCGCCGCACCGTGGGCTTGGTTTGGGACCACGCGGGGAATGCGGCGTCGGCGGCCTCGACGGCGCGGATGGCATCTTGGGGAGACGCTGAGGCTGTCGTCCAGCACCGTTCGTTGGTGTACGGACTGATGACATCGAAGGTTGAGTCTGGAATCTCTTCTTTGCCGTTGATTATCAAGGGTATCACGGCAGGAGCGCTGCTGGGCCCGTCCTGAATAGTCATGGTGGATTGGAAAATAGAAATATGACCGAATGGAGGGAGAGAAGAAGATCAGGAAAAATTTTGAGATTCACAGGCCGTTGCGATAGGTATATATCCAGTCGGAAAATTGGACCGTTTCAAGTGCGGTTGGGTCCGAGGGGATACAAGGAGCATAGAAGCAGCCTTGGGAGTTTAGGGGTGGTTAGGATGGTGCGCAGGAAGTAGAGCTCCACTTGAAGAGAAAAGGCTTCTGAAGATCACCGAGGACAAGTCGAACAACGACCTCTTGTCATGCTACACGTGATGGAGTATGGAAAGGCGGGTATACTCTTTCGAGTCAAATCGAATGAAGGGGGGCAAGTCGGGGACCACCTTGTTTATCTGATAGGAAAGCTGATCCCTTTGGGGGATTCCCTTGTGCTACTCCAACTGCCAAAGACCCAGTCGATAATACGACCACCACCCCACCGGCACTCGCGCGAGTGCGATTGATGAGATAAACATACTTGGCTGGACTTGGCCTGCAACGATAAAGGGGTACATGGCATTGGCAATCATAATTGGCGTCAGTTTGCCGAGTTGGAAGTCAACTAACGCCCTACCTCGTGGCTAACGGGGACCCTAAATGCAGGGGGCAAACTTTACTCTAGCATCTAGTCATCTACAGTCAGACTCAGAGAGAAATCAGAACCTTGAGGGTTCCAAAATGGCAAAAACCAAGATTCCACCACCCCTGACGGCCTGACCCCGAAGTGGAGTTGTCAACGAGGAGTCGGACGAATGTCAGGAACGCAACCATGGTAGACACTGAACGGTATTCCCGACGAGTCAGACCTGGTGTCTATCAATCGGTCCGGGGATTGCTGAACGTTAACCTTTGCCGCTATTGGCGTGATAGTTTGTACTGGCAGCGTCTATCATTAACCATGTGGGAGGTGACAAGGAGTCAAGGACCTGGCAGGCTGGCACATGGCAGAGTTGAACTGTTGACCAACCTCACCACTCCCGGGCTTTTGCTCGAATGATTCGGGTAGGCTGGGCGATGATCGTCGACATCCTGCCGTGGTTCCTGCACCAATAGCCAAAATGGCTCTAAGGCGAGGGGGATCCATTCGGGCGTGATGGAGAAGGTCAAGGGCGAGGCAAGTCCCGAGAAGAGGTAGCGAGGGCGGCATTTATTCAATAATAATGTCACGATCATAAAAGAGCTCCACCGGGTGGGGACCGACTGGAGACGCACGAAGGGAAGCCAGGGAGAGAATGTTCAATAAAAGAAATAGAACACCGTAAACAACACCAATGAGAGACTTGGAAAGGATCCGTGACAGCGGGTACAACGCAGCGACGAGCAGCTGAAGAACCCCTTCGCTTACGACCACATGGGATGGCAGAATTGCTCGACGCTATTGATTTCGCTGCAGATCCCTAGGGTTTTAGCTTTGGTCTCTTACCCTATTAGGTCCACAGGTGCAGGGGAGAACCCTTTTTCTTTTCTTTTTCTTCTGGGTTTTACTTGTGTGTTGAATATTATTTTTGTTTTTATTACTTTTAATCTGATTATTTCCCCAGTTATTGTCTTCCATAATCCCGGCCGTCGCAGAATGCTGGGAATGGGGAGAGGCCGCGCAACGAAATCGACCATCGACTCAGATCCAAGGTTCGCGACGCCTGGGGAATCTCCATCCAGATGATCGTGTCTGGGATAGATTTAAAATCCTCCACCGGCCGTGGATCCGCCTCCAAGTGCACTGCAAGCGAAGTCTATTCCTACCACGACCACGAATTGATCAGTTTACCTCCGTTCGGGGTATATCTCGTAGAATATCAGTCGATAATACGGAGGATTATAGTTTGAGTGAATTTTGAATTTATCCTGTTGTCCTCGCATGAACGCAGGCGTCATAATCGTCCACGCTAGAGGCTTAGTCTCCAAACTGTCGACCCAAGGGTTGAGACTGTTTTGACACCATTGTGATCGTCGCCGCAACTGGGACCTTAGGGTTGGGTCAATCTATTCGCCCGATACTTCAATTTTTTATCTTAGACTCGGCTTGTCATTCCAAATCAGATCGTGGCCACGCCGTCCTGGCCATTGTTATGTCATTCTGCTGATCTTCGTCTCCACCGGGCGTGCGTCGTGGACTCGTGGTACAATTGGGCTCTTAACCTCTTAGTCTCTTGAGTCTTTTCAGCTACTGCTCGTCGACACCGGCATTTCCTGGAGGCGCTTGTGCCTTGAGCCCTTGACTCTGGAGGACCCAGTCGCTGGCCCCGCCGGATTTTCCTTCCATCCTTGTAATCTAGTAGACCGTAGTGGGATTTCAAACTAGGGATTTGAAAGGCCTTTTGCTCGGTGGGATGTGGACTTCATCCGGTACATATTCAATTGGGGTACCATCTGCCCTCCTCTCCTTTCTCCAAGATTCTTATCTTCCTCCAGTTCGTCATATACCGTAGACGTATATCCGGTGTTGTCCTGGAGTCCACTTCCTATCTAGAGTATCGATACTCACCCCCAATCCCTCCACTACAGTGGAGAGGCATTTTGTTGCCCTATTCAATCACCCACTACATGATTTCGATCTGGGGTATATGATCGTTCTTGGCCCTTTTCAATTTCTGTGATTCATTCTCTCTCTTTAATCAGTCACTCCTTTCTATACTCACCATGACTGTCACGTCTCGAGGACGTGAGATGATCGCCATCGTCTCGGTGCTGGTGGGCGTCTCCTTAATCACGGTGATCATGCGTGTAATTGCGCGGTTGAAACGAAGAGTCAAGTTCGGTCTTGACGACTATCTCTGCTTTCTCTCCATGGGTCTTCTCCTGGCTATGTTGATTGAGTTGGTTTTATGTGCGTATCCGCAATTCCTGTTGATTCTATCAAGCAGCCACTAACCATCCGCTGCAGGGGTAACAATCGGAGGCAACGGTGCACACATGGACGATCTAGATACAAAGACCCTCATGAACTTCTCCAAGGTGAGAGAGAACTATCTCAATCTCGAAGGAGAACAATCCAACTAACACAACAACTACCCCTCCAGATCTTCCTTGCCAACCAATTCACCTACTTCGTTCTCTGCCCCGCCATCAAAATCTCCATCATCTGCTTCTACCGCCGCATCTTCACCATGCGACCCTTCCAATGGACGACCCTCGGCCTAAACACCCTCATCGCCCTCTGGGGCACGGGGATCTTCCTCGCCTGCGCCCTCCAATGTCGCCCCCTCCGCGGCTACTGGGACAAGAGCGTCGACGGCCACTGCTTCGACTCGAACAAATTCTTCATCGTCAACCAAGTCTTCAACGTCCTCATGGACTTCGTCATCCTGGCCCTCCCCGTCCCCATGATCTGGAACTTGCAACGCGCCTGGCAGGACAAGCTCGCGCTGAACGGCGTCTTTGCGCTCGGCGCCTTCGTCTGCTTCGCCAGTATCTACCGCATCGTCGTCCTCTTCTGGATCAAGCCCTACGACACCACGTATACCGTCTACCAGGCCACGCTGTGGACGCACATCGAGCCCTCCATCGGCCTGATCTGCTCGTGTCTGCCCATCGCGAGAGGCCTGTTCCCGCGCTTCAAGATCCCCGGAAGCCGCAAGTACGCCACCGCGCCGTACTACATCAATACCGATATCACGGCTTCGCATTTCGCCGTGTCCAGTCCCAAGTCTCCTGCGTCCGAGTATTACAAGATGGACGACGTCTCGCGTGCCACGAGTGCCACTATCCCGGACCCCGAGAGTAATCGGTACCTCGGTCCCATGGATATTCAGGTCCGTACGGAGATCGATATTAAGCAGGATACGGCGTCGATGATATCGCAACGTTGAAAACGGAACTTTTTTTGGGGGGGGGTTCTCTGCTTTCGATACCCTGTTTTCTCTTTCTCTCTCTTTTCTTCCTTTTCTTTTTGTCATGATTTTTACGAATGCACAATATGCCCCGCCTTTTCTAGTTCTTTCCGTCGGGGAATGTTTACTTTTATCCCCCGCGACTGTTTGATTACAACATATACCCTTTACCTATTCTCATGATGGAATATCAGATGGGGTCACGCCCTCAAATGACTCCGGCCTTCCACATCTACTACTACTTACTACCTTTCGTTCCGTCCATCGGATGTATTCGCTCGCAGCGAAACAGACGCTGCAAAAACTTTTGGAGATCGACAAGCTCAATTAATATGCAAGGTACTGCTTTCTGTACTATCTAGATAATTCCCAACGTTTGGTATGATTCTATGTTCCGGCAGGATAAAACTACATGTTTCGATCATTCTCAGTCTCACATGATCTCATTAAAGTAGTTAATATAATACTACATATAGTACTAATCATTATATGTATATAATCTATTTCAATTATCACCAAACACTCCAATCTCAATCCCTAATCCTTAAGCTGTAAAGAAAACCTACGCCAGAAAGATAGGTAGCAGAGCAGCAGCCTGGACGCACCGTACCGCCTCGAGGGTAGTGGATAGTCTAGGTATGTACCTACTCCCCAACATGAGCCAAAAACACCAACATGGAATCCCGGACAACTAACCCGTGGTGCACTGACTCTGAGGCGCCCGATGACACATGTGCAAGGAAATCGACGTAGATTGTAAAAAAAGTGTAACTGACATGAAAAAGCAAAAATCAAATGCCCCCACGCGGGATTGAACCACGGACCTCTTCATGTCATATGGATACACTGAGGCGGTTGTTAGGACAAGATAAAACATTTGATCGGATTAATAATAACTCACAGTGAAGCGCTCTGCCACTGAGCTATAAGGGCAGCTAAATGATATGCCATAATATGACTATTTATTCCCTAGTTAAAGGTATGAAGGAGTTGGAAGTGGTATATCTTATCAAGGACTTCATGAATTCAAGTGTATTAGTCTGGTTATCCCAATTTATTACTTCTATACCCTGTTTGGGGCTGGGTGGATGTGCCATTTGCATTTGCATACTGAGTAGCGTCAAGATCAGGTTACTTATAGGTATAACTAGGAAGAATGATGTTCCCAAGGTAATCTGAGAATCCAATCATTCTATAATACCATATTTCGATGCAGAACATTGCATTAAACCCCCTTCATGGAAAGGATTCAAGTGGAAAGAAAAAAGATGTAAGACATATCGCTATAGCTGAAACAATTCATTCTCCGTAAAAAAACACACACGTATTCCATTCCAATCCTTTCAATGAACTGTCGGCCGGGCAGCAAACTCCGGAAAAGCATCCGTGATACTCGTCGCCACCCGTTCTACATCCTCCGCAAGCCCTTGCACCCCCGCATCCCACTGCCGGATATGCTGTCCCGTCGCAGCGGTGGTAGATTGGAAGTAAATGACGCCGTCGATCTGGTCGATGCTGCCGCTCAACCGACCCTGTTCCACCATGCGTGCCGCGTACGCCTCCGCCTTCTCCCCGGCCGTCAGGTCCCCGCTGCCCTCAAGACCCAGAATCGCGCCGAGAGCGTCGGTCGTGATATTCTCGTACAGCTTGCTAGCCGCCACGAGATTGTGTTCCACGACCGCCTTGTCGAGCACGGTGGTACCGTCGGCGGTTTGTGCGAGTTGATGCGGCGCCAGACGTTCCGAGAAGGCCGCGACCTCGGCCGGGTTCAAGAGCCGATCGAGGAACATCTTCTCTAGAATGCCGAACTCCTCGACGGAGGTCGCGCGGTCGTCTTTGTACAACGTGGCCAGGATGCGCGAGCGCTGGGGGCCCGCGGGACCAAGGACGGCGCAGCGGATGGCGGCCGCCAGGGCCTGGAGACGGTCGCTCTCGTCGACCCCCGCGGCCAGACTCACGTTGAAGTACTCTTGGCTAGCGTCGAGGAATTTGCGACGGGCGTCTAGGATCCGGGCCTGCGAGAGCTTAAAGTGCAGTTTCAGCTCGTGGTCCTCGATCTTACTCGGCAGGTTCTTGATGCGGTTCAGGAACGCCTCCGCGGTCGTGGTGTCGTCCTCCTCCAGGTAGAGTCGCACAATGCGAACCCATAGCCGCACCTTGGCGGCGTCGGAGACGAGCCGCTGCGAGCTGTCGATGTGGATGCCCTGCAGGGCTCGCGCGGCGGCGATGTATTCCTCCTGCGACTCGTAGGCGTCGGCGAGGAGCTCGCGGATCTGCGAGTCCTGCTCTTCGACGGAGGTGGAGCGGGATTGGAGGAGGGTGACGGCGTGCTGGCCCACTTTGATCTGGGTGTCCGGGTCGAGTTTTCGGAGGACGGCGATGAAGGAGTCGAGGATGGGGCGGGCGGACACGATGCTGATGTCTTCGCTGAGGACGGAGTCGAGGTAGAAGATCAGGTCCTGGGCGAGCTGGTCGGTTGTTGACGTGGACACTACATCGGACAGTAGGTCGCTGTAGAGCTGTAGTTTGTTTTGAGGATTGGCGGAAGATTCGATGTCCGCGAGGGCGGAGGTGATCTTTTGTGAAGCCATGAGAGAGGTTGTTGGGTGCTTCTTCTGGGAGATTCGGTTGAGGAAGTGGAAGGAGGTATCAGGTCTTCATGAGTGAAAGGCTGCTGTTGTCTGTGAGTTGGATGAAGGGAAGTGAAGGCCGTGGAGGGACTGCGGGCAGCCGACAAGCTGAAGCTGGGCTTATCGATAAGGAGAGGCTGAACTGTTTGTAGGTATTGTTTGTACCGGCTTGTCCTTGATTTTAAAATTATCCTATTGTTTCCTATTAGTTCACTCCCTGCTTGTATTAACTACAGAACTAAATATTTCTGATCAGTCTATTATCTACCAGTAAGTATAGTAATTTATCAATAGCTGCTATTCGTTAAGCTTAAGTGTGCTGGACTTCAATAGCAAGGAAACAAATGTTCTATATCTGACGAATGCACAGTTATGAACTAGAATACATGGATGACAAGTATAAGTCTAATCTGACTGATTTCCATCTAGTCCATACTCACCTACCCATCCGGTAGATTACCAAAATATGCATCTTTCTTCAATCTCGTGTTTGTTCGGAAAACTAGCGGACAAAGGTACCGCCACCGCCTTCCCCATTCGTAAGCGCCGGTGGGTTGGTCTTCCCGGCTGCATCTGAAGAGCTTCAATGATCACGTCACTCAACATCCTCTCTGCCTGTTGAATAGGCTGTCGGCCTTTTTCTTGCAACTTTACTTTTGCCCTCAGTCTGATCGCGTGATCCGGCACTATATACTGTACTACTTTTAGATCTTTTCGGCCTTGTTTTGTTGTTGGTTGGTCACTATGGGCCCTCCGATCAAACAGGACCCCGATGCCTCGACACCATACATCAAAGCCGACCCGGACGACAAAGATGCCGTACTCGCCGACATCGACGATGAGGACATTTACGACGACGACGGAGACTTAGATTTCTCGAACGCTGCGCAGAACGTATGGATGTCGCGCATTCCTCGGCCGCTGTGGGAGCATTGGGCGAAACTCGACGATGATGAGGAGATTCAGATTGGGACGATTCGGATTGAGGGTCAGCCGAGTGATATAAAGCGGGTACGTCCATGTTTCGTCTACGGTTGTTCTTATGTAGTTGCGCAGTATGGGGTTAACAAGTCGCCTTGCAGGTCAGTTTGCGCCTCAACGACCGCGAGGATAACAAAGACGTTCCTAAGGACTATCTCCTGCAACGACACACTCTCGATACTGATGCTTCGGTGCATTCGACGAAGAACACCTATGTTTTCACCGAGAAGGAGATCCCCGGCCAGGAGAATCGCACGGTAGTCTTTGGCGGCGCGCGGTCGGCGCTGTATGAATCCGTCAAGCGCGACGCTCGGAAAAAGGAGAGAAAGAAGAAGTGGGAGCCATATGTTCGGAAGACGATCAACAGTATGTGTCCAACCCGTTGAGAATAGGAGGCGCGGGGTGCTGACACGGCCACAGAACAAACTAGCTTGGTGGGAGGTATTAGTGAAGAGTTCAACTGTCTTCCGGTCGAGAATGAGGAGTTCGAGGAGATTTCTGCAAAGAGAGCTCTGGAAGCTTTGAAGCCGAAGCGTGAAATCACCTTCATCGATGGCGCTCCGGGACAATTACACCAGGCCAGAACAGCCTTGCCTTCAGACAAGGGCTCGTTCGTGGTAAGTGCTATCATCCCCCCGTTTTGGTACAGGCCCTTTTTGCTCATCGCTAATCCCTTATCAGCAAGCGACAAAGCCCACCAAACCCAAGCCCCAAGAAAACAAGACTACGCGTATGCCTCAAAACGAACTGCTGGATCTTATCTACCAGTGTTTCCGAGAATTCCGGTACTGGCCGTTTAAGGCTCTTAAGGCGAGACTGCAACAGCCTGAAGCGTATCTCAAGCAGACTCTGGAGCTGACCGCTCACTTGGTGAAGTCCGGAGACTTCGCCATGACCTGGGAGCTCAAGCCGGAGGCGAAAGAAAGCAGTTACGCAAGTGCGTGGGGATATGGAGAACCCAAAGAGGAGCTTCCTCCCGCGGATTACAACGACGAGGCATCGGACGAGGATGCTTCTGGCATGGATAATGACGATACACAGTTCCAGAATGTTCCCTGAACATGTTGAACAAAAATCTATGTAGCATATAACCAGCACGGTCATGGCGTCTTGCTCTTGAGGTGGTTTTTGGGTTGCAATTATACAGGGCGCATCCGGAGTCTTTTGTAGGTTTAGATAGCTGAAATAACCCGTACATGTCCATAGCAATCAAATCTACTTCACCTTACTTTCTTTCACCGGATATTTCCAGTCAAGTGAATGTTTGCCTCCTGCCAAACTACCGGAACAATTCAAGTGCCCGCCAGACACGTGATGCATGACTTCACCGCCCAGCGTTCCCGCCGTCACAATTATGACCACAACAACCTCGCGCATCTTTCATCCCCAACCTGACCGTAAACGCCTTGTGGCCCATGCCAATAGCTAACTTTCCCTTCACTTTCCTTCATCAGTAGCCCCAACATGTCTGAAGACCAGGATCTAATGGCTAAGATCAGCCAGCTTGCTGGTATGCCTGCCCTGTCACTCTACGAAGACCCCACCGGCGGCTAATCCTCTCACAGGTCAGATCAATCGACATAAAACGCAGAACTCCCAGTCCCCCGCCCCTTACGGTCATGAATCTCATTCCGGACCATATGTATCGCGACACGCGCCCTCCAGAGGACGACCGGGATGGGCACCCTATCGAGGCCGACCGTACGGACGAGGACGCGGCGGAGCTCCCCATCGACACCGTACCCTCATCCTTAATAACGCCACGTCAGGAACGCCTGCTAGCTCGACCCCTTCCGTTGGCGCTGCCTCTGACAACGATGGTGAGAGTCGATCGAACACGCCGAATGGGTGGGTCGCCAAACATGACCGCCACATGCAGCTGATCAACTCGGCCATCTACGACAAGGAGGCGCAGACCCGGGCGAAAGCTATGGAAGAGAGTCGTAAAGCCAAAGCCGTGAAGAAGGCTCAGATAGAACAGGCCAAGGTGCTTAGGTATGCTCAGGGGGTCGGGAGACAGTATCCACCCGCAGTGCCCAAGGCGTCGGCCACTGCCGAGCCGATGGCCGAGTACCAGGTCTATCTCAACGATATCCCGTTCCGAGTGTCGCGTGGTGGCGGCAAGCTGATTCGAGTCTCTGGTGCGACTCCCCTGTGTGCCCCGCTGCCCCAGGGGGCTGACTTACCGTCGATAGGTGATCCCAATACTGCCAACAATACGCCTAAGCGAGTCACGGTGGCTGGCGTGACGTTCGTGCGCAGCAAGAATGGAAATCTTCATCGTCTTGGTGCGGTGACTTCGAAAAGGTGACACTCTATCACTATGGAACGTACATCGCAATGGGAGCTCACCGTCTTATAGGAAACCGACGATGGTTAGGAAGAATGAACTTTGCAGCCGATTTTCTACGACGGGTACCGATGCTTTCCCTCTGACGAGCCTTAAACTTACATCCTTTCCATTCTCACACTAATTTCATCGATTTTGTCTGGAACAATACTGATCTAGGCTTTTGTGATTTGTCTAGGAACGTGCTACAAGGGACCGAATTGTCTCTACATCCATGATCCGAACAAAGTCGCCATGTGCAAAGACTTCCTTCAAACTGGTAATTGCAATGCAGGTATAAGTTGCGATCTCTCCCATGAGCCTTCGCCCCATCGATCCCCCACTTGTATGCATTTTCTGCGCGGGCGTTGCGTCAATCCGGAATGTCGATATGCCCACATCCGGCTGACTCCGGGCGCGCCCGTGTGTCGAGCTTTTGCAAACCTGGGCTACTGCGAGAAGGGTGCCGAGTGCGACCAGCGTCATGTCCATGAATGCCCTGACTATGCCAACACCGGCGTCTGCAATAAGAAACGGTGCAAGCTGCCCCATGTGGACCGGGCTGGACAGATCCGGAAGAACACTGCTAATAATCGCACCGAGATCATGATCGATGAGGACGAGTCTGATGCCTCTAGCGAGGAAGAAGAGTATGATCAGATTGACTCAGATGACATTGACTCGGATGAGCTGGACGATGAGCCCGAGGAGCTTATCGAGGGAGCCGGTGGCAGCGAGCTCTCGCAGCAGCAGGATTACATTCGCCTTTAATTGTAGATTCGACAGCGGGTCTGACGCCTGCTTGGGGAATAACGATCTCTAGATACCCATCCAGCGTGTTTCAATTGTTTGGGGACTTGGTTTTTCTTGTTCTTTTTACGTCTGCTTTTTTCGATAGTGTACTTATGATAGACACGAACAAATGGAGATGTTTTCACCGTTAAGTCACCTCACCCCCGTATTCCTGCAGGAGATTCTGCATTCCCTCTCCCCACCGCATCGCTCTGGACAATATCGTTTCGCCGCGAATCTCCTCGTGCACGTTCGCCCCATGTTCAAGCAAGCACTTCGCCACTCCCCAATGTTTTTCTCTTACGAACAATCCTCCCCAGAGGGCAAAGCGCAACGGTGAGTCCCCCTGCCCATTCCGTTCGTTTGCGTCCGCTCCATGTTCCAGCAACCACCTCACTACTTCTGTATAGTCATTCGCGATTGCGATGAATAATGGTGAATTTCCACGGCCATCGAGTGGATTCGCATCCGCTCCGTTTTCCAGCAACATCTTCGTATAGAGATGTCGGCCTTCCAGAATCGTCGCCGTCAACAAGGGCCTCAGCTGTCGCCCCCATCCCACCGTATTCACGTTCGCTCCATGATCAATCAATAATCGCGCGATCTCTTCCCGGCCTGACCAGACTGCCCACGCCAGTGCCGAAATGGGCTTGTATCTTTCGGCCGATTTGGTTTTGTCCATCGTGTTCACGTCCGCCTTGTACTCCAACAGCAGCCTCACCACCCCTGTATGACCTTCCTGTATAGCACCACACAGCACCGATCTGTGCCGCCGTCGGGTGTTAGGATCTGCTCCTTGGCCCAAGAGCCTCGCCACTAGATTCTCGCATCCTCGGGTTGCCACAAACCACAGCACCGGCGTTTCGTCGTCACTGATTTCATCCACGTTCGCTCCATGATCGATTAGAATCTCGGCTGTCTCACGGCGCGACTCTCGCATTGCAATCCGCAACGGCGTCTCCGTAGGCCATGTGGCCTCCGTATCTGCGCCCTTCGAAACCAACATCCTCACCATCTCCGTCTTCCGCGATTTCGTCGCCCACCAAACCGGCGTCAGCTTCCCTGTCTCCGGCGCATTGATATCTGCCCCCCGTTCAAGCAACCTCTTCGCCACCTCCATACTCCCATAATACGCCGCACACTCCAGCGGCGACCACCCCCGTCGAGCGTTCGGCATCATCCTTCCCCCGTGATCCAGTAACAGACTCACCAAATCCGCATGATCATTCATCACCGCATCAAACAACGGCGTGTGATGCTTCTCCTCACTCAGCCTCAAATCAGCCCCCAGCCTCAGCAGCGCCTCCACCGCCGCCGTCCGCCCTCGCTTCGCCGCTGCCCTCAGCGGCGTATCGCCATAACAGTCCTTATAATGATTCATCCTCTTATCCACCGGCACCCCATGCTTCACCAGCACCCGCAACGGACCCTCAGGGCATTCCGCCTCCGTCGCATCATGAATGATATCAAACTCCGTCGTCGTCGTCCGTTCCACCTTCGCCCGCCTCGCCACCAACAACTCCATCACATCCGTATACCCGCCCCTCGCGGCCGCGCTGAGCGCACTATATCCACCCTCATTCTCCCAATCCACATTCGTCTCCCTATTCGGATGCTCACACAGCGCGCGCACAACCTCCGTATACCCGGCCGCGGCCGCAAAGATCAACGGCGTCGAGTTATTCCTCTGCTGCGCTTTCCCGGAAAGTGTGGCGTTTGTGTCGCTCGCGAAACTTGGACAGCGTGTGGCGAACGACGCGGGGAGTTCTTTCATGGGCGGGCGTCGGATGGTGTTGATGCGGGCGCCGTGCGCGAGCATGTTTCGGGTTAGGTGTGGGAGGTTGTAGATGGAGGCCCATTGGAGGGCGGTGTTGTAGTGGTGTTGGATGTTGGCGCGGTAGAGGGCGGAGATGGCGACGCGGTAGAGTTGGGTGCTTGTGAGGCAGAGGGCGTAGAGGTCGAAGGTGGATGGGATGTGGGCTGTTATGGAGAGGATGAGCTCGGAGGGGAGGGATTGGAGGTTCATGGTTGGTGTAGGGGCTGTCACTAGGTAGGTGCTACCTGTGGATGCGGATAGAGAGAAGTGCAGGTTTCGTTTCTTCGTTTGGTGTAGGAGCTGTAACTTGAGGCGATATCTATTGATGTGGGTAGATGTGGGTGTATAGTATATTGCAAGCAGATGAAGACGGAGGAACAGAAAGAGGGATAGTAAGTGAGGTAAAGAGAAAGAGAATCTGAGGGGTGGTACTAGTCTATAGTCTAATCCACATGAACAAAGAAAGTAAAAAAGACAAGACATTCAACTAGATTTATACCTCCTCCCCAAAGAACGACTCAACATCAGTCATATCACAACCTTGTCTCCCTGCTCTAAGTTCAGCCAACCAAACACCACTATAAGCGCGCTGTAGTAGATAAATGCCCAAACCGCAGTTCAGCCGCCAAGCTACCTAGGTACGTAACTTCGCCGTTCACCTCAGTGCATAGTCCATAAGTAGATGGGTGACTCAGTCACAGTTCTAATTCAACTATCTGCATACAACATGTGCCATGGTTGAATCCAGACCTTTTCGTTCTAATCCAACAATATCAATCTTCCATGCTTCTTTAGATCCCCAAGCAATTCAATCATAGTGAAACCGGTCAGTCAATTTGACTTGAATCATCTGAGCGCCCCGCATTCCGAGCGCTTAGGCACATACTTAACATTTTTTAGCGTTGATGGGGACCCGATGAAGGGCTTGGACTGGTCTGGGCGATCTACATGAATCGAGGGTTCAGGTTAACATCAAGAGGTGCAATTGAGCGTTTCCGGAAGTTTGATAGCGGAGGGTGGTGTTTTGGGTTGAAAGTAGTTGATGGCGATTATCGTGGTGAACGATGGATATGGACTCCATGTTGTAAGTAATGACTAGCATTTGAAAGAGTGCCATTCACTTTCCATGCCCTGGATACTTAGTGGTTGGATGGGTGTGACATGGTATTGGTTTGATTAAACTATTTAATTTTAGCAATCTTCGTTTCCTCCGAATCCCTCCTCTGGCATATATACTCTGTTTTACATAAGAAGATCAAGAAGGAGGAAGGAAACAAAGGCAGACCTTCACATTCTTCTCCCTCTCCACGGCCAGCCAAACATCCAAACCGATCAAATCACATCGTCTCGATAATTGGCCCGCGATACACGTTCTTTGCCCTGATGAAATAATACACCACTGCAATAATCACCGTTCCGAACGTGCTCACAACGCTATAATTCATTGTCGTATAGTCCACGACCGACTCGGTGGGCCAGAAGCTAAAGAAGATAACGATGATCATGTAAATGATTGCGAACACGTTGACCGCGATACCTAGGATACCGGGAACGCGGAATGGACCCCAGACAAGCGGGGAGCCGGGAACGTTGACGGTCGTAGTAGGGGAGTTGAAAGAGGAGGGGATGTCGGATTCGTGGTCGTAGATGGCGCCGGTGACGCGGCGATAGAGCAGAAGGGTACCGACAGATAGATAGGAGAGGTAGAGGCCCGAGACGGCCATGGAGACGACGTCGTTAAGGGCGACATCAGAGCCAATGTTGATGAGGCCGAGGAGGGAGGCGACAGTCATGGTGAACACGACAGAGTAAATTGGGATAGAGGAGGTGGGAGAGACCTGTTAGTTTTGGACTTATTGTTAGCTATATACTTGGCTGGCACGTTAGACTGGAGTAGGCTACCTTGCTCCAGAGTCGCCATCCTGGAATCCCTTGATCTCGCGCAAATGACCAGAACTGACGGGATGTGGCGGCCAGCATGCCAATGGTAGCACAAAGACCAATTATCAGCATGATAGATATCATGGTCAGAGAGCCCGGTAGGGAGTTTGTGGCTTGGTAGAAGATTTGCATAAAAGGGTATCCCGTGGGAGTCTCAAGTGCGGCGTCGAGATCGCCCATGCAGAAGAGAACGGCGATCAGCATGCCGAAACCAAGGGTGCCGTTAATCAAGATGGTCATGATGATAGCTCGAGGGATGGTAACGGATGCGTTTTGGACTTCTTCGGCCATCTAGAATTTATAGATTAGTAACATTCAATTGACGTCCTGCTGGAAGCCCTCATGGAAACGTACATGCACCGCGGCATCACCACCTGCGAAAGCAAAGATTCCTCCTTGCATACCAAGAAAGAAAACGATCCCGTTTGACGACCAGCCGCCTTCGTTAGTCCAGGTGGTGAAGACTTCTTTGGCGGTTTTATGGTCGGACATGTACGTAAGAGGAATGAGGATGGCAAGAAATCCGAGGATGTGGAGAACGAGAACGAGATTCTCTAGACGGGGGAGGAGTTTGCCGCCGACGAGGTTGACTCCTAGAGCAAGAGCAATCGAGGCCCACATGATAAGAGTTCCTTGGTAGGGCTCGGCATTGTATCTCTCATGAGCTAAGATAGCAGCGCCCTGGATTTCGGTCCCGCTAAGGAATGCGGTAGAGGCGAAAGCAGATTGCCATCCGATTACAGTAAGCCATCCTAGCGAGAAACATTAGTTTGCGGACGAGAGGTCCGGCGAGAGAGAGTTGTGCACCTGTGATATAACTGAGAAATTTCATACAACTGGGAGGCGCAAGCATTGCGCACCAGTGATACTGGCCACCGGACGTCGGAGCCCTGAAATCGTAAGTCAAAAATAAGTGATATAACCAGTGTAAGCTAGACTCACATTGAGGATAGCTCAGCAAGAAGAACAAAGCAGCATCCCGTCCCAATCCATGCAAATATGTATCCGTAAACTGCGGTGGCAGGACCTCCACTGTGTTCTGTTAGCAGCTAGACAGAACACAGCAAACCGAAGACCGACTTTTCCATAGGAATCAAAAAGGTACTATCCAAATATTAGTATCTTGTTGCACATTCTCTGCAGGGGCCATCCTACTCCATCAATCCTTCCCATGTTGCGATGATAGTACAGCTGAATCCAAGAATCGACAAGACACCGAAGTTGCGCTGTAAAGTTTTAGATCGGGCTAGGAATTGGGTTGCTGGCAAACCGTACCTTTAAGACCGACTTCTTCCCCACTCGCGCCAGATCCAAGTCATCGCGATCCTTGCTATTCTGCGCCTGTCCGACCTCGTGGAGGGTCTGAGCAGCTCTGTTCTTCAGCTCATAGGAAGCCATTTTGAGTGCAAGGCTCCGCGAAAAGCATGAGTAAAAGCAGAAAAAGAAGGACGAAATCAGGGGAGAAGAAAAACGGTCCCAGATCTCCAGAAACCACGGAGAAAAGAGAAATTTCTCGGAACATTAATCGGCTTGCTGCTGCACGGAAGCATTAGCAAACACATAACTAATGTCTGCAATCGATGGGATTGGCCATAGTTGACTGGACTTCCAGGGGGTTTGCGCGACCATCAGGCAGAGGTGCGTGGAACACTTCGGCTAGATGCTCAATAACAGCCCTGTGGGGTGAACAAATTAAACAATCGTGCTACACGACAATGTCTGGCAAGGTGGCGTTACATTGAAACGGACCAAATGAAGAGCAATCCGGTGGCTAAATGCTAGCGACGTTGACTTGACAGGGGATGTTAGGCCGGTGCATCGTTAGTGCCAATTCTGGGACTTTTGAAGACTGAGATGTTGTTCGGCCTCAAGATTGTCTGAACATTTCGGGTTCTTTTGACGTCGTCTATCATGTAATGCTCAAGTTTGCACATGATACAACACAAAGTGCAGTATAAACCCCGGGTTTCAAGATGCCCAGTGCATTAATGGTGTGGCCTGTGCCAACCGAAGCCATAATTACTGATCCCTGTTCGTCTTGCGCATAGCGTCCTGCGCCGCAATTTATTTCAGGATTTGCCAAGATATTTGGTGGGGTCCAAGCACTTGCGTACACAGTACATATGAATATGGGTTGCTTATCCTTCTGCGCCATATCCGGCCGTTCTGGCTGAAAGTTAGTGTTCGGAAAGGTGGGTGGTTACCTGTTGGCTTTTATGGCATGGATTAGGGCTCTTTTCATAGGCCAGCCGGCAAGTACATACACCGATGGGCGAGTATCGCGTCGGCTCTGTAGCCATCGTTAGAAATTAGTTGCCTCCGAGCTTTAGAGCGGAAGAAAAGTCGTGCTGATGACTTGTCGCTCTAGTCACCATGCACATGTGTTCGAGTGGTTCCATTTTCAATTCGCAAACATACCTTGCAAGAACAAACCTGGCAAGGGTACGGAACGCGGTAACTCACCGGAACCGTGGAAGACCTAAAATAAACGAAAAGGAGCAGCATCCCTGATCATCCTGCGAGTAGCCTCGATTAGTCCAGGTCCGAACCGGGCTCGGAGAAGGGAGTACCGTTGGAGATTAGCCAAGTTCACAGATTGATATTTCTTGCCAAGGGCAAAACACATGGTGGCATTTTGTGATCTTTGCCGGGTAAAATGTCGCTCTCCTTGGTAGAATTGGGTGTCTGAAGCTATGGTCCTTTTATTCGAGGCACTGACCACATCGGAGAATGCTGATCCTTCTTTTGAGCCTGTCTCGTATCCTTTGTGTTCATTTGTTTTTGCATGATCTCGTCTTGTTGAGAACGGTGCGATGCCCCGATTTGCACCAGACAGCTGGAATCCCGCGGTCAACATCACATCATGGTTCCTTATGAGCTCTACCATCCTGTGTGTGATGGCCCGGCTGACCACGAAATGGCTGATTTTTCGAAAATTAACAACAGATGATCATCTCATTATTGTATCACTCGTGAGTTCTTTCATTGTCGTTAACTTGAGCTGCTTGGCTCACAGTCATTGACACCGCTATGTCCCTACCAGGCATTCTGCATAGGGAACACTATTGCGCTCTCCATGGCCACAGCCAATGGATATGGCGATCACACGGACGCGACGTCGAGAGTAAAACAAGACGCTGTCATGAAGGTATGTCCACGCCCGCCTAGCAAACCATGCATTATGCATGCCACCACCATGTGGGCTGATTGAGTTTGGTTATGAGCAAGTCTCAATTCGCAGCCTTGCTGCTATTTATAACGAGTTTATTGTTCTCGAAACTGTCCATGACAAGCTTTATTCGCGGTCTTTCTCCTACTATGCGGGATCGGCGATTCGCACATGTCGTTCAGGGCCTAGTAGTGGCAACTGGAATTGCGGCATTTTTTGGGACCGCATTTCAATGTCGGCTCCCAAGAACATGGGATTATATGCATGGAAGGTGCATCAGTAGGGTTGGTATACACCTATTCAGCTTACCATCTGACATATGGACTGACGGATTGCTCCTGGAAAGATCTCCTGGACCACGTATGTAACCATCACAGCAATGATCACCGATTTTCTGATCATCGTTCAATCCATGCTTTTGATCGTGCATATCCAGGCGACGGTCAGAAAGAAGGCCTTGTTTGCGAGTATATTTCTCCCTCGCGGGTTGTGAGTTCCGATGCCCTGATCCCTTTGTTTGCTATCGCAGAATAATATAATAGACCGATTAGCGCATCCTAACGATTGGACAGCGTAATTGCCTCATCCCTCACTCACCTGATCCTCGCGCATAAAGCCTCTCCCGACGATCCATTCGTCGCGTCGGCTCCCTCGACAATCTGTATGCAGATCACTCAGTCGCTCAGCATCGTCACGGCCTGCTGGGGTCAACTTAAACCCTTCCTCGATCGCATTCGCTCCGACGCGTTCAAACTCTCTGGCGCCGATTGGGCCAGATCGAATACCTCGTCCGGCGCAGGGGCGAGTAAAGGGGACCGAACGACAAATTCGCATTCGCGATCGCGGCTGAGATCGAAGAGCTCAAGACATGGACTCGCGTTGGATTTCGTGCCCGAGCCGATGAAGAAGACAAGAACGCGAACGATGATTTCCGTGGGAGGGGACGATTGGGATAAGGGAAGTCAGTCAAGCGAGACGCATATCATCCGTGAAACGCGGAGTTTTGCCGTTGTGGAGGAAAGTGCGGGGAGGGAGTGATTTTGTCTGGACTTTGCTTTGGATTCAATTAGGACCTAATATGATCTATCAGTGTAAGCCCTAAAACTCAAAGTTGTAGAGTAATTTTAACACCAAGGTAGACTGTTGAATGATGAATAGGCTTGAGGCACGGTCCCTGACACAACCTATCTAGTTGTTGATTTTGGCTTTATTCCCAGCAACTTCTCTCCAGAATGAGAAACACGCCCACCACCCTCGTCCATCCATTCATTTAGAAGCTTGGCCCCATTCCTTCCATTGCTTCTATAGACATAATAATCTTTTTCCAATATCCTAGTGATGCTAAGTTGGCCGACATCCGTAAAGCCCTTGGTATCCTTGGTTCTGGAGGACTCCACAGTATTACCTGCCTCATGTGGCTTCGGGGCATTTGCCTGTCGGGTGTGTTCGGGCAGCTGGATTGTGATTCTGACGGGTACTGCACGCAGGTTGGATAGACTGAGAGGCGTAGTTGATTCTGCTTCAGCCTTGGGTGCTCCTGGGATAACATCCGCCCAGTCTGCTAAGGACTCGCTTCTTGCCTTTTAGCGACCAGGTAGATCCAGCCCTTGAGACAGTGTCAATGAGATAAACATACACTCTCTCACTGACACACAGCCTTGATCATGTTAAATCGACTTTGCGTTGTGAGATCTTGTATCCGAATAGAATAGCGTCCATTTCCCGTTTAACAGCTCTCGTCGTAGGAAGACCGTCCACCTATAGTTTGTCATAAACGCAAATCTCAGTTCTGTTGCCTACGTAGAACTGGACATTACTGATTGCTAAGTCGGGCTTTCAAGCTTTCTAGCAGTTCATCCTTTTGGAAAAAGAGTATGCTGTCGTAATGACCCTCAATCAGGCCCCAGTACTCTAATTGTTCAAAGGCGTCAAGGCATACATCGTCCTTGGTTCGATTTGTATGTTGCTCAGCGTCCTCGAGGTCCACGATAAAACTATACAAAATTAGTAGGGACCCGAGCAACTTTGACAAGTTACGCACCATTGGCCGCTGGTGGGATCCCATATAATGTTTTCCTTTCGTGGGTCCCAGTGGGTAAAATAGTGGGAAGAGAATTCCCTTAGAGCATTTAGCCAAACCCTGGTGTAAGTGCATTATCTCTCCCGGTACACACCATAAAGCTGCTATCAATGCAACTCGGATGCGGTTCTTCTCCGCCTCTGTGCGGTTGTCAAAGTCATTCAGCGTCTCGCCGGGGACTTTCTGCATAACGATATATGCCACGTAGCCTCCTGGTAATTCGTCGTCCGGACCTTGTGTTTTAATGGCATATCCAAGAAGTTTAGGCGTGCATTTGCAATCTTGTAATTGGGATAGATTATAAATCTCGCGATTTATCTCGTCGCTATGCTCGGAATAATCGCGAGTAGTCCAATACTCAATTCTATCAATATTAATCCTGTTGCTTGGTTTCTGGCACAACTCTCCACCAGACAGCATATAAACCTACTGGCTTTTGATCTTGATGATATCCGGTGCGTTTGATGGCTGATCAACTCTTATAGCTTCATAGACCTCGTGACGTTCGGTTGTAAAACCACCGAGTGGATCTTCTTGTTGTCGGACCTTGGTTGAGAGGTTTTTACTGATTTCCCAAACTCCGAATTGGAGATGTACCTCGGAGTGAGACAGTGATTCTTTTCGAGGAGTACTGGATGACATAGTGCTGCTATGGAGAGAATACTGAGAGTAGCAAGGGTGGGCAGGACATTACGTGTTGTGGCAGAATTGGGCTTGGCAAAGGGGTTCAACCGGCCGAATTATATGGAAAGATATAGCTGTGTTTATATAATTTCGTAGCTTCCTAATCATAGTCTGATACAGGAAATCTATGTAGTTTAACCTCTGCAGTTATACAGTGAAACCTAGTTAGTTAAATCATTAGTTTCTATAAAATCACACCTCCCCTCTCGAGACAACCCTGAATCTGGTTTCTGCCTTCCTACATGTGCCTTGTTAGCATCATCGCATTCACTTGGATTGAGCCTCTATTTCATCAATTTGATTGCTCTTTGACTATTTCAGTAGAGGGCCTTGAAGTCGTCGTCCCGAGCAGGCATTTTTGAGAATCGAGGCTTTTGTAGGGATGGAGATACCCCATACCTATCATTGAGCGCCTCACAGGCGTTTACCAACTATTAACGTAGTCTATCTGGGCTCTAGATCAGGGTTCATTATATTTTCTATTCCTAAGCTTATTCCAAGTATACGGAGTAATGAGATTTGCGTGTCTTATAAGTCGTGCTTTGATGCATACCAGATGAAGAGAATTTAAGAGTGGTGGCCGGCCTTTTTTGGCAATAAAATCAAAGAGATGAGGCGGTACAGCGGGCTATACCGGTATACTGGCCATATGGTAAAATCATTTTTAATTGTAAATTCTGCTGGAAGTATCTTCAAACCAATACAACAGAACACCTCTTAGCGCTATATAAATACACTCTCCCCTTATTATCTCTACCTCGTACCTGTTCTACCTACCTGCCTACCTGTTACGACCTTGATGTGCAGCCAAATCTGGTAACTTGGAATTCTAGTCTTTTAGTAGCTGAGTGGGTCAGCGGTCCAGTATTATTAGATAATAGGAAGAGAAGTGTATCTATTCTGAGCCCTTCACAAGCGGGTAAACAGGATAGACAGATAGTATTACGGACTCAGAATGGGCATACTTCTACCCCTCTTGTTCAGATTGTATGGCTCTCAGCCTTGTTGCTCTATCTGTGCCTCGTTGATGAGCTGCAGCTTTGTTTACCAGCCTATCAATCAACAGCGTTGTACAGGACATGTCACAACAGCGCCCCCTCAAGTGGTGATGATTGCGGGGCTTGGCTGCATCGTATAGAGCCATTTACTCATCACACTAGTATTAGCATGATAATGCTGGACACAGCAAACAGATGCTGCTTAACGGAATAGGACAGCACACGAGTATTGTTACCAACGAGAAATAGAAAAGACTATCTTGTTTTGGAGTCTCTATAATGGGCACAGAAGTTGAAGCAACCCCAGAGAGCAATAAGACACCCAGAGGTGTTACGCTTTTCGTCCAGTCTATGCTATTGATGGTGCTTCCGCACCTGAGGGCCATATGGTTATCCTCGCTTTGAACCACAGCGGCTATAGGTAACCGATAATTGGAGCTACTTGTGATCCTGTTGCATGTGCTGAGGGTCTGTGCGGGAATGCCAGCGCCATTTCGACACATATCTGAGAGCGAAACTGCGGGGACTTGTGGTAGTTGTATGGGCTCAAACTTGTGTGTTAGTCCGATAGGCCTGTGTTAGTTCAATAGGCCGTGGACAATACCATTCCCTTCTTTTTCCAGCACTAGAGCCAGGTAGCGAAAGAGGGTGGCGGTTTTAGACTTACTTCGATTTCAGTGTTGCCTGATAGTGCTTGGCCTTTTCCCAAGGCGCCGGAGCGGGCCTATATATAGCCTCGACCTTCTTCCACATGTTTCTAGCTCACTAGAAACACAAAGAAGCAGAAAAAAGTTATCGTTTCATAGAATCCATTTTGACAAACCTTGCATTGTTGCCCTCCTGAAACCCGCAATGGCAGTATATCTCTCTATACCCATCCTTGACGAGCTCGTCATATGTGTGTTCAATCAACGTGTTTCAGATTTTGATTAAGATGGAATAGCCGGGCGCTTTGCCAACTAGAATCTATTTTCCATACCATAGGCCAATCCAGAGAATGAATAATTGAACAGAATTGTATATTCTATCAAGCAAGGTTCAACGGGCACGAGGTTACCCAGAAACCGTAGCTCTTTCCGTAGATGAGAAGGTTTGGAGAGTCGGAGGTGAAGCAATTTCTCGCGCCCCCCAACCCTAATCTGACAAGGCTCTCTGCTTTTTCGGCGGCTGACACTGTTCAAGTCACCAGGGACAAGTGTCGCGGAGCTTTGACCTTTCTGACAGTCGATACAGGTAAAGCGTTCATTGGATGACCGATTTTCCATACCAACACATTTTACGTGTTGCCATGAAAAGCATTGGAGACAACAGACGCCATTCTTTTCTAAATCTCCACGTATGCCACAGCACGGTACAGACGAGTGAAATCGTAGGACAACGGTGTCTTTGAGCTGGGGTATCGAGTTATAGTAGCACTGTCTAGCGGCAAAGGAAGCTTGCGAAAACGCTACCGTATCTCGAGGCTCCAATTCATGTAAGATCTTGTGAAAGATCTCGGGTGGAATGTTCTGTTTCCATCTTTCTTTGTCAAGCAAAGGCTTTTTCCAGTAGCCTGATGTTATAATCCGGGTCAGAGCACGGAACCCTGGTGAGCATTTGACCGCCGAAAAACGATTGAGTAGCACAATACTCTCAGAGGCCAAAGCAACACCATTAAAAACCTCCACGAAAGTGACATGATGTGGTGAGATAAGAATTAAGTAGATGTTGCGATCCCCACCATAGTCGTCAATATGTGGTTTCGCTTTCTTGAGAGCTTCGTGTATCATACTATCGGATTCAACGCTTTCTTGTAGGACAATGAGAAATCCATGGAACCAATACGTGTCCGTTTCAGGATAAGTCCAAGAAGGAATCGACGCGAAGGATATTGGAAGCTCAGCGTTGTTATCAGGGGACAGTTCAAAATCCCAAGCTGCAAGACGCAAAAAAGCTGAACCTAGAACCCTGAAAATCGCGGAACTGTATCTCCATGTTAAAGGATCATCAATATAGTGACGCCATACGAAAACGAAGTCGGTAAAAAATCGCTCTTGTAGCTCATTCATGGGTGTGGGAATGCCCAAATCTATATCAAGCGCCCCAAAATCTAGTCTTTCACTTGACGGCGGCTTACCCCGACAGACACTATCATCAATCATGTATGCAGGCTGTTCGAGAGAGTGCTTTATGAAAAGCCTGGAGGACGCGCAGAGTTTTGATAAATCAATGTGTATTGCCGTCGGCCTCAATGATCCGTTCAGCTCCTTCCATAACGAGATTATGAAAACATCTGCGTCTTGGTCGACAGTGTACACATAATCTAGATTTGGATGAATGGGGGTAGGAAAAGGGACTGACTCCCATTTCACAAGATGGCCGGGCTGGTCGCGTAGTTGCTTGATGATCCGAAAAGTTGATTCGTCGTCAGGGGGGCTTATCCGCCCTCGTGGATGACAGGAGCGATACCAGTTCCCTGGAAAGTAAAATCAGCGACCTGAGAGATTGTATGGACCCCATTTTACCAACCATTAGTGTGTACGTTCCAGAGTCCCCTACACACCATGGTTACAGAATCCTGTCGTGATTAAAGCGTTTTTGATATTTGCTGTATTGCTATAGGTGATTATCGATCAGGTCGTAAAAGATAACAACTTGAGCGAGCAAGATTTCTGGAAATGAGAATGAGGTTTATTCCACCTGAAGCTTGGGTTTCCAGGTCCGCAAAATTGATATTTCGATGTTCCATCCTTTCCCTCGATTAGCCAACGCTAGAAGCGGGAAGAATGAAAAACTGATATATCATGTAAATCATTAGAGGTGTGCGCGGCGAGAGTTATTCTTGATAAGATAGATCCTGGGCCTCGACCGGGAGAAATGTTCACCCGAGCCGACCGTTACTCCCTATCTCCCCAGTCAAACAAGGCGTATATCGAGGCGTCTTGTCTTACTGGAAGACTCAAGCCAGCTTCGACTTACTCAACTTTGTGACGAAGCCAACGCCAGGTCGAATGTGTCAGTGTCAGGGGCATGGATTCGCCTGGCACGCTGAAAACCCGTCGCTTGCTGCGTGGTGAAATTACCTACGCCGAAGCGAAGGACAAAGATGCTAATATCCTGCATGAGTTGGGTTACCGGGATCAGAAAATCCAATTCTTTACTCATCTCTACCAAAACAGAAAGCTTATTAAAGCTATCGCTGCCCACCATCTCGGCCTTGCTTCTCCAGACATATGCCACGTTGTGGATGTGGAGGAATGGATTCACGGGAGCTTCAATGTTTGTATCCGAGTTGACGTTGATAGTCAGGGACAGAATCCCGCCAAGCAGTTGATGGTTCGATTTCCCCTGCCCTATCGGATTGGTGAGAATTGCTGTCCAGGGAATGCGGATGAGAAGGTCCGTTGTGAAGCTGGCACATACGCATGGCTTGAAGAAAACTGCGCAACTATTCCTATTCCCCAACTATATGGCTTTGGACTGTCAAATAATCAAACCGTATGCCCCCTATGTATGTATATTCGAATATGGATCTTTACTTACGGTTCTAGTTCACTTTTGTCGATAACTTGCCTATTTTCACGCGGACCATTGGACGTCTGCGTCGTTGGCTCTTGTCTTTGCTAACTTTTCCAACTCCTTCTCGGTACATTCGGCATCCTATCAAAGATCAGCTTGCATTGGGCACACCGTATATCTTGATCGAATATATCAGTCCATCGCGAGGCAAGATGCTTTCTGACACCTGGGAAGAAGGGCGCCATGATCCCGAATTACGCAGCAACCTCTTCCATGGTCTCTCGCGCATTATATTGACGTTAGCTCGCACTCCATTGCCAAAAGTTGGTTCCTTTACTTTGGATGAAAATGGTTATTTGAGGTTGAATAACCGCCCGCTTACTCTTGAAATCCAACAATTGGAGAATGAACAAATTCCGGTTGATATACCGCGAAATGTGACCCACACAACCGTTGACTCCTATCTAAACGACATGATCGCATTCCATGAAAGTCGGCTCCGCCATCAGCCTAACGCGGTCAACAGCCTGGAAGATGGTTTCTATCAGACAGCTGCATTAATGGTTATGAAAAGCGTCTGGTCTTGCTTTTTTCGCCGAGAGTTCCTTCGAGGGCCATTCTTTCTCAGCCTCACGGATCTGAATCAATCCAACCTTTTTGTCGATGACAATTGGAACATCACATGCCTTATTGACTTGGAGTGGGCTTGCTCTCATCCAGTGGAGATGATTCATCCTCCGTACTGGCTAACAAGCCAGGCCATTGATTTGGTGAACTCCGATGAGTACAAGAATCTTCACGCGGAGTTTATGGCGGCTTTCGCCGACGAGGAACTACAAATCAGACCGCCGATCAGTCTTCACTCCGTGTTGCAGCAGGGATGGGAGAGAGGGACGTTCTGGTATGCCTTAGCACTCAGTAGCCCTACGGCGCTGTTCAGCATATTCTATGATCATATTCAACCGATGTTTTCTAAGACGCACGATGACCCAGCATTTTGGCGAATCACTATGCCTTACTGGACGTTCAATACGTTTTCATTCATCGAGCAAAGGGTGAAGGACAAAGAGGAATACGATGTCTCCTTGCGAGAGGCATTTCAATCATGAATTTCCCCGTACGGACTTGCATACAAATTCTTGATAATCCTCATCGACTCTGCCCTTGTGCATCGCTGTTGCTTCCTATGCCCCCTTGATACTTATTTTTGAAGTCCTCTATTGCATTTTGAAGGTTCAGAATAGCCTTTTTCCCTCTATTCTCTTGTGCAGCTTTTCCCGACGAAGAAAGCTGGTTCATAGTTTTGGCGTCCATCTTCATAGCGATACCTGCTTCTTCGACTTTGCCATCGTAGCTGGAATCGGAGCGTCTGTCCCCCATTGTGTGAAAGTCTAAGGTGAATATTAGCGATCATTTTGACGGTAGAACCATTTTCAGTTAACTCAAAACCGACATGAACTATCCACAATAGAATGCGATGAGGTTTATTGGAGTCTCAGAGGTGATATAGGTCTGGCGGTATACTGTCAAGGCGTCACAAGTAATTCTATGACCCGCATGGAGCTTTACTTACATTGGTAAGACGAGGTCTGAAGCAGCAGGATGTTTGAAGCTGGTCAACTCCTTAGTTACGCACAGCGAAAAGAGGTGAGTTCCAGAAGCTACCTATTTTTCTAGACGCCGAGCACATGTAGGCAATAGACATGCGATGCGCGCCGGATGATTCAAATTGACTCCTCGATCACCTTGACGTGGCTTTGCAACCCCGCAAAGCGAACGACAAAAGGCGCGTGCATGAGCAGCTCGAGCCCGCTGCTGGATTCCCAGAATGTCACCTTGCACAACCCAGTGACAACAGCAACTACCGTAACCAGAGCTCATGCTGGACTGTGTCATTTTCTCCAGACAGTCGATTATTAGCATCCGGGTCTCACGATGATACGGTTAGAATCTGGGACACTACTACGCACACCTTAAGACAGACGCTCGAGAGCCACATATTTGGAGACAGTGATGTGAAAATCTCACCAACCTATCACCTACTAGGTACTAACATCAGGTACGTACGATAGCGCAATCAAAATGCGGGACATTGGCACGGCCTTACAAAGCCCTATTCTCGATGACAGGAACGCCAATCAGTCTATTCGGTCATTCGGGCACGGTGGGTGTTTTTGCTTTTTCGCCCGACGGCCAGCTACGTGCCTCTGGCGCTATTGATGACAAGGCCAAACTCTGGGATGCTACTGGAGAGCTGATACAGAATTTGAGGGGCAGTCGTCTTTCATTCAAGCTTTTGATTTCTCGCCAGATGGTTATCTCCTCGCATCCAGCTCCCAGGATAGTCCGATTGTCCTCTGAGACACCAGCACTGGAACTCTGCAGCACTCTTTCGAGGACTAATTGAACCCCATCGGAGAGCTATCGTTTCCACCGGGTAGTCCACTGCTAGCCTCAGCATTTAGCGATCAAACGGTCAAGATCTGGCACGCTTCTACTAAAGCCTTGAAAGAAAACTTGTCATTTGAGTTACCTGTTATCACATGGAGTTCTCGAACCATGGTGTCCTAGAAACAAAACTGAGACGGCAAGAAATCCAGTCCTCTTACGGCAGTATTACCGTCTTCGAGACCCAACCAGGGACGAGATAATCATAGAAGGGAGCTGGATAGTCATTAATGGTGACAAGGCTCTATGGCTGACTGCGGAATGTCGACCGTCTTGTTCTGCAGTTCGAGGGCACATAGTTGCTTTGGGCCACATATCGGAAAATGTCTCTCTGATAGTATTCTGTACAGAAGATTATATACTGGAAAAATAGAAACCCTCTGTGTGGGATAGATTGTATGCTATTTATAAGCAGCAGGAATGCGGAGCTCTCGAGACTGGTCGCAACCAGATGGATAGATGTCCATCTGTGCTAGTTTATTCTTGCACGATATAGTCTGGATGTTGAGATTGAGTTAACTAACCTTCAACATTTAGTTTGCTTGCAACAATAGCCCAGTCATACAATGGCTGCCCTCGATGCCGTGTATGTAGCCATGGTGTCTGTTCCGGCTGTCGACATGTCAAAGTTTTGCGATGAAGGAGAGTATATCATAAGATAATCCCATTGAATATTATCAAGTAAATAACAAGTACCATTCTCCCTAAGAGACATCAGATCACATTGAGCTTTTTACACATCATAACCCCCAATCCCTATACTGGATTGAGCATCCACAACAGAAAAGAACGCCATCACGCAACCTGAACAGTCTGATTCAAGACCTCCAAGAACGGAAACGGCCCGGCCTAGATGAACAAAATCAGCAATTGAATATACCAACCAAGTATATGCTATAGATCGAAATGCACCATTACTTACCCCAACAAGCGAGACATGCGCCACACCGAGCACCGCCTCGCCGCTCTCAACCGAGTCCGGTACAGTGACGGTGAAGTTCTCATACGGAGGCAGATAGTATTCATGGTAGACGGGCTTGAAAGGTCCGTTGTATAGGATCTGGCCCATGACGTCCTTGGAGTCATGGCAGGGGCGGTTGGCGCAGGATTGTAGGCCAATGGCGACGCCGACCTCTTGGGATCCTGTTAGAGAGTTCTAGCAGGTTGGATGTATATTAGTACGGTTGGTTATGCGCAACAGATGACACCTCTTCGAAGTAGGAAGGAAGCATACAGGACGTTGAACTTGCACGGTAAGTTTGCTACCAGCTTTGATGGAGGTCGCGGCCTGAGGCAATCCGATTCGAGCATTCTGCGCAAGGGCGCCGACAGCCAGGGATGTCAAGAATAATAGGGTGTTCATATTGAGATGAGAACGGAAATACGGGATGTAGAGTATTGCAGTGACAAGATGCGATTGAGATAACGATGTCTTGCAGATGCTTGCTTCAATGTCCCCCGATGTCTGGATGCAGGGGGAAATCGCTGTTATTTATATTGCCAGGCGACACAGTGGACACCACCGCATCGGAAGTTATTTATACATGGCTGTGAGTCGGTAACTCGCATTAATGGACGCCTGAGTTTTCCCCTGCGAGTCTGCATTTTGCAGCTGCGGTGCTAAAAATAAGTGGTTCTGCGTCTGTCGTTTCCATGGTACAGCAGGCCAGGCTGGGACAATCTGAGACACGGTAGGGAGAAGAGGGGATTGGACCTATCCAACGATATCGGATGGGGAAGCTTTGCCATCTGAGACAAAACTACACAGGAGTGACGAAATAGGTTGGGGATAAGCACTGTCATCAGGTTTCGGGTAGCGAAGATCCCGCGGCACCGTTGCATCTATGAATGGAAATGGAAGGCCTGATTATTGAGGCTTTGAATATTGCGCCATCACATGAGAAGGGCGGAATATGTCAGCAGAGAGGGAAGTCCCTCGCAGAATCACGCAGGGAGAGAGTGTGCCCGTAAACGAGGGGATGACCGCCCTCTGCCAGCTCCCTCCTCACCGACTTCTCCCTGCCCCGCACCCACGCCCGATGTCCTTGAGGACCTTGCGGGTATACAACAGAATAATCATCATCTTATTTAGCCACCCATAGACTCTCTCCGACAACATCCTCTTTACGTAGTCAACATGGGCATAGGTTACTCGAGTCCCCAATTTCCTCTGGAGGAAAAGAACCCTCGTGAATTAACTGCAGCCATGACCTTACGACAGCTGGTGTCCGGGAGCACGGTGGATGTGCGGCTTGAAACTGAGGAAGCTCGTATATCGCCCTTCTCGTTGCTTCGTGTCCCTTTGCAGCAGAGATAGGGTGAAGATCGGTGCTGATGTGACTAGCTCCTCCCTACAGCGCCCGAGAGCGAACGACGGTTCTTGCTATCTCCCAGCTCAGGGACTGGGAGGATCGCCTGTTGAAGGATCCCAAGGTACCGGATCTCTCTGCCAAGCACTATGCACGATTTGCTTCAGTCTACGAACGAATTATCGCTAACTGGTGAGAGCGTTACAGAACCGTCTGGCTATCTCGAGCTTAGCCAAAAGCCCGTATTCGCAGATCCTCACCAACCAGTCGGCCGTCAGGTCCGATGCCCAGGTGTTCAACGTCAGGATTCCTCTCGAGGGCGGCCCGATCACCAACCAGCGCGCCTCGGGCCGCTGCTGGCTTTTCGCCTCGACCAACGTCTTCCGCGTGCCTCTCATGAGGAAATACAATGTGAGCGAGCTCGAGCTCAGCCAGACATACCTGTTCTACTGGGACAAGATCGAGAAGGCCAACTGGTTCTTGGAGAAGATCATCGAAACGGTCGGCGAGGATCTGTCTGGTCGGTTGGTTCAGAAACTCCTCCAGGACCCCGTCACCGACGGAGGCCAGTGGGACATGGTGGACAATCTGGTGCAGAAGTATGGCCTGGTGCCGCACGCCATCTACCCGGATAATTTCAACGCCCAAAATAGCAACAAGATGAACTGGCTGATCACCGCGAAGTTGCGCGAGCATGCATTGGTTCTCCGGCGACTGGCGCAGAGTCCGAGCGTGAAGGAGCGGGAAACGCTGGCAGAGACAAAGGAGGCGTTCCTGCAAGAAATTCATAGCTTGGTGACTATCATGCTAGGACCGCCACCCAATCCCGATGAGCCGTTTGTGTGGCAATACTACGATGCCAATGGAAAGTCGCAAGAGATCCGTCAAGCGCCGCGAGCCTTCGCCAGCCAGGCCACGGTGCAGTTGACCCGAGCGGAAGTCAACCCCAACAGAGTGCTGAGTTTGGTCAACGACCCTCGCAACGAGTATAACCGTTTGTTGACGGTTGATAAGCTGGGAAACGTGGTGGAGGGACGTCCTATTAGTTACATCAATGTCGACATGAAGGTAAGCCCCTACAGCACCGCTGCCCTAATGCCTTGACACGTGCCTAAATTAATCTATCCCAGACAATGAAATCGGCCGCCATCGCGATGCTTCGGGCGGGCCATCCCGTCTTCTTTGGCTGTGACGTGGGAAAGTTTTACGATGCCAATCCGGGAGTGATGGATACCGAGCTCCTCGATCTCTCACTGGGGTTCAACGTCACGCTGGGTATGGATAAGGCGAGCAGACTTGAAACGGGCGAATCGTCCATGACTCACGCGATGGTGTTGACGGCCGTTCATATCGAAGAGAACAAGCCCGTGCGATGGCGAGTGCAGAACTCGTGGGGCGAAAACACCGGCGACAAGGGCTGGTTTGTGATGACCGACCGATGGATGGACGAGTATACGTATCAGGTCGTAGTCGATTCGCGGTTTGTTGCCAAAGAGGTGCGAGACGTTCTGGACCAGACACCAAAGGTTTTGCCACGGTGGGATCCTATGGGAGTCCTGGCATGATAGTAGCAGATCCCGGTAATAGATTGATAGTCGTCCGGTTTTCTAGTGATAGAAGTGAGCTTTTTGGCAAGCGCAATCTTGAACACCCAATATGAAGCGAACCGAATAATCGTAGCTGATTGCCCCTTCAAAGTACGACCTTCACTCGGCAGAATTTCCAAGCCAAACACGAAGCTTTTTTAATTAAGTAGATTTGCCTTTACAAATATGGACACGAGGCCTAAGAGGGATGAGAACGAGAGATGTGAGGGTGTGTGAGGGCCTGCCACCCCCCTCCAAGCCCAGCCACAGGAAACGCACGGAAAAGCGAGGATCAAACCTGAGGTGTCAGTCACAGCAACGGCGCTCCTGCTTTACCCATGTGACCCGTACCGAGACATTCATCCTGCAAGCTGTAGGTACATACATACATACACCGTACATCCCCATCCCTTCCCACATGCACCTTCGCCGCCGAGTGTGTGTCTGAGTGTCTAACTAGCCCAGCCCGGCAGGCGATCTGATCACCGTCCATCCGTGCCTGATGGCATGGGCAGGCGAGCCGATCCCCGCCAATAACAGGCATTCCCTTCCATCACCGACCATTTATCGTGCCCACTGGCTCTACCTACCCGACCCAGATACTGTACATACACGCTGTTTAGCTTTCTGGGGAAGAACGCACGTCTGTTCCGATAGGGAGAGCTTTCATTGCATTATCGGCAGGGCCCACTATGTTAATTTGGTCCTTGGTTTTGCGATGGGGAGGAGGGGGCCGCAGGGTGGACGGATAAGAAGAAAGAACACTAGGTACGGATGGTTACCTACCTACCGCTACTGACTAACTGACCTACGGTGTAGGTATTGTACTCCGTACTAGGTACCGATGGAGCACGTACAGGACGCTGAGAAACTCTGTCTTCTTCTATCCTCTTCGATGTATCTTGACCGCTCTATCTATGGATCGAGATGAGGTTGGGCTGGGCGTGGAACAGAACAAGAGTACCTACTACCTACATAGGTAGCATCTGGGAGAGGGGCAGATCGCAAATAAAACCAAAGGGAAATTATTTGCTAGTAGGTATCCCCTGCCACCACACTCTGCGATTCTATATCTGACTGGGCTAGATGCAAGATAATAATATACAATACTATTAGACAGCTAGAAATTCTCGGTGAATTACGAACACCACATACATACAAACAGCCAGACAGACGTCCTCCCCGAGTATCTTCCTGTCTGTCTCTCTCCACGATTTCAAAGCTCGTGGCTCTCTGTGGCGCCTGCTCGACCGAGAGCCAAAAGCACGTCGATTCTGTACGATCAGCATTTTATGCAGATTGGGCAACAATTGCATCATGCAGATGAGTCTGAGAAGTCAATCTTCAAGAACAATGGACCCACTAGGCAGAGGTCGCATTATTTTGATTTATGCACTATTTGGAATTCGGGTGAGTTAGCAACTTAGCCGTGGAAAGCAGAGGCAGGCACAATTATGAACAGCTAAAGAAAATAAAAAATAAACAGGGAAATAAAAATAATAGGGAAGCTTCAAAATTGAGTTACAGGTAAAAAGGACCCAACTTGAGTGGGCATTTGACATTTCTAGTGGCGGACCTGAACTCCCGTCACCATGCGGTACTCACTAACCCTTCTGAAAAAAAACATAATAAAATCGATGCAACACATCCAACGATCTTTTACCCGGCTCTCTATGGCCAATACGTGCATCGACTCCTCAAGCACCGAGCTCAAGTAACCGCAGCAGGTCCCACGCGCTCTCCACCGATCTGAATCGCGCCCTACAATTGGGTCAACGGCTGTCGTTCACCGCCAGAAGGCCATCGTCATCGCAGCGGCGATTACCCGGAATGGGAGGTGGCTAGCTGCGTTTCTTGGTAAGACAGGAGACGAGAAATGGAGCAGCAAGATGGAAGCTTCGATGGGGTCGGGGCCAGGAATTTCAGGAGTTTTCCAGTTCCTCTCCGATTCGTCTTGCCGAGAGATAAAAATGGCTACAATTTTTGCTTCACCTTCTTTTTCCCGCGGCTTTCTTTGAGGCATACTCGAGTATCGGTCAAGAGGGAAGAAATTAATAAGCAGACTCGCTTCATGATGATTTGCTCTTTTTTGAGGATTTTCTCTTTGTTTCAGGATATGGATTCCTTTCCGATTGGATCTGTAGGTTGTTACTTCGCCGTGGTGTGGTTCTTTGTTGTTTCCTCTCGACTAGTATGGAGCATGCACTCGATCTTCGCTCTCTCTCCCTCCTTCCCAACGGAATCAAAATTCACCGATTTATGATGGGTCAACGTCAACTCGGCCTACGGAATACTGCCTACCCAGGGATGAAAGACTAGGGACGATCTGAATCCCATTCCGGCGTATCGTGCATCAGCTGCGTGGAAGAAGTAGAAAAAAGAACGCGTGAGACGTCGCCTTGCCCTCTTGGGGTCTAATTTTATTTTTATCCCAACGGGCCGGTTTTGATTCACGCGATTGACGCGAATGCCGTTTTTTTATTTCTTTCTTTGTCTTTTCTTTCTTTTTTTTTTTTTCACTAGTAGTTTAATCCTTCATCTTCCTGTTGCGCGGCCGGTCTCTTTCATCATTCCACCACGGCAAGAGTGGCAAGAGAAAATATTAATCTAGAAAAAACGATTTCCATCATGTCGGATAATTGGTCTCTTGACAATGAGGTCGGGTCCCGGGTGAAACGTGGCATCAATATCACGACGGTTTTTTTTTTTCTCTTCTAGCCTCATCTTGCTTATCTTAGTATGTTGTATGGTTCCATTGCTCTTCATCCCCGGTCAATCGCGTGTACACAAACTACCGCATCTAGTTTAGAGGAATGGCGAGGGTTACAATGACAAGAAGGAAAGGGGAGGGGAGGTGTGGAGATGGACGGACAGCCCGAAGACACCGAACAAGATGAATGGATAGATAGATGGGGGAAAGGGAAGGACGGAAAAGATGAAACAACAACAAGCCATGTAGTGTATTCCGAATCAGGAAATGCCCTAGACGACGAGGCGAGGCTTTCGAGAAGACAGCCGAGATTCGCCAGAACCTTCGAATTTGGGGACGGTGTAGGTGTAGTGAGTGAGTGAGTCATACACTCAACTCTCATCGGCTCATCCTGTCATGGCCATACTCCGTACTACCGAGATGGGATGGGATGGAGGTGCTGTCGTCGGACCGGTGGGTCCTATGGTTCTTTTCTTCCCTCATCTTCTTGTTTCATCTTATCGAAGGATTAACGAGGTGGCCCGGTTCAGGCTGCAGGCTGCTACATATTCTCTACTCCCGAACCATTCCGTATCCATACTAGAACAAACCGCTCAGAATGGCCAATTGGCTAGTCTATACTTACCCCCATCTGAGCGATGTGGTTCGCACCAAGGATTCCCCGGACGCTGGTAGGTGCGCTGAGTGCGCTTGACGGTCAAGGTGAGCGTTGTGGAGCGGGTGTGGTTCTTTCTACTCCGTATGGGCCGTGGATGATGGATGGGCCTGACCCTCGAGCTAAACTAGGTAGACTACGCCGGAGGTAGGCAAGTACGTTGTTTACTATGGAGTTAGTTCGTTCGTTTAGTTAGTGCTACTTACCTACCTACCTACGTACACCGTATACCTACGGGTGCTCCGTAGATACTACTATTGCTAGTTACGAGCTAAATGGGAATGGACTCAGGTACCACGTTTTCTCTTTCCCCTTTGGCCTATGACATAGAGTCTCAGGTAAATTGCGATCACCATTGTCTGGTCTGTTCTGGTTTGGTGGATGGAGTAGATTGGGCTGAAAGTGAGGGAGTATGAGGTCATTTCTTTCCTTTTTGATTCACTCTGGTAGTCTTTGTTTTTGTTTTTTCTTTTTGTTTTTTTTTTTTTTTTTTTCTCCTTTGTATGGGAGCGATGAGTCACGACTCATCGGAGAACAAACAGTTGAGGATCTTAGTACGTAGTAGGAGATATGCCTTAGGCAAGTATACCTACCTACCTACCTACCATATACAGCATGTAGTAACCAACTACTAACGGATTACCTAAATAGCTAACCAAACAAACAATGACAAACCATATCCCGTCAGACAACCGGAAGAAGAACACACCAAACAAATTCCAATAGAATAAAACAAACTAAATCGTCAAAAAGACCATGAGTATAACAACCGCTATTATGACATCAACCCCTACCCAGGAAGAAAAAGCGAGATAACGCCCATCAGTAAGGGGAAATAGCCATGCCATGCCATGCCATATGGCCATGTCATGTCATTAGTGGATACAAAATCTCCGTACTATGGAATGATGCGCTGCAAGACCCGAAGAGAAATCAAATATAGTGAAGCCCTGAATCATCAAACATGCTCTCCCTCCTCTTTGGATTATAGTATCATGTTGTTGTTGTCCGAGCGTTGTAGTACAAGTACCTAGCATTTTACCTAGATGGGTAGTAAGTCCTGTAGGTATGTATGTAGGTACGTAGGTAACCTTAGTGCCTGAAACCGAGCACCCAGATAGGTAATGTACACCGTCAGCCATTAAAATGATCAATAGTACTATACATACACACCTAGGTAGTCTAGAAAGAGAGAGGGGAAAGGGAAGGAGACGGGAGGGTGTGAAAATCCGACTCAACACCCACGTTTACCCATCATAGTAAAGACCAATCGAAGAAAGAAATAGAGTCACAGCTATGAGAAGAGCTCTCATATGCTAGGCTAGTTCTGTCTCAACCCAAGCACCGCCTCGTCTTCTGCATGAGCACCCAGAACGCGCTTGCTTGACCTGAAACTAACCCCCCATCGGTGCAATGAGAGCAGCGACGCGGTGGCCGATGGGCACATCCGTCGTGTTTTGCTTTCTTTGCTTTTTTTAATCTTCCCCTCCCCTCCGCTCCCCTCCCGGGGAGATGGGTTATGGGTGCGTGCTTTGCTGCTTACAGTACTAGGTAGGTAGGGAACTTGGCTCGAGGATGTATGTTGTATGTACATGTACCTATGGGATGATGACG